GGGCCAATTTGAAAATTCTATCAATAATTCTCCGGAAAAAATGTTCTCAATCCTCATCGCTGGCGCTCCGGAATCGCGGATAATGGGGCAAGGGGTGTTAATTACAACGCCACCAGGTCGAAAAAGAGGATCATCTCCAATTCTTTTCCCGAAAAGAATTGGAGATTAACTCCCTATCCAGTAATCAGTATTAGATTAGGCTCCGCGCTTGTGAATTGCGAAATTGCGAACTGTTCCCAGTCACACAATTGCCGAGCGAGGCAGAGGCAGTGCAAGTACCAGACTTCACGACTCCAGTCTTCCCCTTCCCCTGGCTAGAAGGGAAATGGATTTCGGATCAAAAGCGTTGACCAACCAGCCTTGAATTGACCCTTTGCTTGTAATTCTGTATGACGTGGGAACAAAAAAGAGGGGAGGCAAAAGCTTATGCTGGATGAACCTCAAAAATGGAAAGCTGTTTCCGCGGGTGTCAGTGACAGAAAACCGTTGAAGAGGATCGACGAGCTCGGCAGACGAGAGCCAATGGCCAATCGTTTGATATTGAGAGAGATATTGGGCGGATCTGGTGGAAATGGACTGGATTATGTCAGCATCGGGGGTGATCGCTTCCATGTTCCAGGGTTGAGGCGAAAATTAAGAACGTTTTAAGGGTTTCGGTAGTTGAGTTGCCGATGAGCTTTAGTTTGGATCTGGTTGGACATGCTTCTTGAGGAATAATGGAAGGGTTCGAACTTCTGCAGAACTTTGTTTCCACGGATGAAGATCTTGAAGGTACCATGAAGGTTGAACCAGAGGGTCGTCGGCAACATAGAAAGAGCGGACGTTCGGAGGGCTCCGAGGCAGGGTTGGGGATGATCAGAACGATTAAAGATCAAGATCAGAAAGAGCCTCGATGTGGGAGAGAATTGCTTTTGCTAATTTTTATTCCGAAAGTAATAGTGGGAGATCATTATTGATACTAGCAGCTAGAGTGTCTTTTATTATATAAAAGTACGCTATATGAAGTGTATTATATGGAGTCGGCGGAGTAGACGGAGAAGATAAATCCTCCGTGGCCGTCACGGGGAAGATCGAAGATCACGGGAATCCCTAAAGCCCTAGCGATAACAGCGTCTACAGCGGTAATAGTTTTGGTTCTTCGGTAGATTTTCGGGTTAAAAGATACTGTACTAAAATGTCGATTGAGATTGAGATTTCTCTATGTAGTACGATCCGTAAATTCCGTATGTATCTGTAACCGCCCATACGTATTCACCTCACCTACAAGTCCGGAAAACCCGTCCATGCCCGTTGCTGTGCATCGCGGTCCGGCTGGAGTCCGATCAGGAGAGTCCCGATGATGTGCCCCCGTGCCGAACCATGGTCCGCAAACCACCAGAACGGCCTCCGAGACATATCAATGGCTGGAAAAAAGAACAGAAAGGAGAAAGAAAAAAAAAATATCCATCATCTGAAAACACTAAAAAGGGAGAAAGTTTATCTCATAGAGAAAAAGATGGGAACGCGTCTCCCAAGACCATCCGGTGTGCCCCGCGGCCCTCAAGCCTCCTAAGAATGGACATGTTTCTGGTTGTATCTGCTTGAAATGGATACTCGAGACTCCAGAAATGGGGAGTGGCCGTTCGTTAGTGAAAGTCTGTTAGAGTCCGTAGGTGCCGGGGGGAACAAGCGGACAATTATAGATTATTATGACAGTAGATGAAATGAAAAATTCCACCATGTCAAGGTTGGTGGAAGCCGTTCAGCTGAATGCTGGAGAAGATTGAAAGTCAATGCTCCACGGTTTCCGTTCACCTTCCCGTTCCAAGACGGATATAGAGTACTCTGATTACTGTGCCAATGAGGCGTAGTACAAACTGTAGCTATGGAGTTAGGTTATACAGAGAGATAGAGTCAGACAGAGTGAAACCTCAAAATCCTTCCGTTCGCCAGGGGCGCCGCCGAGGGCAGCTGGAGGGGGGTCTTGGATATGCAGCTAGCAGGCCCTAGGATGTAATCATGCAGCAAGGATGCAAGCTAAGCAGCTCGCCAGCAGGCCTTGGGATGGGGTGCGACGTAAGGGGAGGGGACCAAAAAGTTAAGACGAACCTGTCTGTCATCCCAGCCACGTTTTTGGGACCATGCGGGATGGAATCTTCTTTTCGTTTTCTATGGATATTCCCAATGGGCCATGTGGTTGGTGGCCCGTTTATGGCATTATCCAATATCCAGTCAGCTAGAGATTAGGATACGAGGTTACCATACTATTGCGTTTATAGTTCCCGTCCCATAGTATTATCGTTGTATTTACTTTGTTGTGTAGACGAGCATACTACTACAACTATCCGTACTTAGTTCTTGATCATACTGACTGGAATGATCTGATTCTTCTGATCTCTACACCATTGACTGCCTCAGGCCTGTACTGCAGTTGTTCTGACCCAGTCCCATTGTTCCTTGGTTTCATAGTCCCGCAGTTCTGGTTCGTAGTACAGAAGCCACCGAGAGTCCCTTTCTCTGGTTATTCAAATTCCAATAAAATCCCGCCCGTCTCTCTGTCGATTCAAATAGTCTACATAGGGTTCGGAGTAACACTCCATATAAGCTCAATACCTCCGAAGGTTCCAGCCCTATTATGTCGTTTCCTTCTCTCGAACTAAATAAACTAAATAATCAATTCAATTCTTCCCTCTCTCTCTCCCTTTTCCTGTTCAGGGGCCACGGTCGCGACCCAGTAAGTCCTCCAAGACTAAAAGTGCCTCCACCAGTGTCCACTCACGCGGTCCTCCACTCATTTCTCCGAATCCATGGCTCATCCATTCGCTAGCGCTCTAGTTCGGCATGCTGAGTGGACCCGATCGCTCTCCAGTCTCCAGGTACTCAGCGTGCCTGGTCCAACTGGTCCCAATCCACAATCGTCATTTTTCTTTGAATTTATCCCCCTTTGCCCTTTTTTGGGTTCTTTTTTTTTCTGCTCTTTTTTTCCGATACTAGAGAAAGGCCGGCGTAATTAACCCGGACTCGTTATCCAATCGTCTTGGTTTCTGTCCATTTCCCCTCCCCACTTCTCTTCTCCTCTCTCCCCTGTCGCTCTTTTTCATTCATACAATTCAAACATTTTCAAGCATCCCATACGGAAGTACACTAATCATACATACTTTTGTGTATGCACTTGACTCTGCATGTACTAGCGACCTGCAGTAGCACTACTGTACGTACAGTACCCCTGCTGCCGGTTTCTGCTGTACAGACAATTGCCTTTGTGTATTCCGTACCTCTCCCACGGAGTAGCAGGATCCTCGTGCACAATACTACCTCGTGCTCCTGCGAGTACTAGTAGTAGTACTACTAGCACTACTGAATCCTGATTGACAAGTACTCCATACTTTCAGTGTATTGGCAATATACACTTCAGTACAGCCCTGAGCCCTGACACCTCCGCCTTGGAACCAATTCCCACCTTTGGCACCTTTTCAACACCTTTCCCTGCTGGGTTTGGACGTCTTTTTTTACCCTTTGGTCGGAACTCCTTCATCCCCCTCTGCCTTCTCGTTCTCTTAATTAATATTATTTTTGATATTATTGTTTTATTTTTTTAGACTTTGGGGGCGTCTCGTTTTTTTCACTCTGCTCCTCTCGAAAGTCGCCTCTTTCTTGTGGTTTCTTTCTCCTCCTTTTATCCCTCCCCCCACCTTTACCCATCTCCTCTTAGGTGTTCTGGGAGAAACCCCCCATGTGGAAACCTCGACTTTCACCCAGATCGGAGTCTAAATCGGGGAGCGATTCAAATCATCTTCATCTATCTGAAATCGGCTTCCTAGGGCGATCTAGGAAGAAGAACATTACGCCTTCGTCATCGGCTGGTGAGTTCCTGAGTTTCCCTGTTGTACCCGTTCCTCTCTCCCCCCTCGTGCGCCCCCTCATATCAGATCAATCAATGGTCGGGTCGGGTCTAGTATCGCAAAACTGAGACCTGAACACAAGCCGGGTTCTAGATGCGCTTCTTTAGGTTGCCAGTCCTGGGTCTCGTTACTGTCTCCCCTTAGCTCGTGGACCTAAAGCCATCTGACTGTGCTCGTCTTCTCTTTTTTGTCTTCCCACTCATTCATACCCTTTCATCCGTCCCCCCTGAACCTTGGAGACTCAATTCCCCGAAATCTACAAGAAAAAAAAAGCCCCTCTCCTTTTTACAATCCTCACATCATCTTCATTCTCCGACCCCAATTGGTGGGCCCTACCCAACATTCCACCATCGCAAGCACGTTGTATCGTTGCATCGTGCATGTCAGCCCGTCATTTTGGCCCCCCCGCATGGCTAACGGATCCTGGTGACGTCCAGAATTTCAATCGCGGCCAGACTCCTCCTCCCGCTCCACGTTTCGCTCCTTTCGCTCCTTTCGACACAAATCAGACCGTCCCGAGAGTAGTGCCTCCAACTACACGGACGTTTCGCGCCCAAATACTCGCCCACGAGCCCCCTCAGCCGTAGCCGACAGTATACACTCTGCTCGCCCGGATCCCGCCTGGCAGTCGGCGCACTCGAATCGGTCTCGTGTCTCTTTCAATTCTCGCTCGGGCAATTCTAACGCTGGGGCAATGGAGGTCGACCGTACCCGGACACGGAGGGAGAGGACTTTTATCGGCAGTGAATGTGCCGTCTGCGAGGAGCCGCTCGAGCATACCTTGCGTGGAGAGCGGGTCCTTCAGTTCTCGTGCAGCCACGTGTCCCACGAGGCCTGCTTCTATGAGTTTATCCGGGAATTCGAATCGCAATACTGCCCGACATGCAATGCTCCGTTAGGTTTGGATACGAGTCGAGGTGGAAATGTCTTGGATATTGGTTCGTGATTTCTCCTGAGCGTCCTTCACCCCTCCCGGCTTCAAGCGAAAAGGAGCTACATAATGGCAATCACATGTCAAATCATTCAATCTGGAAAAATGGAGTCACTGACAAGATCTACTAACCTACAGAAAAGATCAGCAATATTGTGCGCTCGGTGACTATGAGCGACACCGCCACAATGCGGAGTGGCCTGACGAACCCGACCTCAACCCCGTGGGAACAGCAGTCGACTCGGCGACCGCCCAGCGATGCCGGTAGCCGCTATAACAATACTAACAACGCACAATCCACTTATAGCCGACGTGACAGTCGCGACACTACTGGCCAGCGGGAGCGGGTCGAACGCTTAACTGCAGGCGGAGCATCGGCCATTTCTGACCCTCGTCAACGCCAACCGCATTCTAGAAACGGCAGTGCAGCCGGCTCATCCGGCGACTACCATGATGGCCAGCACACGAGCAGCGGGCGACGCCACGACTATGATGTGCAGGCTATGGAATCAGACCTGAGCCCTCGCCCTGGTGTCACCAAAAACCCTATCCCCGCTCCACTTGTTACCGTGCGAAGCGAGTTCCCTACGATGAATCGATCCCGCCAACAGCAAACTTTGACATGTCTGATCACGGTGGAGGTGCCCGAGGGCAATTGGCGTCCAGACGCAGACGATCTTCGACAACCGCCTTCAGGCCAGTCTCAACTTGATGAGCCGTATACGGGTCGATTCGGGGGCTCGCAGGATGCTCGGTCTATTCAGAATGAGCCGGTGGAGAACCTGGAGGAGATTGCGGAGGACTTGCGAAATCGGGTCGATAATTGGCATGGCCTCGAGTTCCAACGGTATGTCTTTGAGAAACGCGGGCGATTATGAATCCCTTTCAAGATCAAGCAATGCTAATTCAGCTCCAGGTTTGGCAAGTTGCGATTGCATGGGCAAATGCGCGTGGGCAAGGACCGGGAATCATGGCAGGAATTGGAATGCTATCTGTTCGCGGAGATGCTTATCTGCGTCAAGGAGAAGAAGATTCCCGATTCTCACCAATACGATGAGAAGCGCAAGCCCACTCGCTGCACTCTCAAGGGTTCCATCCTGATCAAGAAGCATTTGAAGTCCATTGATGCCGGCTCTGACGAGCCAGTTCTCTCTCTTAATCTTTCTGTCAGCGAGCTGCCCTGCTTTTACCTACGTTTCCAGAACCGCCAGCAGCTGGAGACGTGGCACCGAGCGTTGACGAATCTCAACCCAGTGGAAAATGTGTCCCGACAGCATAATGACTTTGACTACGAGCACTTGGGCGCTGAGGAGGAGGACTACCGGACCAGCCGTATTCAGCGACAAGCATCTCTCAACTCATCCTATGGCGCAGGCAAGTCGAATAATACCGCCATCACCGATTACACCAACCCTGATGCGGAGAAGCCATCTCTCGATTCGTTCCACATTCCTCTGGATCTCGTTGTGGTCATTCCTGTCTCATCATCGATGCAGGGTCTGAAGATCACGCTTCTGCGCGATGCTCTCAAATTCCTCGTACAAAATCTGGGCTCGCGGGATCGGATGGGTTTGGTGACGTTTGGCTCGAGCGGTGGTGGTGTGCCTCTAGTGGGTATGACTACCAAGTCATGGAATGGATGGAATAAGGTTCTCGACTCGATTCGTCCTGTCGGCCAGAAGAGTTTGCGCGCTGATGTGGTGGAGGGTGCGAACGTGGCGATGGATCTGCTCATGCAGCGCAAATTCAACAACCCCGTCTCAACCATCCTTTTGATCAGCGATTCATCTACCTCCGATCCTGAAAGTGTCGACTTTGTTGTCTCTCGCGCCGAGGCTGCCAAGGTCAGCATCCACTCCTTCGGTCTTGGACTGACCCACAAGCCGGATACCATGATCGAGCTCTCGACTCGCACCAAGGGCTCTTATCTCTATGTTAAGGACTGGATGATGCTTCGGGAGTGTGTTGCTGGATGCTTGGGTGCTATCCAGACTACATCACACCAAAATGTCAAGCTGAAGCTTCGCCTGCCCGAGGGCTCCCCGGCCAAGTTTGTCAAGATCAGCGGGGCTCTTCACACGACGAAGCGCGCGACTGGTCGAGACGCCGAGGCTGCCTTGGGAGATCTCCGATTTGGTGATAAGCGTGATGTTCTGGTGCAGCTGGTTATTCAACCCGACAATGCTACGCAAGACAACATGCCCCAGGACCCATGGGAGAGCTTGGTCTCTGGCCTGGAAGCTCTAGGCGGGGGACTCGATGGCGATGAGCAGCGCGTGCTGAGTGTTGAAGAGGTCCCTTTGATCCAAGCCGACCTGACATACGGCGATCTTCTTCGTGATGGCCATCTAACCCACTCGCCTCGTCCGTCATTGCTTGCCATTACCATGCTCCCTCCAAACCCCAAGTCTCGCAACCAGCGACCCTCCACCCCTCCCATCCCCCCTCACCCATCTATCGTGCAGCGCCGCATGGAGCTGCTTACATCCGATATGTTGACCAGGGCACTCACCCTTGTCTCTCGCGGTCAACACGACCGTGGCCAGCACCTGCTTCACGAGACCCGCAGTATCCTCAAAGGTCTGGGCAAAGGCGGTTTACCCCCATTGCCACCCACCGCGTCTCGACCTTCAGGAACCAGCGACGCGGGCAGCAGAGGCGATACACCAACCTCAAGCTCTCCTAAGTCTTCTACTTTCGCGGAAAGCCATGCCTCTTCCGCGTCCGAAACCGCTACTATCACCCCATCGTCCGCAGTTGATGCGCATACTATGACTGCGCTCAACGCGGATCTGGACTCTGCTCTTGAGTGGATCAACCATCCCGCCGTCTTCGGTCGTGACTCGCGTAAGGCCGTGCTACAGAGTATCGGTGTGATTTCCTCGCAGCGTGCCTATACATTCCGTACACCTTCAGAATCACACTGGGCCCAACGGATTGCTGGCGTGCGGCGTCTGACAGAAAAGTCCAAGGGTTGGCGTGAGATGGGTGATGATGCTTTGACTGAAGAGTAAAGAAGACTAGAGCGTATCGGTTTCTTCTTGTCCAACTCAAGGTTGACTTGCATTTCTCTCACTTTCTATTTCCTTATTTCATTCCATTTTTCGGTCTATATATCATTTCCCTCCCGGAGTCAGCTCATGACATGCTCGTTCTTGATTTCCTTATTCCCCGCGACATCATACCACCGTTCCATCATCCCCTGGCCAGCCTATATCTCATTATCGACTTTCTGTTTTTCTCACACCCCTCGCTTGCTTTTTATATTCGCTGTATTTTGTTCCCCTATGATACCACTTTGTTCCCACCATGACTATGCAGCATGATTCCAGGGGCTTTCGTTTGCGATGTGTTTCCGCTTCCGCCGATCCCGTCTTACGGTTGGATTTTCGGGATTTCTGGATTTGTGCCTTGTGTTGGGCGTACATCTGATACATCTGTGTTTCTCTGCTATTTGCCCCGAAATGGTTTTCGGTTTTGGTGTGCGGATGGAATGGGGGTCTCCTTGTTTCTTGAAGACTTTTTGATGTTTCGTTTTTTTTTTTTTTGGATCGGGGTGACTCGAGAGACTTGTTTTTGGTTTGGGTGGAATACTGTGTTTTTTTGTTTGTTGAAAGTTTCCCTCCCATTTTGGCATTGGCTCAAAATATTTTTGATGACCCCCTCTCCGCGTCTGGACTTGACTTGATTTGATTGACTCCTGATACTGATGTTTTTTTTGGGGGGGGGGGGATCTGCCCCATGTTGATAAAGCCTGCATAATTCTATTGACCCCCCATCCCCCTTGTGAATAATGACAATGCACGTGTTACATACTTGAGATTTTATTTAATAATATTCATAGATTGTGTTTTTTATGGTTTGTTCACTGAGTATCTTTGGAAGCAATCTGATGTTAATGTAGTTCGCTTTCTCGAGTTAGCCCTATCGCCGAGACTGTCTTCTTATCGCCGTGTGGCTCGGCCGCGGCCCTGACACCGGCCATCCGCCATCACCTTCACCTTCAATTTCAACTTCATCCTTGACTCACTCCAACTTCTCAAATCCCGACTCCGACTTCGACTTCATACCTCTATTTCCTGTACATACCATGCAAACCCCCCAACTAACAATGCTCCGCCAACCTCTCCTCTCCCTGCGCACCGCGCACCCGCCCATCGCAACCCTCCGACCTCAACCTCGCACCCTCCTCCCACGCGCATTCCACACAACCCCCAAACCACGCCCACGATGTCTCCCAACTCTATCCCCACGCCTTCCCCCATTCACCCCCCATCTCCGCATCCCTAAAACCAACCATCCCCACCGCCCCTTCAGCACAAGCATCCCCCACTCCGCCCGCAACAGCTACAACCGCTTCAACTCCTCCTCCTCCCAACGCCCATCTCTCTTCCACACGGTAATCTCCCGCTCAAAACCACACCACTTCATCCTAATCGGCCTCGGGCTGTCAGGTGTGTACTTGTACAATACCGATGTGGTTGAAATGACGGGCCGCCGACGCTTCAATTGTGTTTCGCACGCGGCGGAGCTGAAAATGGGGGAACAGAGTTATCGGGAGGTTCTTGCGCAGTCGAAGGGACGGGTGTTGCCTGATAATCATCCGTTGGCGCAGATGGTTAATCGCGTTTTGCAGCGGTTGATTCCGCAGGTTGATATTGTGGGGGCGGATTGGAGGGTGCATGTTATTGTTGATGATGGGAATGCTAATGCTTTTGTTTTGCCTGGGTTTGTTACATCTTCCTTCTTTTCTCTCTTTTCTTTTTGGGGATTGTTCCTGTTTCTTGGTTCTATGCTGACAATTTCTTTGTTGGGTGTAGGGGCAAGGTCTTCGTTTACACAGGCATTCTGCCAATCTGTCAAGACGAAGATGGCCTTGCTGCGGTGCTGGGCCATGAAATCGCGCATGTTGTCGCGAGACATCCGGCTGAGCGTATGAGCAATAGCTTTTTGACGCTGGGGACGGTTTTCCTTATTTCGTTGCTCTTCGATGTTTCGGGGAATTTGTCCAGTATGCTGGTTAATCTTATGTGGAGTCTGCCGAATTCGCGGACACAGGAGGTGAGATGAGATTGGTATAGTTTGTGGCTGTTGAATTGGTAGCTAACGTGGACGATAGGCTGAGGCGGATAACATTGGACTGAGTATGTTGTCTACTGGTTATAGATTGAAGTCTATCGAGAATACTGACATAGATGTATAGTGATGATGGCCAAGGCATGCTTCAATCCTGAGGCTGCCGTAAGACTGTGAGTTGTCATTCAATCACTCTTGAATAGTACATACTAATTCTATACTAGATGGCGCCGAATGCAAGAACAAGAGAAAGCCGCACCACCACAATTCATGTCTACTCACCCTTCAGTACGTTCCCGCTCCCTACTGAATCTACCCGACTTCTTATCTAACCCTTCTATAGAGCTATAACCGCGAAGAAGCCATTCGAGGATGGTAAGATACCGCCATGTCCATAGGTCCCCTGGAATCGCGAGTACTAACAATGCACAGGCTCGAGAAAGCTGAAACGATCTATGCGGATAGTGGGTGCAGCACCTTTGGAAGCTATAGTAAGTCCTAACTTACCGTTTAGTTGGTTGGCTTTGCCGTGTTTCTTAGGGATGCTAATAGTTTTGAATAGTGCCTAGCTTCAAGAAGGCGTATCAGACGCAGAGTTCGTATGGGTGGTGAATGTCTTTTTGTTAATTTGCTATCACTGTATACTAGATTAGATGATGCATTGAATACCCACCTCTCAAGTTCTTATGTATTCCTTTCCTTAATGCTCCACAGATAGCTAGGCTGATCGCCCGGATGTTTCCTCCGTCATGAGCTCCTGCTCCTAGTCATGTTTATAGAGCCTAAAATTAATCTCATTTCTCCAGAGATTCCAGTTTACATTTACATTCTCACCTGCCATGATCTTTTGTCTAATTTATTCAAAATCTTTATAAAACCCTGGAGGTATCCACCCTTCGGCCATACTAGTGTAGGCGGACCACCTCCCACCAACTGGCGGGTCCCCCTCGTGCAAACAACGCAAACCCACCGACCCCCGTCGAGCTCCAAAAATTCCCCGGCACAACCAAGAGAAGCCCATCGACTCCCTCCCTCCCATCCTTCATATCCAGTCGTATCCACCTCGGACACGACCTCTCACAATGTCGCTATCACTCCCAGGGCCCTCCCAGCAGGGCCTCTTCAAAGCCGGGTACCAGAGGTACGTCCAAAGCTACTCGCAACGCGGGCCCCCATCCCACCGCACCGGAGACACACCTCCCACCTCCTTATCTGCCCGCCGCACGATGAAGCAAAGAAAACGCAAAACACCCCCATCCTTACTAACAATTCTTCTTCTACAACTACAGCCACGACGCCGAAGATGGTGCCGTCATTCGTAACATCGAGGCTTGCCAGGCTATCTCGGGAACTGTCCAGACCTCCCTGGGTCCGTACGGCCGCAACAAGATCGTCATCAATCACCTGCAGAAGATGATTTTGACTTCGGACGCTGCTACGATTCTCCGCGAGTTGGATGTTGTGCATCCCGCTGCGAAGTTGTTGGTTATGGCTAGTCAGCAGCAGGATGCTGAGATGGGGGATGGTACTAACTTGGTTATCGTTTTGGCGGGAGAGTTGCTGAAGAAGGCCGAGGAGTTGATCCGATTGGGATTGAAGACGAGTGATATTGTTTCTGGCTATGAGAAGGCTCAGAACTTTGCTTTGAAGGTTCTTGAAGGTGTGTTTTTCTTGTTGAGGGGCCGTTGGATATGGTGCCGGTTGGCTTTGGTTCAGGGATAGATGGTCTATCAGACCGGGGTCTACGTGGAATTGGGACTGACTTTGTTTTTCTTTTTGACAGATCTCGAGGTCGATCGTCTGAAGGACATGCGTTCCGTCCCAGAGCTCAGCAAGGCTCTTCGCACAGTCGTCGCTAGCAAGCAGTCTGGCACGGAGGATACCCTGGCCGCTCTGGTCGCGGAGGCAGTGCTCGCCGTGCTGCCCAAGAACCCCCTCAACTTCAACGTGGATAACGTGCGTGTCGTGAAGATCATGGGTGGTAGCTTGGAACAGTCCAAGGTCGTCAAGGGTATGGTCTTCGGTCGTGAGCCGGATGGTATCATTAAGCTGGCCCGCAAGGCCAAGGTCGGCGTGTTCAGCTGCCCCATTGACATCTCCCAGACCGAGACCAAGGGTACAGTTCTGCTCAAGAACGCCCAGGAGATGGTCGACTTCACCAAGGGTGAGGAGGGCCGCCTCGAGACCGCCATCAAGGAGCTGTACGACTCCGGTCTCCGTGTGGTTGTTGCCGGTTCTACCGTCGGCGACCTGGCCATGCACTACCTCAACCGCTTCAACATCCTTGTGATCAAGATTCTCTCCAAGTTCGAGCTCCGCCGTCTGTGCCGCGTCGTTGGTGCTACCCCCCTCGCCCGCCTGGGCGCCCCCATGCCCGATGAGATGGGCCAGATCGACGTGGTCGAGACGACCGAGATTGGCGGTGACCGTGTCACCGTCTTCCGCCAAGAAGATGCCAACGCCGTGACCCGCACATCCACGATCGTGCTCCGCGGCGCTACCCAGAACCACCTGGATGATATCGAGCGCGCCATCGACGACGGCGTGAACGTCGTCAAGGCCATCACCAAGGACCCCCGCCTGGTGCCCGGTGCCGGAGCCACTGAGATCCAGCTTGTCGAGCGCATCTCCAACTTCGCCGACAAGACCCCCGGCCTCCCCCAGCACGCCATCCGCAAGTACGCCGAGGCCTTCGAAGTGATCCCCCGCACCCTGGCCGAGTCCGCCGGTCTCGACGCCACCGAGGTTCTCTCCCGCCTGTACACCGCCCACCACCGCGCCAGCGCCGACGACGAGGAGGGCAGCTCCGAGGAGGAAGAGGAGCCCTACTGGACCACCGGTGTGGATCTGGAGATTGGTGACTCCGACGGCACCCTTGATGCCGTGGAGGAGGGTATTCTCGACCTGATGGCCTCGAAGAGCTCGGCCATCCGTTTGGCCAGCGAGACTGCTCGCACGGTCTTGAGCGTGGACCAGATCATTGTTGCCCGGCAAGCGGGTGGGCCGAAGCCTCCTGGTCCTAACCCCAACTGGGATGAGGATTAAAGAGTTAACGGTAGACACGTTTGTGTTGATGATGATTCTTGGGGTTGAAGAGGCTTCGAGACCGGGGGCGTTGATAGATCCGTATGATATCACGAAAAAAGTCGCCTTGTTGGTGTGTATAGCTGAGTACGATAATACATCACTGAATTTTGGTCAATCATACACCCTCGAATTGTAATGAATGTAGAAGTAGTTTGTTAGGAGGATTGCTCGTGGTTGGGAAGGAGGCATAGGATGAAATTGGTGTCTCATAAGAGACACTGTATCTCATTTTCTCCCGCCTCATAGATCCAGGAGTCTTTGTTCTACTGGAACATCAATTCAATTATCGACAAACGTTCATAATTACCAAATTTAGAGCTATTTACCAGTGTCATGTTCCCATTATCATCTCATAGTCCAGGAGCACCATTGTATACGCTTACCTAATCCAAACACGTGACACCTAGATTTTCCCCGAAACTCCTGCATCTGCATTTTCGCTCGCTATCGCGGTTGAAGCCAGTGCTGTCTTTCTCCCTTTCTCCCTCCACGCCAATTGCTCCTGCTCTTCCTCTCACTCGCCAGGACCACCCCTGATTTCCACCCAATTCACAATGTCCTTCCCTATCCAGGCCGCAGCTCGTAGCTGCCGACAGCTCTCCGGCTCCGTCCGCCCATCCTCCCTGCGCATCGCGACTACATACACAGCCCGCACACCCAGCTACCGGCGATGGGAGTCAACCGAGGCTGCTGCGGCCCCTATCAACCCTAAGATCGCACAGATTGTTGATCAGATCTCCACGTTGACTTTGTTGGAGACTGCTGATCTTGTGTCCAGCTTGAAGGTGAGGCCAATGCACCTCCGCAATTGTGTCAATTGCATTGTTTTGCGAGGGAATTCCTGCATAAATCCAATTTGAATATGAGAATTGACAATTGTTTTCTCTAGACCCGCCTGAACATTCCCGATCTCCCCGTCGGGGGCTTCGCCATGGCCGGTGGTGCCGGTCCTGGCGCTGCTGCTCCCGCCGCTGAGGAGGAAGAAGCCGCTCCCGCCGCCGCCGAGAAGACCCTGTTCAACCTGAAGCTCGAGTCCTTCGAGGCTGCCTCCAAGCCCAAGGTCATCAAGGAGGTCAAGAACATGCTCGGCCTGTCTCTGGTGGACAGCAAGAAGTTCGTTGAGTCCGTGCCCAAGATTATGAAGGAGTCTGTGCCTAAGGAGGAGGCTGAGAAGATCATTGAGACTCTCAAGGCTCTGGGCGCGAAGGTCGTCATGGAGTAAATGGGTTGAAAAGCGAAATGGAAGAACAGAAACAAAACTTGGGATAACCTGGGCGGAGCTTGATTCCTGTTTTCTTTTAATCCCTCTTGCGCGCTCTCTCCCCCTCTCTCTTCTCCCCTTCTCTTGTTGTTTTACTTTTTCATGGCTTGCGCATGTCGGGGGTGTGGGGGAACTTGAATCTGGCTTCGAGGGTGTTATACTACTTCTTGAGCGTTGTTGGCCTGGTCGTGTGAGGGCAAATAAATGTACATTATACGCATTGTGTTATGGACCCCTCTGGTACAGAGGGCTCGTTTTTGGTTTAATTGGTGCATTGAGCATATATCGAAAGTTACCAGTAGTTTTATGGAGCTTGTTTAAGTATATTCAGCTCTGGCAATCGGATGTCTTCTGTTTGGTGGTGACGGGGTATTTTCATTACTACGAAAAGCGGACCCAACGCCGACCTCCGCTTTTCTCCAATTCCTCCGTGACCTTTGATTCAAGCTCCCACCACGCTTTTCCTCTACGTCGCCTACTCCTCATCACCCTCGAATAAAATCCTCCATGTCGAGGTCATCTGCTGCACTACAGCAATGGCTTAACTTCCGCCAAAGCTTCTCCTCCGCATCCCCCACCATCCTAAATCTACGCGCAAACAACCTCCTCACACCACCAACCCGGCTTGCGTTCACAACCACTCGCTATGGCACCGCCACGTTGAGACGACCATTCCACAGTACCCAATACCGATCAGCGAAAGGCAAATCCGCGAGACCTGCGCCCGCACTACGAAGGAAAATGAGAGACTCCGAAGCCGGTCTGGAGCCGGCCTGGCAGGGCAAAGATGGTGTCGGCCTTATAAATAACAAGGGCTTTTATATGGATTCTTTATCTGTGGATGCTCCAGAGCTCATCGCGATGTTTAAAGAGTGGTCAGAGTCTCTCTATGCCGACGCTTCTAGCTATGGGCTTCTCGAGAATATCAGTTTCCGTACATTTGAGGACGTTGCTATCAAGGTCTTCGATGTGATTGATGGTCCACCGAATCCACACAGAATTCGGTCCATATCAACAGGTAAGATATTTGACACCAGAGTGGATGAAATAAGTGATGTTCGGGGCTAGGGCGACGTCGAAATTGAAATTAAATTATTTGTTACTAGATGTCGATGCCGTCTTTCGAATTGGATTCGTTGCCTGCGCTGTACACAGGCCACTTCTCGAATGGGTCACCTCTGCGTGTGCACTAGCAGGTGCACGCCATTCCATTGTCCTAATTCAGGGTAGATCGGTCTCATGGACGAAAGCCACCCAGCGCACGAAATGGACAGACATGGTCAAACAATTCTCAGACGAGGGGTTCCCACCAGCAATGATCCTCCAAGCCAAAATTCTCGGTATGAATGGGGAATATGAACAAGCCTTTGAACTGATGGAAAAGCGAGTCCTGCCATATCTCACGCCAACCCGTCGTCGCCAGGGCCTCTTCAAGGATATCACCATGGGTGATAATTTCGAGTCCCCGTGGAGAGTATACGCGCTGCTTCTTGCGTCGTATGATGCTAATTTTGACTCACCAGAGAGTCGAAGGAAAGCAGATGATGCAACCCGCATCGCGGCGTTGGAGTATAATGACCGCAAGGCATTAGTCGAGTATGCCTCGATTATGATGAACGAGAAAAACTACGACAAATACGAGGAATGTATGTGCAGGGCTGCTACATTCGGAGACAAGGATGCTATCCTCTACATTGCAAATTACTACTACCAAATCTTCCATGGTCGGTATCCTACAACAGCGGAGCGCGTTGCACTCGCCAAAGCAGAAGCCCAGGGTCAACAGGCACCTCCAACTCCAGCGAAACCTCTGGCTACTCCCGAAGACACACAAAGCTCGAATATCTTCAAGTCAGCACTGGGCTGGGCATCATCCTTCTTCAATCAATCCATGTCTCGCGAAGACTACCGCAAACTAGCGTTGGACTGGTACGCCCTAGGATTCAAGCACTCCATCCCGCAGGCGTCGTTTATGTTAGCGCTCATGGCGCGGGAACAAGGGGAAGAAATGGATGGGAGTATTATTATGGACCATGCTCGCACGCATTTGGAGGATCATCCGGAGTTTGCGAAGAAGATTGACGAGTTGAGGGATAATTGGTATGATCCGACGTATGTGCCTAGACTTACGAGTAAGATGTTGGCTGTTCGGTAGGGGAGATGCGAGTATATAGAATTGTGTATAGCTATGCTTGTATTTATATCTTGTTTCTCACTGTGGATGAATCTTCAGGAAGGACTTGTGGGCGTATGTCTAGATAGAAGATTCTTGGTGCAATGAATTGCACTGTACGTCCTTATCGGCCTTTCTAGTTCTTGTATATACCACATCCAGAACCTGGCAATTCATATCTGAAAAAATCATTGATCACTATTCGTTCACTGTTGAGAGTACCATTTAATTAAAGAGTTCAAGATGGTTACGATACCAAACCGCTCGATGAACATCATCAGCAAAAACAACGCGAACGACGTATTTTTGTTTTTGATACCTTCGTTGCTTTTGACTCACTTATCACTCTCTCCACGCGACGTTACGAAGGAAGACTTCATCTCAGTCCAACAAGTTTATAAAACATCACTCCAATTTTTGGACCACTCTATATGCAACCACCAATTCCCTGTCTACCTAACCTTACCGGTCAATCTTATTTCTCCCTATCCATTCAAACCTGACCAAATCCCTAACTGAACGCACATAACCAAAAAGCCCAATACTTGATGCACATAACTCGCCAACATGAACATGCAAGAACCCTAATTTCGATCAGAAGTAACCAAAAAAAAGCGAAAAATAAACATAGCACAAGAATCTGATCTTCCCTCCTTGGTCATTCGTAGGTCATATCACGAGCCAGTGAGAGAGAAGTAAGCAGAACCAGATGAGTCGGTCGAAAACATAAAAAAAAAATATGGGAACGATGATGCGAGAAAGAAAAAAAAAATTTGAAACGAAACGCCTCGCACGCTCAATGAACCGTGTTGTTTTTCCAGATAACATCACATCCATCCCAATACAGCAACTTTAGCAAGAGCAGAAAGCGCCGAGAAACAAACGAACAGAGGCAATTCAAAAGAACTCCAAAGCTTAGCGCAAAAAAAAAGCGAGATTTTCATAAGAAAGCCGAACCGAAAGCGTGAGCGAAAGTGTAAGTCCGACCCAAACCCAAGGTTAATTGATTGTCATCCCCTCTTCCTCCCCTTCCCCTTCCCATTCCCCCTAGTCTTCAACTCCACAAACCCCAACTCCTTCAATCCCTCCGCAAGAATCGACGAATCCCTCATCCCAGGAAAATCCTTAGCCGCATACACCCTAAACGGGTCTGACCAAGCCTCCGCAAGTATAGGCATAGATTGACCCGTATCCTCCACAGAACCCCAATTCATTAATCGGAATTGGAGTCTATACAGACCCGCCGAGCGGATGGATAGGTCTGCGAAGATGAAGAATGTGGCGGGTTGGTTTAGTTTTGAGGCATTGCGGAGGGATTGGGATGGAGGGTGGGTATGGGTGTGGGTGTCTTCTGAGGAGGAGGAGGGGTGGGTTGGTGCGGAGTTTGGGTCTGGGTCTGCGTCCACGAAGAAGGGGGACATGAAGGCTTTTCCGGAGAGTAAAGGGGTGGAGAAGGAGTCATCTGCGCGGGCGACGCCGTCGGCGTCGCGTTCGGCGGATTCGGCTTCTGATGATGGGGTCCAGACCGTTGTATCTGGGACGGGGAAGAGGAGGCAGCCCACTGTGAAGCGCGGATCTTGTAGGATGTCTCGGTCATCTTGGGAGTCGGGGTCGAAGTCTGTGAGGAGGATTTGGACTATTGGGGGTGGATCGACGGGGCGTCTGTCTCTATCGCCGGCACCGCAGGCTCTTGCTGCCATGGGTTGTTGGCGGACGTGGAGATGGTAGCGGGATTGTGTGGAGGGGCGTCGTGGAGGGGGTTCTGGTGATGATTCGGGTGCGTGGTGGAGGAGCTTGTCGAAGCCTCGGGGCATGCTATAGCTCGGGTTTCGAGGGGGCTGGCGTATTTCATGTTGGGCGCTGCTGCTGCTGGCGCTGCTTATTGGAGGTGGGCTGCTCACGAAGGCTGCTGGGCTCTTCTCGGAGTGAATTGGGCTAGCCATGGCCGTGGAGGTACTGCCATGACTGTAGAAAGGGTTTGAAAGAGTCAGCGCAAACTGTTCAAGGCTTTGTATACGTGACAAGCAGGGACTCCACGTGGCTATCCATGGCGGATTGAGGTGCTCGGTCGTCCTGAGAAAGCACACCGCACGAGGTCGGATGGGACTGACAGGTATAACGATGGGTGGTTCAATCGACAAGAATGGGAAGAAAGAAGGGACTTTACTGGGACTCCACGTCGTATGTCCGCAAGCGATGGCGAACATTATTGCCGCCATGGCTCAACATAGGACTCGATCGTTCTTCGTAAGAGGTAGGGCCAGGATACCCACGTGGATCAGCGACGGCGGGGCCATGGTGATGATGCTGATGATGAGGTTGCTGTATTCGCAATGGGAGCGCCTGTGGTAACGTCTGGTGGTTCATGAACCCATGATCTGACGACAGCATATATCTCGGGTCTGCATTTCTCTCAGATAAATGTCCCAATGATGGGATTCGATGGGGACCCGGTGGTGTGGTCAGCACAGGCCGTTCGTAGCCCAGATCCGGAGGGACGAAATGTCGAGGTTCATACTGCGGGTATGGCTGATGATATGCTAGAGGTATTTGTTGGCCTGGATGGTGTGAGCGAGACACAGAATCGATATGAGGCCTGTCGGGTGGTGTGGTGTGCCCACATTGCTGCGACGGGGTCCTCGACATCTAGTGACGGAATCGCGCTGGCGCCAGATGGCGGGCCGTGGCGCAGCTCTTATAGAAATGCCGTATCCGGACGTAAGCCTTTTTTTTTTATTTTGTTTTTCTCAGCCCTGGTTTATTTTTTTCAGCTGGGGGGCGTACTTACGCTGTGAATGCGACCCACGAAGCGGTCAGGTCAGCCACACCCACACGGAAGGGGAGGGGAACTCGATGTCTCAGATGTAGATTGTGGGGTTCGTTGGTATCTCGGTGGTTTATATATATATATTGCCCTTGTGCAGATGAGATAAGTGGGATTATCGCGTCAATCGATCTCTCGATGCATATCCTGGATCTGTTTGTGAGCAAGCAAGGCATCTGATAAACCGCATGTGGATATGCAGCCTGTCAAAGAAGCATCGCCATGGAGAGCAGATGGAGAGGTCCGGTAGCAGTGATGAGAGAGAAGATTGAAGAGAGTAGAGACCCGTTGATCGTGGGTGATACTCGTGTGTATTTTTTGGGTCGATTTGTGGATCGTCAAGTGGTTGGTTGACTCGATTCGCCTCTGCACCCAAATGTTTGGATAGCGAAATTCAGCATCAAGTTCTCAGAATGGTAGAAAAAACCGTCGACGCACATCGGATTTTCCCCCTACCCGGTCTCCCCGGCGGCCCAATCACTTCAAATACCGATGACAGGGGGGCCAGGTGGGAAAAATTGGGGATGGTGAGTGGATGTGGCAGATATTTGGAGTATTTTTTTTTCTGTTGGGAGGGTTATAATTTTGGTATCACAACCCTCCCATCTTCTGACTGGCGGGGAGCGAGTGCCAGTTGACGGAGGTCACAGAAGTGTGTCAGGTAGGTCCGGCTAGGTCAGGCTAGGGACCCAGTTTGTGGCTCCGTCGAGGACGATTGGCCCACCGCAAACCGCAATTAACAAGGGAGGAGCCGGGGAACGGGCCGAGCGGGCTTTACCACGAGCAAAAAAGAGGCGTGTGCGGGTTTTGCAGCAAAGTGGATTGGAAGGAGGATGGAGTAGTCGATATCACTGGACGAGGGCCCGAGGTCCTTTGCCAGGGTGGGTGCAACTGGTTAGCTGGTTGCTGGGAATAATGCCAGATCCAGTAGGGATCACTGGGGTGAGGCTGTTGGAAATCCGGCACTCATTCGTCCAATGGAGGCAGTTGGCACAGACTTGACGAACTGTTGAATGGTTCCTGACAGAAACTGTCGCCCGAGGAGGGACTTGTCTCCGCGTTTGGCGACACAAGAGACGGTCAAGGAGACTTTGAATTTGGAGCCGTTAGCGCTGCATTGTGAGAGTTGTGGGCTCCACCGTAACGGTCTCCTGGGACTCAAAATCCTAGACTATCACAGATGAGATTCGATAATCTGGAGATCGAGGTACATGTACATCAAAAAATGGACCGGCCTGTTACCTCAGCGGCGTTGTTTGTGGGATGCGATGCGCGAGTGAATTGGTTGTTGGGTGTTGTTGAGAGGAAGAATGAAGAGCGGTCGACGGGCAACGAGAGCATTCTCACCACTTCCGACCCTCGACAGACTCGACTACACAATGAATTCATTGCTCAATATAGTTGTATACTCTGGCTAGTATGCTAGTCAGTATCCCTACATGGCACAGGGACAATGGAGTGGCTGTGGCCAAAAGCCACAATCCAAAATACCGCGACCTCGGACTACTGCATGTAACTATGATTGTAGCTATCCTTGACACCACGAAATGACCCTGCGATATGCTTCGTTCAAAGAAAAGCTGTAAGGAAGGTTTTCGTCTTGTATGGCCTCGAATTGGGGAACTGCCAAGCAACAAGGACTTCACTAGGGGAAACTTGCAGAGTCGCAGTCGTTGACCCAGTCTGTGACCCATGGAACAGACCTAAACGGGCCCAAGAAATGTCGAGCCACCTAAACTTTAGGCTCCGCTTTATAGAGTGGACAATAAACATAATAACACATACGAAGACAAGACCAGACCACTCAACCCACGCGGAACTTCAATTCCGCAGAACTTCATAGGGAGGTCGATCGCATTTCCTGTAGATCGTCAAAGGGTCGTTGAACAAGAACCAGGAAAGGTATCTCATCTCGGGAGGCAAAACGGCCCTAGTGGACCAGTGGACCTGTGTCAGGCGTTCGCCTTCGAATCACGAACGCTGCTATGGGAACGATCCCTGGGGATGATTGGCGTGGAGCTGGAAGGCTTGGCAATCGTCCCCGATTGAGATCGTCTCCAACCCCACAAAGAGGATCTGGCACTGCATCAGTGGCGGTTGACTGTGAGAAGTGGGAATTCAATAGTCAAGTCCAGTCGCGGCTTTGTATGGGATATGGCGAGGGTGGTGCATGAATATGAATAAGGAAGGAGTCCGTACGAGAGCGGAGTTTGACAAGAGACCTGCGGGAAGTCAAACTCAGCACTAGTCCAGCGAAGTATCGAAGCAACAGGGAAGTTCCTAGGCAGGAAAAGAACAGCCCAATCCAATCCCCTCCTTCCTTAGCGGGCCACTAAAACACTAAAAACTGTCGGTAAGTCAAAACCCGTTGTGGTTTTCCAGGAATTCAAAGTGAAATTAGTGTTTCACGGCAGCACACTCCGGTCATCCCTCGCATGGCAGGGCTGGCAACGCATCGTCGCGAGGCGCCAGACTGGCTCGGGGATCATCGGCGTTGGTTGCGCGCGGTTACACAGGGTTGTGCGGCCGTGCATTCTCCATGGTTCGACGCAAATCATGAAATACGTGGTACGATCGCTTGTCAGATCTGATCGGCAAAAAAGGAGGCAGCCATCGTGGGCATTGGGCTCGGGAAACGAAACGCGGACCACTTTATATGCGCTGCTTTGCATCTAAATGGGTCGGATGGGTCCAAGCGCCCGAGGCAACGCAGGCAATCTCGTTAAAGGCTCGGATTTCTTATCGTCTCAGATTGGATACGCACTGCCTGAGGTGTCATCGGGACCTTGGAGGCTATAGTTCTCGGTAATCGTCCGTGATAGAACGCATTGGTTTTAGGCGAAGGAAGCTGTTGGCGTTCATGAGCCAAGGCATAAATATGCTCTGCTCCACAGGCTTGGGCATTGAAGCTCCATAGTGGGGATCAGTCCAAGGACTCGTGACAGCTCTCCATATTCGCACTGGCACTCCTCTCATCTCGTCGGCAAAATTGAGACTCGTGGAAACACTCGGTCAATCCTCGGTCAAGTCTCCACCACCCTTGCACTTAGAGCTCGCGTAGAGGTGACGTAAATTGGCGTCGCGATTGGGGTCAATGGCTAGACTCGGCAGGAGGGAGAAAAGGATTATGCAGTGAGTATGCACCCCCACAAGATCCGAGGAGCACGGTGGCATAGTAAATGAAAAAAGCATGAGGCTCGGATTACTCCTCCAAGACAGTGCTAACTTGCTTAGAAGCCTCAGTGTAAGTGGAGAGGAAAGCAGAGCCTTGCAGACGAGGCATCCACTACTACCTGCAGGACTACTGCACGACGAAAATCGCGGTGATGCAGTTGGGACTCAGGACTCGGAATTCCCTGAGACTAGAACTGGGGAAGACTGGACTGGACTAGAGCTGGAAATAAAATGATCTGCTGCGAAATCTGTAGCCGTCACCATGCAGCGAAGCACAATGTCATCGTCCAAACTTCAGCTCACAAGAGAAAAAGCCAGCAAACTTCCCTGAGTCGGGATACTTCATGCACGATCCTTCCAGGTGTCAAGTGTCAATTGTCTTGTCACTCTTAGTGTCGATCTTGCCCTTAGCTTTTGCATGGAGGCCCAGGACAATTCGGGAACCAAGCTGCGAGAGCGAGGCTTGGGTGGCTTAATGGCTTTGTGATAGGAAGCAGTTAGAAAGTGAGATCGGGTGGCGGGACGTTCCGACTTAGCCGGGATATATTTTCCAGAGACACACAGAGATGGGGTATGCTTTATACTCATCTAGAAGAATTGACGCCGATCAGGATGTTTACCGAGTAGAAATGGTGGGATTGATTGGGATGATGGGAAGTTCTCACCAGGAACACCCCGGCTGGGCGGCGACGTGGCCATCGGAATAAGGCCAGAAATCCAAGTCAAGTCAACTCTAATACATTACGCTTGTGATAGCTAGTGTACACTAGTTGAAGGCGACATACGGCCTACGAGGCTACGAGGCTACGAGTTGATCAAGAGCAGGTTGACCGAGAGGATATTCCTCTACATTTCACAATCACATTATACATGTGCTCGAAGGATTTACATGTGAGATCGACGGTCTGTCACGCCAGAGATCGCCAACGGTTCTTCCCTGTCTGAACATGAAAGTGGGTTTCGCAACAGACGCTATTGCATGCAAGACGAATTCTCGGGTCGCTCTAGCGAAATCCCAGATCGGGACTCGGATCGAGGTCCAGGTAGTACGATCTCGCGGGCATCCGGGAATGTCGATCTGAAGGCCAATGCTCGTTGCTCGACACTTGTGCTGGCCGAATGTGCACGATAGCTCCAAACGGGGCGTTTGGTGATGTTGGGCCACGGTCGATGATTCCAGAGCCTGCCCCCACGTATAGGGCGATCATTTCGCCAAATTGTCGATCCCAGGCTACGATATACCCTGACCGTAGCCATTCGTCTTCTGCTCCGAAGCGCATGTCCAGGGTACCCAGCTGTATCAAACGCAAGCATTTGTTGGTATCTTGGGGCACACCGTTGACTGCCGCACGAGCCCGGAGCAACCCTAGCGTGGCAGGTGTGCACTTGTCGGAACGGTCGTACAGGGCTGGAAGAGGAGTCTCAGAGAATTCGAGGGGCGAGTGTTCGGGGTTCCACTGGAACTCGACGGATGGGAAATGGGATTGGAAAAAGTCCTGCATTTCCTGATCAACAGGCCAGACGGCCACTCTTTGGGCGGTGCCATCTTGCTCATTCAGGACATCAACGATCTGCCGGAGATCGTTCCGCGACTTAGAGCAACCACGAGCTTGAACTTCAGACCAGAGTCGCACTGGATCCTCGTAGCCAGCGCAGTTGCCGTCGATGGTGAGCAAAGGCTGGTCTTTGAAGACTGTCCATGGAGAATCTGGAGTTATTCCAACATGGCCTTTGCCCTTCGCTGACCATTGAAGTTCCTCCCATCGGATACCTAGTCTGGATTCCATGTCCACGAGGCGTGATTCAAGGAGTTCTTCATAGTGACAGCCTTTAACCAAATCTGGAAGAGCTTCGCTGACCATCGGATCCTCGAGAAGAGTTTGCACGTTCCGAAGTGTCGCAATGTGTGGCAAGTTATCCTTGCTACGCTGCGAGATATCTTCCAAAAGCACCGCAGCTTCGTCGGACCGTCTGGAGCGGACAAGAGCTAGGACAACATTGTAGGCCAAGTGACATGCATCTTGACTCGTCCTGTCAAAATTGGCCATGTATTGTTTCCACGAGGTGATGAGGGCATCCCGACTGTGGAGCCTGGCGAGCACACAGAGATATGTCGCCCAGTTTCGTCGATCTTTATCCCGAGAACCATGTAGAATCTCATGTAATGTTGGATGCTCTCGAGGAGCCTGCTCTCCCTCACCAGTGAGACTGGCAAGGATGTATCTCGTATCGTAGTTTGGTCTTTCAAAGAGCACAGATTCTATCGACTCGAATAGCGCGTTGATGACAGAGCCAGCGTTGGCAAAGCTTAATGGAGGGGCAAAAGATTCCTGGCGATCGTGCAAGAAGCTCTGGAAAGCAGGCATTGAAAGATCGAGCGCAGCATACTGAAGACCATGATCAGTACCCAGTCGAGGCAACTCGAGACGAATCAGTCGTGTAGTGATATCTCCCAGTGCCGAAACGAGCTCGGAATATGTGTTGTTCTCTTCACACCGTCGTACGACCCCAGTAGCGTTAAAGTAAGAGTGAAGCAACTTCGCACCCTGCTTGTCTACAGCCAGTCTCTCAATAACGGTTCTTAGAGATGATATATCATTGACCGAATGAAGACGCTTTGCTTCTTCTTTTCGAGTTGTGGGGTGCACTCCCTTGAGGGCACACCATAAGGCCGGGGGTGGATTGCCCGACACCCACTCTGCATCGATGAGAGATAGAATTCGTTCTCGCAAGAGTGAATCACTCTTCGTCTCAGAACTGAGAGGATTGGAGCTCGTGAGAGTAAATCGGAGTAATTGCGAAGGCGATGGGTCCTCCATCGGAGGATCAGTGTCTAGAGTGACGGACGAGTACCCGCGTGTAGATACTCTCCTGGACGCATGACATGATAATTGTCGCTTGAATCTCAAGAGAGTCCGTGATGACGGGCTCCCCATCTTGGGCAACGAGTCAACACGAATGCTCTGAGTAAATGCGGAGAGGCCACGACCCACGAGTGGAGATGCCCGAAGATAAACAACAATAGATAAGGGGCCGCTAGTCCGGGGTGGCAGATTTGGGCGGTGCCAACGGGCGGTGAATTTGATGTCATCTCGTCGCCAGACTCTGCGGTTGAACATCCACTCTAACACTTTCAACACCTACACTAGTCGAAGCAGCCTCGCTGGGTTGCCATCGCACTTTGATAACTATGCCTCAGACACCACCGGATTCCACCTCCGCGGAGGATAAGCCGAATGTTGGGCAACCTGAACAGGCTGAGGCCGCGCCAGAAGAAACCTCGAGCTCATCAGAGGCACCTGCGGAAAGCAAAGAAAATGACGCTGCTGCTAAAGCACGGGAGAGGATGGAAAGATTCAAGGCCCTCAAAGCCCGGGCTGTGAGTTTAATTTGTCTCCAGGGGTCCGAGCTCTAGATCTCACCCGCCTCCCACTATCAATAACCATACTAACCTCTCGCGTATAGAAATCCGGCACAGAGCGCAACCTAAAAGAAACAGCCGCAGAGACCCAACGCCTAGCTACCGACCCTGGACTGCTAAATTCGATCTCCCGCAAGCACGCCTTCGCCTCTCACAATCTACTCAAAGCAGACACTGAAGCGGCCGGTGAAGATTTCGAACGGAAGCGCGCCTGGGACTGGACCATTGATGAGTCGGAGAAGTGGGACCGACGCATGGAGAAGAAACAGCGCCACCGCGACGATGTCGCATTCCAGGACTACACGCAAGATGCCCGTAAGGTGTACGAGAGACAGCTGCGCGAGCTTGCACCGGACCTCGAAGCATATGAGAAGGAGAAGCTTGCCGCTATCGAGAAGGCAGCTGCCAATGGCGATCTGGAAATTGTTGAGACGGAAGATGGCGAAATGATTGCGATCGACAAGAATGGCAGCTTCTACTCGACAGCGGACAGCGTGGGTTTTGCTGACAACAAGCCCAGTCGCGCTAATGTGGACAAGCTGGTGAATGATCTCCGGAAGGCGGAGGAGGTTCGCCTGAAGAAGCGCAAGGAGCGTCATGGAGACGAGGAGGCCGATGTGACATACATCAACGAGAAGAACAAGCAGTTCAACCAGAAGCTGGCTCGGTTCTACAACAAGGTATTTATTACAGTCGCCTTGGACATCTCAATAGCTCACGTTACTAACTCTTTTCAGTACACAACCGAGATTCGGGACAGCTTCGAGCGTGGTACAATGATCTAATGCGAAATGACAAAAGCAATATAATACATGTGGTGGAGATTTGGGAGCCATGCCTGGTGCATGACAACTCGTTCACCGATAGGGATTTTTTGCGTTGCTATGTGATCCCCACACACGAGGTCTCTCCTAGCACGATGGTCAAGGAGGTGCAACCAATGAACCCTGCGTTTCATGTTCCTAGAGCATCGTCTTCCTCCAGGCCTTCGTGGCTAACTGCTCAATCTGCTTCGTTCCAACGGGTCCTCTCGTTGACTCATCCTCCAATGCCTCGACCACTGCCTCGCCAACCACGTCAACTTTCAGCGGCTTCTCGGCCGCGGCTCCGAGGAAACCAAGTTTGTTCCCGAGGAAAGTATTCAACTCGGAGGCGACAAAGCCACCGAGAGCGATTGGCAATGTAAACTTTCTGCTCGAGTCGTACATGAAGCCCGGTCGCATAAAGATACTCCGCAGCTCGGGTAGCGAAGATGAGATGGTGGCCTCGGCTTCACGTTTGGTGGTGATGTACCGGGCTGGCAGCATGGGCGCCCCAGCTGCAGCAGAGATGTACACGAAAGCTGGGACATGCTCGTTTGAAGATTCTTGGGCAAGCGCAATAGCTGTATTAGAAGTTAGCCTCAGCATGCAAGAAAATCCATAGCCTCCAGCTTCAAAGCCTGAGTATAACACCAATTAACCTACCTGAGTCCCTGTTCATCAATTCATAAGTCAATTGACCATCCCTCTCCTTGGGCTCGAGAGCCTCGCCCTCTTTCCTTAGTAGTGGATTCTGGCTTCCCAGTTTGGACGTGCTGAATGCTCGTTGCAGACCACCGACGAGCGGTTCGCGCCCTTGTACAACACCCTTGTAGTCGGCCTCGAGAAGGATACCCATCGTATGAACGACAGCCGATGCCCCGCTCAGGAATGGCTTATAAGTTTCCGGCTTGAGGATATCGGCCTTGGCCCATTCGACCGAGCTTGCCCAGCTTGGCCGCTCCGGGGAGCTTGTGACGGTGTCCCAGCGCGGCTCTCCAGATCGGCTAGAGGGATCTTAGCACATGTGCAACTAGAAGTGGCCTTTGACTCGAGTCTGGAGGCTAGAGGAAGGGTTGAGGACATACCTTAGCGATGTCACTTCCCAACCCCGAGCAGCAGCCGCTCTGCAAATCCGGGATCCTGTAGTGTCAAGTTAGCGCTCAGTCCGTCGGCCCATATGCATCTGGAGTGTGCTAAGTCTAGCGAACCCCAAAAAACCGCTTCCTCCAGCAACAACAAGTCTCTTAGCAGCCATGATGTATGTATTATTGCGATTGCGTTAGAGAAACAAAATTTTGATTGCGACGCAATTCTACCTGGGAGGCAAAGAATCGCGATCGATCGATCGACCAAGCTCCCAAGATTCAAGCTGTTTGTAGCTCCGGCATGCCGTCACCATGTCACGTGCACCGCTCTTTCTTTTTCCATGCCGCGCCATTTGGACCATCGTCCGCCCTGCGCGACTCGCCTTCCTACCAAATCCACCACACACATCCCCAAGCTGTCACCATGCCATCTGCAACGGGTAACAAGCGCGTCAAAGTCAGTTTCCATACCTGCAGGGCCATCCTCGTACACCCAGACTAACAAACCCATCTACAGGCCGTCTCCGTCTTCCGCCCATTCATCTTCGGCAGCGAAGCGCAACCCTTCGACCCCGAAAAGCGACCCGCCAACGCCCCCGTCGACCACACCCACCAATGGCGCGTCTTCGTCAAAGGCATCAACGACGAAGATATCTCCTACTGGCTGAAAAAAGTCCAATTCAAGCTCCACGAGACCTACCCGCAAGCCGTCCGCACCGTCGAAACACCCCCTTCGAAGTCGTCGAGACCGGCTGGGGTGAATTCGAGATCCAAATCAAGCTCTACTTCACCCCCGAATCAGGCGAAAAGCCCCAAACCCTCTGGCACAGTCTGAAATTGCACCCTTACGGACCGGATGCGGAGGGCATGAAGGAGCGGCGCGAGGTGGTTATCAGCCAAAACTATGAGGAGGTTATTTTTAATGAACCTGTTGAGCCGTTCTATGATTTGATGACGGGTGGGTTGCCGGCTGGAGCGCCGCCGGTGCCGAGGGGGAAGGGCAAGAATGCGAAACAGGTGGGGAGGACGGCGGAGATTCCGTTGAGTGATTCGCCGAAGAATCCGTATAGTCGGGCGACGGAGGGGAAGGAATTGGATCGGATGTCGGAGGCGATTAAGACGGTTGATCAGATGATTAAGGAGGAGAAGGAGAAGTTGGTTGAGCGGGAGAAGTATTTGGCGGAGCTTAGGGAGAGTGAGGGTGTGCCTGCTACTACGAAGAAGAGGTGATCGCATCTGTCTTGCATGAGAAGGGATACTCTTTATCGGGTTACTCCATACTGTGACGTCGACCTATACGCCGCTACGCACCTGCCTCAAACCCCTTCCCGACCACCCTGTGATCCGCGGATCTCTCGAAGCTTTTCAGCAACAACCCGCCTCCTCGACATGGAGTACGCTACAGATTGCCCTCCATGCGATCCTCAGTCATAAGAAGCTATGGACGATTACAGTGAGACTAGGTCTTGGCTCACGCCATCGTCGCACCGGCCTCTTTCTCTCAGATTATTATCGACCCCAACTTTCCGTCCGGAAACACACATTCCCATATCACAGATCCTTGCAGACGGCTGCCATTGACGCGCCAAGACCTGGGGACATCTTGAGGACCGTGCTCTACAGAGAGAGAGGGGCGGAGCCACGGAGGGAATGCAGGTATGACGCATCTGGGCAACGATAGCATGGCGAAGCAAATTGAAACCACATACTGTTTTGCCTATCAATTCAAAGATATCGAAACTTGATACGTTCCCTGATTTTCTAAACATAGCCCTCCAATTAATCCATTGCTGTACATCTATTGACGCCCGAGACCGATAACCCTGCATATCATCTTTAATTCCATAGTATATAGTAGTAGATCGACTACGTGAGTATGGGCCCATATTATTCCCTCTGCCATACTCCCTCAACCACCACTCGATTGAGTCATCGGCAATGTACAGTGACTAACTAAGTAACTAACTAACTAACTAACTAACTAAAGTTAACTAACTTAGTTAACTAGTTAACTGTAGTGCTGACTCCTGTCTAGTTCGGCCCCCAAATCTGCCCCATTTTAGCGCAGATTCCAACCTTTGAGTGCAGATATTTCGCGCCAGACTGCAGGGACTATATTTTGGCCCCTTATTCAGTCATTCAGCCACTCAAGCATCCCCACATCATGAGCGCCGAGAATTGTTCAATCATCAGGGCCAAGGCATTCAAGCCGAAACAGTGGTGATGAGACAAGGCACAAAGAGGCAGCCAGCGCCCTGTCTACTATACACTATACATATATCCACGATTCCGTACATATACTCCGTGAAAAGAATTAGGTAATATCGCATGCGCCCTAGACTTCAGTATCGAAACTAGTACAAGTACCGTAGCATTTATATGTATCATGCCAAGCCGAATGTGCTGAGAACCGAGGGACACTAAGAACCTGCGAGGCTGACTCGCTCCCGGCTCGTTGGCTGACTTCGGGTTGTCTAACTTGTTCCAGTGGTTAGTGTGAGTGGGGAATTTTCCAGAGCTTGCGGCTCAAACCGATAAGCCCTTCTAAGCCAATGAAGTTTGAAAAGCACGCCCCTAGTCTCTATCAAGTCTGGGTCTCCGGGGGCTATAAAAGAGGCGTTGATCTCTCTCAGTCTCGGTTCCTTTTTTTTTTGCAGCTTGCTTTTTTCTCTTGTGTGTACTGTACATTCCACTTCTTCACACGTACATACATCCATTCAAAACCATACTCGATCGAACATTCAAGCATCGCATTCGCATTCGCATTCGCGCATTCATCAAATTCCATACCTTCAAAATGCATTTCACCACCACCATCCTCACTCTCCTCCCCACCCTAGCCCTCGCAGCCTCAACTGCCACCACAATCACAACAGCCCCCTCCTCCACACCAACCTCTTCCACCTCCTCAGACCCCTCAACAACAGTAATCAGCTACTTCGGCGCCAGCTACACCTTCTCGGACATCCCAGTCCGCACCTCCACCAGCTATGCCGCCAGCGTAATTTCCATCAACGCCCTCGCAACAACCTATCAAATAAACTGTCTCCCCTCCGCCCACACCACCGACTGCACCCTCGCCACGCCCCTCACTCTAATCGCAGGCCCCAACACTTTCAGCTTCAAGGAGCCATTCACCGTCAGCGTCGAAGTGGCCGGCGTCACTGTGACCGAAAAGGGTGTTGAGGATATGGCTTGTTCGTTTACGCATTCCACCGAGTCGGCGACTTGTACGCTGAAGTTTGATTTGACTGCGTCCGGCGCGGGAAAGACGACTTCTACTAGTGTTAAGACGACGACGGCGGTGGCCAGTGATCAGGTGCTGTATCAGACTTTGACTGTTACCGGGGGACTGGCGAGTTTTACGGCGCCCGCCGCGACGCAGACTCCGACGGGTAATGGGGGTGTGCAGGGGGTGAGGGCTATGGTTACTGGTGTGCCGTTGGGGGCGGCTGCTGTTGCGGTTGCGGTTTTGTTGTAAGAGGGGGGATTTTAGTGTGATGTTTGGGTTATTTCAGGCTACCTGGTGATTTTTACGATGATGTTTATGTTTTATTTTCATGGCTGTGTTTAATATCTTTTTGCATTTCGAGGATACCCCGAGGTCCGAGGTTTGCGGATCATCTTCTGTACAAGGATTGTATTTTCGCACATAATTAGATACTACTACACCATTACAGTGGATCATCGGGCATACAAGTAGAGTAAAAAATGAATTTCCAAGAAGTTAGCATTGTAATAGTGACCGAGAACTGCCTCGCTCTATCCGAGAGAAGACACAATCATTATTTGAAATGACTCATTACGCCAAAACACTCTATCGCACCGCCATGTACCGAGATAAACAGAGAGAGGAAAAGTAAAAAACAAAGAAAGAAAGTCCCATCTAGCAAGTAGCAGACTTGGTCGCATCACGAGTCTGCTTCAAGAACGGAATCAAGCTCGTACCACCAGTTCCATACAATCCCGTAGGATTTGTCTCGCTCAGACCCTTAATCTGAGCGCTGGCGGTAGCCAGGTTGACCTTGTCTGCAGTACGCTGATCGACAGGTACATTGCTGCGAGCTGGCATGATGATATACCGCGAGACAATCTGGATATGAGCGTCGCGGAAAGAGCTCAGCGTCAAGACGGCAGCATTATATGCCTCCTTCAGAGGGGACTCTGCCTGCGAGGAAGTCACGTAGGACCGGATATTTGAGAGAGCGGAGAGTGTCTCCAGGAAGCGTTTATGCGGGGCGGGCATGTAGTTTCTCATGTCCTGCTTGAGTTAGTTTGTTTGTTCTTGATCGCTATTGTTTCGGAGGTGTTTTATCTTACCTGGATATAACTCGTCCCCGAAGACTTCATACTCGTACCCCCCGTCGCAGAATGACTAACCCCAAGGAAAATATCAAAAGTTTGAATCAGCGAGCTCTGCGCATTACTCCCACCACTATACTGGTGCCACTCGCCCTGGCCAGCACCAAGATCATAGAACACACCATGCGGCAAGCCAGCCGCAGCCATATTCTTACTTCCTGCCAAAAACGGCCGCAACTGGTGGAAGAAAACATATGGGTCGTTCTTCTCATACATCCGCTTCAGCGTGCCAGTCAAGTCTTGCAGACCGTCTGTGAATCGACAAAGCAGCGCTGTCAGACGGGGTGCGTCGTTAGCTGTGGCGGCGGCGATGGCATCGAGCATTAGCGGGACGAGCCGGGCACCCTTGGCTTCGATGGCGACGGAGATGACCATGAACCATTCTTCGTCTTTGGTGCCGGTGAAGGAGGTCAGGACGGAGAGGTGGTCTGGTTCTGTGAGGTCGAGTTCGGGGACGGTGGTGTAGTTCCATAGCGTTAGAGCTGCGTAGGTTGCGCAGGGAGGGAGCTCGAGGTGTTTGGAGATCTCGAGGAAGGGCTTTGCTATGCAGGGTGGGAGGACCTTGATATGAAATGGTCAGCATATTAGTGTACACATGACAGTGATTCCATATGGGAGCAGTGTAATATGAGAGGAAAGGAAACTGGCAAGAACGACTTACATCCTTAGGCTTCTCGCCTCCCCAGATATAAGCGTGCGAGAAGAATCCCAAAATCGAGTATGCACGACGCCACTCAGACTCTGTTTCCAACCACTTCGTTGTGAGAACAGGCAAGGCATCAATCAGATGTCTGATCTGGCCAGTCTGAATCAGATCTGGCAACCGGACGGCGATGTTCTCCCAGGGAGCGTAGTAACCATTCGGCAGTCTCTGTAAGGGAAGACCCGTGGGAAGGAAACCATGGGCTGGAGAGACGGCATAATCGTCAAGATTGATCTCTGGCGAGGGAATCATGGTGGATAATTTTTTATTCTCGCAAGTTCCAGTCAAAGGAAGGGGATGATGGATGAAGGAGAGATGCAGTTAAGGATGGATGGTCAGTGGAAGTGGTCAAGTTGGAAAGTACGACCAGGAAACTTGGAATTGAGTAGAAATTGGTACCAAGACAAACTTCTGGTCTCATATAAGGGTAAATTGACCACGATAAGCATAATACCACGCCATTATAGATCTTGGATTCCATCCGGCTTGCATCGGGTGTTGCAACTATATGGGCCGGATAACAGGCGGATGGCTATCCGTGTTCCGTCTCTACGAGAATGTTGCACTTGTCCCACTCAAGAAGATAATTTATTATGGTAGGTGATTAGCTATTCCAGGAACCAGGAACTTAGATTGAAGCTATAGAAGTAAAAAGAACTTGGTACTATCATAGGTCAGACTTAACGAACTATCCAACTATATGTACCTGTGCGGATGACTCGAGAGAAAAAGCAACACTTCGAAGGTTCATGCACTGATACACCATACACTTCATCCTTGTGCAACGTGCATCAGAATAGCGTTCATCGCCAATCACTAGCCACATCCACCTCAACGTGCAGAACCTGTCACAAATTTACATTCAGACTAATTCAAACCCACGCAATTCCCATCCCTGCTAGCGATTGAGTAACAAAAACCCAGATTGCAACGATAACTACCTCCTACCAGACATCATTCAACGGAGAGCCCCGCCTATCACCGCAAGAATGTGGGGACGGATCAACGAGGCGGATACGGATACAACATCCGGATGTCCTCCTCCCTCGTCTCCGATTTGATTAGACAGAGAAAGAATTATAAAATGGACCTCGAGCGGGCGCGTCTTATCTGCATTATTCTTGGCCAATTCCCCTCTCGACTTATTCACCGCCATTAATTAGGTTGTGTGTTGCCAACGTCGTCCAGACTTTCCCTCCTTCCCCCTCCCATCTACACTCCATACCTACCCTCCTACATTAAACATGACAAACGCCAACGGTCTCAACGGTGTCAAGGCACCTAAGCCTACATTCCCCGCCGAGGCTGCGACGAGGGAGTACGCCGCGTCCCTGGATAAGGCTGATCCTCTGCGCGCTCTCCGCGATGAGTTCATTATTCCCTCCAAGGCCAATGTGAACACCAAGAAGCTAGCCAAGCCAGGTACGAGCAAGGAAGCGTGTGAATTGCGATTTCATTGGTGCGCACTGATTTCTGACTTTGTAATGATAGGTCTTTCTTCCGAGTCCAGTATTTACTTCTGTGGTAACTCGCTGGGCATTCAGCCCAAGGCGACGGCCAAGTATATGGAAGCTCAACTAGACACTTGGGCTTCCATTGGTGTCTCTGGCCATTTCACCAAGATGGAAGATTCCCCACTATCACAGTGGCAGTTGCTCTCTGAGCAAGCTTCGGGTTCCATGTGCAAGATTGTTGGCGCTTCGCCAGAAGAGGTTGCTGCCATGGGTACATTGACCATGAATCTGCACCTGCTACTTGCCAGTTTCTACAAGCCAACGGAAACCAAGACAAGGATCTTGATGGACTGGAAGGCCTTCCCCAGTGACCACGTAAGTCAAAATGAGAAAAAAGCAATTCTCAAGCAAGCAGCTGATTTGGTACATAGTACGCTATTGAATCACACATTGCCTGGCACGGCCTAGATGCCAAGGAGAACATGGTCCTCATCGGGCCAGATGAGGGCACATACGAGATCTCCACAGAGAAGATTCTCTCATACATCGACCAGCATGTCGATGATGCCGCTGTTCTTCTACTTCCTGGTGTCCAGTACTATACCGGCCAGCTCTTCGACATTCCCACCATCACCAAGTATGCGCAGGACCGCGGCCTGGTCGTGGGCTGGGATCTGGCACACGCCTACGGCAACGTCGATCTCAAGCTTCACGACTGGAACGTCGATTTCGCCGCCTGGTGCACATACAAGTACGGCAACGCCGGACCCGGCGCCATGGGCGGTCTATTCGTGCACGAGCGCCACGGCAAAGTCGACTACAGCGAGGGCGAGGACTCGCCCAAGTTCCGCCACCGATTGACAGGCTGGTACGGCGGGGACCGCTCAGTGCGATTCAAGATGGACAATAGTACGTCAACGACCACCCCAGAAAACCCATTCTAATAGCACTTAACCCACTAACACAATCCAGAATTCAAACCCATCCCCGGCGCAAACGGCTTCGTCATCTCCAACCCCTCCGTAATCGACCTAACAACCCTCTGCGCCTCCCTCTCCGTCTTCGACAAAACCAGCATGACAGACCTCCGCCAAAAGTCCTTCAAACTAACCGCATACCTGGAGTACCTCCTTCTCAAGGATAGCACCGATGCAGACCGCCAGTTCAGCATTATCACCCCGTCTGACCCGCACGCCCGTGGCGCCCAGCTGAGTCTGCTCCTCAAGCCGGGTCTATTGCATAAGGTGGCGCAGAAGCTGCAGGATGCAGGTATTATTTGTGATAAGCGGGAGCCTGATGTTGTCCGCGTGGCGCCAGTGCCGTTGTATAATACTTTTGAGGAGGTGTTTACGTTTGTGGAGGTTTTTAAGAGTGCTTTGGTTAAGTAAAGACTGGATCGGAATCTTGGGAGGGGATGAGATATATATAATATGATGGATATACCTTAGGTGAAAATAGCATACTAGAATAGCATCTCTTGAACAAGATTGATTCTTGGGTACATATGCAATAAGGTGGTATAGGCTGAGCATAGCAAAAAGCAAAAAAGCTATATACCTGGGCACAGGTGAATTGATAGCGCCACAGTGCATAAGCATTGCATTATTGAAATTTTGAGATTTACAGTAATAACAGGATGTTCACTATGCATCACACAGAGATAAGATTGATCTGGTAATTGAAATACGCGTGGCACTATTGGGCGCCACGTTGCAGATATCAGCTCATCTGTGGCCAGGGAGTGTAGTACGACAATCTTATGTCTCACATAGTGCCAACACATCAAGATACATCCACTGACAATCCTAAAAATTCCCAATATTAGTCCAAGTATCCCCACCCCTCAAAAACTCCTGCCCCTGCGAGAAAAAGTTCGTCGCCAGAATCGAAAAATCATCATTCGTCAACGTAAGCTGCTGGGGCGAAACCAACGAATTCCCCGAATACTCCGCAAACCCACCCTCATTACCATTACCCGCAAAGCCTCCGGCCGGCGACTGTAAACTAGCCGGTCTCTCTTCACCAATGCGAGTCGGCGCAGGTAAAGGCGACGTCTGCGAGACTTCTGGGTTTGCAGTTGAGGGACCTGCGTAGAGTGAGTCGCCGAAAAGACGGCGGGCGGAATCGGCGTCGCTATTTGATGAGTATTCTAGGATTTCCCAGAATCGGGATAGGTCGATTAGGAGGCTTTGGTTTTGGGCGTTTGGGTCGGATTGGTAGGTTGCTGAGACTGCGTCTTCGAGGTGTTGGAGTCTTTGTGCGAGGCGGGCCATGTGAGGCCATTGTTCACCGATTTGTTGGACGAATTTGACGCATTTGGTGAAGCGGTCGCGCTTTTGGTCGCGGATTGTTGGGTTTTCTGTGAAACTGAGCTGGAGTTCGATGGTTGCTACGACGGCGGCGCTGTATCCTAGTAAAGGGTCTGAGACGAAGAAGGTCTTTTCTTCGAAGTAGTTGATAAAATGGATGATCCAGGTGGTGTGGGAGGAGATCAAGTCGGATGTATGCTGGAGGAAGATCTCGGGGATTGTACTTCGGAACGTGCGTAGACTGAGCGATAGGAGGAGTGGGTGGTTGAGCAGACAAAGCATGGTGTGGTACATGAATTGATTCAGAAACCAGGGTCCCCAGTACTCGCGATGAGCTTGGAGTTCTTCTCGAGATCTATCACTGAGATTGGCCGGTTTGAAGCGATGCGTGAGAGGCATCTTCGTCTCCAGGTCCATCTGCAGAGCGATGATCTTTGAGTACTCTGAGTGCGGAGACCAGGGGGGTACATTGCTTGGTCGTCCACGAAGCCGGACATATCGGGCCGTCCGTGCAAAGGCCTCGCTCAGCATGATGACATAGGCGAGGATGCCTTGGTCTTGGATATCACTTCTCCGTGTATCCGGGGGTGTGGGACCTGGGGAGAGCATTCGCGCGGGTCGTGATAGACTTTGCGGGTAGGCTGGGCCTCCTCCGTCGGGAATATCGATCGTGAAGTCGCCGCCATGTAGTCTTTTCAGCAGACATATGCTCCAAAAGCAGCGTCTGCGTTCCTCTCGCTGGATACTACTCAGCGGTGAACGGGGCTCTAGCCCGAGATTTGCGCACTGGGCGAGGTTCATGGCAAGACTGCTGTGGATGCTAGAGCGATGCGTATTGCCGTCTGGGTTTTATTAGCAAATCCGGTTCCATACATTCAGGAAGGATACATACTCGTAAAGTCAACCAAGCTCAATAGACAAAGGCATTGGAGAGTCGAGACCTCTACTGGGCCTTCGGAAACTCGTTTCATGACCAGCCCACGTGCCACTTCAGCATAGCTGTTGACCTGTTCGGAGAGGGCATGGACATTGCGGTGCGAATTAGAGAACCGCAGACTCAAGGCTAAGACGGCGTAAATGATTTCGATATCCCTTGTTTGAATGCTGCCGATAAAGCTGCTTCTATGAAACAGGGGTAGAGGTTGGGACTCGCAATACAACAAGTACAGCTCCGCCAGAGGAACAATTTCATCCCAAGGAGGTAAAATCACGGATGCACTTGAGCGAGCGGCAGTAGTTCCACTAGGCAGTTGACTGGTACCCGCCACCGGTAGGTTTCCTCTGGAACTGACACTGGCTGAAGTCAGTACATCGTACTCCTCATCGATGGACAGGGGGGTCATACCCGAGATGATCAATGACAACTCCCAGCTTTCCTTCCAAGCTCCGCAATCGATCTTCCTATCAGAAACGAGTATTAGTACAAGCGATCTCCTCGACATTTGGAGATACCCACCAAGGTCTGAGGAGTTGCCTGGCCAGATAGATTAGGCCGTGCAGGCTCCTCTGAAGCTTGTAGCCGACGCCTTTCCTCTGCATAGATGCATTCCTGCCGTAGTCTAGCACACAGTGAGCAGACCGGTTGCTCTCCGGGGCATTTGGCCTTCTTGCGTCTAGAATCATGGTTATACGCGAGTCTCGCGATGAGGGTTATCTTGTTATGATACTTACCTGCATGGTTCGCAAGCCTGTCGGACCCTTTTCGCAGGTCTTTCTGAAAGTGATGAGTCGTTGTGCTCCATGTTAAGTGGGGTCTTTCTAGTGCATTACATGCATGGTTGTGGAAACCGGGTAGGCTGCTCGAGATAAGTTGTTGAGAGCGGATATTTATATCACCAAACCGGATAAGTCAGGATTGTGCATATCGGGTATATGCCGCAAGAAGATCCTTGACAGGCAACAAATTTAAAACATAACCGGGCTTTACCCGTTGCGTCTCGGGTTAGCCTGGAACAAGCTCGATATGAGTTGTTTGGCTCGAGCATGCCATGGGAAATGTTGGCCCTTTATGTGGCTGACTAAGCTGTATCAACTGCCCCGAGCTACCTAACTATTGGCCTGATATAGACCCCAGGAAGTATGCAAATGTCAAATATGGAATGAATTGGTAGATGTGATGTTCATTGTAAGAGTCATGCTTGGAATCTAGCTGGAGCACTTTAGACCTTACTCTACAGGAGATCTCCTGTAATAAAGACTCCCTGGCCAAGTGCCTAACTGGATTAGGTAGTGGATGACGAGGGTGGGATGATCAAAGAAATGTTTTGCTTTTAATAGTGCCTCTCCGGATGTTTGGCCTGGGGGATAAGCGTGTTTTCCGTATAGCTTTTGGCAGAGGCACTAGTCTCACAACCTGCGAGACTTGAATCGACCACTTGTCTCTAAGGTTATCCCAACCTGATATCGGCTGTCATGCTGGCTAGGAATGATCGTCTTATGAGATTGGCGGCAAAAGTGAAAGGCAACAGTACTTTGAATTGGTGCTTGAATCGGTTTATGTACAGCCCCAAATCTTCAGTTTGCCCGCAAATTCCATCTAATCCACTGGAGTAGAAATACACCGCCAATATCGAGTCAATCCCAATATTGCATCTTCAACTACCAAGCAACCAAGTCGAAAGAAGGGTTGGTGTTATTTATTTGTCACCGAACCAGGTCTTCTTGCCCTGTTAATTAAATGAGTTAGTATGTGAAACGGAATTGCCGAGTATGCGTTGCTATGCTCGCGTTGGAGGGAGCGGGAGGAGGTAGAGGGTAGACTAACGAAGACCATGCGGCACATGGCGTAGGTGGTGGCTATTATCGAGTTAGTCTGTAGGTCCGCAACATTTCCTGAATTCGAGATGTTGCACTCACCAGCACCGAGGCCGTAGACGGAAATGAGGTAGGGGTACATGATGTAACTGCTACGGGAGGTCTGTCGAATAAAAACTCAAGTCAGAGAATTGCCAATGGTTTGCTTCGAGAACGCTATATTCGGATCAAACCCACCTTCCACCATTGACGCTTGCCGTCGTGGTTCTGGAACAGACGCTGGTAGTAGGGGACACGGTTCTCGCGGAACACGAAACTATAGAAGATAAATGCCAGTCAGTATATATCACAGGTGCAGCAGTGACAGGCAATGCCCAAAGCAGTATCAATTGCAATGGCAATTGACGCAATCGCAACCAGCACCCCCAAGAACTGCGAATCGAATTTCGGCCGGGCTCGGGCGCGACCACGGGGGAGTGAAGGTAGCTGAGAAGTATTGGAATCTACGTACCCGGCCATGCGAGGCGCAGTGCGGAACATTTTGGCGGTTGGAAGCACGAAGCGAGGTTTGGGTGGGAGGAGAGATTGGCAATGGCACGATGTCGTGAGGTTCGGGAGAGCTGCAATTGAGGGTCATGTGACTTCCCTCTTTCTTCCGCCCACTCAGAAGGTCGGCTTAGTAAGGAAAGCGCTGCTGAGTCAGGATCCCCAAAAGGGGAAAGCGTCATCGGCGGCTTTTGGCGCGGAAGATGCAAGCTTGGCTGTTTGGTCCTCGCTGGTCTTTAATTCTCACAATCGAGAGAGAAGGATGGTGGACAAGCATTTCGTTGCCATCCTTCCCTGCACGACCAATGCGACCGGCTCTTCTTCGACTCCTGAAGAGGCCGTCTGCCATCTCGGTTCTCGACACCCTCGCCGCAACGCCTACCGGAATTGAGCAGTTGGACTCAAGATACGCGCGCCTACGATGTCAATCGCGATGTGCTCATCAAGAGGCACTAGACGATAACCCGGGGAGTGGCTCTGCGGTGCAGGGAGTTGAAACTCAAAAGCAGACCGCTGGCGAGAGGCGGCCCTTCAATTTTCCTATCTATGAGATTGAACCCTTGGAGACAGATCGATATCCAACTTCCTCGTCCCCTACGAAACGAACAAGCGAGAAAGACTATTCAAAATGCCCGATCAAATCCCTACGGTTACAGCCGGAGAGACTCCAATTCGAGTCCGACGTCGGCCACTGCGATGATATTGGAACGCGCCTGGTCGATCGTGCAGAGAATATGAATAATTTCGAGCTTTGGGAGGAACTTTTGAAGTTCCGCCAACGACATTACGGCGACAAAGGAACGCAAGACATCTGGGAAGGGCTGACAGTTCGCCTGCCTGGGATTAAGTTACCTGTGACTGGAGATCAGGCCGACTTCTTCTGGCAAAGCTTCGTGAAATTGGGCTTGAGACGAGATCTTTTTCTGATCGACGTGATGGAATATGCGATGGATTTACACAGACGAGAAGGTCGATCTTGGCCACAGCTCTATGAAAGTGTCGTGGGTGGGCTTCTCGATCGAGGATTGACAAAGCGAGCCTTACGATGGAACAAAAAATTCCAAGCATGCGGCTTGGCCTCTCCGAACGATGTGCTGCAAGTCCTCCTTCCCGTCATTCGTCCCACATCCTTAGTGGAAAGAGCCCACGACTGGCATCATGTCAAAGCCGTAAGACCACCCCTGCTTTTACGGACCTTTCGACTTTTGTGTCGCTCGGCCGAAGGCCACCAGATATATGGGCCAGTCATGTCGACATTAATTGAACAAGGCTACGGAGAGGGAGCGATTTCCATCCATCCGTTTCTGGTCGCACGCAATGATCACCCGAAATCGCTCAGCGAGATTCAACCTCTTTTGGATTATGCCCGAATGTATGGATTCTGGGACGAAAACAAGAAACTTCAGGCATATGCCAAGAAACGATTCGACACCTCTTCAGAGACGCTCGATGATGTTTCTGAGAAGTTAAAGCAGGGTGTGCCAGATGGTACACCGTTCAAAGATGACATCGGCGCTAGATTGCTTGCTACTCGCGCCTTAAACTTCGATATGGTTCTTGGTGGCCTGAAGATGCTTGGCGTATCAGCAATTGGCCCAAGGAGCTTACGCGAGTTGGCTGTCCGAGCGCACGGGAGTCAGGATATCCTGGACAAAATCAAGACTCTCCGGCAGGCTGGTATTTCTATTGGTGACTCTGTCTTCGCTCGATTGGTCCAGAAATTGGCTGCCCAAAACCGCGACATACTCCTTGCTGACCTGCTGCTGAGTGATCAGCATCCCGATGTTCTCGAAGATAGGGCCACGCAGGAATCACTTCTCATCTCATATTACATCGCCCGTGATATGCAGCAGTACAACATGGCTCTCGCCGTCCTTGCAGAACTGCACCCAGATGACCCGGACTTGTTGGATATTCACTTCCGCAAGCACATTGCTGCCGGTGACCTGGGGGCGGCATCTAAGATCGTGGACGAGCTGACGCTACGCGGAAGGCCCTTGAGTGAGGATAGCTTGGATTTCATGGCGGAAAAGGTTCTGACACCTCGTCGGCCCAACCATCGCCCAAATCCACCGCCCGGGCAGCCGCTCAATACCAAGCGTGAAGTCATGTTTATTTTTCGAGTCCTTCAGCGCTCCGTGCCGTTGGGTGGTTATGTCAATCCATTCTTCTGGAAGGAGATGCTCAAGCGTCTCGGTATGGAAAACCACTGGGCTGAGCTTCGAGAATGTTGCATGTGGCTGGTTCGTCAATACAAGACACGAAGCAAAAAATTCTGGGCCAAGACACCCGCTGGAACGCCTACGGGACAGGACGACCGGATGCTGAAGCTCATTTTCAGTCCACCAATGCAAACTGCGCTGGTGGCCTGGGGGTTCATGGTCCCAGTGACCAGCGCCACTGCAGCCAAGGCCATCTGTCTGCATCCCATAACCAAGGAACCACTCATTCAATGGGTGCGTGGACTTCTCCTTCTACGAGAGCTGGAGCAAGCCGGTCTGGTTCTTCAGAAGCGTGTCATTCTTGACGCGACTCGGCACCGCCTGGCTACCCTGTTTGGTCGATTCAATCTTTCTCATTCACGCCTGAACCGAGTGCTGCGACGACAAAACCCGTATCGGTGGCAGCGGGTGGTAGCAGATATCTTACGTGCCTGGGGTGATCCCTCTTTCTTCGGTGGACTAGAGAGAATTGAGCCGACCAAACTGATGAATCCTGGTCGAACCCCGTCCTCACTGCGAAGGTCAGCCCAAACAGTCTGGCCGAGGAAACGAACTCGATGATGTATAACTAGCGATCTTTCCATTCTGTTCATATAGCAGTATACCCCTGGGAACCATGTCAATCATATTCCTTGTACAATACAGTTTATGCCATCCCCATTTCATAGAACCCGTATGACTTGTCCGTTGTATATCGAAGACCCTGGTGGTTACAGGAATACCCCATGTTCTGGGTGATCGTCACCACGTAACCTGACCCCTGTCAGTCCCTCGCGTCTGGCGGAACGAATAGCCAACTTGAGACACAGACGCAAGTTCAATCAGACTGTGCCACGCAGGTCGTCAGCAATCAGCACATCTTCACAGCCACCCATCTACCATTGGAGCCTAGACCTTGGACTCCTTGGCGCGATGGCAACGAAACAATCAAAATCAACTCTCAGTCATCGCTATGCGCGTAACTCTGTCCAATCAGCTCGATTGCGTGGCGGATATTGATCCACGATCTAAGAATAGTTGAGACGGCAACGCGGCCTGGACCCGCTATGGATCGTCACTCTAAACATTGCATTCCATGACAGCCGGTCCTTTATTATTCTCCTTTCTCTTTCAACTACAATTGAAAGAGGATTTGCTGTCGCTGTAAACTACGAATTCAAGTGTCAGATTATTCGAGATTATCATTAACGACTGGTTGCTCTGTACAGCATGAGATTGTTCAATTACCTACCGCTGTTGCTGCCGGTCACACTGGCCAACCCGCTAAACGTCCGGTCCACCGCCTGCAACAACTCCCCCGACCTCTGCGATAAGTCCTACGGCGAGATTACACATTTGGGGGCCCATGACAGCCCCTTCGTGCGCACTTCGGATAGTGTTCTGGCTGGTGACCAGTATGTTTCGCCTTGATTCAGCAAGAGATCGAGTTTTACCTGTTTGGTGATCGCGAGATCAGTCCTAACTTGTTCTAACCCTGCTTGTATAGATACTATGACACTCCTACCCAGCTGAGCGCTGGTGTCCGCATGGTAACTGCGCAGGTACACAAGGATAACAATCAATGGCGTCTATGCCATTCCTACTGCTCCCTATTGGACGCAGGGTTGTTGAGCGACTGGCTAGCCAAGATCAAGTCTTGGCTGGATGAGCATCCTAATGAAGGTCCGTGGTCCCCTCCATCTACAGAACAGAATGAGAACCAGGAAACTAACCATTCTCTTCTATAGTCGTCACAATCATCCTTGTCAACTCCGACAGCGCCTCTGCCTCTGAACTCGGCGCCGAATTCAAAACCGCCAACATCACAAACTACACCTACGAACCCGACTCCCTCACAACAGCGCCCACCTCCTGGCCAACCCTCCAAACAATGATCAACTCCGGCAAGCGACTCGTCGTCTTCGCCACACCATTGACCACCAGCACAGACTACCCATACCTAATGTCGGAATTCGATTTCGTATGGGAGAGCAACTACGACGTAACCTCGCCCTCGAACTTCACCTGCGAGCCCGACCGGCCATCCTCACTCTCAGGCTCCATCTCCACCGCGCTATCCTCCAACCGCCTCCCCATGATGAACCACTTCTTGTACTCCACAGACCTGGCGATCCTGGACATCGAGTACCCGAACGCAAGTTACGTGTCGACCACGAACGCCCCATCCGGCGGCACGGGTAATCTTGGCAGCACGGCGACTAAGTGCAAGACGGCGTATGGTGGTCGACAGCCTACCTTTATTTTGGTGGACTTCTTCAACAAGGGGCCCGCGTTGGATACGGTGGATAGTCTGAATAACGTGACCAACGCGGTGGGACGGACGTCCGTTTCGTCTTCGTCGACATCCTCGAGTAGTGACGGATCTACTGTCAATAACGTGTTCAAGGGGCTGGTCGAGCTGGCGAGCTCGGCCAAGTCCGGCGCTAGCACGAGTATGGGGGATTGGGTCTGGGCTGGTGGGAATTGGAATAGTATCCTGGGTGGAGGTATCTCCTTCTAGGGTTCAGGGGTCTCGCTCCGTTCCGGTTCCCCTTTTCCCTTTACCCCCTTTCCTTTGCTGGTTCTTCTTGAATCTTGGCATTGCCTTATCACATTTTGCTTCTTGGGTTATTGTTATCGTGCAGCGTTCTGTTATTCTCGGACATTTTGGAGGTGTCTACCGGAGATTGATCCAGTTCTTATGAGACATTAAGACATGAATCTCTCGCATGGTTAGACCCGCTACATAGAGTATGGATATGGGTGGTTCGGGTCTATTGATTATTATCTTGTTTTTGTCCTGCTTTGTTGATCAGGGATCCTTGGGCATGGTTCTGGCGCATTGCATTGCATATGACATATTGCACCCATGCAAAAAGAGGGATATGGCGTTTTTTGGGAGATTATCTCGAGGTGGGAAATGACTGAAATGACCCTGATTTATAACAAGGTACTGGATATCTTGATCCCCGAGGACATGAAATGGTCTACCATATTTAGTGCTAGAAAGAATCGAAATATCACTTTTGGATGAGACTATGATTCAATATCCATCGCTAGACCATCAATGTAGGTCCATTCAAAACTCTGATCTATTGCTTATCCTGAGCCAGCAACTGCCGCACCTTATTCACCTTATCCTCAGCGGTTTGCTCCTTATCGGTTCTGGAATCAATTCGACCAGTCATTAGTGAGGTCCCAATTATTGATCCAACTTGCGTCACAGCTACCCCACTAATGATAACATTGAAGGAAAAGAAAAGATGAGCGCCGAGAGATACATACCTTGATCCAACACGGATATCAGTCTGAATACGTACAATACCCTGCTTGTGCAGGAGGGTATGGGCCTGGCCGATGACTTGGTGCACTTTATCCCAGGATCCTTCTGTGTTGATTGGAGGGTATGGTTAGAACAGATGGACCAAATGGATTAGAAGATAACCGGTAAGTACAGTCATCGCGTACCGAGGGTTGTTCCTGCGGAGTGCATGACATATTTCACGCCGGACTGTTCGATTAGGCGCTGGACGTCAGCTACTTGGGCTGAGACTGAGGCTGATGCGGTCCCGATCTGGAGGGGATGTGAGATTGTGTCTATTAGAGGGGTGGTTCTATGGCTTACAGGGATCAGACAGAAGTCTGCCAGACAGTGCTCGGGGGTGGGGAGGGTTGTGGTGTCCATGTTGAGGGTTGTTGTTAGGATGAAGTGGGAGATGGTGGGGAAGTCCGGAGTAGTGGCAGGTTGAGCTACGGCAGAATAGTTAGTGCTAGTATACTATAGTTCGTATGAGATCCATACCGGGTGGTGGATAGTGCGAGCTAATACTAAGAGCTAAATTTCTTAGTACTCTCTTAATTTAATATCTTATCAATAATATTACTCTACTCGATCTAAATGCTCTAGTTGTTATTCGGGGTTGATTCTTCCGCTTTTCTGGTTGACCCCGCGGAGAATTCGCTGACCGCCGCTGGTTCCTGGCTGGGACCCGAAAGCTGAAAGTTCCAGCTCATCTCCATCTTCAACTCTCTCAATCAGCTGAGGCCATTGCTCCCAACTAGAGCCTCAAAATTGTGATCCTAGAGAGATCTACACATTGCCCTGGACTGTCAATCGCTTGCCCGATCAACCTCCAAGACCGGCGCCACTGATGCCGAGCTGAACCCCCCCACCATTCGAGCTAAACCCTGCACGACATCCGCCGCGCCCCCCCAGTTTGCGGGCTCTCCTCGTAAGGCTGGTTGGTCTGTGATCAACACGCCGGCACTTTTCTTTTTCTTTTTCCTCACGGCCGCCACCCGGCGGTCTTCAGTCGACTGGTCGTGTGTGCTTAGACTCCCGCTTACTGGCTGTGCATTCAACCCGGGCATTTTCTCGACTTTCCCGTTCACAACACGCTCGACTCATCCACAGCCAAGATAAATCAGCGATTAAAAGGTCAAAGTTCCCGATCCAACAGTTCACCGCTATAAGCTAGTCAAAATCCCCATTTTGGATCCGCTTTAGCCCCGGATGTTGGATGCATGCTCAAACAATCGACCCGGTAGCTTGTCTCGCGTGACCAATCGAGTATTCCCTCGGATCCCTTCTGCTAAGGGTCAGGGTTGCCTCCACCGCTCTTCCAGAACCTAAACCAAGAAACGAACGCTTTGGACTTCGACACAAGGAAATTTCGAAGTTGTCTTTCATTTATTATCTTGGTTTCTCCCAGACGACTCATGCTCCTTGCGACGTCTTTTGGCTCTTCACTCACGAATGACCAAACCTAGTCTGCTGGAGCTCCCACCGGGGGTTCAGCTCGTGTATCTGGCTGAGGGCGGTGCAAATGTGGTCTATCGCTTTGTTTCAGCCGTGAAATCTCCCCTCACAGCCAAGAGAGATCCCAGAAAGCGTTTGTCCCCGGTTGCTTTTGAACCCGCGGAGCGAATCACGGGAAAATTACTTCGATTGCGCAAGGACACAGCGGCTAATGTCTCGTACAAAGAGATTGTGGAAAACTTTAATACCACCGTGCGCCCGCTCTTCAAGGCTGATGAGCTGGTTGATCAAACTCTCATACGACTGCCAGAGGGCCTGGTCCACCGCTGCAATGAGCAGCTTCTTCTTGCCGAGTCAACTGGTGACAGGCCCCAAAAACGGCATGGCGGGTATTTGAGCCTCACTGAGCCATTCGGGCTACTCGTTACCGATATGACGACATTTGATGATCCAGGCTCGACGCTGGCAGAACTAAAGCCAAAATGGCTCATTCAATCTCCCACGGCACCGGCGACAGCTCACAGATGTCGAACATGTGCGCTGAGGGATATGAAGAATTACGAGGCACGAAGCCTGGGACAGAAAGAGCAGCGATCCTTTTGCCCTCTTGATCTCGTCTCTGAAACCTTTGAGGATGTCCTCCGAGCTACCAGTTTTATCAAAGGCTGCGGCGACCGAATACGACTGGCACACATATTATTCCGCAATAACACACTTCAGAAACTGTTATCTCATCAGAAGGCCTACTGCAAAGTTGGTCTACGTGGACCTCCTATACAATCAACAGAGACTTCCCTCGACATGACGCTCCGAGACTGCACATTATACATCAAGGTGCGCATCTCGTCCGGCACATTCTCCAAGTAGAACCCATGACTGACATCAGATAATAGATTCCAAAGGATGAAAAATCCTCCGTCGACATTCGGCTCGGAGACCTCGACCTCAAAACAAGTGCCGGCGGGAAAGCCGAGTACTGGGGAGACCTTGAAATCCAATTAATCGACGGAGGCTGGTATGAAGGACTCAACGGCGACCAGGAATCGGGTGAATGTGCCTTGCAACACTTGCCCATTCATCAGCACCCAGCGACCTGAAATCCTCTGCTTTATGAACCTAACATAGTCACGCATTTTCTTCTCCTCGTTCTTTTTCATGGACGGGGTCATGGGTTCAGGAAGACCTTTAATATGTTCTCTCTTACATGGGTGGTTTTTTATTTTTGTGTACTTTCGGGTTGCTGCTTTCTTTTGTCATAATTGATTCATGACATTTACAGTGTACTGGATTTGGGCGGCTGTCTGATATTTTTAGTAACTACAGCTTCAACTACGGACATTGATCCTTGATTCTCTGACTGCTTTTATCTTCTGTTCTCCGCTTGTAGAAAGATTGTCCATTTGGCCTCATTGCAAAAGCAACAGGCGCGGGAAGAGATTAATAACATGATATCATAAACTAAGTTCACAAAATCGACAATGATAGTACATGGAATAGAAACAAAGTGAACCCCGAGACAATAACCTGGCTATCTATCTATCTTCTAATTCAATCCAAGCTCAATATATCCATCCAAAAATCTTCCGCGTCTAATCCACAACCGTGTTTTTGCTTTTCTCTATTGCAGAGGCAAATTCAACAAACCACCCAGAATGTCCGCGATCCCGGCTGAACTAGCGGCCGGCATCGCAGAGGTTTTAAATCCCGAAGGTGCAACTGGAGTCGATGATACATGCACAGACGAGGCAGCAGTGGCAGCCGTCCTCTTGAGATACGGGTGTGTTGGCTGGACTGTGGGTGTGGCAGAGCGAGACGCTGCCGCCTGGATTGAGCGGGTGAAAGAGGGCGATGCCGATTGAGAGGGAGGAGTCACTGCGGGCGTTGGGATATTGACGGGTGTGCTTTCGGCTGTGACGGTGCCGCTGATAAGAGCGAGGCAGATTGTCGTGATGATAGTGTTGAATTGCATTTTGGAGATGTGGGAAGGGTATATAGAAGATGGGGTTTTGTTGGTTGTGGATTGGAAGTAACGTTATGACTAGGGTACTTGATGGAATTGATGGATGAGTCTCAGGGAAGTAGTAGGATGATTCTGAAGATTTATACTTTTTCCCGGAGCAATGAAGCTTTTAGTCTAAACATGCGGTGTTACGCCCCTGATACCCCTTGCATGTTATGTGGGTAAGTTGCATTATGCATATATTGATCTTCGGGAGCGATGCAAGGTTTGATTCCGGATGATATCATTTATCGATCGTGCGGAAGCTTGATGCAGGTGGGCGATCGCGTATATTGATGATCTAAATGATATTGATGATCGGCTTGGTGATCTTCATTAATTGTGCAACAGAAATAAGACAAATGGGTACCAAGGTATGGTAAAGCCTCCAGTAGTAGGTCAGTGAGAAATGAGTTGACGGAGTGAAGAAGCATATTGGCAGGACTCGCGAGGTAAGTGCGAGAGCACAACCAGTTGCATTAAGTTGTATAAAGGCGTCATGATTGCTTCTGCAATGAACGGTACACAACATCGTGCTAGTGGATACAATGCTTCCAGGGAACGCTAGGGCCGATAACAAATGACGATGGCATTGGTCATGCGAGACCAGAAATCAAAATCCAAACAAATTCTCATCCTCCTTGTACCCCGTCTCCTGTAAAGCTGGAAGTACAGCCTTTTGAATCATGGTCGGAGGACCACAAAGTAGAGCCACAACCCCCTTTTCGGGACCAAACGCATACTTCTCCAAAATCTCCTTCGACACATGGCCCTTTTCGCCCTTCCAGTCATCACCAGGATGTGAAAGAATATGTGTGATCTGGAATTGATCTGAATGTTTCTTGGCCAGTTCGTCCAGTTCTCCTCGCAGCAGGATGTCGCCCTCGGTCTTGTTCGCATCAATAACCTTGAGAGCGGTCTTGTCTTCCTTCTCACCCCGATCTTTCGCACGCAAGATTCGTGAGATAAGCTGGTACCCGGGCGTTATACCGGAGCCACCTAGTACGAGGCTGACTTTGCCGAAGTGGTATTCTTTCTTATCGATTAAGAACTTGCCTTGGCCGATGTACTTTATCTCGCCAGTGGGGCCTTTCACCTCGATTTCCTCGCCGGGTCGGAGACAGTCAAGGATATTGCTCATCGTGCCACCTGGCTGGGATTTATCTGGGCGGTAGGTCTTGACAACCAGATCGAACGTTCCATCTTCCTCTTTTTCAAAGACCGGTCGGGTGGGCGTGTATGGCCTCACCACGAGTCGATCGCTGAAATGGAATCCCAATTGGAGATGCTGACAGGTTCCAAGGCCCAACTTTTTCGCATTCGGTGCGAGAGAAAAAGTATACTGATTCGTGTCTTCAGAAAGTGCCTTTTTCTCCGCGAAACGGATGGCATTCCATCGGTGACGATTGAAAACAGTTTCTGAGCCCGTTTCTGTAGGGTTGGCTTTCTCTTTCGCTGCATCTTCGGCTTGCCCCTTAATGAATCCCATTGCTTTCTCGGTGACCAGACCCAAGACGCATTCTATATCAAATCAGTCAGAGTCTGCACAAGAACAAGCTTGAATGTCAAATCTTACCACTCAATTTCTGCTCCGCATAATCATCGTGAATGCTGTCAAATTCGTCGGTGGTATCGACATGCACCTTCCCTGCGTGTGCCATGATTGGAGCTTTGCCACCAGGATGCCATTCCAGTACACTCGTCGCATCGTAGACTTTGCCATTGATGACAATCCAACAATCATCTTCCTTGTTATGCTTTTCAATCTCTTCGCGCGTGAACTGCTTCTGTGGTGATGCCACTTCATGCTTGATCTTTTCGATCTGGTTTTCTGTCGTGGGCTGCATCCAGCCTCCCTTTCCAGTGCCAGGCTCGGTCGGGTGTCGGAAGTAAAGGCTGATGCCATCATGATCCTGATCATGGAGGATCTCCGGGCGTACTGTATACCAGCAATTGTTCATCATCCTAGATAGCGTTAGCAAGGCTTATAGGATCTAAAGGTAATGTAGATTTACCCCATTATGTTCCATGCTGGCTTTTCTGGCTGCATGTTTTTGAAGACATTGAAGCAGCGGACGACGATGCTCTCGGCTCGAATCAAGTGTGCCAATCCAACATCCACATGCCAATGAATCCACGTCCAGAACTTCCTTCCATGGCGGACTGGGTACTCAGGGAACTAGTGGCTCAATATTAGTGGCTCGATACAATACGTGCAGTCGTGAAAGTCAAGTCTCACCTTGCGGACACAGTATAGCCAGGTCTCCCCACCGTCTAAACTAACTTCCACCCTCTGGACTTCATGGCCACCACCATCGTATGCGATACCCGAAATCCGGTAGCTTTGATTGCTACCCACATTAGAAAGATGGATGGTCTCGCCATGCTCAGGCTTGACAATGATCGAATTCAGATTTTGCTCGTTGCAAGCCGTACTCGGGTGGTGGAACATGGTATGCGCAAACTCCGAGTCCATATCGCGAACGAAACCAGGAAGAACACGGTTGTCCCAAATATGATAATGACTGTCATTTTCTTTCTCGGAGACCCAAATCCTATGAAGCCACTTGACACAACGGCCACCAACGAAGCCGGGAATCAATAATCGCACTGGGTAGCCGTGATCTGGTGGTAATGGGACGTCATTCATTTCATAGGCCAGTATCACATCGTTCTCAGGATCCATAGCATATGCCAGTGGAATTGATGTGGCATACTTGCCCTCACTGAGCTCATCTGCACCTTCGAAATGTACCCAACGACGGACTCCACTGTTCCGGATGATATCGTCGTCCAAGCCGGCAGCTGAAAGCACGTCACATAGGAGAGCTCCCTTCCAGAAAGCACAACTAATTGCACCGGCACCCCAGTTGAAGCCTTTGGACTTTCTGATCATGTTGAGCTCTTTCCGACGGTTGCCGTCGCATGCTAATGCCACCGCGATGTTTATGGCCTCGAAGCTATTCTGCAGATCGTCCATCGATAGCACAAGCTTGCCATTTGCAACATCAATTCTATGGGTTTCCCATAAAAGATGAGGTACTGGCCCATGATTTCGAATGTAATGGAGCTGGTTCGGGGTGATCAGACCCGCATCAAAAAGGGCTGTTAGCTCAGGCTCGCAGTTGAGTGGGTGTTTCCCTGTCAGACGGACGAGGTTGGTGGATCGAGGGATCCAGTTGTCCGGAGTGAACTGATCGGTCTCGTCAATAGAAAGATCCTGCTCTTTGGCTGGCTTGATAGGAGTTTTGGCTGTGCCATCGTTCTCTTGAATGGTCCGCATCAATTCACTCTCGGCTTGTAGCAGGCGCAATAGAGACAACTCTTGTGGCGAGTATTTGTCTTGCAGACTTTGTTGCCCCTCCTTCTTCTCACTGTCACTGTAGTCTTTATTATTATCTTTCGAGTCAGTTGCATGGGCCTCGTGGTGTGTCTCGTTCTCGCCGCGACCCCGTCGCCACTCATGTTCCTTCTGTGGATTCTTACTATCCTTTTCCTTCTGCTCGGACTCCTTCTTTTTCTCCTCAGCCTCTTCCTGCCGCTTCTTTACATTGACAGGCCAGTCTTGTTTGTACTTGATAAAATCCTCCGTGGTATGAAGCACGTAGCGCCATCCAGTAGGATGATTTTCAGGAAATCTCAAGTGATAGTCCTTATAGTAATCAGTCAGAGAAGGAGCCAAGCAGGGAATTTACCGAGATTCTAGTACACACCTCTTGTTTGGCCATGAACTCGCGGACATTGATCAGCTTTTTATTCCTCAATTCCTCACTGAGCTCCTCGGCCTCTTTCTTTGCCTGGGTGAGAAATTCGCGCTGTCGCTCGGTTTCCCATTCATCTCCAACGTGGGTGTGCCCCGGGTGCCGATCGTCAGGATCACAAAATCCGATTCGGTGGCTATGAGTTTTGATCCAGTCTGGTTCATTTTGGATTTCATCCTTGGATGAGCCGCCATGACTGCGGTCGGGATGTGTGTAGTGTGGTCTTGGTGTCATTGTATGATTCTGGACGGGCTTTTCCCACAGCGCGAGGGAGTGTGAGCAGAGAATGCTTTACAAGGGTCAAATTACAGGTGTGAAAGTTGGATGTTTGATTGTTGTAGACAAACATAATAGCCATTCAAGCTCTCCATGTCTGGTCCAGCCCGGATATAAGAATGACGAACACCACCATGAAACTTTATCTAGCAAACGTCATCTTCCCCACGTATAAGCTATGACTTTTAAAAAAAATAATCTGTGCTTTAATTGCAATTAGCATAACTGAGACTATTCGTCGAATTTCACCGCCATCCTAAGTCCCCTTACGCAATACCAGTGAGGGTCCTTGGTCTGTGGCTGTCTGCCGCTATAAAGAAAGCCCGAAATATTAAGTTGAATGAGCAAGCCAGCCAGGCGTGATATACTGTCCCGTAAATACTGGGGACTCCTACAAGTCAAGCATTGTAGTTCGTTGCAGCAGATGCGTCTACTGTAGGTGGATAAGGTTCCCATTTCCCGGGATATAACTGCCGCGGAAATACTTATGTACCTAGTGTAGTGACTGATGAGGCTGCGGGGATGAACGTGCACCTGCCTCAGACCCTGAATTTTGTCTTCCCCACTAGGTAGTTCCGGGTGCAACCTACAACTAACTCCGCGGAATGAATAATGCCTGTCCTTGAGAGACGTGTTGGTATATTCACGGATAACATCAACAGCTTTCTGACTGTCAGTCGAGAGAGTTTCAGCGCTACATCTCATAGTTTAACAGAATAATCTATACACATCGTCTGAAGTCTGAATACATAGAATTGGGAAGGAATTCCTAGATTGAGCATAAATCAGCCAAGGCTTGCACGCTTAGTTGGCTCTCGGATGCCCTGACGAGTGCTATGAACTCCATCCACTTCCAGCACACTTTGTTTTACAAACCTGTTCTCCACTTACTCTTTATCCTATTTTCAATAAGAATAAGACACCTAGAATAATACACCAAGAGCGTAAATCCTATTGATTTTCGCGCTCGCTGGGAATGTAGTGATTCGAAATGACGTCAAACATCCGCATCGAGAAAGATCCGCTACATGAGCCTGTTTAAGTAATAGCTATCATGATAAAGGTAGCTAGCTATGCGTAACGAAACAACCCGCTCACACTTGTAGGAGTGTACAGTGATTCAATAAAATATCCCCCCTAACTCCTGTGATGGCCTTGTTGATTATGAAGGACAATGTCATCAAGATAGCGATCCATTGGCATACTTCACGGCTGAAAATGATGATGTATCAATCCCCTAAATCTAGATTCCGCCATTCATAGTAAAACTCAGATCTCAAAAATTCTTCTCAATATGCATGTTCTATTTTAATTTTATTTCATGGCGCCGAGTAATGTCACGCCGAGTAGTGTCACCTGAAAAGGGTCAATTAAACACGGAAGTCAGGTCTCTGTTCAATGAGGCTCAACAAAGGCAGGAATAGCTCTCTCCCAGTGTGGTTCGACCCTGAGCTCAGTTGCGATACCCCCTCAGCTCGCAGCTCATCCCACGAAGCCCATTCCCATGCTGTGCACTTTTCAGGTTCCAAGATCTTGATGTTCAGTCAGCCAGGAGAGATCAATAAGCTAGACATGTTATATGCGGTTTCGCCTACCTCCGGCTGATCGGAATCATTGCTGAGAACTGCTGCCATGAATATAGTAACATAGTGTTTGCCTTCAGCTTCAAAGACACTGTTCGTGGCAGTCAAGAACCGAATATCGCGAATTTGTAGGCCTGTTTCTTCGAGAATTTCGCGTTCGGAGCAGGTCTCAAAGGACTCGCCGAACTCGAGATGTCCACCAGGTAAGGCCCAAGTATCTACAAAGTTATAAAATGTGTTAAGCACGCGATTTGCTCCTTCTGGCTGATGCATTGAACAGGTGTGGTGGGGGATTATAGGGAGTGGAATGACTCACTTGCGCCATGGCTGCCCTTTCGCTTGCCTAGGACAAACTTGCCCTCGGCATTCATGACAAAAACACCAACGCCAATTCTGGGTTCTTTGTTGGAAGTCATGATGGTATCTTTTCCAAGTTCTTGTTTGTTTGTGTCTTTGATTGCCGGTGACCAGGTTTGATCTGCAAGAGACGTTTCAGGTGGGGCGCAGCGAGCAGGCGGGGTAAAACAAATACTTTAGGACCTGAAGATTGAGAAACCAGGCACTCGAAGCAGATGCAGAGTATAGAAATATTTACTTATACATGATCAATCTGATTCTGAAGGTTACCTGTGGCTATGCATAAGACAAGGCAGTAGCATGGCCCCAAAAATACGGGCAAAATGACTCAAGGCTGATTCAATGAATGGATTCCATCGCGACAAACGCCACACAGTCTAAGCCTTCACTTTCTAAGGCGTATTTACAATGGAGCTGACCGGACATCACATAAGTTGCACCGTCGCACGATTTTGGACTGAAACTTGAATTTATTCGATAGAAAAGCTAAACAAAGTGGGCTATGGGAAGGCAGTTATGAATTGTCAGTATCTATCTCGATCTTGTGTGAACTCCACACAGTTCGAGATCGTGGCATTCATCATCCAAGAAATAGGGGACTTATTTACTCTTGCTGTGATAAAATATCTTGATATATTCTTCGTGATGGAAATACACCCTACGCCTCGCAGGCTGCGTCAGTCGCTACCTAAGCCAGATATATCAATGCAATGCAAGCATAAGAACCATCGCCACATGACATCGCCTGAAACCAGTCGATTTGTATGTCAGTCCCAAATAAAGAGAGAGAAAAAATGGCAAGGAGTGGAGATAGCCAAGAGCGGAGCATAACATGCCTTCCCTTTTCTTCATACTTTGGCAACTTTACTCCGCCCCGTAGGTCCATTCAAACATGATAATTGCTATCGCAGCCACCTGCGTTCAAGAATCAGCATGAGAATTATACCTCAAGATATAATCAAAAAAACTCACCAAGGAAGAATCAACACCCGCCACAATCGTCAAGTCCATAGCAGGTCGAAGACCCTTCCGTCGTGACTTAGGCAGCAGAGCCAGGGTGTCATTGTGTTGAATGCTCTCATACACCCCAGCAATCCTCCTATCTCCATCGATAATATCATATCGGGCCATAATTTCACCGCACGGAGTCACAACCAGAGTCATATCCTTATCCTCGTCGCGCTTCGTATCGTTGGCAGCCATGTTCCGAAACGAGAACTTCATACTCTTATGATTGCCTCCCCATCGAGGCTCTCCCTCGGCAATTTTTGGATCACCACCACCCGGCATGGTGATGAACCACGAATAAGGCCTGCCAAGCGCACTCTTCGTGTGAAGTTCGAATAAGGGTAGCCCCGAAGCGTCGTGGAATTCTCGACAAACGCGATCGCCATATTTGCGACCGGAAACTGTGTATACGGGCTCTTCTTCTTCGTCGGTGATTATGTATGCCGCGACGGACTGGGCATTCCCACTTGGCTTCAGTATAAGGGTTGTCTTGGCAGGAACGATGGATTCTGTTCGAAGGGCGATCTCGCGCTCGGGTGGTCTCATCGATTTGCGAGGCTTGGGCTTAAAGCCCTTGGAATGAAGCGACATTCGCGCCTCAGAGTATGAGGTGTAGGACATGGTGACGCTGGATGCTATTAGGATTTCCTATGGGTTTGTTTCGTTCAACGTGTATAGAGAGATGGCTTTTATAGCTATTATATTGGGATGAACATTAAATGCCGCACGGGTTGAGGTTGAAAAGAATGAGGTATTTCTACGGTTACAACTTGCGCCCCATGACTGCATCGTTGGTTCCGGGGCCCGTTTTGACTCGTCCTATTCGTCCCCTCTTTGTCCAGATCGGGGCGACAGACAAGTGTCAAATAGATCGCCTGGTCGTATTCGTTCTCTGGGCAGTGCTTATCTTTCAGTCACGGTCGCATTATTCTTGTCTCTTGACGGGTAAATCGGAAGAATAGGGCGAGTGGAGAAAGCCTGCGATACTTACGAGAATAGGTTAAGGGCAACGATATACCCCAAAATCGAATCCAAATAGTTCTCTTCTCGCTATCACTGTAGCCCATTTCGAATAGTCATGTGGTCTATACTTGATCTTTTCATTATCGAGAGGCCCAGTTTCGAGGGATTTTTTAGAGGGGCCAGGTAATGTCTCGACCCTGGGGGCTGGGGGCTGGGGGCCATTTATGTTCCCATTGAAAGACAAAACAACGTCACCTCTCCTCTCCCCATCTCTTTACCTGCACAAAAATCCCTATTTACTCGCCATCAAGACCAAGAGGACAGTCCACGCCGGCCCAAACTAAAAGGCGATCGTACTGATACGCTACCACGGCGAAAGCGCGCCCTGGCTGCCCGATCACCGTTGTCTCAAGATCAATCAGCATTCTTCACCAAGCTTCCACCCGAAATACGGCATCAAATTTATCGGGAAATACTGGCTCCAGCAGACCGCCCGGAACTTCACGTAACCAGCGGTGACGGGCGATTGCTCAGTCAGCGCTGCCGATTCAATTACGAATCACCAGTGCCAGGTTGGCATCGCTTGGAGTGTTGGGGCTCAACCTGGAATCACGATGCAACGATGCAACGGATCTCAGATAGATCGAAACCGCCCGAGAAAGGTAAAGCGTGGCCAGAACGCTACTACGTGCCTGAATTTGAAAGCTGTTACCCGCGGCCGATTCGAGTTGCAATATTACAACCATGTCGTCGAATGTATGTTCACTTGTGCCTTGAATTACGTCTGTGTCTATTACCAATACTAATAGAGAAAGATACGTGGAGGCTATTGATATTCTCTATTCCGAAAATTTCTTGAGTTTCCGGCAGACTCGTACTATTGTCGACCTTGAGCGTACTATTCTTCCCCGGCGCCTAGACAGAATTCGCTCTATCCGGTTATCCTTCCCTTTAAATCTATTCACCATTGATGCTGAGGGTCAACAACTAGCTATGGGTGCTTGGGAATATCCTCTTGATATACCTTACTTTTGGGACGCCGCATGGAAAATCCTCGCCAGAATGGACTCCTTGGAAAGCCTTCAGGTCGAGGTCACGCTTTGGAGGATAAGAGAAACTAATCTGGCTGCGATATGAAAAAAATTCGCCATCTTGCAAAATGGCCTCAAACATGACAGTGGAACAAATGGTGGAATGATTCGAGAAGATCTTGGTACTAGGTAAGATCAGATGCCCAGTGATTTCTTGGCAGGAGCTTGTCGGCCTCGGGGTGGGCTTAGCGTGTTGAAAAGAGTTTGCCCCACCCATGACCTGGGACCCCTAAAGACCCTACTACAGTCTACTGTAGTATGTAGGCCCCGCTATACTTAAGTAGTTTATCGTAGGTAATATCTCCTAGCTATTATCGTATAGCGAAGTTCTCACTAATAACTAGTAAGTTCACTGTTTTTGTATATAGTTTTTTAGAAAAGGTGCAGTCGTTAATTATACCCTTCTATTTTGTATATAGTTAACACCCACATGTGCTCTAGTGGAGTATTTAGCTAATATGTCTCGAACCGGGCTAAAGGCTCGGCTTGTGTGGCTTGTGTGTTATACTTATTTATGATTCGCGAAACTAAGAAGCTCGTCTCTGCGAAAGACCGCAACGTCGAAGCTAGCTTAAACGAGGCTGATAATGTAAGGAATTTCCAATTTGATAGTACAAAATTACCGCTCAAGGTCAAACAGCTCGTGATCTATTGCGATTTATCTCGCTCCGAGGAGACAGACGACAAGAAAAATTATTATGACAATGGTAAGTCCTGAGATCAAAAACCACGACCTATTTCGAACCTAATTTGGGAATCAGTGCATTAGATGTCAACCAGGCTCTTGTCAAAAGCGAGTGTATCGCAGCCTGCCAAGGCTGGAAACCTCCTACCTTGGCTTACACTATTGTCTGGACGAAAGATCATGAAGCCTCTCAGATTCAGCTCTGCTTATGGATGCTTGAATGGGCTAAGAAGATCAAGGGATTGATAGACGCCAAATACCTTAATAAAAAGGCAAGGACTATCGAGTTTCTCGCCAATTGGGCTGTTGGCCACAATATTGTACTATCAACCACTGATCTCGAGTCGATTCTGGACAAAGTCATACTACACGAGATGACGCATACTGTCGTTGGGGGCACCTCTAGGGATATTGACGAAGGGTCCTTGTTGAAAATCAGATATCGATGGAAAAGGTGCCGAAACTTGGCTAAAGAAGGCCACGCGTCCAGGACCAGACAAGGACAGCAAAATGCGGATAGCACCGCCCTTGCTGCATTCGTAAATTTTGCCCTCGGGAGTATTTGCGTCGTCTATCTAAACCTTTCAACAGCCATCAAGCTTTCCGAAGAGGGAATTCAAGTGCATGAGGACGGTTCCCTTACCAAGCCCTCATAAAGATCAGCTATTTGCTATCTTGTATGTTTGGTGGTCATTCTCGCCAAAACATCGCGGCGTTTTCTAGATATCATGACTTACTTGATTGCTTCAGCCAATTTTCATTTCCTATTTCCTTGATAGGTGCTACATTCTAAAACAGTTGGTATGCTGCATCCTGCAGCTGTTTTTACTGGAATATCGTGCGTTCGTAAAATAGACTAAGCATGTAATCGCCCGTCGCAGCATGTAGCCGATCTCGGCTGTTAGGTAGAACCTGACGGCAGCCCACGGGCCGATGAGTAATGCGCCTTTTTACATTTAACTACCCCTGCAGTATTTGAGTCATTTTTCTTCATTTCCTCGGAGCTCGGCCAAATATACACACCTATCATTCTACAATGGCAGCTAAATTTGCAGTCAAGTCCTTGGACCACCTTGTCCTCACAGTGCGATCCATCCCAGAGACGGTAGCTTTCTATACTACCCACCTGGGTATGCGCCACGAAGTGTTTAGTACGCCGGCCAACCCCGCTATCCAAAGGTCAATATTACGTTAAACATAGTTAAATTTGAAGCGAAACTAATTTTCTTAGAAACGCGCTCATATTTGGGAGTCAAAAAATCAATCTCCATCAATCGGGGAAAGAGTTCGAGCCCAAGGCCCAGAAGGTTCAACCTGGAAGCGCGGATCTGTGCTTTTTGACGGATGAGAATGTCGAGAAGGTTTTGCAAGCTTTCCAGGACGCTAAGATTGAGGTATCAATAGCAGATATAAGTCGTTGATCTCATCATACTAATTTTTTTTAGGTGTTGGAAGGTGCCAAAATTGTAGACAGAACTGGGGCCGTGGGGAAAATCCGGAGCGTTTGTCAGGGATCCTGACGGGAATCTAATCGAGTATGTGAATAACTCAACATCTATCCTGGCCTCTAACTTATTATCATGGTAGAATTTCCAACTATGCCTGAGTGTTCCCAGGTTAGACTTCTAACCGAAGGTAGTTTAAGTCGAACGTGGGCCAGCGACAGTGCCACAAACTGCGTGCTCTATCAACGACCACACATAAATATGTGTCAATCCGCCATGGGACCCGTAGAGGATCAAGTAAAACCAGACTTTTCCGATCATGAACCACGCTAGCAGACACAAGACAACGGGAAAATGTAACGTAACTCTCAAAAAAATCCAGACTTGTACCTTGCTCGCTAGAAAGATTAAACAAACGAATCAACTCGTATATTAACATTAGAATGTAGGGGCTGCGAGATATACGCCAAAAATCCGAGCTTCAGGCACCAAAATTGGCTGCCTTTCCACCTGCATAGCGCAGCTGCTTTCATGGAAAGATCCTGTCTAGTACCGTATTGTGTGCCTCTGTCGCCCTCGGACGCAGGTCACGGGCTATGAAGCTCCTTTGGGAAAGCCGTCCTCGTCGAGAGGGAACAAAAGATCAAATCGATAAACAGCGCCGTTATGCGACACAATGCCACTAGTCTTGTCAACATTGATACCCGTATCCATATGTTTTAAGCCGCCGACACTTTCAGGCTCGAGCGAGTCCAGAATAAACTTCTTCATAGGAATCTCCGGGACAGTTTTAGACATGATAATGAGAAGCTTCAGCCAGCCAATGAGGAGTCGGTAATCCCGACTCACAGAGCAGCTATACCCGCGTCGTTTGATAATTTGGTGAACCCCCTCACTTTTGATAGCATGGACATCGTTGATATATGGTTCCATATCTGCTGTTTTGGCAAAGTCACCCGAACCGTTAAGCATGTATTGTGCGACTTTGAGGAGAATCCAAAGTCGTGGCTGAACCAGAACATTGTCCGGGAGCGGAAGAGATCATCGACCGAGCCAAAGCTCCTCAAGAGGTCGGAGAGTCTAGAAACGGGGATTTGTATATCTGGGTCTCTAGCATAAGCCAGAGAATTCCAGGCAGCAATGCTCCGTTCCACTAGACTTTTAAAAGATCGTGCAATGACTAAGGTTCTTGTTTCGTAGCCAGGATGGCAAAGTTTAGTCGCCTCTAGAATTTACCTGTAGGGCCCGGGTGTCCGTTTCACATCGCGCTGCTATGTTTTGGCTTGGCTGTATGCGCTTCCTACCGCATTTCGTGCAGAAGGGGGTCGTAACTGATGTACCACATTGACCTCAGAGGGAGGACTCATCGGTAGACCCTCCTATCTTCTTACCACACTGGGTACAAAAAGGTGTCGTGACTTTTGTGCCGCATTGATCGCAGGTAGAGGAGCTATGACTAGATTGTTCACGGGCAGATAGCGTGTAGAATTTCTAGAGACTTTTTTTAACAAAGTTATCACAAACAGACAATATCACAAGTTAAAAAATAACGAGATCAGCACGAGCTAAAAGAGTAACTATTGGCTTACCTTGCTTTGGTTGTTTGTGTTGTTTAAGGACATTGTGGTAGACAGTCGCAAAAAAGACCGATTCTAAGGAGAATTCACCACGTTCTCCAACACTACGAATTTCTCTTTCCTTTATGCTCAAGGTGAACTGTGGCTGACGACTACTCGTATTCACCCGCCACTTAGCGTAACACGTAGCACTATATCGTGATAATCATCGGTTCGGAGCACATTTTGACAGTTTGACACTAGAATGGAGATCAGCGTGCAAGAGAACTTAAAATAACTCTAGACTTAGCTTCGATCTACTGATTACTACCTATTTTAGAGCAGTAAGGCTGATAGGGCTGAAAGCTTCGTCACATGTAAATAAGCTTTTTTTGTCCCTCTCATTGGCGTTTGAGTCCTTTCTCTGCCCCCCTTTGAAGGCCAACGGCTAAGGCCCAAGCGAGGGTTTTTGTTGAATCGCAAATGGTGATTCCCAGGAAAGGAATAGGATATGATTGGATAGTGCCACAAAATTCTACTTCAGCAGAGCCTCATCTGAACCGGTAAAGAATGAACGATACTGCAGACGAATATGTATCTACCTGACACTGTCTGGGAAGATTTTGAAGGGATTGGTGACTGTCTGACTGTGTCATGTGTTATGGCATCGAGATGAAGTTACTGGGCATTGCCGGATGAATTTGGCAACCTGGGGCTTTGTATGTGGAAAGAGAAGGTGAAGTCAATTCATTGGGATAAAAGCTTTACCTACTTCTTGTATCTCATAGCTCTCGTATTTACAAGCCTCGAGATAATCATTCCGGAGATATTAACCCAAAATAAGGTGCTTGAAATCTCCATAACCATGTACTTTGTAACAATGTTTACTCCGTACATTATAACTATACTTCCAGCTGAGGACAAGCGCCCGGAAATCATATCCATCCGAAACTCCGAAGCCAAGCGACACCACAAACGGGAAGGACTTGAGGAGGGAACCGACCGATAGAATTGTCTCACACAGAACCAAGGACAGGAGCGTCTTGAATTACTAGGACATTGTGAAGGAATCAATTTTATTTAGCAGTATTCGTTCACATAAATTTTTTAGTCGCGCAGCCTTCAATAATTAGGTAGTTCTCTATATATAGGTTTATACGCCTCGGCTCTCTCGTATTACCATGTGTCAGGCATCTCCAGACTAGCGGAACCCCAAGCGCCCGTATCCATGGATTCAATCTCTGTGTCGTTTTGTAGCCGCTTATATCTCGCACTCTATATGACTCTTAATCTTCCCTTTCAAGACGATCTAGCGCAACCCCTGCATAACCTTAACCTCAAGCAATACTCTGCGATGGAGACTGCACGCCTGAGGCTCGAGCCACTCGATCTCGCCCACCTCGAGGGCTTCCACCGTATCTGGTCCGATCCCGTTACCACCCAATGGAGGTAATCCACAACCCCAACCCATAAACCGTACGCTAAATCCAGACTCAAGCTCTGACCAACCAATCCAGCTCCCGAGGCTTCTGCAAAACAATCGAAGAAACCAAAGGCAGAATAACCGGCATCGTCCCTGACAAATCCCGCCCGGGCGTTGACAACTACGGCGTCTTCATCCGCCCCTCCTCTTCCCAGCAGGAACCTCTCAGCGCTGAGGAATCCCATGTCATCGGCATCGTAGGCGTTCACAAAGATGACCCCGTGCCAGAACTGGGATATATTTTCCATCCATCGGCTTGGGGAAGGGATACGCGACGGAGGCGGTATCTGCTTTTGTGCGGCACTATTTCATTCTCCGGCCCGATGCGGCTTATATTGAGGCGAAGGTTGATGCAAAGAATACACCTTCTATACGGGTGCTGCAGAAGTGCGGGTTTGATGAGATTGAGACGCTGGTTGGTGGGGCTGAGTTGGCGTGGATGGATCCTCCTGTGAGGGATTTGGTTGTGTTTCGGGCGATGAGGAAGTAGATTATATGGTTCATGGAATTACGGAGTACATAGGACAGAGAGGGGATTAGCTGTGGGGTCTTAGTCCTTCCTGTCGCATCTGCCAGGATTTCACACACTCAGACATCAACCGGGTTCATATTCTCTTCGGGAGGTCTATCTAGTGCAAGTAGCCACAGGTGAGTACGAAGAGAATATTCATGATTATTAAAGATGATTGCTTGTATGTGGGTATAGCCTTATAAACATTATCCCTACATCGTGCTACCAAAACAACACAACACAACCACACCCTTAGAAGACAACCTCCTACAGAGCCAGAGCAAGGCCCAGAATACCAGCCGCACCCATAATGCTCATAGCAACACCACCAGTAGCAACGGGAGCACCACCAGTAGAAGTAGCAGAAGCATGAGCAGACGAAGCCGCAGCAGAAGTAGCCTTGGACGCAACGGACGTAGCCGACGAAACAGCGCCGCTCACAGCAGCACTGGAAGACTCGACCGAACCAGTGGTAGAAGCAGTGGTAGCAGCACCAGTCGCGGTCGCAACAGCACCGGCGGCAGTAGTGGTAGCGGCATTGGCTGAGTCAGTAGCGGTAATATCCAAGCCGTAGGCGCTGGTAGCCCAGGCCTTGACGCTGCTGGGCAGGTTGTTGTACCAAGCAGGCAGGGTGCCGGCCTCGATCTCGGACATGATGGAGGCGCTGGAGGAGGGGTCCATGATGTCAGCCAACCAGGTCGCCGGGATGGCGGTCGCGATGACGGTCAGGATGGAGCTGGGGACCGAGTCGAGGAGGATAGAGTCGTCCTCGCTGGAGGAGGACGAGGTGCTGGTGCCCTGGGGGGCGGCCAGGGCGGTGCCGGCGAAGAGGAGGGCGGCGAGGAGCTTGAACTGCATTTTGGATTGGGATGTGGAGAGAATGTGGGTATAAAACGAATGGTCGGACTGGTGAACAGTGTCCAAGGGTAAAAGAGTGACTGTATAGGGTGGGTTTTGAGTTGAATGAAGAACTAGAGAAAGAAAAAACAGAGGAATTCGTCAAGGGTATCAGGGTCTAAGGCTTATGTAGGCCCATGGCTGGGCAGTAAGCAGTCTAGTCCTTCCCCGTTGAGCCTCTTTTTTGCCTCCACCGCATCTTTCAGGGTCTTTCATCTCACTACTCGGTAATTGGGGAATGTGTTGGTTAGACTGGGGCGTGGTTGGCCAAGGAATCATTTCCCAGAATCTCAGCAGTCTAGGCGGTTCTCTTTGAGGGTATTATGACCGAGAAGAAAGCATCGAACAGGCTAAAAATACGGCTATAACTGTTAGCTCCGGACTTTGTCTCATTCCTGGCCAATGAGAGGGTGTTTTGTGGTTCTCGCCAATTCTCGCCCAGGTTCATCTTTTATCCTGGAGATTAGAAGTCAGCAGCCACGTTTGGATTTTACACCAATCCTGTCCAATAATCTTGGCCCCGCCCCAGAGGTCGGAACATCGGTGTTTCCCCCTTTTTTCATGCCATGGCGCTATTGATTCTGGTTCGGTTCGAAAGCGAATCCGATAAGCTCTATTCTTGGCTTTGGATGCCAAGATTTCCAGAATAATCCAGGCACCCCCTTGGGGGACTCGATACCAATACGCTGGGACCCGTGCAGAAGAGCCTCGTGGCAAACGCAATATGTACAGTATAGAATATTCATTTGAATATCTCTCCTCCTCCATAGAACCCCTGAGGATATTGGCAAGTCCACAGCATCCATCCAGTACCTTTCAGGTAACTTATCAGCAGGAAGTCAGCATTTGTGTGGCGCTCGCAGACGTTCTCATATTTTAGTGTCAGAGTCGCAACGAACTACATATGTACTAATGTAGAGCTCGTAAGGATGATGCAGGTACGAACGCCGCTCTGCCGATCAAAGCTTGGTCAATCCCGGGGAAGAAATAAAAATAATAGCAATGAGTCGTTGATCCCACCAAATTGAAAATAGTCTAGAGATGTCTTTTCTGGGGATAATTTGATAATGGGCATCTTTTGGAGTCCATGGAGCTTTTCATCCGATCGGGGGTGTGTGTCAATGCTGATTCACAAAAATACACTCTCACCTTAGCATTAATCAGCCAAACCCGTAATTCCGCATTTAATTCCGCTGGTCTCCATGGAAAACCCGAATTGGGTTTATATTGCATCTCCGCTATTCTCAACATGAAGAATCTCTCACCTTAAACTTGGATTCCAAAGCCCTTCGTCATCATTTACTTCCCCTTAGCTAAGCCCGCCCAGAAGCCCTAAAGGACCCTTCCATCGACCCCAACTACAAGAATCAACCAACACATATGAGAAAACACCCACCCTCCTCGTTCACCACCAATCTAAACAATCCAATCCAATGGCTTCTCGCGCACTTCGATCGGCTTCCAAGCTCCACTCCCATTGCCGCACCTTCGGCTCCACCACATGCACTCGAGCAGTATTAGCTGGCCCAACCCCGCCATCACAGATAACAAGCCATCTGCCCCTCCAACGACGATCCTTCACATCGTCCCTGCCCAATTCATTTACCTCTTCATCTCCAACTTCCTCCCCAGCAACAATGTCTACCACCGACGCCCTCATCCAAGCGGCCCAGTCCCGCCGCACCATCTACAAGCTCGGCAAGAGCAGCCCCGTGCCTGACTCTAAGATCGAGGAGCTCGTCAACGCTGCTATCTTGAACGTTCCTAGCTCGTTCAACACCCAGTCCACCCGTTTGGTTGTCCTGCTCCGTGAGGAGCACGATAACCTGTGGGATATCACTATCGAGACTTTCAAGGGCCTCGTTGCTACTGGTGCTGTCCCCGCGGAGGTCTTTGAGAAGCAGACCCTCCCTAAGCTGCAGGGTTTCAAGGCCGCTTACGGCACTGTATGTGTTTCTGTCGTTTCTATCAGTCATTTCTGTCTTGATTTGAGTCCAGAAGGAGAACCAATTGCAATTGCAAGACCTTTATACTAACCATAACCCAATCAACAGGTCCTCTTCTACGAAGACCCCGCCCACATCAAGCCCTTCCAGGAGAAGTTCGCCACATACAAGGCTCACTTTGAGCCCTGGGCCGAGCACTCCAACGCCATGCACCAGTACTTCCGTAAGAACCCCCTCCCCCCTCCCCTCCCAACCACAATGACAACCACCGCACGTACAACCCCAACTAACATACGCCTTTCTTCCTCCTTCAGTCTGGACCGGCCTCGAAACCCTCGGCTTCGGCGCAAACCTGCAACACTACAACCCCCTCATCGACGCACCCGTCGCCCAAAAGTGGAACATCCCCACTGAATGGCGCCTGATTTCTCAACTCGTCTTCGGTAGTCCCGAGGCTGCTGCTGGCGAGAAGGTGCAGAAGCCTGTTGAGGAGCGTGTCAAGATCTTTGGCAAGCAGTAAGCGAGTCTTCCCATCCTCTTTTCTCTTCGTCAATTTCTCGGAAGCTCTGTGTATATATCTCCATCGGTCCAGAGGGGCTAGGAGATGTTGCCAGCATGCCGGCCTAAGCGGGTCTGGGCTTTCTTTCACGTTATGATGACTTCCCTTTTCGTTGATCTGATGCATTCGGCGCGTTTAGACGTATAGATGGGGTCGAGGCTAGAATTTAGATATGAATAGATTTGGTCTACCAAGATTTGATGCTCGTTGATTAGGGCTTTGGACACAGATTTACCAACTGTACAGTCTGAGAGTTTGAAGAGATTCATACTCACATGTTTCATCTATTTTCATTACCTTGGTAATTGTCTATGTGGAACTGTCTCCAGATTAAGGTTGGCCTGTATACTGGACGAACTTGGGGGATGTATACTCGCCCCCCTCTTGGCTCATGGCTGGCACCAGGACGGGCCAGCTAGCACAACAGTTTCGGATAGCATGTCAGGGTGCAAGGGCAAGATTTTTGAATTTTGTACTGAGATCTGACATAGATTGAGTGAATAATCCTTTAACATGGGGTGAGGATAAGGTGAAGTGTCGAAGATGGCGCGCGAAGATTTAAGGTTATTCTGTGTGACGTAAACACGGAGGTGTGCGCTGCGCCACCATTTTATAGATGCTCTTTCAAGGTGGAAGCAACACAACTTTCCATTTCGCTTGTAATAATACCTCAGTATCAGAATTCAGCACTCTTGCAATCCCTCAGTAAGAATACTTGATCCTCACACTAGCAATTGACACCACCACATACCCCCATTACCCCGATCTATACCAAAACTCCGACGGATGTCCCAAACACTCGCCAACAGTAACAGCTACCACCCACCAACCAGTCAGCCCAAAATACAACCAAAAGTACCAACCCAACCCAACCCAACCTAATTCAAAGATTAAAGATTAACATACCATTCAACCCCCTACTCTCCACCTCCTTAATCATCCTCCCCACCAACTTTGCAGCCGTATTCTCCTGCGAATCATGCGCAAGCACAATACTCCCGCCCCCATCCAACCCATCCACAAACAGCTCAAAACTTTTCCAACTCCTCTCCGGCGAATCATACACCTTATCATCCGTCACGATACTCGCCCCGATAACATGGTACCGCAGATCCGCCATGACGCTCAACATGAGCTCGTTGACGTGTAACCACGGTGTGCGCGTGTATGTGGGGATGAAGCCGAGGATGCGGAGGAAGGCGGATTCGAGGGTTGTCATTTCTGTGAGGATTGATTTGTAGGGGAGGGTTGTTAGGTTGAGATGGCTCCATCTGTTGATAGATAGATATGATTGTGGTTGGTTAGTTGTTAAATATCTAGGTGGAGAATAGGATAGGATAGGATAGGATAGGATAGGATAGGATAGGATAGGATAGGATAAGATGGGATGGGATGGGATGGGATGGGATGGGATGGGATAGGATGGGATGGGTGGTGGGAGTCGGGAACGTACGAGTGAGAACCTATCTGATGTCCCTCTGCAAAGGTGCGCTGGACGATGTGCGAGAGTTCATCGATATTGCCTTTCCAGTCGCCGTTTAGGAAGAATGTTGCGTGGATGCTGGCGTTGGCGAGGATGTCGAGTACTTGTTCTGTGTAGATGTATGGTCCGTCGTCGAAGGCGATTGCGATTGTGTTTGGGATTGTGCAGTTGTTTATGACGACTCCGTGTGGGAGTTGGGGTGTCATTTTGCTGTCTTGTGTGGATTCGAGTGGTAGGATTGGGGTTGAGGGATTGGTGCTGTGGAGGATAGGGCTGCTTTGGAGAGGATAGCGGCGAGTAAGAGATTGAGTTGATGCATGTCTTGTATCAATAGATTGACTGTCGAATGATTGTGTATGGATGCAATGAATGGAAATGGTAAGGATGTGTGTTTGTTTAGTAAAGTAGAGGGGATGTTGAGGCTTTAGGGTTACGAGAAAGACGAAGGGCAAGTACGGCCTGGCCACTCCCTACCAGAAGCTCCATTCTAAACTTTGCAAACAGGGTAAAATTAGAATAGATTCTCATTGAAAATTTGCAATTCCACCCGCCGTTGCCAAAAAGAACAACCAGCCACCAAATCCGTTGACAACTAGTATCAAATATGAATACATCTGGGGAGCGCAAAAGGTATCAAAAGGTAAGGCAGAGTAAGACAATTCCCCTCGCTTTTTTCGCCTGCTGTCCAAACGAGCGGGAAAAAAGAAGGTGAACGTTTCCCCAGGTCCCCGTCTCCATCTCCTATCCCATATTCTCCGGCATCAGCCCAATCAAGCGGGCACGGTTCCTCAGTCGTATCAAATCTAACCCTTACGGGAGTACTTCTTCATCGACTTGCGTTGGCCCTTCTGGCTCTCGCGATCGAGGTACTTACGCTGCTCCTCGGCGGTCATACCGCGGAGCAGACGCTCGCGCTCCTCCTTCTTGATCTTCTCGGCGGCCAGCTTGCGCTCCTCGGCCTTCTCCTCCTCCTCGACGCGACGCAACTTCTTGATCTCTTCGTCGCGGACGTTGCGGATCTTGCGCATCACCTCACCACGCCAGTGGGCGACGGAGACGAGCTTGTCGGCAAAGCGCAGGAACTGGTTGAACAAGGGAAGGGTCGACTCGTAGCCGGACGAAAGGTTGACGGAGAGCTGGATGCGCTTCTTGGGAACGGTCTCGTCAATCCTATATTAGAATTGGTGTTAGTAGAGTGACCGAAGAAATGTCTGGTAATATGGCTTACTTGGTGGGCTTGTCAATGGGCTGGTCAGTCACAATCAGGAACTCAAAGTCATTGCCGGCCTGCTCAATGGCCTGGATAAGTTCCGGGGTGAGCAGAGTATCGGTGATCTCGGCGCTCTCGCTCATCACGGTAACCCAGGAGGGCAGCTTGGGGTGATCCTTGGAGAAAGTGATGGAAGCGTCGTAGCGGTCAGTGCGGAACTTGCGCATGTGGCTCTTGTGCACAACAGCCCAGATGAAGCCATCATAGGTCGAGTTGGCCACCTTGAGAGATGAAGACTCCTTGGCGAGAACGGGAACCAGGTCCTTCTCCTTGCCATCGAAAGCGTACATCAAAGCCTCGTACTTCTCGGCGGGAGCCTCCCAGGTCTCGAAGAAGAAGCTGAAGACATACTCCATGATGTAAGTAATGGGATTGTAGCGCTTGGGCATGGTGAGAGCGATATCCAGGAAAGCCACATTCTGACGCCCAGTGGCATATGCGGCGAACTCGTGAGCCGACTTCTCCTTCAGCAGCTTCTCCGGGTTGGCCAGCTCCACGGTGACCTCCTCAGGGCCCGAGCGGGAGATACCATCGAAGCCAACGACGGCAAACTCCTTCTGCAAGGCCGGAATATGAGCCTTGGCCCAGTCCCGCACCTTGCGGCGGTTCTTGCGCGTACCCCAGAGATGGAAGAGGACAACCACCAGGATGAAAGGCATGATTATGGCCTCCTGCATGAAGTCGCTAGGCGAGGTGCGCTCCCAGATGCGATACCATTTCGTATAGGGAACGGCACCTCCGGTGCTGAAGGCCGGGATAGTGGTCGTGTCGGCGACGAGCGATGCAGGAGACGGGTTCGGGGCCTCGACGAAGTCGGCGAAGTCTATGGAAAGGTGGTCAGTCTTTCGCATTGCCATTGCGATTGAAGGTCAATTGCGCCGATTGAGTCTTACCATCGTCTGGGTTAGCAGCTCCCGAGGGCTGAGAGCCGAACACGTTCTTGAACATGCCCGCCATGGTTGCAATGGAGACACGATGGTGGATGGAAGGGAAAGGAGGTGGAAAGAAATGAAGTGCGGAGCTAAAGCTGGGCTGGCTGTTAGCGGCCCCACGAAATCTCCGGGGGGCAGTTTTAGGCGGTGCTCACTGCTTACGAACCTGCGAACCTACGAACCTCCCGCGATAAGACGGTCAGACCCAGTAAATGAAGGTTTGGGTCGACTGGCAGCTGTCAAGTCACTACTCAAAAGTACTAAATAGGATACTGCTGGCGAGGAGAAAAAAAGTGAAATTTCCAATGTTCCAATCCGATACCCGTTATATCCCAGCCTGTATCCCAAATCCAAAGACTGTACAAAAGTACTGGTGGTATCCCGCGAAAAAAGCACCAAGGTAAAAAATAATCGACGCCAAGGCTTCGCAAGAACCCAAATTTTTGTACAATCCCGCTCTTAAAACAACGCAAAAACGACAAAAAAGAAAGAGTGAACAAATAAAAGTCGTAGCCGTCATTAAAAGCTCGAGTCTTGCTCGAGAGAGAGAAGAGAGGAAATCAAGAGTAAGGAGTGGCGATGCATGTGGCGCATCAAATTTAGTGGCCATAGGCCGGGGGAGGAGCGTCGTCCTGCGCACGAGACCAGAAGTTGCTGCAGGCGTTGTTTGCCATGAGCTTCTCCTCGCGCATACGACGAGCAATCTCGCCAGCCAATCGTTCGACCAGAAGAGAGTCGACAGAGTCGCCGGTTGGATTGTCTTCCTTGGTGAATGGAAGAATGGTCGCGGGCAAGGGTGGCCGAGCGGTGGCCGAGGAAGGACCCGCCTCGGCCTTTTCGTTTTGATAACCACCACGCACGGTAGCACGGGGGGTTGCCTCCACATCCTCAACCTTGGAAGGACGAATGGTCTCAACGGAGTAGGATGGATCCTCGTTGTCGCGAGTCAAAGTGCTGCGCCGAAGGGTCGGTCGCGAGACACTAGTCCGATATCGCTCTGGAATGATCGGCAGGTGAGAATCGGTCTCCGGGGACAAAGGTGGGGTAACAGGGTCGTCGGACTGTTCGTTGACAACGGGCAGGGGTGCAGAGTAGATGGATGGCGGGCTGGAAGATTCTGTCATGGCACTGTCGTCGCTCACGCTCATGGCGTCATCGGTCGTCTTAGGTCGACGCAGGTCCACCACACGCTTCTTCCGTCTCCGGGAGTGAGCCTTTGAGTGGCGTCCGGTTCCCAGATTCAACCCGTAGCTGCTGAACGAGTGTGCCGATGACAGAGATGGGCGGCTGTGTGAAGAGGTGACACTAGCGGTTTCGTGGATCGACGAGGCCATACTGCCGATTTGCGAATGTGTTCGAGAAAGCGTCGGGCTCAGGGGCGAGGCGATGCTAGCGGCAGCTTCGCTGGGGTCAACTGGTGATGTCCATGCTCGATATACGACTTCCTGGATGGAGGGGGTGAAAAGCGACAACGTCCGTTGGGAGTCCGTCAGGGCGGCGAGACGGAGGAGGTTCTTTTGCGAGAACAGCGAATGGGTCTCAACGGAGGAATCCAGAGAGAGGGATGCAATTTGCGATTCATTCAAAGCATTTCCCATCGCATCCACAGGATCCTGTGGGGGGCTTGCCAATGGATCTTGACCGGGACCCTCCGCAGTAGATTCCGTGTTGTCGTTCTGAGTCTTGATGTCCCCCCCCGCGCGATATTCGGGAACCCACAATCGAAGCGACAATCGGTGGATGATAGCGGGTAGCTCGTCCATGAACAGGATGCGGAGTTGAGCTTCGATTTCTTTTTGTAGGAAGTCGCGCACGAATGGGATCGAATCGAACGTCGACGAGACCTTGAGGGACTCGAGGGGATCATTGCGGAAGACCACGGTGATACCCTTTTGCTTAGAGAAGACGAGGATCACAAAGCCGGAGAGCTTGAAATCGGAGAGGGTGATTTGGAGAGGGATGGTGAGTGGAGTTCTACATGTGATTGCGCAAATTAGCGAGAGGCATAAAAAGAAAAAAGATTTCGCGCCCGAGGCGCGCACAGCTGTAAGAAACTCACGCAGCAGCTAGAGGCTTCGGCGATGCAAACGAAGGCCTGGTAAGGAGGTATGTGTTGAGTGGGTTGGCTTGAACGCGGGTCTTGAGGGTCAAGAAAGCGTCGCCGGAATAGGACATCTTAAAGATGCCGCGAAAGCGATCCTCAGCCAGATCACCAATTTCCAAAATCTCCAGGTTGGGGGGCATAGAGCCCAGGTTGAGCTCGGTCACGATAATATCATCGACGATGATGGGCGGTTTGGGAGATTTATTGAGCGCGGCAGTAAGCAGATCTTGGGCGCGAGTGTAAAAGCCCGCGTCCGCCATCAACGGCGACCAGTTGAAGTTGAACGCCATGCCCGCGCATTGAGAAAGAGGCAAGCAAGCGAACCGTGTCGAGTAATCAGAGCGTAAGTGAGAGAGACAAAAATCAGTATTGAAGGGGGTAGAGGGGGAGTGAGGGTGGAGGGTGGAGGCAAAGGCGAAAGCAAAGCAAGAGGAAAGTGAATGTGAAAAAAAGGGCAGAGGCTTCCCGAGGGTCACGGTTTCTCGGTCACACAGGCCCTCGCGTGCCCCGACCACACCACAACTAAGAAACTCCGTATTCAGTACCTCTCGGCTTGTTTGACAACCACTCCCAGTTTCACCTTTTCTTTGTTTTTATGGTTCTAACCAACCTTGATTACGAGTATTTCTCTTAACTCAAACTATTCATGAATCCAAATCTAACGGTTAGCTGGATTTATCTTCGGATTTCATTCATCGTGATTGCGCCCGGATCTCCCTGAGTACGTCACTTCTCCCTCCCTCTTACTAGGGCCCACCCTTTCCGACCAGGCCCGATGCCCTTCCCACTTGGACTCTTCCGGGAGCCATTCACATTCCCTGCCCTGGCTACTCCTGCATAAGTGCGTCCACTGGCTGCTTCAAGTCTTTGGAAGGGGCCCGCTTAGTCGCAACCTGGGGAAGGGGGGAATACATCCACAAAGTATTGGACGCGACACGAAACAAAAAGGCCTCGACCTGCCTGCCATACGCGGTCGAACGCGGGCCAGAAAGGGCCAAGTGCCGTGCCGATCGGGACTCCGAAGTACAGCAACGTGAAGTCCGGAGAGTTCAGAGCCCAGCCCACGGGCGGATGGATCATGTTTCTAGTCAGCGAATCACTGCTAGAGTGGAGCGTAAAGGGAGGGGCCCCGAGAGGGGCCCGTTATGCACATCTTAACGCATCTTCGACGGAGGATTCTCGTGCAAGTTGATCTCATCTTGCCTGCAGCTCTATTGACAAAATAGTAGTCAACAAGGCTACTTTGACCTAGGACTTGGTCATCTACAGGATTGAAATTAGTATCACAAGCACCCGGATTGGAGCCTCATATAAATCCATTGTTCCGCCTTTCCTTGTATCGATGACTAAACACTTGAATGTAGTTAGTTAACTTAAGTTAACTATCACGGCACCAGGTCTGACGTACTTAGTGGGCGTCGAACCCTTTCGTCTCTTTGTTTCCTTCGATATCCCCCATTCCATTTCGAGTCCGATATGAATGACCAGTCACTTGCCCAAAAGAAACTCGAGGAATCAATGGTCGCTGAGGTTGATTCTCTTGTGCTGCTGTTTGAAACTCAGCGCGAGAATTGATGGGGCTCACGGGAGACGATCTAACAGCTACAAAGCGCAGCCGAGCAAGACCTATAGATCCATACTGGCTGTCAACGTTTGGCACATTCTACGATCAAAACTGTTGAATTACCTATTTAAGACTTTAGGAACTTCGCATTCGTAAATAATACCCCGGTAAATCAGGCGATCAGCAATATTCATGTCGAAGTGCAAGTGACGTAAAAACGGCAAGTAGACTCCCGATAGCAGATGTTCTTTGCAGGGCAGCCCCGTGATTGGTCACATGCCGAGCTTCCTCTTTCCACGGCAACGATGCGCTAAACCGCTTTTGGCTAAACGTCAATACCGCCCGACTCGTCTGAATCCATTTAAGATCGCTGCGCTCCACACCGTCTTTTCTCTAATTCATACTCCTACCACTTGGTAAGCTCAACAACATTCATATATCAGCATTTGAGGTTCTCGCTCACCCAAGGGACCATGTCGACCCGAAATTCCTCGTCATTGACGGGTCACGCGACACCAATGGAACCCCGAAAACCCACCACCAGAACGGTCTCGCAACGAAAAGTCTACGGCAAACGACGAAACAACGCACCAAGAGCCGTCTTCGAGAAAAACAGCCCTGCAAGAGCAAAGCCGGTGCCTACAGATATGAATGACACCGTCGAGGCCCTCCAGACAAAGCTGGCCAAGGTGTCAATCAACGATGAGCTGGTCCCTGAGCAGCAGGATCCCGACACTGCATCCCAGGTGAACGAGATCCAGGAAGATGGCACCATTGAAGATGCTTTATTAGCGCAATTGGCTTCCAGTCTGAAAATCACACCGGAATCTATCAACTCCTCCAGCGAGAGTTCGCCACCCAAAGCGCCAGCTTCGAAACAACGGTTCTACGAGACAATGGTGGAAGTTCGAATCTACCAGCAGGCTGCAAAGAAGAGATCTTCAAATACTGAGAAACTGGAAGGAGACACTCCGGCCATAGAGAGGAAAACACCAAGGAAAAAGAAAACTCATCCCTCGGCACGAAGATCATCCGGGTTTGTCCACGACACCAAAGCAAACGCCTACGTTCGTCCTATCCTCAACGAAGCTCTATCTCCCATTGCATCTCAAAGTATCCAAAAATTCAGCACATGGGCCTCCCGCTCCGCAACAATGTTCCAAGTTGCCAAACTCGCCGAAGGCTCCTACGGCGAAGTATACAAACTCCACCTCCGCGACGAAGCCTCTCGACCCCCAGTCTCCAAGTCTAAGCTTGCTAGACTCCGCGCATATGGTGATGGTGTTTTCAAAGTGGTCCCGCTCTGCGCACAACGTGGGCCGCGCTCGAAGAATTTCACTTCCATCGCTGAAATTGTCTCCGAGGTCAAGATGTTGAAGTACCTGGATCCGATTCCTGGCTTTGCACGCTTCAGAGAGATACATGTTGTGCAAGGTCGCTTCCCGGAGTCGTTCCAGAGTGCGTGGGATCATTATAAAGAGACGAAGGATGACTGTTGGAATCCTGATCCGTCTAGTAAGAAGGCGTATCCGGATACGCAGTTGTGGGCTATCATTGAGATGGATGATGCGGGATGCGAGTTGGAGAAGTTTTGTTGGTCCTCGATATTCCAGATCTATGATATTTTCTGGGGCGTGGCGATGGCTTTGGCGAGGGCCGAGGAATATGCGATGTTTGAGGTGAGTTCATCCAGCGTTTGTATTGACACATGGTCATCTTCTGACTGTCTTATAGCATCGCGATCTTCATTTGGGCAATGTCTGTATCCGCTCCGCTCGGCCAGACGGCAAGATGAATCCTCCAACAGAACTCGACATTGCACGCCAATCTTCACCTAGTGGCTTTGGCTACAGCTGTCTTGAGACTACCATCATCGACTACTCGCTCTCGCGCGCTGATCTACGTCTAGCAGATCTACCGGATGACCCTGAGGGTATCGTAGAGATCGCATCGTCCGATCTAGACAAGAGGCAGATTTTCGATGCCATTGGTGAAGACGAGGATGAAGCCCTGTTGAGAGACACATATCGCTATATGCGTGCAACACTATACACCGGTAACCCAACCGAAACAGAGAAGACCCCGGACATCCCAGGTATCTGGGCGGAGTACGTGCCGCGTACGAACCTTGTCTGGCTTCTCTTCCTGCTCAAGAACCTCTTGAAGAATCGCAAGCCCGAGCCCACAGAACCCGTTTCTGCGCCCCAGCGCAGAGCCCTTGCATCTTGCTCTCCAAATCTGGCAATGAGTCCGCAGTCAAAGGGCAAGGCGCCGAAGGCGAAAGACATTAGCGTGGAAGGTGATCTTGTCAGACAGCGACAGACCAAAGATATTCATGCCCGAGTCTCACAACTCAAGCAGACGCTCGAGGATAGGCTGAAGGATGTTCTTGGTCTTTTGGATCTCGAGCATGGTCACGAAGATATGTGTTGCGCGGCGGATCTGGTTGCATATGCGATGGACTCGGAGTGGCTGGCGAAGCAGGACTTCTTCTGAAACCTACATTACTACTCTATGGTTGTAGCAATATCTTGCATTTTGGTGGACGCATGTTTAGGCGCTTTTTTGTTTTACCTTTTGGTGGAGTTTACGTGGCATTTTATTGTGGAGTGGGCATAGCGGGATTATTGCATATAGAGTTTGCATTGGTAGATTGGTATCAATTGGACATTCATCTGGATTATATTTTTGAAAGAAAATCTAAATTTTCTTCAGCGGAATACGACGCTAGACTTTTTTCACTCATCATATTCACCGGCTTCCCCAAAGCTCAGACAACGCTGTCCAATCGGTAAACAACACCCGATATAAGCAGCGTCAGTGTCAGCCTGTCAGGCGCTTGGCTTGGCCACCCCGCTCAAGTTTATCAGCTGGACTCAGCACATCGCAAGATCAATTTCTTCAAATCTTTGTCGATGTGATCATACAGACGGGCGTGAAGTCATTATGAGCTTCGGCTTCAGCGTTGGCGACTTTCTCACTGTCTTCGAACAAGCCAACAAGCTTCGAAAACGATTTGTTAATGCGCCGGCTCAATTTGACGCGCTCTCCGAACAGTACAGTCATACCATTTTCTATGAGATTCCCTCATAACCTTTGCGGATGCGCATTTACTCACTGCTAAGCTGCTAGAGTTCGAAACCTCTCTATTGTGGTTCATGATGAAGATCTCGCCCTGACCAACGTGGTACTCGACACCCAGCTGAAGAACGACATAAGAAAAATAGCGACCAGTTGTGGAAATGTCCTCGCTGAAGTTGAAAGAGCACTTGAGCGATATAGCGACATAGATACCGGCCATGGTGTCAAGAAGGCTTGGAAGCGGTTGAGATGGGATCAGGATGAAGTACGGGATCTTCAGGATCGTGTTTGCTATAACATCAACCTCCTTAAGGGTATAAATGGCCGCGTCACTCGCGACAATGTCGTGGAATTGCTGGAACACCAGAAAGACGAACAGCATCAAGCTTGTCTTGACTGGTTGTCTTCTACGGGTTATGCGGAAGTGCAGAGTGAGTATGCTAGTCAACGTCAACCTGGGACTGGAGAGTGGCTTCTTGAATCATCCATATTTCAAGACTGGAAATCAAAGCCTTGGGCGACGTTGTTCTGCCCTGGTATCCCTGGAGCTGGAAAGTCGATTCTGGCGTCCGTGATTATCGAAGAGCTAAACACTCGGTACGAAAATGACCAGACTGTTGGCATTGCATATTTCTTCTGCAGCTTCCAGACCCATGACGATCAGAGCCAGAAGTTGGAGAGTATACTCGCGTGTCTGCTGCGCCAGCTAGCACAGGGTCTGCCACAAGTACCCGAAAGCCTTAAAGCTTTGTTTCAGAAGCACAAGGGTCGAGGGTCCCGACCATCACTCGATGAATACTTTCTGACTTTCAGAGCTACTTTAAACCAGTGCTCTCGGGCTTTTATTGTCATCGACGCGTTGGATGAATGCCACTCTTCCACAGTAACGCGGCTTTTGGATTTCATCTTAGAGCTTCAGGCGTCAAACAGTCTCAACTTTTTGGCAACGTCAAGATTGATTCCTGAAATAACGGCCAGGTTCAAGAGCAAGCCAACGTGTGAAATTCGTGCAGCTATGTCGGATGTGATGGAGTACCTCTGGGGTAATTTGAGTATATTGCCTTCTTTCGTTTCGCGGGATCCAAAGCTACAAGAAGATATTGTACATAAAACCACCGATGCCGCCGATGGAATGTGAGTCTATGCTAAGTCTGAGGTTTTTATGGCACATGCTAATCATAAGCTAGGTTCCTTCTCGCGCGACTCATGCTGGAATCCTTACAACACAAGTCCTCGCCCAGAAAGATGAAACAAGAGCTTGACGCCTTGACAAGCGTTGCCAGTCATTACGATATTGCATACGATACCGCATACGACAAAGCTATGGAACGAATTCAAGGTCAAGTCCGAGACCAGCGAAAGCTAGCCGAAGAGGTCCTATCGTGGATAACTTGTGCAAAACGACCTCTCACAGCCCTAGAGCTGCGAAATGCATTAGCCGTGGAACTAGGCGAGTCGGAATTTTACGATGACAATATGCCCGATCTGGAAGACATCATCTCTGCATGTGCAGGCTTGGTCACAACCGTATCACGTTCTTCGGGCGACGTGATTAGACTGGTCCACGCCACGGCAAAGGAGTATTTCGAGAGAAAGTGGACAATCTGGTTTCCAGATGCACACAGCAGAATTGCCACAACATGCGTCACTTATCTGTCCTTTGATGTCTTTGAAGAAGGCATTTGCTCAACCCAAACCAATTTCGAAGCACGGCTCCACAGATACCCTCTATACTCCTATGCGAGTTTGAATTGGGGACACCACGCTCGCAATCAACCGATCGATGAGATTCTGATGCTTGAATTCCTGAGCAACACACTTAAAGTCGATGCCTGCGTCCAAGGGCTCTTTTACATCGGCGGCTACTTCACTCACAGTGGATACAACCGCAACGAACCTCCTGGATTCACGGGCTTACATCTAGCTGCATATTTTGGGCTACTGAGTGTGGTTACCTGTCTGCTTAAGGATTTCGATCCTGCGAATACCGATCTTACTTCTACTAAGGACTCTATGGGTCGAGTTCCCCTAGCCTGGGCAGCATACAACGGTCATACCAAAGTGGTTGATTTCTTCATGGAGCACGGATCCAACGCAAACTCCAAGGATAAGACCGGCCGGACACCAATATCATTGGCAGCGTCGATGGGTCATCTAGATACTCTGAATTGCTTCCTCGAGCACAAAATCGACCCAAATACGAGAGACACCGACAATCGAACTCCTCTCTCGTGGGCGGCATATCGGGGGCACCTCAAAATCGTCAAAGCGCTTCTCCCGAAGGGTGCAGACCCTGAGGCCAGAGATGAATATGGCAGAACACCACTTTTATGGGCAAGCTATGAAGGCTGGGTTGAGGTGGTTGAGCTTCTTCGAGAAAGAGATGTGGATATCGAGACCAGGGATAGGCTTGGTCGAACTGCACTGTCTTGGGCCTCAGAAAACGGACACGTGGTCGTGGTAAAGCTTTTATTGGAAAAAGGTGCCCGTCTTGACTCCATGGACGCAGAAGGTCGTACGCCCCTAGCCTGGGCTATCCGGAATCAGCAAGAAGCAATCCGTTTACTTCTAATAGCAGCAGAGCGCTCTAGAGATGGCCCTCCTCGGTCTCGATATCACGACACAAAGCTTGAGTCTACGTCAAAACATGTCGTTCCCATATTCCCTAACAATCCCAAGTCCGTCGCGACAGGGAAAGAGCAAACCCCGACTTCAAAGCCTCCCGAGAACAACCAGAGCAATTCTGACAATGGAAGATGCTTCCAGTGTCCATTGTGTAATCGCGCTTCGTTGACCTCGAACAGGCATGTTCTTCAAAGACATGTAAGGGATCTGCACTTTCCTCGATTCAGATTGGTCTGTTCCGAGTCCGATTGTGGCAGGACGTTCCAAAGAAAGGACAAATTCATGATTCATATGAAGGATCAACATCAAAGAGATATCCATGGAGAGGAAATGGATGCATTCCAAAAAGAGGAGCCACTTCCTGAGGGTTGCATCATCTGCCAGAGGCTGGTCACTTCGTGGGAGGAATTCTATACGTGCATTGAGACGCATGTTCAGGCGCCTTCTTTAGCTCAAGATGCCCCTTGAGGATATAATGCGATACGGATCTCATCCCAGCACATTGGGCGGTTACTGAGATATATACACTTGAGCAATCAAATTGCTGCACACAGATCCACCTTCTTTTGACTTGCATGTAGATTAGAATCTACATCAAAGGTCCCTTTAGACTAGCTTCATCGTACGTTGTACAAACATGCCCCACTGTTTTGAATGTTTGGCTTGTTTGCACCTGCTATCAGCTATCAGCTCCGTCTCTGAGGAACGAGATCCAGATCACTTTCTTCGAAGATTCTCAAATTCAGTAGCGCAACTTTGCCATTGTATAATATCACTTGCTAGGTAGGTCTTTAAATTATGATCCTGTGAGATACGAAGCTGACCAAGTTACAGAATTCAAAGCTGCGCTGCAATAATACCAGCCTATATAAGCATCTGAAAAGAGAGCCACTACGCTCACTTACGTCTGGGTTCCAGCTCTAAATAACTCGTCAACTGGGTCCAAATTTGCTCGACATATCTGCCTCAGAGACTCTTTGATAGATCTTCATATTAGAGACTGCTGGACGTCCGCATCTCAAGAGCTCAGTCACCCTTCAACTCACCCTCCTTCAACCACCACCCACCAACATCTCTCCAAAGACCCCATACAACCCATCTCTTCAAAATGCCAATTACAGGGTAAAAACCATCACCTTAATCCAACCAACCCCCTTCCACCCCAAAACTAACATACCCCCAGCGTCTACTTCATCCCCACAACCCCAAACGCCACAACAACCCTCACAACCCTCACAGAGCGGGTCCGCGCCTCCTTCACCGATGAAGACCTCATCCCCATCGGCCGCTGGTTCCTAGACCACAAACTCATGCGCGACACACCAGGTCTACTCCCCCAATCCACAAACCAAGGCCAACCCCCCAGCAAGCCCCGCTACATGCAACTCCTCTCACTAAGCCACTACCCAACCCACGGCTTCATTTACACGTCCGAGCCAACCGAGAAACCATTTCACCCGCCTAACGCGGCGTCTCCCGCGGGGTCACCGACGCCGGTTGCCATCGCTGCGTCGCCGGGCCAGGGATCTGGCGCGAGTACAGCTGACATGCCGATGGTTATGACTACCGTACCGCCGCCGGCATATAAGACGCTTTTCCAGCACTTCACGTACGCGTGCCAGCCATTCTGGTGTCACCGGTTAACGGTCACCGTGCCGAACGGAGTTGTCTACGACGTGGGCGATTTCCGGGTGCGAATGGGTGATGTGCGGCAGACGTTTCCGGCAGCGCGGGCGCGTGGGTCGATTGTTGAGATTGAATGGCGGGGACCGTCGGTCGTGGACTCGCTTTCGGGCATGCAGCAGGCCAGGAGTGATGGTGGTGAGGATGTGGATTCTGGGGTTGATATGTCAATTTGTGCGCTTGAGGAGGCGGATGTTGATGCTGAATATGTGGCTACTGCGTCTTTGATTCGGGAGTTTTGGGGCCGGTTGGGGGTTTCGGGGGCTAAGGAGGCTATTTTGCTTCCTGGGGTTGGGAAGGAGGTTAAGGAGAAGCTTGGGAAGGCGAGGAAGAGGAATAGAGATGGTGAGAGTAAGGTCCGAGATGAGATTGGGATGTTGGTTGGGGTGGGGAGTGTGCCGTTTGAAGATGATGTTGATCCTACGGCGGGGACAGATGCTGCTAGGCAGTATATGGAGGTTTTGCGGTTTAATCGGTAGAGGAGAGCGTGTGCAAAAAATAGAGCATCATTCCGTGCGGGCTTTGCTTTGGATGCTACGCGGCGTGATAGCGCAAGTAATACGGCCCACAGATGATCACTACAAGAAATCGGATATCTGGGAAATACACGGCCATCTAGAGTGTGATGTGAATGGTGAGATAAAAAAAAGAATCAAGTCCATAGTTGTACACTATGGAAACGCAATCCAGAGCGCTGTCCCAATCTATCCACCGCATCCAGAACGTGTTATCTGCATTTCAACAAGCACGCTTGATCATGATTCATCCAAGCCATAGCTTAGAGCCAGCATCGACCATAGACTGCAGACTGGCATCGGAAAAGGAGAAAAGGAAGACATGGAAGAGAGAAACATCCTTATTGGTGGGGTAAAAACACCGCGAGTTCAACTAAAGATGGAGAAACAGGGCGAAAGAGGGTCGTTTATTTTTGCATCATGAGCTGGACGAACTCGTTGTCTGCAATCGGTGATGGTTAGTATATGGATTAGGCAATAGGATTGGCTTCAAATCTCGTGAGAAAGGGGATTTCGGATGAACGTACAGTCAATGCGACCATCGCCGTCCTGATCCGCCTCGCGGATCATCTCGTCCACCTCATCATCGGTCAGCTTCTCGCCGATGGAGGTCATCACGTGGCGGAGTTCAGCAGCGGAGATGAAGCCGTTGTTATCACGGTCAAACACCTTGAACGCCTCCCGAATCTCCTCCTCTGAATCGGTGTCCTTCATCTTGCGGGCCATCATGGTGAGGAACTCTGCGGGGGCACGAAAATCAATTAGTCTTGGGCTTGAGCGAGAAATAGCAGTAATTATGGTTGAGGCATTGATAGCGTACCGGGGAAGTCGATGGTGCCGTTGTTGTCGGCATCGACCTCGTTGATCATATCCTGCAGCTCAGACTCGGAGGGGTTCTGGCCGAGCGAGCGCATGACAGTGCCGAGCTCCTTGGTGGTGATTTGTCCTATTGATAGCATACGAGTTCAGTCATTCTGTTTTTTTTAATACTCGCAAGTTCCAATGGCCCAAAGACCGCTTCTTTGGATTGAGCGCCCGAGCTATCGGGGAAAGACTGGACTCACCATCGCCATCCTTGTCCTGTTCACAAGCGGGACACCCGCGCTGGTCAGTCTACTGTGTTTTTTTTCGATCGGGGATTGTCAATGAACGCGTCGGAGAGGACTCACAAACAGGGAGAAGGCCTCCTTGTACTCGGAGACTTGCTCTTCGGTCAGAGAATCGGCCTATATGCAAATGCGAAGGTGTTTGTTAGTTAGGGAGTCCCAAATACCAAGATCGTTTGCCCCGCAAAGCGGGGGGACGTTCGAGTCCTAAAGGGGTGTGCAGATAGGGGAAGGGGCAGAACGGAATGAAGGCTAAGGGTGGTCATACCATGGTGAATGAGGATGGTGGAATGAAGAAGGTAGAGAGGTCGAGAGGAGAGATGAGAATGAGGGGAGTGGGATGATGATGGTGGGGAGCGAAGTTAAGGGGAAAGCCGCTGGGCCAGCCTTACACTTCTTGGCCTGACTGCCTTACCGTGTACACAATGGATAGTTTACACCGTGGCTGATGTGCCATACGAGAGTTTACCGCACATGATGAGTGTGCCTGGAGGTAACAGCCAATAACAGAGCTTACAGTGGAAAGCGGTCAATTACTTCCTCGGGAAACAACAGGCAAACAAATGCCAAAGAGCACAGCGGTAAGAAAAGCAGTAAATACGATACCAGATAGTTGCGCTTGTGGTCCAGCAGGGCTGAATCTGACCTCTGCACTTGGTTCCTCTTAACACTTCTCAGCTGAAATGTGGGACCTTGACAGCTGCAGGCGCTTTTCGTTAGTCCACCCGGGTTGATAGTGAACCTCTCTGCCTAGAATCTGCCATGCTTTCTTCACGCTTTGCATTATACTATGTAGCAAGCTGTGTCTCAACCCATAGCTCGGTTGCTGATGGCGCCGGGCGGACCGCAAAAAGCTTGGTATCATGGTGCTTCTAGTTGTGATTTACTCGCATAGCTACTCAAGTCAAGAGACACTTTAGATCCACGATACCTCGAGATGGTGTCATTGACCCCGCGTCTTACGGCGCTAGCTTTCAAACGACATGCTAGGTTCATGCATGCCCTTTCTACCCAACCAACCTACGTTACGGGTGATGGTCTTGTGTTGGGCAGAATCAAAAGTAGCCTCAACCTTACTAACAAAGCTAGTGCGTTCAAAGCAGCACTGCATGCATCCCGAGGTCATACTTGTCTCAACAGTGCCGCCGTTGGAGCTGCCCAAACGGCGTGTATACGTAGCCAACAAAGCAGATGTACAAGCATTGAGTGTATTCTTTGCCTGAGGTTGTAATCTAGATACTATTTAAGTGCTTACTGTCCACATGTTGATACGAGTTAGTTAGCGATGAATGATGCTACTGGCTCCCTGTCACGTCAGCTGCTTTAGCCTACTTATCACTCGCTCTCTGGTACTGCTACTTCGCTACTGCAGGGCTTTTTACCAACTACTGGTACTGATAACCAGGTCTTTGGGTTTAGCTAGCACCAAGGGTCAGTTAATATCAATGCTATGAATAACATTCAAAGGCTCATTTCTTTGATTTTGGATCTGTGGTATGATGTGCGATATAGGCTATCCGATCAGGAGACAGTATGCCTCTTCGGCAATTCCCTAATGAATGTGTCCCTGATTCTCCTCTAGATATGCCTCTGACAACGTAACATCTATCCTGCCTGTTTATTTCGAAGAATTTATTGCTCAAAAGCTTGATATACGGGCTGATATCTTGGTAATACGAAGGTGAAGACATACAATAGGGTTCTCTAAGTTTGAACCCCCCGATAATCTTTCAGAAACACCTAATAAATCATGAGTTTGACGAAAGACCAAAGAGCTGGTATTTGGGCCATCGAAAAAGATGATTCGAAAAACTTTTGGAAACCCCTTTCAAATGAGAAGGATGACACCATATCTGCCTGGTTGGCTCGCTTCTACACAGACTTGGACTGCCACTGTAGGTAATTGTTGGGTAACTATATTACAAACGGTTAGGCCATTCAAGTAAGATGAATGACAACCTAGAATAATAACTTATCTTAACAAGATATAGGTGAGATGATACAATAATAGTGGTTTAGGAGTCTAGGTCCAGTAATTCTGATGATGTCGAGTGGCCATGTGAGTCCGGGGAAGATGCATACGATGGTCGGTGTCAATGATAATGTTAGCGTGGTACTTCCACCCCTACTTCATGACTAATATTCTGCCACCCTTTTATTACGACTTCACGTAATTAAACCACTATAATACAATATATTACCGCCTAGTAAGGTGTATGACCCCCCTGCGCGTCGATAACAGCCTGGCAGCGCTTCTGCATCAGATCAATCTGCTGGTCTAAAAAGCTTGTAGGAATCGCATCCCAAGCAGCTCGCACAGCCTCGCGTAGCTGATCATAAGATAGCTTACGATCATAGTCTTTCAAATATCGATCACCGATCCAATCTTTTATCCAATCCCAAACCTTCTCAATTGGATTAAGATCTGGCGAATACGGTGGCCAGTCGATAGGGTATATCCCACGATCGTGAAGCTCCTCAATAGTTAAGAGATTTCGATGAGATGGTGCGCCGTCTTGCATTACAATTAGATGTTGATCTAAATGATTGCGAGCCAGCGAAACCATACCGTCGATAAGAGGCACAATTCGCTCTGTATATCGAGCAGCAGTAATAGTGCCCCATTCCTTCTCCCAAAATAGACAAGGGCCTTTCTTATTATTATAGAATGAGCCCCAAAACATCCAGCCAGGTGCACGAGAAATTCGCTCTCGTATACAAGTATCATCAAATTCCTCACCAGCCCGACGCGTAACATAGATCCGTCGATGATAGACCGATGTAACCCAGGTCTCATCAGTCCATAATATCTTTTCCCACTGCTCACGCGTCTAATTAACGTGCTCTAGCGCCCAGATTAGACGCAGTGCTCGTGTACGGTCGGACAAAGGAGGCTTTCGAAGGGCCTTACATCGATGATATCCACGTCTAGCTAAGGCCCTTCGTAAGGTGACAGAACTAATAGGGAGTTGTAGTTCTTCTATAACCCTAGAGTACGGCATCCGTCGTGTCTCTTTCGAAGATGAGATAAACTCGATTATCTCATCAAGCTGTTCTTCTGATAGCTTTCGACCTCGGCCAGGGGCCTTACGTGGTGTAGGCCTCTCATCAGTGCAAGCCTTTTGGACCTGACGCTGGGTAATGCCCAGTTTTGATGCAATTTGGCTATAGGTAAGCCCCTGAGCGCGCAGTGTACGCGCTGCGATGCGCTGATCACGACTAGCTTTATGGCTAGGGGTATGAGGGGCCTGGGGGGCCTGGGGGGTATGATCGGATCTTTCGTGATTAGTCTCCATGGTAGGTAGGTAGGTAGGAAGGTAGGTGGCTAGGTGGCTAGGTGGAAGGGTTTGAAACATATGGTATTGCCCTAATCCCTATTCGGAAGGCGGTTGGAGAGGGTATTAGTCATGAAGAAGGGGTGAAAGTACCACGCTAACATTATCATTGACACCGACCATCGTAATTACCGGGTGAATACCGTACCTTTCGGAACCCCTGCGCAGTGGAGAGCTAGCTTCCCGGATGATTCGACTCCGCTGAGATCGGCCTCATCATTCAACCCTACAACGTCTCCGACTGCTCCCAGAGGAACTCTGCCTCCACGCCTTCCTCGTCATTTGAACATGAAACTCGCAGACTCTAAAATACTCCCTCGATAAACCTCCAGCACCCACCCTCCCACGCTCCTCAGCCACGATGTGGCGGGATCGCACCAATCTGTACGACTATCCCAACTAGCTACCTACTGCCTGCGCTGGCCCTCACCAGCTTTCCGAGAAGATCCAGATACTAACTCAATTGCGCCTATCTCCAGCTACATATCCTACCGCCAATCCTTCGCCCACCACCCCGCCAAGAAGCCACGTTTCGGTGCCTCCAATGGCTTCGACGCACCCTCCCAGCCGGAAGAAAGCCGGCGCCTCATCTCCGAGACGGGCGGTTTCGAAGAAGATGGCGACATGGTGATCGAGATGGACCTCCTGCCTCCGCGCTGGGTTGACGTACAAGACGAAGTCTCGGAGCTATTAGCGGATATTGCGCAGAAGTCCGCGGAGCTGGATAAGCTGCACCAGAAACACCTGCTGCCCGGATTCGGCGATGAAGATCTCAGGCGGCAGGATGAGGGTGTGATTGAGCGTCTGACGCAGGATATTACGCGCAGCTTTCATACCTGTCAGAATGCTATTAAGCGGATTGATATGATGGTGCGCGAGGCCAAGCAGCAAGGTGGAGTAACCAGCGGCGAGGAGACTATGGCGAAGAACATACAGATTTCGCTTGCGTCCAGAGTTCAGGAATCGAGTGCTCGCTTCCGGAAGAAGCAGAGTACTTATCTCAAGAGTGAGTCTTCGCTCGTTGCCGGTCGAGTTTACATGTCCTTGCGGGGGCTAGGCGCATCGATCTTCAAGCTAACTGACTATTCCTTGAATAGAACTACGAGATCTGGAAGGCCTTTCGACACCATTCGACCGCTCACCAACTCCAGTACAAAATCCGTTCACGGATCCCTCGTTGATGGAATCGGAAGTGGACAAATCATTCTCGCAGACGATGTTAATGCAAACTCAACAACGAGCCACGGGTCAAAACGATGCCGCCATCGCGCAACGAGAACGTGAAATCAATGACATTGCAAAGGGTATTATTGAGTTATCTGACATCTTCCGCGAGCTGCAAACCATGATCATCGATCAAGGGACGATGCTGGATCGCATTGATTATAATGTGGAGCGGATGGGCACCGAGGTCAAGGCTGCAGAGAAGGAACTTAAAGTAGTAAGTTTCGTCTCTTCGTTTCACCAAAAATCTCATCCTCCGCCGATTTATAATTGTGAATCTGAATGAAAGAGCACTAACATCGGGCTACAGGCTACGAACTACCAACGACGTTCCACGAAGCGAAAGGTCATGCTCCTGCTCGCTCTCGTAGTCATTGGTCTGATTATTTTTTTGGTGGTGAAACCGAAGAAGCACAGCTCTCCCGCCCCAGAACCTGAAGAGGAGTCCTCGAATAATATCAGGTCTGTGCTGGCCTCGGTTGACAGGGTAAGGAGACATCCGACATCCAGGCGATTCTCTCGAGATCGCTGGATAGATCCGGATATATTTCGATGATTGTTTTTCTTCAGCGTGCATGTTGGCAACTACTTAATATACCAATGGGAGGAAGATTTTCATGCCCAGTTACTGTTCGAACACGCTATGTCATACTAGTAGACTTCACGTTACAAAGAAAGTGTTACATCAACATGAATTCAGTAAATACCTAACACAAACTTGGATATCTTCGATTTGACCCATCAACAATGAATACCCCTCTGACAGTCGACAATGGGTGGTGGACAGAACCCGTACAAATGTTCCATAATACAAACAATGTGAAATAAAACGAATCACCAGACTGAAATCACTCGTGTATCACTGGTTTCCTTCCTGAGCGATCATAGCCGCTACATCGGCATCCAAGTCTCCACCAGCGAACTCTGCGTAGTCCTCCTCATGCGCCGTCTTGCGTCTCTTGGCAGCTGCCCCGTTCACACCAATATCAAAGTCGTTTTCACCCCCGGGAGAGATACTGGATGGATCGAATTCCATATCATTGTCCGTTTGAAGAGTGAGGCCATGTGGAAGGCTTAGCGGGGCATCTTCTGTGAACGGGCCGTGACTAGCGTGTGACTGCTCGGGTTTGGGTGATCCAACGGGTGTGATAGCCTCAATGGGGGGAGGAGTCAATGCCTCAACTTCAGGACGAGGAGGCTCCTCGCCTCCATTACCCTGCCCAGGCGCAGAGAAAGAAGAGTCATCTTGATACCCACGCATGATTGCGTCCTCAACCTCGCGCCGCTTTGTGTCCGTCTCCACCTTTTTATCTCCGAATTGTGCCACGAGAGACTCCTCCTTTTCAAGCTCAGTGCGATTGGTTGCGAGAAACTTCTCGAGCCCGTCGATCAGGGCGCGCCGCGACTTGATGACCTCTGAAACGGAATTCTCGGCATGCGCGAGTGCCTTGAGAAGGGTGCCGAGGCGTGCTGCATGCACTGCAGGGGTTATCTTGGGGGCTTGTGGGTCATTCAACTTGTCGTACTCGGTATTGGCAGTTGTGGCCGAGCTGTTGGAAGTGATGGCCGCTTTTGTGAGAGCGACTTGCAGGGGGACCAAAGGCTGGAGTTCAGACGGAGTAGATCCCGCAGAGGAATCCTTGAAGAACGAGCCGCCGAGAGGTTGTTTCTTGGTAGTCAGGCGGTTCTTGTCAATATCTAGTAGCATCAGGAAGTTTAGTCACACGATTCAAGCCATGTCTTCAAGAAGTCAGGTGTATGCTGATCTTACCGTTTACACGAGCCTCCACGGCATCCAGAATCGGGCCTTCGAACACATGGCGCTGTCTCCATACATCCACAACTCGACGGATCTTCTGCTGAATGTCATTCGACGAGCCTTTGTATGCAGCCGCTGTAGCCTCCGCAACGATCTAATCAAGCATTAGCGATGCGAGTGGCGCGTCTCAGCAGTATGATGACAACGAACCGGCGAGAATGCAATCAGGAAATCTTCCTTTCCACGGGCTTTAGACTGCTGCGCGACCTCTATAGTAGGGTCAGCTCATGCGGCGAGGCTTTTTTGAGGCGTGTTTACATACCATTCGCCAGGTAGACGAGGTTCAATCGCTTAGGGGGCGGCGAGTCACGAATCTTCTGAAGCCAGATCTGAGCAGTCTTCTCAGCGTGGCGCCTACACAAAGAAAACACAGATCCAAGTCAGCGCATTTACTTGCATATCATGACAATGTTTAAACAAACCTGTGAAACATGACCCATTGCGCGACAGTAACAATGCTCTCCTGGGTCTCGTTCAGAGCCGAGAGCTTTGCTTTCACAGCATCATCTGTGTAGGCCATGCTTGGGTTGTGTTAGGCAGTCCGATACCGAGTCTCGGGATAGAGGGTGTTCAGGGTGGACGGGGGAGGACGGAAGAGGGTAATCAGTCGGATTAACGTTGAGAAAGTAATAGTAATAATTGAGTCCTGATGGTAAAAGAGCGGTGTAGACTTAGGCTAGGGGAAATCAAACTCTGGCCCAAACAAAGCACCTGCAAAAAGGCCGAGTCAAATATTTCCGCTCAGCAGCTGTTGACGTTGCACGATCAATTAAGTGAAGCTGTCCTCCAAGTAACAACTGAAACCTAAGCTGTTTGCCGCCTTGATCACCGCCTTTCTCCTCCGACTTTTCCCCAACGCTTTCACCGCCTTTAAACACCCCTTCCAACTTTTCACCGCCTTCTCCCCGCTCACCGCCTGGCCTTTATCGCCTTTATCACTTTATCGCATCACGTGCTTCAGCATCATCATTTTCACCGCCTTTATCTATTAGGAAGACATGCTCACCGCCTGGAAATGGCAGTGATCCATGCTCTCTGGCCGCCTCGCCGGCTCCAGCTGTCAACAACCCGCGATCACATCAAGCTCCCCTCATTTCCTCCTCCAACTTTCTTCCGTCCACCAACCTCCGCATCGAAATCCGGATTGTCAACAGGGATATTCAGCCACTCCAGACATCCACCATGGCTGATCGCTTCCCCTCCTTGGAGGACTTCTCTGAGGGTACGCTCCGCTCACTTACATACCCACCGCCCTCATCCGTGCAATTACAACTAACACCATGTGTTTAGGCCAGACTGAGGTCGTCGAGAAGAACAGCGCTTCTGAGGATGACTTCCTCGCCCGTGAGCGCGCCGCTCTTGGAGAGGATGCCGACCAATTCGCTACCCCTCAGGACCACATTGCGGCCGTCGGCAGCGGAGATGACCTACTGGGCGGAGGTGACGACACCCCCGCAGAGGAGCTTGGACAATTTGAGTCTTCCTTCCCCTCGGTAGAGACCCAGGCACAGAACGAGGTACGAATTACTTCTTGGATTCTTTTGGAGAAATGGGATGCGCTGACCTGGTGGTTTCGTTGAACAGCGAGTTGCCCCTGGCGGTACAATCACCGGAACCGGTTCCCCTTTCCCTGCCACTGGATCTGCTTCTCTGGAGGACGATGAGGAGGAGCCTGAGCCTATTCGGTGAGTGGTCTACTCTCAACCTTTGTCATGATGCGGGCGCATTGAGTCGGCCGCTTGTCGGTTATCCCTCTCATTCCTACATGTTACTGACAATTGCGCTCGAATACAGTCTGTGGCGTGAAAAGCGCGATGCCGAGCTCGCCCGTCGCGCTGAGATTTCCCAGGAGAAGAAGGAAGCCACCCTCCGCAAGGCCAAGCAGGATATCGACGACTTCTACGTTGCCTACAATAACAAGATCGACAAGCAAAAGGCCCAGGCCCGCGCCGAGGCTGAACAGTTCCTGGCCAGCCGCGAGGACACCTCTGCTGGTGGTACCTCTTGGGAGCGCATTGCCAAGCTGGTCGACGTTTCGGGCAAGGGCTCCGCTGGCGGCGACAGCAGCTCTGGCAAGCATCGTTTCCGTGAGATGCTGGTCGATCTGCGGAAGGATAAGGATGCCCCCGGTGCCAGCGGTGTCTAAACGTGGGCGATGAAACAATGGAGAGGCAAAGGAGCTCGACAATGCTGGGCTTTGGGCTTGCAACAACCTCCGGGTTTCTACCCAAGCTCACGCTCACGCTCATGAGTGTGCAGACTCCGCGCCTTTCCATCTTTGACATCTTTAGTTTTGGGAACAATGCCTCAGTCGCACGTTTTCTTTTGGGGCTCGTTTTTGTTTTTCTTCATTCACCAGGTACTTCGTCTATGATTTGTTTTTGCCCCATTCGTCTATTTCACCCATGAATTTCTTTCACTCCATGCAGCGAAGCGGCCTAGGAGATCTGTGTAACATAAATTTTTCAGACTGACGGCAACGTTAATATCAAGAAATCCCATCTAAAATCTTCTTAGTTTCATTCATGCTGGGTAATGCGACAAGGTCAACCAAACTTGGTATGCGTATGGGGAGTAGGATGTAGAGACAAAGACACGTTATTTCATTCGTTGCTCATTGCAGTGTATCTCATCATTTTGTGGGTATTTTATGCTTAGTCCAACTCAGTCACATCCCCACCAGCCTCGCCGACATCCTGCTTAGCCTCAGCCTCAATCTCAGCCAACTTCTTTTGACCTTCCTCCGTGGTACCATCAATGATTCCCTCCTCCAAGCTGAGCATACCGCTCTCACCCAGTTGCTCTACAACAACTTCGGCTTCCTCGACGGTCATCTTGCCGAGAACCTTGTTGACCTCGTCCAGAGACTCGGATAGCAATGCTTTCTGGAGCTCCGGTGAGAAAGCATCGAAAATCTTGCGGGCCTCGATCTCAATAGGCTCCTCGCTGTTGGCTGCGGGGATGTTGATAGTAATCTTGGTGTTGGGGTCAACCGCATGCAATTGGATCTGCTCAACACCAGCTGGGTCGTTCGATTTCTCTTTGCTGAGCTCAGCTGCGCGGGTCTTGATGCGATTGTAGGTGTCGTTGACATCATTGGTGAACAAGGTTGCAGCGCGATGTTCCTTGGTAGTGATACTGCGATAGAATGTGTTAGCTAGAGTCTACAATAGACAGGCAGGGGCTTACTTACCGGCCGAAGAACAGCTTGATACCATCGGGGCCGAGGGAACGGCAGTACTGCAAGAGCAGTCCCTGGTGCACACATTGGCGAGCGTATGCCTCCTCGCCCTTAAGCTGGCTGTTGAAGGCCTCAACAAGCAGACCATCCGTCTCCTTCTCGGCAACGATTTCGGGGTGTTCGGTGATGAATCTTTGGTAGGCAGTGTAGTCATTGGCCTTGAGTTTTGCGAATCGCTTGGCCAATGGGCTGATCTCGATGTTGGCCGGATCATCGTCGTCATCTTCCTCAGCTTGGGCAGCCGAGGAGCTTCCAGCACCAGGGTTGAGGAGCTCCACCTCGGATGTCTTGGCTGGCGCCGCAGCTTTAGCCTTTGGCTCGGCCTTGGGCACGTATGAAGAATTGAAGCCATCATGCAGGCCTTCACTGGTGATTTTGCTGCTCTCTTCCTTCTCCAGCTGCGCCAATCTCGTCAACAACTCCTTCTGCAAGCCCTGCACCTTGTCCTTGTGTCCTTGCACGCCAGTGATATAAGCCTTGAACATATTGTCGGGCTTAGAGTCTCCAAATTCCTTCTTGACTTGGTCTACCAAAGCGCTCATCATCTGCGAGTATTTGGGTTGTTCCTTCTCGTGGGTGTGGACGCCCTCTGGGGGTGGCGGGACCTGGTCTTCGGTAGGATTGCTGGCGAACTCCATGATGGTCTGGAAAATGAACTGCTCGGGGGAAGCTGAGGAGTCTTCATGCTGCTTGAGAGAATCTAGGAGCTTGTCGATGCGGGAGAGTAGGCCATCGTTGATAATGCGCTCGTACTTTAGGGTCTTGATATCGTGACGGCGCTGTTCACGCTGCTGGTGAATCTGAGCCTGTTTGGCCCGAATGAAAGACCGTTTGTCGACATTGGGGTGCACTTCAATATCCGAGTCATCGGATAGCTCCAGTGCATCCCACTTGCTGTAGTCAAGGACCATCTTGCACGTGGGGGTAAATCTCGCGGGGTTGTTAAGTGAGGCGGGGTATCAGCGGAGAATAATCTTCAAATTAATCGGTGAGAAGGCGCTGTTGTAGTGACTGAACTAACCCACAAAGAAGCGCATACAAGGTCTTCACCGTGAAATGAAAGTCAACGGGAGAAAGTTGGTTCTAGGAAGATATTCTAGACAAGCGCATCGAAAGCTCTCGAACAGCTTCCATAGGCGGTGGTAACTGGCAGAATCGCAATTAGGTCTGCCGACGGAGAACGGGGGCGTGCGATCTCGCAACTCCACATGCTTCGGGGAGTTGACTTGAGGACTGTGGAACATGCGGTATCGCTAATTCTCACTCCATATGATAATGGCCTTCTTTGACGCTTCTCGGTGATAACATCTATCCCCTCCCATTGACCGCTCAATTCAATTCCGAAAGATGCGCGGTCTCCGGCTACCGGCCTGGGCCTCGGGCGTCAGCCCTCGGCCGGCCTTAAGATCGCAAAGTGCTGTGCTTCGTGACAGCTTGCCTCTGGCAAGTCGAAGCTTTTCTCAAATCGGCGAATCCAACGGCGCCAACCGACTGTATACCACTGCCTCAGGAACTCTTCGCGACAGAGTCGGTAGTTCTGTCCGACCAGCCGAGGTCCCCCTTCTGCTTCGCCAACATAACTCCCAATATACCTCATCTACATCTCAAATTGTTTCACAAATACGGTCCTTGAGCTCATCGCCACATCTCTACCAAGCGAAACCGCCCTCGCCTTCCTCGCCACCTTCGAACAGCTCCCAGGCAAACACTCACCCGGTTCCGGAAAAGGACGGAGAAGATGCCGAAGATAAAGGGTTCGAGCTATCGGAGAGGGCTGCTCAAGCTGCGCAGGTCAATCTCCGGGCCAAGCTGGCCAAGGATGGTACCTCGGGCAAGAAATCCGGCTTCGCGGAAATCTGGCGGCTGTTCAAGATTGCGCGACCCGAAGCGAAGGCGCTCGGGTTCGCTTTCTTCTTCTTGCTGGTCTCTTCGTCTATCACAATGTCCATTCCCTTCTCAATCGGTAGAATCATGGATGGAGCTACAAAGAGTGAAGAAGAGGGCGGTGGCAAGCTGTTTGGCTTGAGCATCCCTATGTTCTATACTGCTCTTGGTGGAATCCTGCTCGTGGGCGCCGCTGCCAACTACGGTCGTATCATTATCCTCCGTATCGTTGGTGAACGAATTGTCGCGAGACTGCGCTCCAAGCTTTTCCGTCAGACTTTCGTTCAAGACGCCGAGTTCTTTGATGCCAACCGTGTCGGTGATTTGATCTCTCGCCTGAGCTCGGACACCATCATTGTTGGCAAGAGCATTACGCAGAACTTGTCTGATGGTCTTCGGGCTGGTGTTAGCGGTGTGGCCGGGTTTACTCTGATGGCCTATACGAGTCTGAAGCTTTCCAGTATCTTGGCCCTCCTACTGCCTCCAATCGGTCTGGGTGCGCTCTTCTATGGACGCTCTATCCGCAATCTCAGTCGCAAAATCCAGAAGAACCTGGGTACATTGACGAAGATTGCTGAGGAGCGCTTGGGTAACGTGAAGACTAGTCAGTCATTTGCGGGTGAGATTCTTGAAGTCAACCGATACAATACCCAAGTGCGTAAGATCTTCGACCTCGGCAAGAAGGAGTCTTTGATCAGTGCGACATTCTTCAGCTCGGTAAGTTTCTTATTTCAATCATTTTTAGCTTATACTAATCGATTTGCAGACTGGTCTGATGGGCAACATGACTATTCTGTCTTTGCTTTATGTCGGAGGTGGCATGGTCCAATCAGGAGCCATCAGCATCGGAGAGCTGACATCATTCCTGATGTACACTGCCTATGCTGGTTCCAGCATGTTTGGCCTCTCAAGTTTCTACTCCGAGCTCATGAAGGGTGTCGGTGCTGCAAGCCGATTGTTCGAGCTCCAGGATCGCCAGCCGACTATCCATCCAACCAAGGGTATCAAGGTTGAGTCTGCACGGGGACCTATTCGATTTGAGAATGTCTCCTTCAGCTACCCAACTCGCCCTGCGGTGAAGATTTTCAAAGACTTGAATTTTGAGATCCCTCAAGGAACCAACGTCGCTATTGTCGGTCCTTCTGGAGGTGGCAAGTCAACCATTGGGTCCATCCTGCTTCGATTTTACAGCCCAACCGGAGGCAGAGTCCTCATCAACGGAAATGACATCAAAGATATGAATGCCAAGTCGCTCCGACGGAAGATCGGTGTGGTCGCCCAGGAGCCTGTTCTTTTCTCTGGAACCATTGCTGAGAACATCTCTTATGGCCGGCCTCATGCCACGCGCTCCGAGATTGTCGCTGCAGCTCGCAAGGCCAACTGTCAATTTATCAGTGACTTCGTAAGTCAACCTGCTCGTAATGTGATACCTACAATGCTAACCCAAATCACAGCCCGATGGACTTGATACCCATGTGGGAGCTCGCGGCGCGCAACTGTCCGGTGGACAGAAGCAGCGTATTGCCATTGCCCGTGCTTTGATCAAGGAGCCGGATATTCTGATCCTCGACGAAGCCACCTCTGCCCTTGATGCCGAATCCGAGACACTGGTGAACAGTGCCTTGGCCGCTCTTCTCCGCGGTAACAACACCACCATCAGCATCGCCCATCGCCTTTCTACCATCAAGCGCTCTGACACCATTATCGTGCTCGGACCTGATGGCACAGTCGCTGAGCAAGGCTCCTACGAGGAGCTTAGCTCTCGCCCCGGCGGAGCTTTCACCAAGCTCATGGAATGGCAGATGAGTGGCGGAGACCAAGTCCCTGCTCCTGCTACGCGGGCAGTTCCACCAGAGGAACTCTACAAACTTGAGCCTGAAGTAGAGGAGCAGGAGTTGGAAGAAGAGGAGGAGGTGGAGGAATCAAAGTCCCAGAAAAAGGAATAGACTCGGACTTTATGTTTACATGTCGGTATACCCCAGCGCCCAGACACCATAAAAAAAAAAGGGAGGTGCTTTTGGGGTTTCATACATCTATCTCACAACTCATCTCTTCGGGACCGATCTCTTCTCGTACACTTTTTTTTGCATTTTGTGTTGGATTATGGGCGATAGAATTTAAATGGAGCGATGAAGATTTTGTATAAATAGTGAAAATCACACGTTTGAAATTTGACCTTGGTCATTTCTTGATCTACTCAACTAGACCTAGGATGAGGCCAATCGCACGCCAACTTGTGCTTTCTCACAACAGACCATTTCATTTTCAAATCGGATATACTGGAGGTTAGGTACAATGGATCCATGATATCTAGGTTGGAGAAACGATTTTACATATAGAACATAAGAACCTGTGAAATCGCAGCCCCTAGCGCCACAAACGGCCGCCATTTCACCCGTAATGATTTCCATGACCTGGCCGCCGCTCGACCGCCCCATCAATCTTAACCACCACGACTCTGCACCCGCCAAGCCAAGCCATGTCAGTCATCATCCTGGCTTAACTAACTAACTAGTTAGGGGCATTAAGTTATAGCAATTCAGACTTGTTGATCTCCAATTGGCGCGCAGTATGATTTACTAAGCAGTATTTCCGACTCTTCCTCGCCTGTCAAAACGACTGAGGCTATGGCTCACATGGTTCATCACCGGGCTCTGGCCCGTTACAGTATTTAGTTCTTCGCGATTACTTGTATATTATTACTTGGTTACTACCTGTTATGATACATCTGACATGAGGTTATTCGCATCTGGACGCCTTAGGTTTCCGGCTGACAGATCAGCGGCCTTTCGGCAGTAACCCGTCGGCTCTTCGCTGCTGCTACGATGCCAGACCTCGGCCAGGAAGATCCCTGCGAGAAGCTTATGTTTCTCTTGATTCCCCTCTGTTGTCTAGGATAAATTTCCTTCCTGTTTCGAAAGACAAGATTGTATACAAATGGGGTTATGGAAAAGAGGTCTTCGGTTCCTCAAGAAACAGGCTTTGACCTTTCTGCATCATTCTGTCTTGGTTCCTTTCTTCTACCTGATTGACAAGCCTCAATCCTGAATTATAGAGTATATCTTTACAAGAACGCAGCCAACTTACGGATGTGGTTAAACTTTCGACAAAGAGAGTAGCTTCCGACACTGTTTATAAGCAAAGCTTTATAGCTAAGTCAGTCCTAAGCCTTAAGAAAGTGGAAGTAGGTTTATAGGGTAGAGACGTAGAATTTCTTGTTAGAGACAGAGTAAGGCTAAAAGACTTCGCTTCGACCACTATCCGCGCAAAAATAAGCCTTAATCATTAAAGGCCTTTTTTATGCCTATACTAATATTACTACGCTTCGTGGGGGGAGTATCCAAAGGAAAATTACCCCTCAAGCCTAAGTGATATGCTAACAGAGAACGACAGCAGTGGCTCAGTTCGATCAAGCATTTCCGCAGCTAGTTCTCCCTTCAACTCACAGCTAACAACTCCTAGATTAGAAGTCATTAATCCCAGAATACTCGAGCCATCAAAAGTCGACAAAGCTCAGAGACCCCGGCTTTATAATCAAGATTCTATAGAAATAGATTTTCTTGAAACTCTGGGTGAGGAGGATATCAAACTTAAATCATTCGATTATGCAGTACACCCCTATTCTTATACTCAAAGTACCATCGGTAACCCACTCCTAGTCTTGAGACGGTTGTTCCTAGTACTTCCGGGCCGGCTGATCACTACGTAAATAATGTATACCAACCTAGTGACCGGGTTACTAAAGAGTTACATACTCTCAGTCTACCTCTAATCGAGGTCAAGGCCACAGAAGAGGCTACGGAAGTGACGTCCCTGAAATTGTACAGTCTGAAAGTACCTACCACAAGCTTTGCCTCAATTAAAGTGACTGAGGGGAAGAAAAGCTCGTGCAGCAACGACCCGATCATCACGTCACGCAATAGTATATATTCTTCTACGGAGAATAAGACTAAAAGCAATCTTTCCACCCATCAAGGCCCCACCGATAGAATTACACCTCTTAGTGGGAAACTTGTCAATAATGTCAGGAAACCTCTACTAGAGCCCAGGCAAAACAACAGCCGATTAGGCATTTTTCGAACAGTTCGACGAGGAATATGCCCCGACAGAAGCTCAATTCAACAGAGAAACGAAAGCTGCGTGAGCTTAAAAGCAAGAATTGGACCCTGAGGCAAATTGGGAATCATTTTACAGATATAGATACGACCTGTCTGCGACAAGCTTGGATAGATATATCACACCTCTTCAGCGATGCGCTAGGTCACGGACTCAGCAGAGAAGTGGCTAAGCAATAGTGATTAGGTCCAATGTACGATTATTGTGTGAATTATGCATTTCTAATTGTAGATTATTCTCCAAGAAAAGTCCTCGCCAACTTCCTCAAAGGTCTCGTCCCGACAAATTCGCCGTTCGGCAGGAACCCGAGCTGGTGTAGCCTTTCTAGTATGTGTCACACGTCATGAATGCCACCGTAGACCATGTCATGATAAGAATGGCGCGTTTTCGATGGGAACCGGTTTTCTAGTATCGTCGAATTGGGGGGCCTGATTTTGCTGAAGCGATGAGATAATGTTGGGCGCCTTGATCCAAGTCGTAAACATGGACAATCGAGCTCATTGCCAGGACAGGAAGATGATATGTATGGGCAGGTATCAGTACCTAGTTGTAATGGGTAGGTTGCTGAGACACGGAGCTAGATAGTGAGTGAGTGGGAAGAGAGTTAATACCCTTTGCAAGATAGATAGTTAGGAGTCTCTCTGGTACTAAAAGTCTCAGCCAGGCGGCCTTGGGTATCCAATTTTCCTTTGTTACAGTATTACAGTAAAGGCTCACTTTCTCAGCCAATCGAACCCTATTGTTCTCACAATACCAGTAAATTCCCAGACGTTTCTCCCTTATCGCATCCCTGTCTTTGTCAAAGACAGAACAGCACCGCTCCAATAGCAGTATCCAATGCATAAGCCCATGCCAAGTCGCGTTCAAGTGGTACGCCAGCTTCAAGTCGAAGGAGGAACTCAACCTTCCTCTACTGACTCTTGAGGTACAACTCTAGCATTTGAAGGGTTCTAAACCATTATTACTGGTCCAAAGTAGCCTGAAGGTCTCTACCGAATCCACTGCAATGAGCTGTTCTACCGCGTTCCAGGATGTCCCAAAGTAGTCCATTCAAGCCCCCTTCCCCACCAACCAGAACGAACTAGTTCTGAAGTAGTAAAAGCAAATGTTTTATAGTAAAATTTAACAAGTTTCAACCGTCCAGACTTCTTCAACGCTCTTAAAAGGACCACTTCGCTCGGCCAGGAACGACAGCGGCTGTCCCCATCAAAATCGAGTCCGACTCCGAATACGACCTGGATTCCATTAAGGGCGAGGATATTGATTAGGATTCCTGATTCAGATCGATGGTGGGTCGCCGTATTCGGGGCAACATCATGCCGACATGAGTCCAGAATATGTCTGGCTCGCACCCAAGGACATGAAGTAGCATACGAGAACACATACCTTCGGATCAGAACAAGTACAATCTCACCTTCTAAATTGTGAAGCAAATATGCCTTCCCAGCCTGAAAAGTACGGAGGCACTCTGGTGTGAGGTCGAGCTAGCCACGGGTGATCTCAAGCCCGATAGGGCGGAAGGCGCTTGTTCGATGTTGAATCACGAATTCACGGTCGAACAACCCCTACTTTCGAACCCCTTCATTTGTCAGACTCGGATTTAAGAATAAATCTCCGGTACCGAAGTACAGTAGCAGAAAGTTAAGATCTACAATAGCAAATCGCGTTGTAGGTTAGCTCGGGGCGCCTTACGGGGATGAAAACTCGGTCCAAAATTTTCGGACGAGTTCACTTCGACCAAACGCGATAATATCTACGGAGTACAATAAGCTTATATTAAACTCTAATCAACGGACCAAATTTACGGATGAATGGTATTGACTCACAATTTGTAAGGCTGACACTTGCGGCTGAAATGTAGACTCAAGCCCAAGGGTGGATATGCAAAGCGGCCGTAATATCGGACTTAGCAACCAGACAGTTGGCTCGTAGTTTAAAACGACATAACAAGGCCCATCAGCCTTGAATTTTTAGATTCTCGCGAATTTGTAATTTCCTAGAGATTTCAGCAGCCATGTCTCAAACCTCGAGCAGTCGCCCGCCAAGCGAGAAGCCGGACATCGACAAAATGGCCGCAAGTCAAGATGAGAAACAAATTGAAGATGGCGAGAAGGGCGTAGGTAGCCCTGACGAGGGACCCCAAGAGCATCCTAAAGGCTTCGCTTTGGCTATGGTGATTGTGGCTCTCGTTTTGAGTGTTTTCCTTGTTGCTCTTGACATGGTAACTTTTTTTGAGATCAAGGTAGTTCGAAACAATCCCAGCTAATATCACCCACAGACCATCATTGCAACGGCCATTCCTCGCATCACCGACCAGTTCCATAGTTTTGATCAGATTGGCTGGTACGGCTCGGCCTTTTTCGTTACTCTGGCAGCTTTCCAATCCGTCTGGGGAAAGGCTTACAGGTACTTCCCTCTCAAAACGGGGTTCGTGGTCGCCATCTCGATCTTTGAGCTCGGAAGTCTACTTTGCGGTAAAGTCCCATACACCCATCCATGTGTGAGCAAGATCTAACAGAGGACATTGCAGGCGTCGCACCCAACAGCAACACACTCATTGCTGGAAGAGCTATAGCAGGCATTGGTGCTGCTGGCCTTGCTTCAGGGTGCTATACGATCATTGCTCTCGCTGCGCCCCCTCGTCTGCGGCCCGCCTTTACAGGAATCCTCGGAGCTACATATGGATGTGCCAGCGTTGTCGGTCCTCTTATCGGTGGAGCTTTCACTGATCACGTTAGTTGGCGCTGGTGGTAAGCTTCTCGCACATATGGGATCAGTTCGTTACTCCGGCTAACTAATAGTTCAGCTTCTACATAAATCTGCCTATTGGCATATGCTCTGCGATTGTAATTTTCATATTCTTCAAAACCCCGGCGGCAGCGAAGCCCGTTGACGCCACTTGGAAGGAGAAAATCTTGCAAATGGACTTTCCCGGAACTGCAATCATCCTTGCCGGTATGATCTGCTATCTTCTTGCCATGGAGTGGGCTGGCGTCACCAAGCCGTGGAACTCCGGAAGTGTGATCGCACTCCTGGTCGTCTTCGGGGTTTGCATCATTCTTTTTGTCTTGAACGAGTGGTGGCAGGGCGCGAGAGCCCAACTGGAGTTTAGTAAATTGACACAGAGAACATTGGCTGGTGTTTGTGTCTATACCATCTTGTGAGTCCGCTGCCCGTCCAATTTAGCAAGAATTATGGCTAACAGGAGGCTAAGCCTCTCGGGTACCTTTTTCGTTCTTCTATATTACCTGCCTATTTACTTCCAGGCTATCCATGGTGTATCTGCAGAGGAATCTGGCATTCAAAATCTTCCAATGATAGTAGCAGTCTGTGAGTCAATCTTTCAAAGTAGTACTTGGTGCTTGGATCGCATAGCTGATTCTCCCAGCACTCTCAACTGTCATTTCGGGTGGCCTCATATCGACCTTCGGCCACTACGGACCCATCCTGGTTATCGGGAGCGCTATGGCCACGGTTGGCACTGGCTTGCTCTACACGCTTCAGATCGATTCACCCTCTTCTCAGTGGATCGGCTACCAAGTCCTAGCAGGGTTCGGAATGGGATTGACTTTCCAAATTCCAATAATTGTTGCTCAGTCCACCTGTGAGATCAATGAGGTCTCTCATGTCACGGCCATCACCCTTTGTAAGTGTTGAACTTCAAGATTGTGCGGGCGAGAGTACTGACTGGTCCAAGTTTTCCAAATGATAGGTGGCGCAATCTTCATCTCCGCGGCACAATCTATTTTCGGGAACAAGCTTGTGCAGCGCCTCGTCGTGAACGTGCCAAATATCGATCCATCGATTATAGTAGGTGGCGGCGCAACGGGGTTCCGCAGCTCACTGCCTGCTTCGGCCACACCGGGAATTGTGCTCTCGTACATGCAGAGCCTGCACATCGTATTCGCACTTTCCATCGCCCTCGCCGGTATGGCGACGCTGATGAGCATCATTCCAAAATTCGAGAAGATCAAGATCAGGATGTGAGAAAAAGAGAGAAAGACTTTAAACAGGGAGCGTGTATGACTGGCCGAGATTAAGATAAGAACAAACCCCCTTATATTAATCTTGCTATGTTTATGTAGGCCTTCCTACTAGACTAAAGTAATTGACTAAAGATCTTAATTTTATTAATTCTACTAGCACTATCCTACCCTTTCGAGAGCTAATTTCGCTACACTATATAGATCGAATTTAATAAGTTCTTAATATACGCGTATTCGAACTAATTAGCGTATAGCTAGTTATATACGTACACGAGACGAATTATACGGATATTAAATAGTCTAATTACCCTCGCTACTAATTTATTAATATAAGATAGGTATTTGCCTATAAATTAGATAAATAAGGCTATCTCACACGATTCAAAGCGCGCTTATATAAGCCTTAGTTGTAGCTCAATCTAGTTCTGAACCTGGATGACCTATACTAGCCCTTAAACCGAGTTCGTCAGCAGAGAGAACTCAGCCCTGGTAGAGTCAATCTTGATAATAATTAGAACATAGGAATAGCAAGTGCCAAGAGTGGATTATCAACGCTAGATTTGATCGAGATATGAAGGGTTAAGACTACTGTAGCCGCAGGAGTGGAAACTCCATCGCCGCCAAGCACCAAATGAGGGAGCCTGGGCAAGATGGTGATCCTACGCTCAACTGTATGGGACTTGGTCTTTCGGTAAAGATTGAAGAGTTTGGACTTTGGTACACTAGGAGGAGTTGCTAGGAGATAAACGAGAGAGGATGAGGACTGTTTTCAAGCGTGCAGTAGTAGTCGGTATAAAAAACGACCTTGTTCGCACACACAATCATCAACAATCTATTATGTAAGGTAAATCAATACGTTTCCATAAGATGCTGGAAGGGCAAACCCAATTGCCTTTTTCGGTTTAGTGCTGACCCGGGTAAAGATAAACGTGCCTGGGCTCAAGTAGTATATACTTTAAGTTCTATCAAAATTGGCGTAAGCAGGCTATGCCTCACCCGCCTAAGGGGCAAGGGAGGCTCGAATCGTCGTTACCTAATGTGGGACGACGGTGTACACTTAGAGGATGAGGATGCTCGGTGACGTTCCGATCATAGGAAAGGATAAAATCCCTAGACCTACCGCGTTTCCTGGCATTTCTACTCCCCATCCAATCTTCCAACCGTCATCTCTCTGCTACTTCTTTATCTACCATTGACGCCAACCCGAGATACCCTTCACTTCATTCATCACGGGCCAAACTAGACGGATCGCGTGGATCTTCCACGCCCTATGTGCTTAGGATCGTCTCCCTGATATGTCTTATCATAGTCGCCTTGGGCTGTACCAAGCCCAGTTCCGACACCTTGAGCAATCTTTACTTCCTGTTGGTACGTTGAATACTTATCGTGCACTGGCCCCTAGTCTCGGGAATATTCTGCTAACGATATGACTCTTATAGTTTGATCTCCAAGACACCAGCAGTATGGGATCCAAAACGACAGCCGAAATTCAAAACACCCCCAACCAGTACAACATCACAAGCGTGAGCTCCTATGATGTCTCCGATGTCCTCAGTAAAATCGAGGCAGATAGGACCCTAGCGGACTTTTACCAGATTGGTCTTTGGGGCTACTGCGACGGTGATGTCAAGAATAACAAGACCACCGTAAAAGAATGCTCTAAGCCTGAGAACGAGTTCAACTTCAACCCTCTCTCGGTTTGGGGTCTGAACTCTACTACCATGGACAAGTTATCAAAGGAGTTTAACCACGACTTAAACGTCTATAAGACAGTCTCTAAGTGGATGTTCATCGCCTATATCGCGGCATTCATTATGATCATCGCCGAGATTCTCGTCGGGTTCTTCGCTATCTATAGCCGCTTAGGTGGCTATATCGCTACTGTGGTCGCTCTCCTAGCCTTCCTTTTCACTACCGCCGCGACAGTCACGTCTACTGCCCTAATCTCCCTTTTCGACTCCTTCCGCACAACTCTCAAGGCCTACGGAATCTCTCTATCCGTAGGTAAGCAAATATATACTGCCACGTGGCTAGCCGTCGTCTTCTCCCTTGGCGCATTGATCTTCTGGTCCTTCATCGTGTGCTGCTGCTCCGGTCGCTCGCTATACCCCCACCGCAATAAAAACACCCGCGACATCAACGCCGAAAATTACGAGCCCCTCGATGCCGGCCAGCTTCCCTTTGGCCACCGGCAGCGCAGCTCGTACTCAACCCCTGTGGCGCACGGCGGCGACTACCCTATGACCCGCGCTAAGCAGTGATCCAGCTCAAGAATTCCCTCCGTCCTCTTTGTGTACAATTGATAAAGCGTTGCTTAGACTGGGTATCGCGACCTGTTTTTTGGTTTCCTGATTTCCTGTGGTCTATAAGGGCTTGCTATTTTACTCGTACTTTTACCCAAATCTCTTCTTCTGAGATGATCTCGATGCCAAGGTTACCAGCGATAGCGCTGATGGACCTGTATGTCTTAAGAAGACATAATATCAGAACATATGATTCAAACAACTTCCAGCGTATACAATGTGAGCGTGAACCACTCCAGAACCCAAGTTGTTGATTTTTCTTTCCGTCGTTCTACTGTGAAACTGTATAGTTTAATCAGAAAGTTTAATAGCAAGACACTTGACTCAATACAACGTCACTGATGAACCCATTGCTCCCACTCCCCCAGTTCCACAGTGCACAGAAGATCTCGATAGAGGTAGTTCCAGGACTATCGATATAGGTCATAGAAATTACTTAGTATAGTCCTCCAATTTCCAACTTCTTCAACTGGAGATAATTTTTGTTTGATAGATGCTTGTCGTATTGAGAAATCCATTTTGGTAATGTTAGCCTTCCTATCTATAATAGTATCCACAGTGGCAAAAGAACGGACCTATAAAACAACAATGTCCGAGCGTGCCTTCGAATTAACGCCTTTGGCGTGCAGGTCTTTATCACTTCCCATCTCGGCACTGCTTTGGGTCGTCATGTTCGTGCTCTAGAAAGTGCATTGTCGGACCATTGTCAATATGGGCTAGTGTTATTTTGAGAAACTGTATTCCTGGAAGCTACGTGCGCTCTGGAAACCATAATTATTGCTCCTGGTAACACAAGCATTTAACGATCAAGACGTATTTGGAGACAGGTCAAGATTGGTCATAAGACCAGTATAACCGCTATAATATTGCACTCAAAGTATAAGTAGGCGCCACGGCAAAACTAACCACATCTAGTAATTCACAGGTCCCAATATTGAAATGTAAATATATATGCTTTGACTTTCCATTTTATAAAGGGTATCTAAATGTCTTTTGAGCCGTCTTTCTTAATAGCTCCCTGCTACCTAGGTAAAGTAAAAGGCTAGTAGGTATTATGAGGATATCTAGGTACTCAGCCTAAACCTAAGTGGCTCACCCGGGTCTTCCACCTTGGCACATGGATTCTCCTCAGTGTTCTAGTCATGCGGTCATTTTCTAGGACCCGTAGATAATCCTAACTTGATAGGTATTCACTAAGTATGGTGGACAAGGATCTTACAAAACTGCAGCTGATCAAGGAGCAGGTACTCAGCGCTGAGAGTAAACATTTGGCGGAGCTAAAGGTGCATAGTAATTAAACTTAGCCTTCCTCCATAGCAATTCTTCTTGCATTGCAATGCTTTTGGCAAGATTTTTCTCTCAAACAATTCCCAAGCCATTCTTAATCGCAACTATACTCTCGAGAATACGCTTGCGGTTTGCCAGTCCACTGTGAGGATACCACGTTCGATCGAAGGTGAGATACATCACGTCAAGTCGCATCATCTGTAACTTCATCCAAGCCGGAGGAGGAAAGCAAGACTTCCTCAAAACTTCCAGCTCGAAGAAGAGATCTTCTGCTAACCGCCTTCGCCAAAACCAACCTGGTAAATCCCACCCGAAGGCGAGGAGCATATTCCGCATGTTTCGGACATCATCCGAGGTATACTCAATGGGTAAGACCCATTCCGAAATCAAATGAGTAAGTTCTGCCGGAAGCCTATCAAAACAGGCCTGGGGGTGAGTCGAAAAGTCGTCGCGGTTGAGTGCGTCGGTAATGACCTTTTGCAGAACTGGTACGATCACTGGATTCCGATGAATATCACACCCGAGCTGAAGCTCCGGTGAGACTTGGTTCGGGCCAGGTGTCAGGTAAAATTTGTCATCGACTAGATCCTTTAATTTTGACTTTCGCCAGTGCGATCGGAGAGCTTTGATAAACCTCTCGAGGTTGATCTCGATCAGTGGCGTCTCGATGGTTCGACCAAAAAGTACCCAGCAATGAGCGTGTATGATAAAGCCGAGTCGCTTCCCTTTATACTTGACTGGCTGTCTTCCTGGCCTCGCCGCCATGCACGATGTGAATATTTGAGGATCACATCGCCCGTTTCTTCTGCCTCCAATTCTTGCGACGTTCGGGTCAGTTGGGAAGTTGTATGGATCGCTTGCTTTGTGTTGTACCATATTGATACCCGTTAAACGATATTTAGTGTCTGACTCCTTGATGACTAGATACACAGGTCAGTCCTTTCTGAGCTTTAAGAGTACACGATATGAAACTTACTAGCTCGGCAGAAACATGACCAGAGTCGAGGTAAATCACCGAAATCTGCCTCTTCGACTCTCGCAGAGGGCACCATGACATGTTTATGGCTAGACCTCCAATAACTTTTCCACGGCTGCCGATCTTTGAGCAACTGATCCTCCTCTTTAGTGTCCGCGATTCCAGTGTCATAAGTAGATGGGATCACCATTTGACAAAGTAGGCATGTTGGCGGCAGGTTTACACCTTCAGTAGACGGGTTGGTCCGACTAGGGCGCACCATAGCGATATCCACCAAGGGCAGAATGTCCACAAGGATAGGACGCACTTTTGTGAAGATAGAAGGCTTTTTCTTCAAAAATCTCCTTCTGAAAGGAAAAGGCTGAGCGATTGTCATGGACTGATGTAATTATGAATGCTTGACAGTATGTAATTATTCTTAGCTGGGCTAAGAAGGTTGGCGGAACCTTAAATGTCGATGCGAATCGCATGACCCAAGTTCCCCTAAGGTATGAGAAGAAATATCTGTGCCTTGAGCAGACTTACAAAGCTTCCTCCTCATAAGATTATGTCTTCCTTAAGCTTGTCACTCAAAGGTATTAAATATTTACCTATCTAGAATCTGGATTCGTGGTTATGTGCCCCTTGTATAAACTAACACTGTAGTCTAGATTTCTTGATCCGGACACATGGTCTCAAGCCACGGCCGAGGAGGTCTTAAAGACCAATTCACCCGCAGATTCCCTTGAATAGGCTGCTGTCTATGTTAGGACTCGTATCGGACAGGTCATACATCGCACATCGCTCAATCTACACGCGAACACGACTCCTCGCAAACTGGCGAATGGTAGGTCACGTGCTCTTCGTTGGAATGCTTTTTGTTTAGGCCAATCCGATCGCAAAGTTCTGCCACTCTCGAATGGTGGGGCCTTCTGAGCTTCCCGAATGATTTTGATCTGCACATTCTGCTTCTGCATTATTCGAGGCAGTCGACATTCGTATGGACAAAAAGGGAAAATTCGGATTGTTGACGAAGTTGAGGTTTATCGAGAGGTTAGGGCATCTAACCTTAATACACAGAATACCATGTGACCAGAAGCCATATGACAACCATATTTGATATTCGTTGAGTTTTAAGTTTCCAAATATCAATGTCTAGGTATTCAGAAATGGTCTCAGTGCTACCACTCTCAAGATGCAGGACCATACATTGATTACTTGGGCTTCCATGGAAATTTGGGCTTCCATGGAAATTTGGGCTTCCATGAGTATGCTCCATTATGAATCATCCATTTTTAGGAAGAGCAAAATAGATACATCATATTGTAGGCTAGCAGGCTCGGCGAATTGACCCAGCTATGTTGCCTTAGAAAACCTCCCCGTTCGTGCCCATTCCTTCCGCTCAGTTTTCTGATTAGGGAAAGTAGTCACCTAGTGGAGCCGTACGGTAGCTTACGAAGTATATTTTCTCCGAAGCACAATGAAAGCACTTGGCACTGGATAGCGGCTACAGCCAAGAATTCCTAAGATGTCTTAGGTAGTCCTCTCTAAGGTTGTATGCGCTGACAGAATACTGATATCTCATTGAATTTCATAGCTCCGATCTCAACTCTTCATAGATACTGAAGATATCTTTAGTGGTTCCTCAGTATCTCATCCAGAATACGCTGGACTTGGGCATCGTTTTTCTTCAAATTCCACCTATTCCAGCGCATACGTCGTGGCGCCCAGTTGAGAACACACTGGTTGATGTCATCGTACTTATACACGCGCATCCATTTGCCAACTGCAGCTATGCCGTAAACAGGGGTGCGAGCCGCGGGGGCACGTTTACCATGTGTGGCGCGTAAGTACCGATCTAATTGATCGACGGCTTCCTCCCAAACAGCACCCTGAGATTCTGTACCAGCCCTCTTGCATTGCACGATGAGGAATTTTTCCGGTTCGGTAGCATTGTTGCGGTATTGGACGACGTGAAGATCCGAGAAGCCGCGTGCACCACTCTGGGAGCCATGCTGGTCTTGGGGACGGACTATGTACTCTTGGGCAACCGGGAACTGCACACCCAAAATGGCGTTCCATAGTCCGTAAGCGGCGGACTCATGGTCGTGAAGCTTAATGGCTTCAAGTTCATTGCAGATAGCGTCGTATTGAAGGTACTAATAGCTGTTAGTCTCTGGAGGATATGACATCTGACACTTTTGCACTCACCGTGCTCATGGTTTCGGGGACGGTGCAGTTTGTAATCACCTCGTATAGGGGAGCTTATGCTTAAATAGATATCCTTAAGTATAGAAATCACTCTACTAGGCACCATCAGGCTCTTGCTGCCTACAGCCCAAGTCAGCTATATGAAACCGGAGAATGGTTTATTCAGGTAACAGTTTGAGTTATAGGCAGAATCGAATGGATAGGCATAAAGCAGCGACCGCTTGATAAGGAATGCGCTGCCAGGTAGAGCAAAATTCTGGACGGATGGGTGCCTTTTTGGGCAAACAGGCAGGCGACCTACACGCTCCCACGGCTGGATTGCATGGTTCCGCCGCTTCTTCTCTCCATCCCTCCAACCCGATCCCCATTCACCAGCATGATGGCCTACCGACAAAAATCATTTCAATTAGTAAAGCTTGCCCTGCAGATAATCGACATATATTTCGGTATTCAATAACAAATTATTGCGCCTAATTGGATTCCCTCGAGGTTAAAGTTGAGTCCGTAGCCCGCATGTCAATACATCGCCTCTTAGTTGATTTAGTATTCAACTTTTCTTCCTCCAGTAAATACTCGGGTACGCCTAATTTGAGTTACGCTGAAGGTTACAATATGTGAGTGCTTTCTGCTAGCATATCTGTTACCTCCCATCCTCGACCAAAATTTTGCGTCAGTTGCCGCTATAAGGTCTCTCTGCAAGCCTCTGGATTCATGTCAAATTAAGTGCTATGCTTCAAGTCTTCAAGTCGCTCAAGATTGACTTCTTTAATGATAGAATCTCCTTTGCTGTACTGGTCGCTGGTCTACGGAAAATGAATAAAAAATCCGATAATGGGTTCACAAGCTTAACTGATTCGGGCCTCGAGTCAACTTCGCCTTGTCTAGTCGTGTAGATGGGCTTATAGGCTTATAGACTGAGTCAATTCGAACCCTAACGCGGCTAGTTATGGGAGCAAGTCGTGATGCTCTCAAGTGATATATCATCTGCCAAATCGGGCCTTTTTTTTTTTTTTTTTTTTTTGAGAAGAACATTTTTCTTTTCTTTCGTTAGACGGAGTTGTTGGTATTACGGAAAGAAGGTAGAATCTTTAGTCATAAATATTTTGCATCGACGCTATACGATCCCTCTGACCCGATGTTAGAAGAGGAGCAAGAAGGACACGGTAATCGAAGAAATGGAGAAAGAAGCAATCGTGGTCGAATTGAGTTAATGTCCGTTGTGATTAACTAATGGAAGAAGATAACAGCCAGTTAGCTCTACAACGGCTGAATTTTATTCATGTGCAACCCAGTCATGGGAACATAGAACTATGGAGGGACATGAATAGGTACCCATTGGTAGCATTATCCGGTTGTGTTCAGACCAACGTTAGGCAGTTATGGCAGTGTTAGTACTGTTGTCAAAGTCTTCTCCACAATTGGTCACGAGGACCCACCCGAGGCGCTGGTCTCCGCTGATTCATCCAAGCTACATCCAACCTCACCTGAGCACCTTTGTAGCTCCCAGGGAGAGCTTATTCTCCTCATCAATCACGATCCGTTACACCGAACCGGGGCTTATATCAGCACAGGATGGATCGAGTCCGGAGACTTTTCATGGACCGCGGGGCCTACGAGCCGCTAGATGACTCGGCGGAGGTAGATGCTGGCGAAGATGGACACGACCAGGAAAGAGCGCCGCCTCGCTTTTCGCGACTGGAATACAGCGTCTTCTTCCTCCTGGGAGTGTCGATGCTATGGGCATGGTGAGCCATACCTGGAGTAGTCCTCAATGTATCTCACAATTATGGATCTAACATGTTGGGCCTCCCTCTAGGAACATGTTCTTGGCCGCCTCAACGTATTTCTACAATCGCTTTGAGTCGGACGAGTGGACCTCGACACATTACCAGCCTTCGATCCTCACAGTTTCCACCCTCACCAACCTCGGGACCGTATACGCTTTCGCGAAAATTCAGAAGCGCGTCTCGTACCCATGGCGTATCACGCTATCGCTGCTGATCAACTGCTTCGTCTTCACTCTACTGGCATTCTCGACCATTGTCATGAAAGATAGTTCGGTCCGCGCATACTTTGGGTTCTTGATGGTGATGGTCTTTGGCGCAAGCTTTGCCGCCGGGCTGAATCAGAACGGTGTCTTTGCGTACGTTGCGGGGTATGGTCGAGAAGAGTATACGCAAGCGATCATGGGTGGGCAGGGAGTTGCGGGTGTGCTTCCATGTGTTGCCCAGATTGTCTCTGTCCTGGCGGTGCCGAGGGAGAATAGTGGCGGACAAGCCCAGGATGGCGTACAGGGATCGTCGTCAAAGTCGGCCTTCATCTACTTCTTCACGGCAACGGGCGTGTCGGTCCTCACGCTACTGGCATTCCTCTATCTCCTCAGGAACCGACCGAACCCCAAGCAAAAGGCAACGGACGATGATGAAAATACTCCTCTTGCTGACCGTACGCCTGATAAATCGGTCAGCTTGTGGACACTGTTCAAGAAACTGCGGTATCTGTCGCTTGCTGTCTTTGTGTGTCTCCAAGTTACGATGATGTTCTTCCCAGTGTATACCTCCAGGATCTTGTCGGTCAACGACCCAACAACATCCCGGATGTTTGACACATCTGTGTTCATTCCCCTTGCATTCCTGTTCTGGAATATCGGTGATCTCAGTGGCAGATTGGCCGTTGCCTACCCTGGTTTCTCTCTGGCACACCGTCCTAAGTTGGCTTTCGTTCTGACTGTAGCACGTTTCATTTTCGTGCCTCTGTACCTGCTTTGCAACATCAATGGTACGGGGGCTATCGTGAGGAGCGACTTCTTCTATCTCTTCATCGTGCAATTGTTGTTCGGTGCCACTAATGGATATCTGGCGTCGAGTTGCATGATGGGAGCGAGTGTCTGGGTCTCGGAGGATGAGCGAGAAGCTGCAGGAGGATTCATGAGCATGATGCTAATTGCAGGACTGGCTGCTGGTAGCTTCTTGAGTTTCATCGTGGCCAGCTAAGTATCTCGACGATGAGATACTCTGTTCATACTATAGACTCTGCTGCATTGATGAGTGACGACTTGACGAATCTCGGTGTTTACATAATTCATATAACTTTTCATATACAATTGACCATTTTTCCGATTTATACTTGAATTGCCCCTTTCTGTAGAAGCTTACCATGCATGTTTGGATTGTGGGGGACAGATCAAACAGGCACGACGTTGGCCGGATCCTTCCTTTACCCTCGCTTGTATACTCGTCCTGCAAAGCGGTATATAATGTTTGTCGCCACAAATTGCCTCATGTGGGCGCTAAGCCCAACTCAAAATTCCCTCGTCGTGAAGAAGGGGATTTCTCCCTCACTCTCTTTTTCTCTCTCCTCCTCTCTCTTTCGGCGTGGCACAATTCCCCGACTCGGACTTTGCTCCGGCACGTTCTTATCTTCCCCTTCGCAGCCTCGCACAAATTGACACTGGTTGCTTGATCTACAGGATTACATTTGTTTGATAAATTCCCTGGAGTAAGGAATCCGAGAATTGATTGGAGAACGCCGCAGCCATGAATTGAAAAGGGCGACCGGTTCTGGACTGGGAGGTGTTGCTTCATGGCATCCTCCTGCTGGTGAGTCCCAGATCGTCCATGCTTGTGGAGAATGCAAAAATCAGGATTGAAACTCATCGGCAAGCAGCCATTCTCTACTTCGCAGTATGGTCCGTCTACAGTCTCTACTTCCACCCACTGAGCCGCTGCCCGGGTCCCAAGCTGGCTGCCATCTCGCCCATTATCCACATTTTGTGGGATATCCGTGGCAAGGAGCACTCGGTAATAAAAAGACTACATGACCAGTACGGCAGTGTTGTTCGCATTGCACCCAATGCACTCGTTTACAATTCCGCCGCCGCTTGGAAGGACATCTAAGGACATGGCAAAAAGGGGCTCTTCGTCAAGGATCCAGCCCTGTATTCGCCGACACCCAATGGAACCAATGCCATGATCACTGCAAATAACGAGGAGCACACCCGAATGCGCCGTCTACTCACCCATGCGTTCTCGAACAAGGCACTCAAGGAACAGGATCAGATTCTCCATGTCTACGCTGATATGCTCATTGACAAACTCGCCGGTATTGTGCGCGGAAGTCAACACCCAGTCGTTGACATGACTCGCTGGTATAATTTCACCACCTTCAATCTGATCGGGGATCTTCCCTTCGGCGAGCCCTTTGGTTGTCTCTCCGACAACAAGTACCATTGGTGGGTTATAGTTATTTTGGATGCTGTCAAGTCCAGCGCATACCTAAAGGTCTTTTGGTTTTATCCAAGTCTGCTTCCCTTGTTGATTCTTCTAGTCCCAAGACATCTGCTCAAGAAGCGCAAGGCAAGTTTACCTCATGCATTATCAAGCATGGTAACGGTGGACGTGGCTTGTCTCTTCCGGAGATTGATGTCAATGCGGGTGTGTTTGTACTTGCTGGGAGTGAGACAACTGCTGCTCTGCTTACGGGTTGTACGTATTACCTTCTGCGGCACCCGGAGAAGTATGTTCGGTTGGTTAGTGAGATTCGCGGCGCTTTTGCGCAGATATCTGAGATTAAGTTGTCTGCTCTTGTTGAGCTTCCTTATCTGAATGCTGTTTTGACTAAAATTTTACGAATCTATTCTCCTATTCCTTTTATGCTTCCGCGTCTTGTGCCTCAAGGTGGAGCCGTCATTGACGGTCAATATGTTCCTGGTAGAGTAAGTTGTGGTACTAGTTGATACTGGGCTACTGTTATTGAGCACATACGAGATCCTCAAGATGTTTGTCATATGATGAGCTAGTAAGGCTAGCCTCTTCCAGGTTTCTGTTTCAATCTCGTTGTTCTTGGCTTTTCATTCGAACACCAACTTCAATAATCCGGACTCCTTCATCCTGAGCGTTGGCTTTCTGGTCCCGAGTCTTCTGAATTCATTTCCGATCAAACGGATGCACTTCGACCATTTTCATATGGACCACGCAACTGCATCGGTCAGCAGTAAGTCAACACCCTATGCGTCGCAGGTCTGACTTTCTTTTCGTCGCATCTTCCGCTAACTCATACCCCTCCAATTCGAAGTCTAGCTGATGCCGAAATGCGTCTTATTCTCGCCAAGTTCCTTTGGCACTTTGACCTCGAGCTCCAGGTCGAATCCCTCTTTTCAATGGTCTGTCCAAAACTCCTTTTCCCTCTGGAGTCGGCCTGCGTTGTGGGTGAAGCTTCGCCATCCTAGCACTGCTTTGTGAAGTTCTTCCCTATCGCCATTCCGTTGAACATACATTAATACATTAATATCTAATTCTTATCCACTTTGGTGGGTTACTTGTCGGTCATCCGCCTCTTTTGGGAGGTGATGACTGCGAGCGTTGGAGATTTTGGAAAGGTGTCTGATACGGAGGCACTCTGCACATTTCTGCATATCCTGTCAAATATTGCATTTGCGATGGACGATAGACGGTATACTGTCTTGTGCTTAGCTCATTATGAGCCTCTAAAAGTTAATTTTTTGCTCTTCTTTGTGACTGATGTTTTTAATTCAAAAGTTGATAGTTACTTTTAAGAAAAATCTCTTAATGACTAATGTTTTTAGTTCATCCCTGGTAACTATTGTCCTTCTTGAAATTTTCTCTTTCATTTGGCTCCTCGGGTACTCTAACATAATACGATTCATCTTGAATATTGTTTCACCCTCTGACTACAGCCATTATCCACCTAACTATTTTAATTGCTCGAGGGCCTGGGCCAAGGGTCGGCTGGTGGCCACAAATGGACCCATCTTGGCGTCAGGCAACAATATGCCATTCGAACTCCTTTTGATATGAGATTGTCACCGCTCCAAGCGTGGGCAATGAGAAGACGCTCTACAATATCAACCAAGGCGAGTTAATACTGTTTAATCGAAGGCCATACCGACAGTAAGAACCTACAAGATGGAAATGGGGAATAGTCAAGCTTTGAGCGACCAAGAGATCGGAAAACAATCAAGACCCGCACCAAGACGCTTCGCCACAAAATTAATCATGAAAATGGGCATTCGGGAACGATCATCAGGTGTAACTAGCTGGATTGAGGCAAGTTCAGGGGATAGGTGGAGCCAAATGTTTCTGGCAAGGCGGGTAGTACTGGGAACATACCCCGCCATAATGTTTTGAGGGTAAGCAGAAGTACCCAGTACATCATCCCGTCCTTTCTCTATCATACTTTGTACTTTATTGTTTCGTCCCCTCGGGTCTAGAACCACAGCTAAGAATACCTGCTTGGACCCTGAACGCCATCGCCCTTACTTCAACGGGTAACACATCAATTTTTTTCTTTTTCGGGAGCCACATTGCGGCCCCTTTGCATGCCAGATCTCTCCAATCATGAGCTGGTCATTCGCTCGTCCCATCCAGCTTTCCCCATGGACGCGTGTCGTAGGTTCTATCAGAGGTCCGTCCTCTTGATGATCATCTGAACCTTGCACATTTGGTTGATCGTTTGACGGGAAAGAAGCGGGTTTGACGTGATTGTCCCACATGGGTGTACTATGCCTTTTATGTTTCCTCTCCATTTATCATCCCTGGCTGTTGACAACACTCCCTTCCTTGATATCCTTTGCCCAATGCCCAGGGCAGAATATCCTTCAATGACTTGTGATAGCCCCTCGTCTTAACCAGCCCTTTCTCAACATTCGTTTGTCTTTTTTGAATACTATCCAAGCTATCAATGGCTTAGTCTTTCCTTTTTCGCATAACTAACCCATTCCTCTATGAGCGTCATTCCCTCTCAAATCTATCAAATTTTGCCTCCTATCTTGGACAAAGCCTTTATCTCGCAGGAACACCTGCATTATGATTTCCAATCGCAAAGGTCGCTCTCTAACAACAACAATCCTTCTTCTTATTACCGCATATCTCTTTCTAGTCTGGTTACCCCTCAGTCGACTTCATGCCTGGCAGCATAAACATCCGAGACCAACCCCTATACAAAGCACTATCCTCTCACAAGATACGATCCACTTGAACTCAGCTACCGAGAGATACCCTGTCACTTCATACATTCCTTTACCGACATCACCATCATCAATTCCCAAAATCCAACATGACTTTCCACCAGAGTCCAGACCCGAGCGCAAGGCCAGAGTCAAGAAACAAAAGGCCATAAAGGAGGCATTCATGCATTCCTGGAATGGCTATAAAGACCATGCCTGGATGCGAGACGAGGTCTCACCCCAGACCGGTGGATATCAGGACTCGTTCAGCGGGTGGGGTGCTACCCTAGTGGACTCACTAGATGCACTGATCATTATGGGCCTGGATGATGAACTCGAATTGGCCCTGGAGGCTTTGGATAGAATCGACTTCACTACTACCCGCAGCGCGGAAGTGAATGTCTTTGAAATTATTATCAGATATATGGGTGGTTTCTTAGCTGCTCACGACCTGAGCCACGGGAAGCACCCAATTCTCCTTAAGAAAGCAGAAGAGCTGGGGGAGATGATCTTCAATGCGTTTGACACGCATAACCGGATGCCCCAGATGCGGTGGAACTGGTCCAAGTATTTCTTCCCAACCAGGATATCCCGGGTGGTCGCAAACTACGATGCATAGTAACTAACCGATTTCCTACAGATCTGCCCAAGGCGAAGAAATCCAGCCGTCATCGCACACAAGTCTGGCAGAAATGGGCTCATTAACCCTGGAATTCACTCGCCTGTCTCAACTGACCGGCAACCCGAAATATTTCGATGCCGTCCAGCGGATCACAAACGAGCTAGAACGGGGCCAATCCAAGACCAAAATTCCCGGACTGTGGCCATTATTCATCAATGCCAAGGATCTCACATTCGACTGGTCCCAATATTCTCTGGGTGGCTCTGCCGACTCAACATATGAGTATCTGCCCAAGGAGCACATCCTGCTTGGCGCGCAGACAGACCAGTACCGCAGCATGTATGAGAATGCTATCGAGGCGATAAAGAAGAAGCTTCTCTTCCGTGCCATGACCAAGGATGAAGATAAGCAGATTCTGTTCACTTCGAATGTTCGTGGACTGAAGGGCGGAGCTCTCCACAGTGTGCAGTATATACAGGATCACTTAAAGTGCTTCTTGGGTGGCACCGTTGGTATAGCGTCCAAGATCTTCAATCGTACAGAAGATCTTTCTATTGCTCGTGGTCTTACGGACGGGTGTATCTGGGCGTATGATTCTATGCCAACGGGGATTATGCCTGAGACCCTGGAAGTCAGTCCCTGTGCGGAAATTGATAAATGCCCATGGGACGAGGGCAAATGGTACGAAGATGTTCTCGGCCAGCCAATACATTCGAGGGAACACCTCGAGCGAGCGCAGAAACAAGTCGAGGATGAAGGACTCCCACCTGGTATCGTCGGGATCGCAGATCCAACATACAAGCTTCGGTACAACCTCCATTCTACAATTCTGGTCGCTGTGCCCATGTGGTCGGTTGTACTAATTATTTCACTCAGACCCGAGGCTATCGAGTCCATCTTCATCATGTACCGCATCACCGGCGACAAGTCGCTTCAAGATGCAGCGTGGCGCATGTTCCAAAGCATCGACAAAGTAACGCGCACAAAGTATGGCCACTCCGCCATCGAGGACGTGCGCAACCCTCTGCCAAAGATGAGCAATAAGATGGAAAGCTTCTGGCTTGCTGAGACACTCAAGTATCTGTATTTGATCTTTTCCGAGCCTAACCTTGTTAGCTTGGATGAGTATGTTCTGTGAGTGGACCTTGAATCTTACATACATTCGTTCTGTGCTAATATTTTCTTCAGGAGCACCGAGGCTCATCCGTTCAAGCGACCATCTTGATGGGTATCAAGACATAGTCTGCTCTGGTGTTTCTTTCTGCTGCTCGTGCCATTTAGCGTTTGCATAGACTGTTAGGATCGGTGTTGTGGACATGGGCTGGCGTTAGATATCGTTAAGCATGCATACACTCATTTAATCCTAATCACAGGAACACAATAGACACTCTCCAGACAAATGGTGGTGTTACTGATATCTGGAGACCTTCCACTTCTCGCTATATATTTATTGTTCCGGCTACCTACGACTACATATATCTAAGTCCTAGGTAGCTTTCACTCTTTTTAGAGGTCCCTTTGCATGTCTCCTAGATCATGTCTCAAGATAGCTCAGTCATTATAATTCGCTTTACTTTTTGAAGCCTTGCTGAGAATACCATGCTGAAAGCTTCGTCGAGGTGAAAGTATGGAACGTCAGTGAAATTTTAGCTTCTGCCCAAGCGTCCAACTGTAGCCAAAACTTCGAGATGGAACAGGTTGGATAGGTATTCCCGTGTATATTTATTTGAAGGTGAACCGAGATCGGTAGGTTACGACTTTACACAATGAGGGGCAAATGATGGTAAATCCGGCTCACTCTCTAGGTATCAGGCACCCCTTGATTTGCTTAGAGCGTGAGTGGTATGATATTTCTGTACCGAATCACCAAGTAACTGCTTCTTAACGCAGGAAGATCATGCATACCATCATGGCTGGGCGGAATAGTGATCATGAAAACCAGCCAGCGTAGCACATGTTAGAAGGCCACATATAATATGGTAGGCCATTCTGGGAGAAAACACCCGAGCTCCAGGGGAAAAAAAGAACCCGCGTCCTTCCACGGTATGAGTGTGGGATTATGATAAAAGCGGATCCAAACCACCTAGCAAATATCACTTTACGCCGGGGCTGCAAAGGGCACTAGGAAAGTGAACCTCTTCAGGCTGCGGAGATATAGAGAACTAGCAAAACGACAGGTGTCAGACAATCTATAACACACCCAAGTATTCGATAGCATGTACGCACCATTGTTTCCTCGCACAAAAGCATCTCCGTAGCTACGACGGTGCTTTCCGTTGACGAATTCCTCGGTCTTCTCGAGGGCGATGTTCATGTAGCCATCGACTGATTGGAGCTCACCTACAGAACAATTAGCTAGGCCGCTCACAAATAAAGCTCCCATGATGAAAATACCCTTGTACACAACGCCGGAATTGAGCTTCACGATCACCGGGGCGCCGATGATCTCGCTGAGGAAGGCCGAGGGGTCTTTTCCCTCTGAGGATGCGCCGTTCTCCATCTTGAGTTGTGGTCTAACGTCGCGGGGGGGTTAGGGCCTCTGTTTCTAAATATTTCAAACCGATCAGTAAGAAGCTATTGCATGTGGGCACTGGGAGGACATACCTGGTGGAGCTTGGAGAAGGAGCGGGGATGTTCGTGGGTGCTGAAGGTGAAGCAGATAAGATTCCGAAGGCGGTAAGGCGCGTTGCACCGCGACAAAGCAGTCGCTTTGGAAATACGACCTTAAACCATCGCAAACACTCGCTCGCCTGTCTTTCTTTCTTCTCTTTCTATTCAAGTGAACCTCGATCGCCGTGCGAACCTCAGTGTTCCTTTACACTGCGATGCGATCCTTTTTTAATAAGCCCGCCTGGGCAACCAAAACCGACGACTCGGGCACCGAATTCTACCGCCGATCTGGACAAACCTACTCCGACATTGTCGCGGCCAACCGTGAGGCGCACAGAAAGCAGAAGCTCGCCGCTCAGTTCGCTGAAACTGCCTCTTCTCCGGCCCCCGAAGAGAGTCGAAAGACCAAGCGACCACGAAAGTCAGATGAGCATGAGGAGAAACCAGAGGGGGAGGAGGAGAATCCCGAAACTACAAGCTCACCAAAGCCGGACGACGAAAGTGAGGCTGAAGAACAATCCAGGCGGTCTATTTCAACGCCTGGCGAGAAAGGCATTCTATCTGGGAGTCCGGAACGAAATGATGATGATGAACCCCAGCCCACGACCATTCCAAGTCCTGTTCATGTTGACTCTACGGAGAGTCAATCCACGGACCACTCAAATATCCCCTCTACACACCAAAACCCGGACGACGGCCTGCAAAGAACCCGGCATATAATAGACTTGGACTCAGAGGATACAAGCCGTGATACTCCCTCGAAGCATTTAGCTAGAGGGACCAATTTCCCACCTGCACAACCGTCGCCCACTCCCGCTCCTGCTCCTCCACCACCACCTCCTGTGGAAGACCAAAGAGTGCATATCCTTATAACATCTGAAATCCCAAACACCAAGCCATTGATCATCCAGCGCAAGATATCCCAGGCCCTGAAAGACGCCCGCCTAGCATGGTGTGAGCGACAAGGCTTCACCGAACAAGAAACGTCAACCATCCAGCTTTTTTGGAACGGCGTCCGGGTCTTTGACGTGTCAACCTGTAGAAGATTCGACATCAAGTCAGACAAGAAGAAATTCTTAAATATAGAAGACGATCCCGATGCGGAACAAACTGAGCTTAAAATCCACATGGAGGCAGTCAGCACTGATCCACTCATGATGAATCGTCGTGGTCCTTCTTCTCCAGATATCGGCGGTGGTTCTCCCGCTCCTCCAAACCCGGACGATGAACCGGGTAATGAGCCGATGAAGTTGCTTTTGAAAAGTCCCGGGCTGAGTGACTTCAAGATTAAAGCCAGACCTAAGACATTGGTGTCGAAGGTGATAGCGGCTTTTCGAGACAAGCAGAACATACCGGTTGAGAAAACTCTGCATCTTGTCTTTGATGGTGATATACTTGAGCCTGATTCTTCTCTGGGTGAAAACGATATCGCCGACCTCGACATGCTGGAAGTGTTGATTAAGTGATGATCGGGGGAAGATATGGATGGCTGGGAGCTACTGGCCCTTGAACGCCCGGTTTGTCTCCCCGCCGTCAGCTTTCTTTCATTTTTCAACATTGCTCTTTCTTACGAGTATACGTTCAATATACCTCCCATTTTGAATGAGCAGATGACTTTGTTCCAGGCAATTTACACGTAACTAACCTTAAAAGCTTATCGATCTGCTTGTAGTTCAAAATTTTTGCGCCTATTTACTGATCTGATTTTCACGTCTATCGTCTGTCAATGGTCTGCTTATTAGCATGAAATACCATCGACAGTTCAATCCCAAGTTTATTTTCATAAAAGTTCAAAGACTATCCAGTCGCGAATTGCTAAACCGACGATACAAGATTGCTAATCACACGATAAACACTCATTTGGGGTTTAGCGCAGTAACTGCATTACTATCTTCTAATTAGGATATCCTTATAGTTGTTCAAGAGAAACGAACCAACTAGACATGGTATAATCACTCTTATTTAAATGGTCTTCCTAAATGTCTTTCGAATCATCTTTCTTGATAGCACCAATACCGTTCAACTGGTGATTGCGAAGATGAGTCTGAAATTTGTTCGATTTCCAAACTTATGGAGCCCTACTGTAGGATATGATAATAGTATTACTACGCCAAATCGGAATAAGGGGTGTATCTATCCTGTCGACATCTTCCTCTCACCCTATACTTGCTTATCGATAACAGATCACATGATGTGGGGCTCTCCGCGGGTTTTTTTCTCGAACTCAACCCTCACCAGTATAATTCACATCAACGCGCAAAGAGACCAAATTCCTTTTCTGAAAAACACACCACAGCGAGGGATACAGTATCATCTCAAGAGTAAATCCGACCAACTATCCAATTCCCCAAATTCTCACCACTCCAACCACACGATAACAAAACACTCACCCCACCTCTACACCACCATCTACTGCCACCAGCACAATGAAAGTTATCACAGCCAACTTCGTCACCTGCGCCGTCAAGGAATGCAAGACCTCCGCCGCCTCTTTCCCGCTCCACTTCCACGACGCCGAGCTCGAACAACAGGAACTTGATTTCCAGCCGGAATTCATTCGCAATGTGCTTCCCCGCGTGGACTGGGATAGTTTGCGGATTACGGCTAATGAGGTAGGGCAGCACCGCAGCACACCACACATTACTTCCCCAAACTGGAAAAGAGAGAAGAAAAGATGTGTGAGAAGGAATATCAGCTGATAATTGACCTATTTTACGCTATAGCTCGGCTTCCCCAGCCTTCCCGAAACAAAACCCGAAGGCGACGCATTGAACGAGGAACAGACATTGAAGGATCTACACCGTCTACTCCTGGAGACGCAGGTGATTGAGGGCAAACTTGTTTGTGGGAATTGTGGGCATCAGTATGTTATTAAGGAGGGGATTGCTAATTTCTTGTTGCCGAGTCATTTGGGTACGTATCTTCTTTTATTTTTCTCGGACTAAAGTTCTTTTTGAAGGTGATATGGATATTCTTGAGATGTGTGAAACTGACTCGATCTTCTACACACAGTTTGAAGAGATACAAGTCTTGGATTATGCAAATGTTTTCTGTTTCTGATATTATACCTTTTCGACACCATCTTTCCTATACGCTATACTCCAGTCAATTCAATACCCATTCAGTGCAATTGATTACAATCCATATCAAGACTCGCCCCGGACGAAACTGCAAAAGCTCTCACGAAGTTAATTGAATATTCACCATAGCGAAGGCGCTCGACGAGGGATGAGAAAAAAAGACACTATTTCTGTTCTACTACGGCATGTCTAACCAAACATACATCATGTTTACGAATAACGAGGCACTGGCAAGAAATTGTGGAATTTTGCATATTGTACATGAGGGCTGTGTGTTATAGCGCTTGAAATCACAATTCCCAAAATCATACAGGCCTTGGATGCTCCCACCCTCCGAAACGCCCAACCATGTTTTCAACGCCGTCCGGGGAGGATCAAAGAAAAAGGAGAAAAAAAGAGCATAGATGGAAGATGAAGATAGAAGCCCTTTAAAAAGAGAGATGGTAGTAATAGTGGCAATGGCAGTAGCGGTGGCAGTGATAGCGCCTTAATTGAGGAAACCCTTGCAGCCGGTTGAGCCACAGAGACATGGAATGCGATCGTCGCTATCCCATTCGCGCTCGAACTTGTAGTCGTATGTAAGTTCCTCATCTGTAGATTAAGTACTCGTCAGCGAAATGTTTCTGTGGAAGACTTGTAGAGTGTTGACAATACATACCTCGTTCAATGTCCCGGAGCGCGTAAATCACAATACGCTTACTGCCATCGACCTTGATGATCTTGGCAGTACAATTGGGCGTACAGCTGTGATTGATGAACCGCGCAATACCACCTCGTTTAGTCGCGTCGATGACCGTATTCTCATCAATACGGAACAGATAACTACTACCGATTCCGCTCTTGAGATACCGGCGTTCGCGCATATCTGCCACTTGCTGACGCACTTTCTCACCGACGTATTCGATGATCATGTCGTTGGCAGTGATGTTCTCTTCCGCGTACAATCCCCAATTGTGAATGGCAGATCGAGCGAATCGTACAGGCTTCTTTCGCTTCTTAAGCTGATTGAACCTGAGAACATCACCTTCACCACTAGAAGTAGGCAGAGCTTGCTTCTGAGCGTTGATATCGGCAATGAGTCGGCGATTGTTGACACGGGTTGACCGGGACGAAGACTTGGAGATGACCTTGGCGGCTGCGATTCTGGCTGCCTCGGCGGCCGCGGCTTGGGGATCGGCCTTGGCCAAGGCCTCACGTTCTTCTCGAGCTTTTTGGACTTTGATGCGATGTGGGAGATACTTGGACTTCTCGGCTTCCATGATTCTCTTTCGGCCTTCAGTCCGGGCGGCACCGGTGGCATTGGGCACGTAGTAGCCGGTGATACCGATAACTTCGCGGGTGGGACCCTTAGCTTCCAGTTGATTGAGAGCCTTGATCTCCTTCTGTCGCCACGCCCAGGAACTGAGGTCACCAAGACTGGAAGTAGATTGGTTGAGCAAGACCTCCCGAAGGAATTGGATATCTTCATCATCCTTGATCAGTTGTTGCCAGCCATCCAGATCTAGAATGATGCTCTCGTCATCTTCCACGGTGGCACGTGGTTCATGCTTGGACACACCCCAATCGATTTCGGGCTTGGGCTTTTCAGAAACTTCGGTATCCCAAGGCTCGCCAATCGGCAGATCATCAGGCACAGGACCCTTGTCAGTGACAAGATCAGATGGCAGTTTCTCCGGCAGGGGAATTTCATCGCGATCATCAATTGTTTCTCCTTTCCCTTCAAGAAGATCAACATCAATTCCGGCCGGAGTCTCAGGATGTTCATCCTCCACCGTCCCTTCTGATGGCCCGATACTAAAGAGCTCATCATCATGCCGTTGCCGCTTGCGAGCATCAAGCTCTCCGGTCAACCGCTTTCGCTTCCGTGAGCTGGGCGAGAGTGTCTCATCATCAAGCAAATTGTCATTTGCGGTTGCAACACCGCCTTCTTCAAAGGCCTCCAGTGGGTCTGATTGATACTCTTCCTCATCCTGCTCAGACACAGAAGAGACAGAAGTTGCACGGCTCGGCGGGCGACTACTTCTCTCCTCGGTGTATCTCGTAAGAGGAGTCCGCTGATCATCATCCGAGTCCTCGTCATCGTGGAGCTGCTGCAACCGATGATAGAGCGGGCGAACCTCTCTCGGTCGGAGAGGCTGCCGGCGCCGTTCATCCACAAAGGCTGCACCTGCACGGTCAAGACCATGAGCCTTGCGAATACGCGGCAAAGCTAGCACATTGAGATTCGAGGATCGGAGTGGATCCCGCTGATGTTCCGATCGAGAGTCCGGAGTGCCTGCGGAACTATCCACGCCGATTCGGAAAGCTGGCCGCTTGGTGCCCGTGCCTTCTGGACCTGGAATTCCCAATTTCTCCCGTCTGGCTGCATGCCTACTGGGGTCGAGATAGTCGTACAGAGTCGGCGCAGCAATGCGGGACTTGACATCTTCGAGTAGCTTGTCTCGAAGGTCCCGAATGATGACCGCCAGAACCTCTCGACAGGGATCCAGATCCAACGCACGTTGTTTCTTTTCTTCCTCCACATCCAGCTCAGCCTCCTTCTTGGCTCTCTCCTGCTCGGACTTTTCTCGTTGTTCGGCGCGAAGGCGTTCGGGACTTGGACTGCGCACGTAATTGGGGTTTCCGTAGGGCTGGCTTTCCATGTTCATGATGTAGGTGAAGAGGGGCTGCATGTGGCATAGCCGGAAGCATCTCTCGGTTTCCTGCTCACCCGCGCGAGAATTGTGAAATATAACATAATATCCCGTCTTGTCGCATCGAATGGATTTGTAGTCAACCATCTTCAGGCGTTTCTTCAAGTGGGGGACGGTGGTGCTAAGAACTGGGACATAGCAATGAGCAATGAAAATGTAAGGCTCGCGCTTGATCTGGCTGAGGATCGGAGTCTCTTCGACGAGAGATTGTACGGTCGGAGCCCGAATGGCCGCTCGAGGTCCTTCCGGGATGACCAGCCCGGGTCGCATGGTGGATCGACCGGAGGGACCTTTCGGTGCGGTTGGTGGAGGTTCATTCTTCTTAGCTTGGAGCTCGGCGGACTTGGATTCTGCGGCGGTGGCTGCGGCGGACGCGGTTTTGGAGGCCAATCGTTGCGACTCGATCAGTTTGGAGGCCATGCGTTCCGACAAAATCCCATCTCGATCTATTTCAACCCGAATCCGACGAGTGCCAATGCGCTGCTCCTTCTTGCACTCCATGTACGCGCGCCTCGCTGCACTCGAAGCGGAGATTGGCCCACTCCCGCGAAACGAAGCGCTGTCCTTGTATTTGATGGAGCAAATCCCCAGGAACCGGCCAGTGATCGGGTCCGTCCGGTTGTTGATCTCCGCGATTTCACCGAAGCTGGAGAACAGCGCACTGATGGGAGCCACGGGAGTGAGCGGGTCAAAGCCCGTCACGACGACCTGCACTGGAGGACCGGGTCCAATGCTTGTCGTCGGATCATATGGCCATTGCTTCAAGGTATACGGCATCGGCCGATACTTGGTCTTTTGCTTGCAAGCCGACCCACGCGAGTAGTTGGGGATTGCCAGGCGGGGGTCGGGCGGGGCGCTCTGGCCATTCGCAACAATTTCGGCATACTCGGGCTTGCGACGCTTCTCCTTGGACGGCCGCTTGTCCAGGTCGGGGTCATATACGATCTTACGGCCCTTGACCACGATTTCTTGGCGAGTTTGTGATTGGGGAGTCGGCGGGGTGTGAATGGGGGTGACGGACGACTTGGAAGGTTCTGCTTTTGAATGAATAGCAACAACTGGCGATTTCTTGCCCGCGATCTTGGGCGAGCCTGTTACTTTGCGTGGTGGAGAGGATTCTGTGTTGGTGAGGGGTGTGAGAGTGTCGATATGAGGTGGAGGATGAGAGTCGGCGACAGTTGGCGGCAGGGCCCCATTGTGCTCTTTCTGGGTCAGCGACGCTGCAGGACCCCCTGCCGCCGTGCCGGATGAAGATTGAGTGATATCTCCATCCGCAGCATGGTCTTTGGATACCCCACCCGTCGCGGATGCGCTGGGCGCGCCGGGCGTTCGGAGATCGGATGGCTGTGTCTCCCCATCGCAACTTTTGCCTCGCCGATCCTTGACCTTGACGCGCTTCTGCGACAGAACCGATGGTGCAGTGGGAAAAAGTCCGCAAACCCGGCCGAGGCGCGTGACATGGTGTGAGATGTGGCTACACGCCCGAGACGGCCTCGCAACGACCAGGCAGCATCCTTGACCACAGGGTTTTGATGAGAACCCAAGTGGCTAGGAAGAGGATCCCCAGCCCAGGACTATAGTGGCGAGGTCGAGGAAGGGGGGAAGGGGGGAGGAAAGGGACAAGACCAGCAAGAGGATTTCGACTTTTGCCCTGTAACCCGTGGAAGGGACAATTAATTCAACGCGAAAGCGAGTTTTGCAGGGGACAGTTTGAGCGAAAACAGTAGGCGGTGAGGATGGAAGAAGGGAAGAAGGTAGGGCGGTGAGAAGCACCAAGAAGTGGGGACTCGGAGAGGGGTCACATGACTAGGTCACCAGTTGGTGGTACAACACCCAAGATAGACACCATAACCAGGAATATTACTTTTCATGTGATCTACTATATCTTTGAATATTTGTTCCATCTTCTCACGAGTTCATGAGCAGAATCCTGGAGAAATACCTGTATGAAAGTTGGCAACTGATCCCTTCCGTCGTTCTTTGCAAAGATGAGACTAATATAATCCATATACCTTGTTCACGGATGCCATTCACATTACAAATATACATGGTTCTTTTTTCCAATCAAGCATCAAGTGCATCCGCAGCAGGTACAAAACTCTGCTGCATTCTGGAAGACAGGCTTACGATGCAAACCATCCGGAGTATGTATGCCAAGGCGGTCAAGCCATTCACAACCTCTTTACGGTCGTCAACACAGGGGTATCATCTGTCATGCTAATTGGTCAGTACCAGGAGGCCAAGAACAAAGATCTTCTTCTACAGAGAGCAGTGGTCAAAGTAAGGCTGAAGAAGAGGCATGTAATGCCGAATGGCGGCTGCAAAAGTAGGGGGCCAACGGGATGAGGGCTGTGGCTGAGCAGAAGCCGAGGAGAGCCAAACGAGCAAAAATAGCATCCGACCGTCAATAGTTTGGCAACTCGGATTGTGAGACCCGGTGGGAACGGGACCGGGTTGGCGTCGCAGAATGCCCCCACGGTAAAAATAAACATCATCGGTTGCCCCTAACAAGGTAACTAACTACTAGTTGACTAGCTTCCATGCCGGGAAGTCTCCAACTTCTCTGAGAGGGAAGAAGAGACGAGCTCGGAGCTAAGTTAGTAGTTAGTAGCTACAGATATGTGTAAGTATGTGTTGGTTGCCCCTCCGTCTAGCAGATCTTGTGCGGGATAGCCGAGACTCCACATGTGTAGCCTTCCTGCAGGGGTTTCTGAAATGTGCTGGCCTCTGGTTCGTCGCCACCAGCTACATTCACGAAGCCACCACTTTATAGGTACGACGTGCTAAACCCTGAGGTAAAATATGGCGATAGCTATGAGAAAATAACAGCGGATCGTCTGTATGACAGGAGTTATGGAAAGGGGAAATATTCATTCCATAGACTAGTTCAAAAGGGGAAGTATAAGAAATCTGGGTTCATTAGTACCCTCCTAGTTCATCAGGTAATCAATCAGTCGGTCAAGTATTGCAGAGTCTTGACGATTTGACTATGATGACTGATTGCTTTGGTGATGGCAAGAATCTCGCCCCATTGAGATCTATAACCCGCATGAACACGGCATACTCCGTCTGACGAGTAAAACCATGACGATGATGCATTACTCTGCATGGTTGTGAGAATGAGCAGAGTTGCGTTATGATCCATTCTCTCCATGATGATTTCCTATTATTATGATGAAAAGATTATTTTTATTCCCAGCATTCAAGAAAAAGTGGGGTACCTGAGGCCATCTTCCCTCTCATAGGCTCGGGCCATGCCAGAAGGCCCCTCTCCATTGACTCTCCAGCCATGGAACACCAGCAGAGGTGAGACATGATCGGTGACGGGGCTGACGCATAGGCCCGGTAGCTGGAGGAGAGAAAAAAAACTTAGGGACACAGGTGCATAGAACCTAGGTTCTGACTGACAGGCCCCCTGGGTAAAGAAAATAAACAAAAACAAAAAAAAAAATAGGGAACTGGGAACTGGGAACTGGGGAAAACAAGAGCTACTAAGAATAAACATTGGACTTGATTAGGAGAATGGAGAATACAGTACATAATTGTCAATTATGGTCATTGTTGGTTAGGATGATCTATTATTATGATGGGAGGAGCAACAGGGCGGTGGGCATTTCAGATCGGTTTCCGATCCACACCCCTCCCTGGCCTCCAGCTTGCCTTCCCCTCTATAAATACGATTCAGCCTCTCGCAACTTTCGTCCCATCCGGTTCCTCCTCCTCCTGCCTATTTTCTTTCCTACTCTCTCTTCCCACCTTCAACTACTCTCTCCCACTTCTACTAATCAACCTTCTTCCTTTTCCCCCCAACTACTCCAATCGCTTGATTCGTTCTATTTGTTTAATACTTACCCATCATGTGGTACGTGGCGCTTTCCCCCTCCTCTCTTTCTTTCAGCAACGGGGAAAAACTGAATGGTGCTCACATGCTTTTCTCATTTCTAGTGGAATCTTCGGCTACATCAACTACCTGGTCGAGCGGGACCGCCAGTTCATCATTGACACTCTCCTCAATGGTATGTTCCCAACACCTGTTTTGCTCTCGCTCAAAAGTGGGGAACCGCTGCTAATCTGAAACAACAACACTTAGGCCTCTCCAGACTGGAATACCGCGGCTACGATTCAGCCGGTATGGCTGTCGATGGTGACAAGAAGAACGAGGTGCAGGCTTTCAAGGAAGTTGGCAAGGTCGCTAAGCTCCGTGAGCTCATTGCCGAGACCAAGCCCGACATGACCAAGACCTTCGAGTCGCACGCTGGTATTTCTCACACCCGCTGGGCCACCCACGGCACCCCCTCCCGTGGTAACTGCCACCCCCACCGGTAAGTCATTTCTTGGAGAACACATTGTTGGCCCTCCCTATTCAACCCCTCACTGGGAACGAAACACCATGTGAATGAAGGGGGGCAACACCCAAACTTCCGAGCTAATGCGTTTATCCCCCTTCACAGATCCGACCCCTCCTGGGAGTTTGCCGTCGTTCACAATGGTATTATCACCAACTACAAGGAATTGAAGGCTCTGCTGGAGACCAAGGGCTTCCGCTTCGAGACTGAGACCGATACTGAGTGCATTGCCAAGCTGGCCAAGTACCTGTATGACCAGCACCCCGACATTGAGTTCACCGTCCTGGCCAAGGCCGTCATCAAGGAGCTCGAGGGTGCTTTCGGTCTGCTCCTCAAGTCCGTTCACTACCCCCATGAGGTCATTGCCGCCCGCAAGGGTTCTCCCCTGGTCATTGGTGTCCGGACCTCCAAGAAGATGAAGGTGGACTTTGTCGATGTCGAATTCTCGGAAGACGGTGCTCTTCCCGCGGAGCAGGCCTCCCAGAATGTCGCTCTCAAGAAGTCCGCTACCAGCCTGTTGGCCCCTCCCGACAAGTCGCTGCTGCACCGTTCTCAGTCCCGTGCCTTCTTGTCCGATGACGGCATTCCCCAGCCCGCTGAGTTCTTCCTCTCCTCCGACCCCTCGGCCATCGTCGAGCACACCAAGAAGGTCCTCTACCTCGAGGACGACGACATTGCCCACATTCACGAGGGTCAGCTGAACATCCACCGTCTGACCAAGGATGACGGTACCTCCAACGTCCGTGCTATCCAGACCATCGAGCTGGAGCTCCAGGAGATCATGAAGGGCAAGTTCGACCACTTCATGCAGAAGGAGATCTTCGAGCAGCCCGAGTCCGTCGTCAACACCATGCGTGGACGTCTCGATGCTGTGAACAAGAAGGTTACCCTGGGTGGTCTTCGCCAATATATCTCTACTATTCGCCGTTGCCGTCGTCTCATTTTCATTGCCTGCGGTACCAGCTACCACTCCTGCATGGCTGTGCGTGGTGTCTTCGAGGAGCTAACTGAGATCCCCATTGCCGTGGAGCTGGCCTCCGACTTCCTGGATCGTCAGGCTCCCGTCTTCCGTGACGACACCTGCGTGTTCGTCTCCCAGTCCGGTGAGACTGCTGATTCTCTCATGGCTCTCCGCTACTGTCTGGAGCGTGGTGCCCTGACTGTTGGTATCGTCAACGTTGTCGGCTCGTCCATCTCCCTCCTCACCCACTGTGGTGTCCACATCAACGCCGGTCCCGAGATTGGTGTTGCCTCTACCAAGGCCTACACCTCCCAGTTCGTCGCTATGGTCATGTTCGCTCTGTCCCTGAGCGAGGACCGTGCCTCCAAGGCGAAGCGCCGTGAGGAGATTGTCGAGGGTCTCGGCAAGGTCTCTGACCAGTTCCGCCAGATCCTGAAGCTCAACGAGCCCATCAAGGAGATGTGTGCCAAGTTCTTCAAGGACCAGAAGAGTCTGCTCCTGCTGGGTCGTGGTGCTCAGTTCCCCACTGCTCTTGAGGGTGCCCTCAAGATTAAGGAGATTTCCTACCTCCACTGCGAGGCCGTCATGTCCGGTGAACTCAAGCACGGTGTTCTGGCTCTCGTTGACGAGAACCTACCTATTATCATGATCCTCACCCGTGACAACCTGTTCACCAAGTCCCTGAACGCCTACCAGCAGGGTGAGTACTTCCCTTTCGCAACTTCATTATTCGCCATGTCCATCCACTAACTCATTCTCTAGTCATTGCTCGTGGCGGTCGCCCCATCGTTATCTGCAACGAGGATGACCCCGAGTTCTCCTCTGCCCAGACCGAGAAGATTGTCGTTCCCAAGACTGTGGACTGCCTCCAGGGTCTGTTGAACGTCATCCCGCTGCAGCTGATCTCCTACTGGCTGGCTGTTGGCGAAGGCTTGAACGTCGACTTCCCTCGTAACCTGGCCAAGTCCGTGACTGTCGAGTAAATGGGAAGCGGGGCTTCAAAGAAAGTATTCAAGTAGACGACTGCAATGATCTCCTGTTCCCTTACCTTTGGGTGTTAATGCCTGTGTTTTGTTAAGCTTATTCCCAAGAATGGAATCGTGTTATATTTCTGGTGTCAACAATGTCTGTTGTAAGTCTTCAGAACAGTATAAGAGTACGGTAAAGATTAGCCAAAATCTAGTCAATGCCTTTAATTATATCAAATTAAACTATGTTCTCATGGTAAATAAAGGCGCTAGTGTTCGTGCAGAGCAGAGCTCCAATATGATTTTGCCGTATTCGGCCATGACATTCCGCTTGCCCCGCTACTGGAAGCACAGAGACCCTCGAATGCGGGACCTCCCCTCCTCGATGTTTCCGACCTCCCCCAACCCCAATCCTCGGATATAACCACTTCCAATTCTCTAATTTCCCTCTTCACTGTTTCAAAAGTCGTCAATCAATCACAATGACCACCATCAAAGGCCCCGGAGCTGCAGAGACCCTCGACGGTAAGTAACAGCTCAGCTCCCATTCTATCCTAGCCTATCCTGCACCCCGCACCGGTTACCTCGGATGGACCAACCTACGACCTACGACCTGATCTAGGATCTACAATTCTTGTATTCTTGTGTTCTTGTACTAATGGGGACTAATTGTGATTTTGTTCAGGGTCCGGTCTGCGCATTGCCATCGTCCACGCTCGTTGGAACACGGCTATCATTGAGAACCTCGTTGCGGGCGCGAAGAAGAGCTTGTTCGCTGCTGGTGTCAAGGAGGAAAATATTACTATCCAGACTGTTCCGGGTAGTTATGAGTTGCCTATTGGTGTGCAGCGGTACGTTATAGCCCCCTCCTCTTTCTACCTCCTACCTATACACCCATCTAAGGCAATTGGATATCTCGATGCCCTGCTTCGACACCAAACTAACATCTCCCAGCCTCTACGCCGCCTCCCAAGTCCAAGCCAGCAACACCGGCGAAGGCATAAGCGCAACAGACCTCCTCTCCTCCTCAACAACCGACCTCTCCAAGTCCACAACCGCCTCCCCCAGTCCCAAGAAAGCCTTCGACGCAATCATCGCCATCGGCGTACTGATCAAGGGCGCGACCATGCACTTCGAGTACATTGCGGACGCGGTCAGCCACGGACTTATGCGTGTGCAACTTGATACGGGTGTTCCTGTTATTTTCGGTCTTTTGACTGTTTTGACGGAGGAGCAGGGTCTTGAGAGGGCCGGATTGGGGAGTAGTGGGATGCATAATCATGGGGAGGATTGGGGTAGTGCGGCTGTTGAGTTGGGGGTTAAGAGGAGGGATTGGTCTGAGGGGAAGATTTTGTAGATGGAGATTTTGCGAATCGAGGGAAGGAAAGGAGGATCTTTGTGTTTGAGTTACTCTACCGTTAGTCGAGGCAATATAGTACCTTACCTACGTAAGGTATTAACCAGAAAACATTGGATTAAAAATGAAGATGGAATTCGTTCGCGGGTTCAGGTAGGGCGTTGAAAGGGAATCTATTAAGCGATTTCTTTGCTCGTTCACTCTTCCATCTGCTCCCCAGCACCCTTATCCTCCTCCTCTTCATCCTCGTCGAGTGCCCGTCGTGCAGCCTTCTCAGCTTCTTCAAGAATATCCTTGGGTACCTCCTCATGCCGGCCCTTGGTAGGACCGTCCAGAGAGCTGATCCACGACATCTCCAACTCAAACTCCTTGTCCTTGCTATCCTCGTGCGCGACGTAGATAATACGAGCAGCCTCCTTGACACCGTCCAGCAGAGAGAGTTTCTCCGAGCTGAGATCCAACTTCTCCAATTCGGCTTTGGCTGCCTGCCGTCCCTTGCCGGTGGCAGCGCCGTAATATCCCTGCACACCGCAACCGTTAGCATCTTCTGATACAATATTGGAACATTAGGATGAGCTTCCATACCCAGTACAATCCACTAGGCTCGATCATGTATAGACCAGGCCCACCAGCCTTGGCTCCCTCAACCTTTCCACCGGCACCAGACTTAGGTCCCGAGCCAACCTGGCCATCAACCGCCAGCTCGGCCTCGCTATCCCATCCACCAACAATGGAGGTCACACCGAATGGTCGTACACTGGAGTAAAGCGTGTATGCTTGTACGTAGCCGCCGAGACGATTGGCAAGTGCGGAGGTCGGGATGGGACCTTTGTATGTGGCTCTCCACGAGGAGGCTTCGTCGCGAGCACGGGAAACGAAATGACGACCATCGGGGACGAGACCAGCCGATACCTAGAGACCCCGGTAGACGGGGATAGAATTAGTATTCGAATATGACCGGTTTCTCGCGATGGAATCAGGGTAGTAAGCAGCGCTAGATGCCTGCTCTGGCGGTAGCAAGGAAGGGCGGATGATGGGGGTCATCTCTCACAATGCCGACGTGGCGATCAACAGTCGCGATTCTCTTATTCGCCCCGGGCTTGAGGAGCTTGCTGGTGATGATTTTCTCCACGGCCAAAACGACGCCGTCCTTGCATCGGATACCGATAGCTGTGCCGCCGTTCTCGACTGCCTTTACGGCATACTCGACCTATGACGGGAGGGAAGGGTCAGCTACACGAAGCTCGTGCGAACCCCATTACCAGAGCCCTTCCATTCAAGGTGCGAGTCATACCTGGAAATTCCGGCCATCTGGCGAGAAGACCGAGTTGGAAAGATCGTAGCCCGTGCCGATTGACGTCTGTCCGCGGTGTGATTAGCTTAGCTGTGGATCATGATCATCGAGATGAGGGACAATGGGTCGAGGGGGATGTACCATGGTGAAGTGTTAATGTGTGATGCAAAGGGGGAGTCTTCCTGAATCCGAGACGTCAACGGTGTGGGAAGAATGAAGCTGGTAGGTGAAGCAGACGCGATGGAGAGAGCTTCCAGCTTCCAGTTCGGGGCTGAAGCTGCGTCACGGGGGCTGCCTGGGTCATGTGACCTGTTGTCCAGAAGTCAACACGGGCGGAGTTGACTGACAGTATTTTGTTCTTAGTTCAACAGGCATACCTGGTTAACTACGGAGTACTCCAAAGTTAACTAGACTTTCTTACAAGGTTCTTTTTTACAAAGTACTCCCGTATTTTTCATTCAAGGATATTTATCAGTCCCCGACAGGTTAATCTTATTCTTACATCATACCCTATACTTCGGGTTCAATATGTCAAGACATACTTTACTACTTTCTTGTTGACATGATTTTTTATTCTCGCTATTTATGTTCATTCTCCTCGCCTGATTCTTCCTAGACATAATTCACCTGACTAATAATGCTTTCGCGGTGCGGCCCAACTACTGAATTACCTGCTTGGGCATCGCGGGGTCAGGCGGGGGATATCCTACATTCTTCCTTCGTCATGATTTCTTCTCTTTTCTAATTATTTGATACCCTATTACTCTCTGTTTTCTCTTTGCTAAACTATTTCCTCTTTGCTAAGCAATACTGGATCGAACTATTAACTTTCAACCTTCCGCTAGCATCCAGACCTAGTGGCCCCTTTTCCTGCCTGTTCCTTGATATCTATCCCAGAGACTCGTTGATATTGACTATCTTCCTCGATACATTTCCCTTCTACTCTTTTAGTTATTTTTCTACATATCTTTTCTTTTCTCTCTATTTTATCACCATGTCCTCTTCCATCCTACACCAGTGCCCATTCTGCGGCCACACCTCCGACATTTCCCTTTCCCTAGCCGCCTTCATCGAGAACCCCTACTGTGCACAGGTAGTCTACACTTAACACATTCCTATTACTCCGATATACATACAATACTAACCAGAAACATATAGTGCGGTCTCTCCGTCTCCGAAAGCAACAGCAAAATCCAAGACGAGCTATCAGCCCTCTTCGACCGCCAAATGACCATGGAGCAATCGCAACATACCCCCCAACCCATCAATCCCACACCTACCACCTCCTCCTCTCAGCAACAACCCATCACCTACAGTATCACCCAACACTACCACCACTCATCCCACGTAGCTCCCCTTCCTCCTCCTCCCGCCCAATCAACCGCTACACCCACAACCACAGACGACGAAAGCCTAGGCCTCCTCACCCTCCTCCTAAACCACGGCATAGACCCATCAACCCTATCTCCCTCCCAACTCGACCTCATCAGACACGCAGACGCAGAGCAACAACAGCGTCTCCTCCAAACATGGCAAGTCTACGCCGCACACGGCCAACCCACACAATCCCAAGATACAGACATGGACGACTCCATGAATGAGGACAAGGGTCCTGATGCGGAGCCGTATATGGTTTCTGGCTATGAAGCTAGTGCTAGCGCTACGGATCCTGTGTATAAGAGTCAGCAGTGGTGGGAGGTTGCGCCTATTTCGGCGGAGTCGCAGTATGGATTGTTTGAGGAGAGGAATCGGTTTTCGAGATTAAATGGGTGTGCGGGGGTTCAGGTTCCGCAGTGGTTGTGTCCTAATTAAGGGAGTTTTCTTGTGGAGTTTGTTTGGTTGTTTATGTTTTTATGACTTTGATGGATGTATGTGGTTTGGGTTTTTTGTGTTTATACTTGTGGTACATTGTTTTGGGAGCTTAGTTGAGTATCTCCACTCCATATGCATATTCCATGTGATACCAGAAACTTGTTTGTGCAGTTTGTCTAAATTGATATCACGTCTTATCTATTTACAGCCCAGTGATGGGCAGCTCAAGCTGATACTAGCATATACCAAATCAAGGACAGTACTCAATCATCGAGTGCGTTCGTCTCAGCCAGTATGAACAGCAACCACCTAGGAGGCGTAGATGTAGTTCAAGGCCAGCAACACTACCTCTCCACGATACAGACAAGCCAAGCGAGAAGCATGGTTTTTCTACATTTTGATATCAACTTAGACTGAAACAAAATGCAGGTGAGAACAAGAAAAGTGTCTATTGCTATAACTTGCCAGGGGACATCGCGAGCTAAATAGAAAGAAAGATAATACATAATTGGGAATCATTCCAACCGGCTCAGATGCTGCAGGTGAACCGATCAGGGGAGTCCCCAGTCGTAGCAGTAAGGGACATGGAAGGCGACGGGGTTCAAATTTACAGAGAAGACTCCATCTTGTCCAGAACGGCCCGGGTGAACTCGTGGGTGGTAGCCTGACCACCCATATCGCGAGTGCGGGTCTTGCTGTAGGTAAAGAGTCAGTAAGTCGAACGGATTGTGGAGGCAGATGCACTGGTGATAGGTGACTTACCCCTCGCCGATCACATCGTAGACAGCCTTGGAGATGCGGTTGGCGTGGTCATCGAGACCAAGGTGGCGGAGCAGCATAGAGCCGGAGAGGATCAGAGCGCTGGGGTTGGCCTGGTCCTTGCCCTTAATGTCGAGACCGACGTGACGGCAGCCGGGCTCGAAGACGGCGACATCACGGCCCATGTTGCAACCGGGGACGACACCGGGGCCACCGACAAGAGCGGCAGCGATGTTGGAGAGGATACCACCGTACAGGTTAGGCATGACCATGACATCGAACTGCTGGGGGCGGGAGACAGCCTGCATGGAGGCGTTGTCGACGATCATGTCGTTGACCTCCAGGGTAGGGTAGTCCTCGGCGACCTTGTGGAAGGTGCTGCGGAAGAGACCGTCGGCCAGCTTCATGATGTTGGCCTTGTGGATACAGGTGATCTTCTTGCGGTTGTTGGCGAGAGCGAAGCTGAAGGCGAACTTGGCGATGCGCTCGGACTTGGCGCGGGTGATGATCTTGAGAGACTCGACGACACCCTGGACGGACTGGTGCTCGAGGCCAGAGTACTCACCCTCGGTGTTCTCACGGATGATGCACAGGTCGACATTCTTGTGGCGGGTCTCGTAGCCGGGGATGTTCTTGATCAGGGAGATCGAGGCGTAGATGTCCAGCTCCTGACGGAGAGCGACGTTGAAGGACTGGTGGCCCGATCGCTCGACGGGAGTGTGCAGGATACCCTTCAGACCGAGCTTGTTGCGCTTGAGCGAAGCCAGCGACTCGCGGAACAGCTCCTCAGAGTGCTTGTTGCCAGTGTCCACACCGCTAACATCGACCTGCTCCCACTCGATGGGGACGTTGTCGGCCTTGAAGATGGTCTTGACCGACTCGGCGACCTCAGCACCAATACCGTCACCTAGCAACTGATCAGTATACCTGTTTCGTTATAGCGCGCAATCGACGTGAGAGAAAAGGGGAGATTGGGGAGATTTTGCGACGAGAGCATACCGGGAATCAGAGTGACCGTGTACTTGCCGCCATACTTGGTAGGCTTGAAGATGTCCGACTGCACGGTAGCGAAAGCTAATCGCGAACGAAAAAAACAGGGTTAGCCATGGATTACACCAATTGAAACTAGCAAGCGCATTCTCGAAGGGTCGTTGGGCGTACTTCTGGCGGGAATGGAGCGACCGAAAGAGGGAGCCACGGAGGCGCTGCGAAGCAGAGTCTGAACTCGGTTAGCCAAGGAAATGCGCCCACGAGGAAGTTGACAGAAAATGGGCGAATTGGACAACGTACCCGGGCAGGCTGGGCCGTGCGAGAGAACATCTTTTTAGGAATCAATAAGATTCTTTGACACGGAAAGGAGGGAGGAGGAAGGGTGTGGACGAGGCCAAAAAACTGGTTTGACTGGGGAGGGGGTTGGAAAGGATCGAAGGAAGTGAGACTAACTTGCAAGGGAAACGGAAAAAAGGACCCCCGGATGGGCTCGGCATCGGACATCGCGCGACTTTCTGCGGTCTGTGGCGGCCCGAATCTTATCGGTCAACCCGCCTGCTTCTTATCAAACAATGAAATCAAGTCATCTGTCCTGCTCTATTCAACCCCCGTTTAGGAAATCATCTTCCCTTCACTCTCCACAATTGGCTTTGTGGCGCTTCTTATTCAACTGCTCTTTAGGAATAGCTGGTGCCTCAACTTGCATGGCACAACGAGCAAACAAAGAGACGGGGTCATCCAGTCCAACCGCCCACGCCCGCCTGATTGGCTCCTTTCCAACTAGATTCTATTCCATGCCAACGATGCCACCAAGTCTTTTCAGTCTTGCCTTCAGCCCACCTCCGCGGTGCTCAATTCAGGCACCGTATTTGTAGAACCTGACAGCTTTTCTCCACTCTCTTGACTCAGGGACAAAGACCACCAAACAAATGGTGACGGCCCCGGAAATGGGTCTCTATAGAGACTCGACAGCCTGATTGCCTAATCGGGGTGTTTATAGGATGCACTCCATCCTTTGATCCAGAACAGCAACCCAGCCCATGGCAGACTACCAGGCAGGATCCCATCTTCTCTCTCGAGAAGGTATAAAGACCTCCTCCTCTCGCCATGTCTACTCTTCTTCTTCACGATCATCATCATCCAAAGATCTTCGTCCAACGATCCTTCAAACCAACAAAACTTCCACCCAAACCAACAAAACTTCCACCCAAACCAACAAAACTTCCACCCAAACCAACCCTTCTTCAATCCCACTCTTTTCCGCTTCTCCAACATGAAGTCCCTCTCCATCGCCCTCGCCCTCATGGCAGCCACCGCCGTCTCGGCCGCTCCTGGTCGCACCCCGCAAAAGTGGTGCGGTCACCCCGGCCAGGGCTGCGCCAAGCGCTCTGCTGAGCCCGAGCCTGAGCCCGTTGCTCAGTCCTGGTGTGCCCACCCTGGCCAGGGCTGCTACATGATGAAGCGCACTGCCGATGTCACCACCGAGGTCAAGCGCTCCGCTGATGCCCTCGCCGAAGCCATGGCTGAGGCCCACCCCGCCGCTCTTCAGAAGTGGTGCGCTCACCCCGGCCAGGGCTGCGCAAAGGTCAAGCGCACCGCTGAGGCTGTTGACGAGGTTAAGCGCTCTGCTGAGGCTCTTGCTGAGGCTATTGCCGCTATGAACGACGAGGAGTAAACGGTAAGCACCAGACATCCTCTTCCTTGGGATGATCATTCAGTATACTAATTGGTTTTTATACAGTATCCCATGTCCTTGGACACTCTCGTGGTATCAATCACAGCTCGTCAATTCTTCTGTTGATAGCAGTTCTATTCGGCTCGTCAACACTCAACACCACTGGACGGATGTTAAGTGAAATTCGGAATTTATGGGACATGTCTATGGCGGAACACTCCTTTCACTTGGCCATAAAGAGACTCGTGTTATTTGCTTATCTTTTTTTCCTTTCGAAAAATCCAAGGAAAGATATCAATCGGAGAAGTAGCTGGCAGTCTACATCTATCAATGCATTATTCTTAAGCTTCTATCCGAAGTTCTTCCGTAGGAGTTTTGTAAAATCATTTGAACATCTTAACATTTTTTTTCCTCCTGTGGTTCTCCAGGGTGAACGTTGACATACATTGAAAATTTCCCTGAATCTCCAAACCCGAACCAGATCTTTCAGTAAATAAATACCAAGTATTGCCGTACTTCTTTGACCAAATATCTCGTTTTGGGAGTAACCCAGGACAGGACTCCGTTGTCTCGTGTCCGTCTCTCAGTTCTGGAGTAATCTCTTGGAGATGTCTGCTGGTTTCATCACTGATGCCATAACCGTAGCAAGGGCTCTAGCTACTCACATCCCAAGCATGAGCCAGGCACTTTTCTCTAAGTTGGAAGATCATGACTGGACGGACATCTTTGGATGGGATGAGCTCCCCGAGGAGCTTGTTCTATCCCTCAGCGACCGATAAGGTTTCCGAGGCGACATACAGCCAATTTCCTCGCCACAAGACCTCGAACGAGCGTCTTATCTGCTTAAACTTAAAGAATATCCCCAACAAAATCGGTACAGCAAGTGTCGAGCGATAGAGGTTTGCATGCGCCCAAGACGGACCTTCCATGCCCGTCCCATAATTGTCGGAAGTACAGGGCAGTCAAATCGCCTTAGGCCGACGAATGCTATTGTTCCAACAATCACGGTACCCATGTTTTTTGAGCTATTTAAATCATACAAGAAGAGGAGAATTGACCACGGAGGTTACTTTAGGCTGCCCTAGTATTACTTTTCTCAATATCCTCTCTGTTCATGCGAATCCCAGAACTAACTGAAGCGAGAGTCTCTTAGGCTCGCTGAGCAAGAGTAGGGTCGGTATGAGATTCTTGAAATCGAGGCAGATTAATCTCTCTCTTGGCAACAATTTTTTTAAACTAATTAAATTTCCTTCTCATTCTCACGCATCATCTTTCGATGGACCGAAACCGTGGTAGCGACGTTAGGTGTAGTAATACATATAACATGCTAGGTACGGTAATGGCAAGTCAATAATAGAGGCACTAGGCGGAGAAGATATAAATACTTTGATGGACAAGGAAGAGAGTCACTGCACAGTCAGAATATCATCAATGTAAGCTTATTAAGACCTTTCAGAAGGACACATGTGAGATCGTAGTGGTTAGAATGGCATCTCGGTCTTGACAAAAGGCATTCAGCGTATGGCGCCTCAGTTTTGCCAGAACATCATCCACCTCCCATATGGTCTAGAGGTTAGGATCACCCGCTTTCACCGGGTAGGCCCGGGTTCGATTCCCGGTATGGGAAATAGCGTCATCAATGATTTGTTTTTGTTTTGGCTTCCGTTACAATTTTCACTCCTTAGGTCGGATGAAAACCAAGTATATTTTGCGTCAAAAATAATGTATAATTTCTGAGGGTTAAATAAAAGTTTATCATGAGGTCTTGTTTTTACAGACTGCGCACCGTCGGCCACCTCGACCTTCTTTTTTCTCGCGAGATTTCCAGGTTTATTAAATAATTCATTCTAGTTATTAATCACTTCCTTTGCATAGACATAGAGGCTCCCATGATAAATATATTTTTTTGTTTTCTTACCACCATCCTTTCCTATATGATGGCAGGTAGTGGGTGTAATGTCAGACTACACATGCTAATAACATGTCATAATCTAAACTAAGTCGCATATTATATCAGGGTTCTGTAAGTCTATGGAAGACGCGGATCCATATTATGAAACACTCGTCGTAGAATACAAGGGGAATTAATCATGGAAGCAAAAAAAAAGATAGGCAAAAAGAAAGCTCCCATACCGGGAATCGAACCCGGGCCTACCCGGTGAAAGCGGGTGATCCTAACCTCTAGACTATATGGGAAAGGTTGGTGATAAGATAGGCAAATTATTTGCTACGTAAAGGTAACTCTCACGTCTAGCACATACAGCTCGAGAGCCGTCATTACCGCGAGTTCTTAGGAATGAAAGAAGAAAACAAACCAAATAAATAAGTAAACTAGCTTTCGCGCGCTTATATTCCATACCTATGAGCTTTCCTTCAAGAGGGCAGGGTGACCAGTGATCCTTTATATGTTTACGCGCAAAATGGATGGATGAATGTGTCAAAGCTTCTCCATTCTGGAATGATATATCTCGTTGGTTAACTCGGTATTTTGGCCACACATGCAAGTACCTAAGCCGCACCCTTGTGTAAAGAGGGAATACAGCATCCCGTTTGAATGTTATACATAGAGTGAGCTAGTATGATAGCAATGGTACACTTGCTATATAACCTAGCGATTGCAAACATAAAGAACACCCTCCCTCATACCTTCCCACTCACAGATACGTATCCCCCCTCAGTGACCTCTGTCGCCTCTGTCCCCGTATCTGAACCTTCCTCAACAAGATCCAACGGCTCGACCAAATCCTCAAACGTGAGCCCCTGAGACGACGCAAGCAAAATCCGATATGAATACCACGTATCAACCCTGAGATCGAAAAGCTCCTTCATGTCTTTCTTTTGGCTTGAGGTCAATTCAAAGTCCCGAACCTGTTCGCAACACGAACACTCGAGGGTACAGTGGCCAGCAGTAAGCTTCGTCACCGATGAATCATGACGACGTAGACAACACCCGCACTTTCGTCCGCAACAACCGCCTCGTCCAGCGCAATCTTGGACAAGAACGGGATGCATGTACCATTTCGGGGTGGACCGCCACAAGTCCATTCCTCGTAGAAACGGACCATCGGGGATTGCAGCCATTTTAGCATACCATTCACGTTCTTTACACCAATGCTGACTCCTCTTTTGTCCAGCCAATGTTGTGCGAGGCCCATATTTGGCGATCTTTGCTGCCAGGCGTTGATCAATGCTTAGAAGCTCGTACTCCACAGCTAGTAGTTCACGGGCGAGTGGTATGATTTCTATCTTCTCGCGAGCCCAGAGGGATGCTCGGTATATTTGTAGGTCGTCGATGTTCTCGGAATTTATCAAGGCCGCCTCTTCTTTTGTAATGTACCTAGGCGGCCTTTCAGAGAGCTCGTGAAGCTGACTAGCCATGAGAGCAAGGTATGAGCGGGTAGGTTGAATAGGCAGAGGTGGGCAAGCAGGTGTTGATACTGCAGGTTTTGGATTTCTCAATACTCGAAGGTGACTTGTCAAGGGATAAGTCTGGAAGGGTAATAGAAGAACGAGAGGAAGTTTTTGCGAGGTTGCAAAGTCGCTCCGCAACTCATTGGGGTTTATGACTGAATGATGATAAGTACTTTCCGTGCTAGGCCCGGACTCGATTCTCAATTTTCGTTATAGGAGCTTTCATTTTGCTGTTTTTTGCTCCCTTAATCGAATTTTCTTATATTCTAAGAATGAGCATTTCATTATATTGATCGGCTTCTTCCATAAACCTACAGAACCATCATACAATAATCGAGTTTGTTTAGGTTATGATATGATCAGTATACGTAGTCTGACAACTACACTACCACTTACCACCTGCCTGACATCTTTATTTGTTTACTCGTAGATTATGGGCGAACATATCGATTTCTCCGTCCCAAAATAATAAATATATCCTGCTGGATTAACCAGTGTTCCGGTCCACACCAAGCCGCACTCTCGTGTCGCCGAGGAAGAGTATTTCACTATTATGTATAATCGATACTAATGTCTCACACTCATGATAAGAGCCGGATTTAGTAGCGATTGAAAGTAAAAGAAACCCTCCCTTATACCCTCTACTCACTCAGCGTCGCATTCAACTCCTCCTAAGACTCCGTCACTTCAGTCTTCGGAGAGTAACACTCCATATAAGTCTTGAGATTCAAAGGATCTATAAAGAACACCCTGCCGCATGCCTCCCCACTCACAGTTATGCATTTCCCCCAACCTTAATGAACTCTATCAGTTTATCTCCGTACCAGAACATACAATATCACTGGGCACTGGTTAACGCGATCTCGAGAAACCCTGTGACCGCAATAATTGCTGATACAGCCCCATAATGATTGAATCATGTATATAGGCTAATAACGTCGGTCAAAGCTTAGCGGTCCTTGGTCACCGAGAGTGCCTAGTGAGCCATTCAGCTCACGGTTCACGTCGTATTCAAGCTTTAGCTATCCGTAGACTATGCCAATATAAGCCAAGCTAGGGGGTTAGAGACGCGTCCAAGAGGGTCATCGGGTCTTCCCAGTGCCTGTATCCGTTTTCACAAGTCTCCGAGGAATGAATGCATTTAATAATACACGACATTCCTGTTCCGTCGAAAGAATAGAATAATCATTCATCGTCCGCAATTTTGACTCAAACTCCTGGTTCTGATATCAAACGGAACCTTAGCCATGGCTGAACCAACAGCGAGACTAATACTCCTGAAACGAGAAAGCGCCGACTTTATTGGATACACTGAGTCCGCGGGTACCTGTGAGTTTTCGAGTAAGCTTTCCATTGTATAGAACGGACTGACATTGGCGAATAAGACTACAGTTTTCTTTGCCCCGACACGCAACAAATCTTCACAACCTCGGGCTCATATTGGGCTTGTGCATCATCCGGCGCGACAAATGCAATTCCAACTGCTTGTGTATCCTCGACTCTTTACTACCCTCGAGAATAAGTATTTGATATGGTGGGATATCCTTTCCTCAATAAGCACTCAAATAGATGTAGTCCATGTTAACTCATTGTCCCGCAGCGCCCCAGGCTATACATGTGGCCCGGGATATTTATTTAGTTCACCTGGTGCCCAAAATCCATTATCGGAGTATGGTTGTCTCGACGGTCGAACTACTTCGTACTATCGAACAGTACCAGCTTCCACAGTTGCAACATCCACAACGGACTCATGTGAGTACTTTATTACATTGCAAGCAAGAAGAAATCAGAAAGAAAGCAGAGAGATTTTCATTCGCTAATAAATCGCAACCCATACCTCATCGCAAACAGTATCAACCTCAGCAACGGATACAGCTTCGAACAACAGTTCTGGGTCCCAACCCTCGAAAGTTTGGATCGTTGGAGCAGTAATCGGCCCGGTGGTGGGAATCGCAATCCTCGCTGCACTAATATTCTGGATCTGGCGCCTTAAAAAGATATTAAGCACAAGTAGTGTCATTCAACCACCGACGGGATCCGAATATGCCTTAGGGCCTTCCGCGGACGGACCCAAAAATCCATCAACCTCTGTGAAGTCTAGATTGGGCCTATCGCCTCCAGAACTTGAGTCCACACATTCTCCTCACTCTTCTGCTGCTAAGGTACCTTCTAATTGGGTACATCAACTTCCGAACTTCCAAACACCTGGCCGTTTATTGCTGAATTTCCAGGTCGATATCCCAACGTTGAATTAGCAGGTTGACTCTATAATCACCCGTGATATCAGGCGAAACTGTTGAAGAACCATAGAGGTTCTCGAAATTGCCTGACCAGTAGACACTGAATCTCTCTCTTGGCCCCGCTGCCGAGGCCTTATATCAGGGAAAGCTAAAGAAGGCCGAGGAGATATCAGGAAAGAAGAAGGCTCTCGGTCTAGATGATATATCCACTCTTAATATAGTTAATAAACGTAGGAACCTCTACCCTAAATAAACGAGGCAAGTAGAGGCAGAGAACGGCATTATTCCACTATTCGCTATAAGTGCCGTGCAATTTTACTTTACTTTCAGGACGACCAGCGGGACTTATCAGATGGTTGTATTGCTCTAGAAAGTTTTAGACATAAACATAACTCCGTACCTGATAACACCAACACAAGAAACCTTTTGAGTAGACAGGAGACGAGCAGGAGTCGTTTAAATCCCAGCACAATGGCCAACATTGGCCGAGGCGAGAGAGTAAATCCAATAATAGTTCTAAATAAAGGAAGTACTCGCCCCGGACCGATCATGCTCGGCAGTGAATCTCCAAGAGCCAGGCCAAGGAGTGAACTCCTCGCCTCATTGTCGACATGCGGAGGGTATCGTTATCGACCGGAAAGAAAAAGGGTATCACAGGACATTTTGAGTGGCCACACACTCCGAAGAGGCACAGCCATCCGGGTGATCGAGTCCACGTCGACACCCGGGAAGAAAGAAAAGGGATTGCCAAGACATCTTGACCGCAATCAGAAAGCGATACGTCTCTTGCGACCAGTATACTTGGAGTTCGCCTTGACGACCTTGCCCTTCTTCTGCATCTGCTCCTTCTTCCTCATAATCCAAGCCTTATCGCCCTTTCTCGCCGGGCCCCGCGCACCATTCACCTCAGCAGCCTTCCTCCGCGCATCAAGAACATTCACATCATCCATGCCATTAACAACACCAGTAATATCACCCTGCAAACCACCACCACCGACAGTCAAAACAAGATAGAGCTTGCTGTTCTTAGTACCCGGATCATCCTCCAGCATACCAGCGCCGAAACCAGCCTTGATAGCCGCACCGCTGATCATGCTCCGCTGGATATCGTTCTTAGGATAGAACTGGCATACGGCCCGTCCACCACGACGCAGACTCGCGTATAGACCCTCGAAGAAACGCTTCAGACGGCCCTCGGGACTAACATCGCTGGTCTCCGCATTGCACAGCCATTGAATAGCACTGATGCTAATAGCCGCATCAAAAGTACCAGGTCGGAAGGGAACACCCTGACCAATATCTGCGAGGAAAAGATCACCCTCGACTTCGCGCTGCAGAGCCACGTCCAGCATGCTGGGGGCAATATCCATGCCGACCCAGGTGTGTGGGCCGCCGTCTTCGGGGGCAACTTCGGACAACATCTCGCCTGATAGACCGGAGCCGCATCCGACATCAAGGATCAGCGAGGGAGACTTCAGGTCGAGGAGCTCGAGGGCGCGGTGGGTCATGTCGGCTTGGATATTCCGGATACGCGACGAGGTTGTATACTTGCGGGACTCATTGTCGTTGTAGAACAGGTCGGGCGGGCTGTAATCACAAGGTAGTTAGATTAAAAGATACACCGAGTCTTCCGGAGCAGAATCAACATACAGGATATCTTCGGGGCGCGACATGGTGGGCTGTAGTCGGACAGTGTCCAAGATTGTCGATTCTCAATAAGAAATAAAAGCGGATGGCCGAGATAATTAATTTTTTGGGAGCGGGGTGGACACCTGAATAATCAGGCATGAGTTCCGTCTCCGGGAGCGTCATTGCGGGTTTGCGACACCTTTCGCTTTCCATCCCAGCTCTCTACAGCTCTCCACTTCTTCAACTTCCACCACCGCCATTCCACAAACCGACCCTTCACTATGTGGATCCTACCTCTAGTAGGATACCTAGGGGTGATAGTAGGCTTCGCCTTCCTCACCCTAGCTATCGGTAAAGTCCACCCGCAAGCTCCGAATCACCCAGCTCACGAGATCACCAAGCCGGAACTAAATCTAACTCTACCACCACTTCAGCATCGGGCCTATACTACCTCTCCGAGCTTGTCGAGGAACACACCGTCCTCGCCAGCCGCCTCCTAAGCCGCCTCATATACACGATAATCGGCATCCAAGTCCTCCTCGTTCTAATTGATCGCTTCCCAATCTCGCTCTCCCTCCTCAGCATCCTCTCGCACCTCGTCTACGCCAGCAATCTGCGCCGTTTCCCAATCGTCAAACTGACCGATCCATTCTTCATTCTATCTTGCGTGCTCGTCCTCCTCAACCACTGGCTATGGTTCCGCCACTTCTCGAAGCCGCTGCCTGCGTCCCGGCGCAATGAGGGTAATTGGCGCCAGCCGTACCAGGTTGACTACGAGGATATGCCGTCTTTCTCGGAGGTGGCCTCGTATTTCGGTCTATGTGTCTGGTTGGTTCCGTTCGCGCTGTTTGTTAGTCTGAGTGCAGGCGAGAATGTGCTGCCTAGTATGGGCTCTGAATATGCCACTGGCGAGCATACATCGTCCGGGCTTGGTCACAGCCGCGGTCCGTCTGATGGAAAGGCGAAGAATAAGGGTATGGCCAAGGCTTTGGTGGATAATGTGCGGGACTGGACTCGGGAAAATGGTGAGCTGCTGGGTTTCTGGCGGGGAGAGCGCACGAGGCGGTTCTAGAGGCGACGGAATGAGGATGTGAACGACAATTCTTTTACGGTATATAACGAACTGAACCTAGATTTTGCGTGCTTTCAGAAATTTGACTGAGGCAATTTGAAAGTGAATTATGATAAAAAGACGTGTACTATATCAAGAAATACCATCACGCTGTGCACCAGATCAAATCGTTGAAAAAATCGAAACCATCTGGCAAAGCAATAGAAGAAAAATTGCAAAAGAGAAAATCCAATGGGAAGAGAGAACCAAGCGAAGGTTTAAATAAGAAGAAGAGCGAAAGAAGAATAAAGAAGGGGGTATAACGGTAGATCAATACAACGATAGATCACACATAAAGAAAAGAAAGTGAAAGAGAAAAGTCGTCAACGAGATAAAAAGTAGTTTCAAGGCTTGAAAGTCAAAACCTCGAATATTGCAGCCTCGTCCTGATTACCATTATCATTAAAACATTCCCGCGCGACTCTGCTGGGTGCCAAGTGGGTGGTAAAGTCGTCATTCTGCGTGCAATTCATAATCAAAGAGGCGTGTAGAAAGTTCCGGAATTGAAGCATGGTTTTGAGGTAAAAGGGCGACATGGATGTGTCTGGTCGATTATTTATTGCCCTGGTGGAGAGAATAGTCATCTGGTGCTGGAGATGAAAGATTAGTTGGTGTTATTTGAGGGTTGCGTGTCAATCATCACATACTGCTCTCCATAAAAAGCATGGAGCTTTCCCGCCTCTTGGCCTTGGCTGAACGAGTATCGTCCGAGTTCGGGTTCAACATCCCATTCAATGAGTGGTATTGACTCGGTGCTCCGGGGTGCTGGTTGTAGGCATCATTCCTATAACCCGGTTGTTCGTAAGAGGGCTGCATTGGGATGAAGCCCGTCTCGTGTGGAGCACGAGAATTGTCAACATGACCACCCGAGCCATCGCCAGGGCCACGGAAGGAGGTCTGATTATAAGAAGGGGTTGGGATGTCTGAGAACATTTGGTGGCGGGGTGACCGAACATCGTCAGGCGATAGACTGTGTTCCACAGTCAACTCTACAGCTGGAGCTGGTGAGTTGGAGCCAGCATCCCCAAAGATGCTATCAAAGTCGGTGAGGAACATCGAGAACACTGGTGCCGGGATATTCAACGTGGGAGCAAAGACAATGCCCACATTTCGGACGGTCATCTTGTTCACATCCGAATTGTTGACAATCTCAATCAAGAACAGCGAGAGTGCTCGCAGCAGTGAAAGGTTCGGCTTTGGCAGTCGGTGGACCAGCGCATTGAAGGCAAGGACCTTCTTCTGCTTATCATCGAGTTCTGTTGAAACATATTAGCATTTGATGACATATGGAATTGAAAGAAAAAGAAGATGGGAATCATACCAAGAACACGAAGGAAGTCCAAGTGGAGCTCCCGAGTCAACACTGTTGTCGGAAGTTCACGCAGATATTGCTTGAAGAGAGATGCGACAGCATGAACATCATAATACTGATCTCCGGTCAAGAAATCAACATCTCCTTCATTATTGAACCGCTCTTTCAATGCCTTGATCACAACATTAGAGCCACTCAAGCGAAAAATGCCTTCTTCCAAGGCGGCATCCTTAGAATGCAGGTATTCGATGCAGCGATAGACCACAGCAGGGAGATCTGCCTCAACGCCAATCGGACCGCAATCCTGAACAGCTTCCGCCAAGGGAATACCGAAGACAGGCTTGACGTTCTCCCTGCGCTCGACTGGTGCGGCTGTCTCGCTAGCCTGTGCAGCCAGGTCAAAGGATGATCTCGTGCGGAAGCCCCAGATGCTGCGCTTTTTCTCCTTGACCGACGTAGTTGTAGCCGTCGGCTTGTTACCCCAGGCTCCCACATCCTGGATTACCGTGGCATTGGTAGGTCCCGAAATAATCTTGGGCGACTGCATGGTCGGGTCAGCCGCAGACTGGTTCAAGTCTCGGAAGTCGGTGGACAGGCCGGGGATGTGTGGAGATCGAGGGGCCTGTTCAAGGGAAGAACCGATGATAGGAGGCTCAGCTGCAACAGTATCATCGAAACTAAATCCTTGCACAGCACCTCCACCTTCTTGGTCGGGACTATCAACTCCACGGCCTGGTCGTTTGTTCCCGTCCTTGGAGCCCTTGTTCTTGGACCCAGCACTAGAAGATTTGGATTGGGTCTGCTTCGATGATGCATTTCCGCGGCTCTCATTGTCCGAAGAAGGCGCTTCCACGTACTCCATCAACGCATCCACCCATTGATCGCGCTCCTCATCACTCTCACCACAAAGCACATGGCGCACAAGAGCAGATGAATCTTTCTTCTTCGGTTCCAGGATAAGGAATGCATGGCGATACTGATTGTCAGTGTCCTCCTCAGTGCCTGGGGGCGAATTGCTTTGACTGGTGGAGTTTTGAGACTGCTTGCCAATTTGTGCATGAAGGAGCTTGATAGTTCCCATGTGAGGGCCACCAGGAGCCTCATAGTACTTCAGCTCCGGCCCATGCAGCACGAAGTAACGGGCCTTCCAACCGCCGAAGTTCTTGCCTCGCTTGGTCAAATAACCTTCCTTTCTGGGTTTGCCATCCGGTCCTCTGGGCATGTCCTGTTTCGCTTGGCCAGAACCCTTTACAAGGCTGGTCTCATCGTCACGAGGCTCGATGGCATCATTAGTGAGGAACTGGCAAATAACCAATGCCGCTCTCTCATCCATAGGAGTATCCAAAAGGCTGTCGAAGTATGTGTTCAGTGCGGCGCGGCGTGCATCCACCTTGGCCGGGGAATGGCCGCTGAAAATGGTACGATCAGGCAATTTTCCAGCAAAAGAGGCCAACTGTCGGATCTGGTGATCTAACTGAGGGAGAGATGCTATAACTTTCTCCACGCGCCAAAGCTCCGCCATCTCAGATCTGGAGATGACGCTCAGGGTGAAAACTGGTTCCTCGTCCAATGGCTTGGACACCATATAGCTATTCCTAGACGGTCGTAGCCGGGAGGAGGACACCCGAACCTGAATAAGCGGGAGGGCATTTGGTGGGAGAAGAAGGCCGGGATATTCATCCGACACTAGGCCTTGATAGATGGAAGTATTCGGGAACCGTGCGGATCTCGGGCTGTCAATCTTGACCGTGGGATCAATCGAGGGAATTGGACCCCCGGGTCTCCCGTTCATGGACTGAGCATCTGCAAAACTGGTCGGGTAGTTTGACGCTCTTGGAGATATAGGTATACCTCCGAGGTTATAGCCTGCCTGAGCTGCAAAATCTCGGGGCATTCGTGGCAGCGGGGACCCGATAGGTCGATCCTCTGGCCGTGGGCTCATTGGCAGACCTGGGCTTTTCGGCATAGAAGCCATAGAAACCATAGAAACCATAGTGCGCCCATTCGAAGCCGAGGGGGTGGGTCGGGAATTCAGGACCGATCCCAGGGACCCGGTTGCGCCGACATTTGGTGGCGATCTCGTTACTAGCTCACGAGAGACCATCGGGTTACCGCCACGATCCTGCGAGCCATAGGGGACCTCGAATTTGGCTGCACCCACGGAACCTTGTGCGCCCATATCTTTCTGCAGGCCAGTCTCGCGGTCTCGATCATCTTCTTCACGTGTTTTTCTCCTTCCACGGTCCGAACTCGACCTTTCCTCCGCGTCTCGTCCATCACCGTAGTCGGAGTCGGAATCAGCGTCGACAATCTCTTCACGAGGATGGCCACCTTGTCGCAGGTTCAAGGGTGCTGGCGGTGGCTTGCGAATTGGATGTGGTAGCTTCTGCCCGTCGGGTCCAATAGGGGATGAAAGACTGCCTGCTGAGCGAGGACTTGCCTCGGTTCCTCCTCGAGGCAGCCCAGACGTCGCAATCGGGGGAACAGCTGTTGACTGTTCAATCCCTCGCTCTCCACCCTTGTTCTCGCTACTCGGAACGATGGTGGTCTGGCTAGCACGGGGATCCGTGTCAGCCAAGATCGTTCGCGGGATTGAAGTATCAACAGCTGGCACTGGAGGCGCAGAGTCCTGTAGATCCTTGAGTTTCTTTTTATATTTTTCCTTCTCTTTGAACGCACGATCCAGATCCTTGTTGAGCCCCAAAATCAGCGTCCGCTGTTTGTCAACCAACTTCCAGAGCTGAGAATTCTGCGATGCTGCTTGGTGTTTCTCCTTCAGGAGGTGCAAAATTACCGCCTCCGCAGAGCCAGCAGCAGTTATAAGGTTACTGATATCAGCCGGGCTCAAGGACTTGGCATCGAAGGTCGATCGCTGGGAGGCAGAGGACAACGAAGAAATCGCCGAGTCAATCGACGAGGTGCGAGGCATGACGCGGGGAGTTGGACGGTCTCCGGGTGCCGACAGCACAGAGCTGACAGGTGACGGCGCGGAGCGATCGGGCTCGGACGCACCAGGCGGTTTGGCAATATCCCCATCGCCATGCCTAACGGGCATATCCAACTGGTCCGCGCCCACCATATCGGGGGACTGGGACATGGGATGGCCAGAGTTGGAAGGGGGTGCTGGGAACGGCGCATTGGCTATACGAGATATAGGCGATCGGTTTTGGGACGGAGAGGAGTTGGCGGTCGATCGTGGAGAAAGCGGACTCTGAGAGATGGGGGAATCGTCGCGTCGATAGGACTGAGGGAGTGAGTTGGTTTGTAGAGGGGAAGGTGAGATATGGGGGCGTGTAGCCATGTCGGATCGCGCTAGGTAATCTCGAGGGATAAGACCCGTATTTAGAGGCGGGTATGCACCAGGCGGAGGTTGGTTTCTGGAGGGCCCTGGAGAGCCCTCTTCGCTGCCTCGCCGCTGCGACATGATTCAAGCATCAGAGGGGGTCTCGGGAGACTGGGGGGGGGGGGTAAAGTGTGACCAAAGCGTGAGACGGCGGGATGCGGGTCCTTGGAGAGGAGCTGAAGCTTCGGGCATGAAAAGAAAGGGGGAAAGAGAACGGGTGTCTCAGCCAACAAGAGTCAAAAAGAGTCAAATGAGCCAAACAGTCAAACAAGCCGGGCCTTGGGTTTTTCCCCCAGATCGATAGAGAAGAGAAGAGAAATTAAATGCGAGAAAAGGGGTGTAATTTGAACTTCTATCGGGTTTAATTAACTACTTTTGCTGTTTAGTTTAGTTGCGAGTTCCCCAGTGGAGCCCACTGCCGACGAGGTGACAGCTAAACCGAAAAAGAGAAACAAGAAGCGAGAAACGTGAAATGAGCCTTTGGTGGCGATCCGCTTTTCCGGTTTCTAAACCGGCTTTGGCTACAAATTTCTTCACGCTAAATAGTGAATTAGAAATAGGCCTAGAAGGATATTTACAAAGGCGTTTCTGAAAAGACCTTAGATTTAAGTATATCTAGCCCGTTAGTCGAGAATCGAACATTTACAGAATATGAAAGTAGTTTGAATATCCATATTCAAGATTCATTCTTGTAGAACGCTCTATAGTTACTACATTGCAAAGGACGAGCAAATGGTATATGGTACAAGCCAGTAGATTTGATAGTAATGTGTAGAGGGGAGCGAGTTTCCGCCCACAAACCAAAGGTGGATGGATAGATCCACGAGATGCTCCAGACTCCTCGAAATGCAGAAAGATGTTGCTATGATACAGAGCCCTCCAACGCCAAGATGGCTTCCTCCGCACCAAATGCAGAAGAAAACTCATGAGATAAGGTATGAATGTACAGAATCATGCGATGTTGCCGGCCATGCCTATGAAGATGGCCTGGGCCGCCAGCTGAAGGGACCAAAATCCAACCTTCTTGAAACGCCGTTTGCGGGCTTCATCGTCTACAACGTCTCGTGCAAACGCATCATAAGTCTATCGATAAGGTTAGTATGCATATACTATCAAGAATGGAGGGAAAAGATGCTTACGGCTGCTGAGAGGTCGTCCATCAAGCCACTGTCGAAGATAGTCCAGCTTCCATCAAAGTCACTGGCACGTTTGACGAGACGACAATTGATAGGGATAAAAGTGCGCTTGGAGTTGATGTATGCGACAATTGGTCGAATGAGGGCGTTGTTGATATAGGAGAGGTCTCGGGTAAAGATTGGAACTGCGGCTCGGACGTTGTTGAGATTGACGCGTAGATCCATTGCAATGAAGCGCTTATCGGCCTCTGATAATGACTCGGGGTCTTTTTGAGATCGTTGAGACAAGGTCTCGGTGTATTGGTTGGAGGTGACAGTGGCTTCCAGTCGGTCGTAGAAGTCTGCCATGACCTTGGCGATGCTCTCGTCGTTTTCGACGGGGAGCATGATATCCGCGACAATGTCTACGGTTCCTTCGTGAATCCATGAAAATGGACCTTGGACACCACGGTTGAGATGGTCGATATTCAGTCCATCGACCCGGATACGGTTATGTTTCTTCCATGGGCTGGGTTTGCCATCTTCCTCCATGCCATCTTCCAGGCGAGCTCCGGTAAAGCCATGGGTTTGGCGGGGGTGGATTGTAAAAAGTGAGTTATCGAAGGATCCGGACATCATGTTGGCGGAAAGGAAATCGTAGAAGAGCCACTGCCTTCGGAGCTGTGGAAGGTCGCAAGAGAAGATGCTGACAGAGAATGGTCTAAAATTGTCAGGCTGATAGATTGAAACAAGCACATCGTGCATCTTGAATGAATCAATCTCGAAATCGCCGGGGTTATGCTCGTGACGATAAGACAAAGGGTCTAAATCTTCGGCTGGCCACCAGACGTGGCGGCGATCGACGACACCTCGAATACCCTTGACTTCGACATCCCGAAGAGGGCCCTTTCCGTTGAGCCATTTCGTGAATGATAAAGTCACATTGACGGTTTCGATAGAGAGGTCGAATTGGGTGTAATTTGTATCTTCCTCCTCGGGCACGGCCGACTCCTCGGACCCGTTTTCATGTTCACCGCGAGCCGCGGCGGCAGCGGCTGCAGCGGCCGTCGTGGGGGAACCTTTGCTAACGTAGCCAGTGCCTTGGCCAGGCCGCCTCGACACGAAAACATTTTTGAACGTAATAACGCCGCCTCTCCACTTGGGGACAATAGCGGATTCAAAGACAACCTTGACTCCGGATGACTTGGTCAAGTAGTTACCAACCCACCCAGCGAGTGTTTCTATTGAACAGTTAGCACTTATTTTAGTCTCGCTGAATTTGGACCTGGGCAGCATACCTTGCGCAAAGACTGTATTGATAGCAAGGATGAGAAGTGAGAAAAATGTTGTAGTTCCAACAACTACCCAAACCACATGACCGAGAAGAACCCATGAGAAAAGCGCCGTAATCTCATCCAAGTTGTAAGGTCGGACACTGCGGATAGAAAACCACTTGAATCGCACCTTGAGGCGCGACCAAAATCCAGTTGCTGCAGCCAGAAGCTCTTCTTTTGTGGGTCGATGTACATGCGGCATATGCGGCAAACGGTCCATTAAATGGTGGCGATGAGGAGGTGTGGATGAAGACGTAGATGGGGGCGAATCTTGAGAGGCGTTTGAAGGGGAGGAGTGAGGAGGGGAATGGTCATCAGTCTTTTGGACTTTTTGAGGGTGTTCGTCATCTTTCGGAGATTTTGAGTCTTTAGAAGAGGCTCCTTCACGTAAACGGTCATTCGGAGTATGCAAAGCGCGCTTCCAGATATACTGAGCAGTCAACTTTTTTGATGGAATAATGCACGCGGCGCTAGTTTCTGCCGCTGTCGAGCTTGGAGACACGAGCACCAGGAATCCCCCAGAAGCAAATCGCCGCGTTAGCTGGGTGGGCTTTCCGGGGGCTGACGATAAGCGTCTATGGTTGGCGAAAATCGAGTCAAAGGCGGTTCTCGAGGAAGCGTCGGGACCGGGCACGCGATTCGGTCGTATGCGGCCGAGGAATGGATGTGCCGATTCCCAAAGATGGGCGTATAGCCGGCGTCCGAAATTTGCGGACATTTTGGGGGATCTTCACATCCTGTGGTCTGTTGAAGAAAGCAGGAGAGAGAGAGGGAACGAGAGGTCGAGGCTTTCGGGCGGCCAAAGCTTAGAATGGGGAAGCATGAAATCATCGGGCGTTTGTCTTGTTTGCACCGAAAAATCCAGCCGCCCACACTTCTTTTTTCGGCGAGGGGCCCGCCACTGATAATTTCTGCGATAACAGATTATTCTCGACTTTTTTTACGGATATTTGTCAATACTACAACACCACAACACAACAATGCCTGCCCCAACTGCCCTCCGCCAGCCGGCGGAAGTTTCTGCTCTCCAGCAACCGGTCCAAGCTATGGGTAAGTGCAGTGCCCCGAGATGCCGACCGAGTGCGACATGCGCTAACAATTCACTAGACCAGGATGATGAGATTTTGATCGATGCCCAGGGAGCGACGGAGCCCGATGTCACCAACCCGGTGGCCGATTCTACGGCAGACAATGAGATGCGCATCGACGAAGAGGGCCGCCCCGTTTTCACACCTGCAAAGGAGACCAATACCGCTTATCGCATCGAGACACGCAAGGTGCCCGTTCCTCCTCACCGCATGACACCCCTCAAAGCCAACTGGACCAAAATCTGCCCTCCCATCGTCGAGCACCTCAAGCTCCAAGTGCGCATGAACATCAAGAGCCGAGCTGTCGAACTACGGACCTCCAAGTTCACCGCCGACGTTGGTGCCCTCCAAAAGGGTGCCGACTTCATCAGGGCATTCACTTACGGCTTCGACATTGACGATGCGATTGCTCTTCTCCGATTGGATGATCTGTATATCCAGACTTTCGAAATTAAGGATGTGAAGACGCTCAACGGAGAGCATCTTGGCCGTGCGATTGGTCGTATTGCTGGCAAGGATGGAAAGACCAAGTTCGCCATTGAGAATGCTAGCCGGACCCGTGTGGTGTTGGCCGACCAGAAGATCCACATTTTGGGTGGATTCAAGAACATTCACATTGCCCGAGAGGCTATTGTCAGCCTCATTCTCGGCAGCCCTCCAGTAAGTCTTTGCCGCAAAATGATATCCCACCCTCTTTTGAGACTCTTCTAATACAAAACAGGGCAAGGTCTATGGCAACCTCCGAACTGTTGCTTCTCGCATGAAGGAGCGATTCTGATTCATTCACATCGATATCGATTCCCGGCATGGTATGGGCGTTCAGGAGCATTTTCAATTGGGTCTCTTTTTTTATGTTTCAAGATATCTTACACGCGTGACGACATCAAGAAATCAATCTTGAAAAAAACTATCTAGTCTTTCTTTCAAATATATTTTGAACAAAGTGATTCACCCAAGTCAAAAAATTCCTTGCATTAGAAAACTATCGTAGACAGAATGACACCCTCGCCTCTAATCCTTCTTCAGTGGGTGATACACCTCCTGAATCCCATCCTTGGTGATAATGACCATTTGCAAATTATCACCAACCTCAATGTGTCGCTCCACCGAACTCGTGAAGGCGTCCCGTACGAGACCCTTGACCGTTTCTAGAGGCAGAGGCTCGGCCTTCTTCGCCGCAAGAGCATGACCCTCCCCGCTTCCAGGAATGTATTGGTTCTTGAAGTTGACCTGGTTATCCAGGAAAGGCATGATCAAGCTAGCAGCAGCACCGGCAGCACGGCATTGCTCCCTCTCGTATGAACCCACGGGATCGTAGCTGTACAAAGCTCCCTTGCCCTCCTCATCCAGACCGGCCAAGATGGCGTGTACGTAGTAAGGGAAGAACCGCTTCTGGTATAGGATAGTCGACAGGCGCTGGGCACAGGCGGAAACGGTCATGGGTTTCCCGTGCTGGTACTTGTACATCTTGACCACAGTATCGAGTCGTTCCTTGAGGGCAGTACCGTCCGCGGCGAATCCCACCACGGAGAGGATGATGTTGGCTCCCTCGCCTGTTTCGTCATCGCCACCAATCTTGAAGACCTTGGGAACCATGCGAGAGTTGATATTGTAACCGGATGTGGAACGGGTGTCGCCAGCCAGGATGGCGAAGTCGGAGCCTGTGATGCCTAGAGTCGAGCCACCATTGTCGGTGTAACTGAAGGAGAATAAGAGTGTCAGCTAGCGTCCTTCTAAATATGACGGATTCGAAGCTTCGTACGGGTAGAATCCATGTTGCTTGACACCGGAAGCTGTGGACTCAGAGAAGGAGTATCCGACAGTCTCACGAGCTTGGTGATCCATGAGCGACGTCATCATGAAATAGTCGATAGTTGTGAGGTTCTATGAAGCTTGAGTTGGGTTTGGAGGAAAGAAAAGAAGAAGGTGGGAAGAGAGAACGGGGGGTATTCGTTGACAGAGGTAGTTAGCAATGGAGGCTGTCCGGTGTCTGACGCGATGCTGTAGCTGCCTCGCTTATGTAATGCCGCGGCGGGTGGGAGCTGTTCCTTTGGCTTTTCCAGGAACTGGAGCTTGCTGTACCTCCAATTACATCTTCTGAGTGACCAGGAAAGCGTTGAGACAACAGTTCAATAAACCAGCAGCTGTCGTCGTTTTAGATCTGCAATCGGGCTTACCAAAGTTGGAAGAAACCCACGCCGCGAGAACTATACCATGCTCGGCCTCGGTGCATACGCGAGCAGTAGCGAGGACGAGGTAGAGACCAAGCCCTTACCCAAGCTGCAGCCAACAGTAAGATGATCTTACCTCTATTTACGGGATATCACTGACCGCGAGCTCAGCAGCGTGAGAAGCAGCCACCGGTTGTACCCAAACAACCCGTTCAGGACAACAGTGAGTTACTTCTCCCTGGGCACTTTTCGCCCAAATCGATGCGCTTCCATGCTGACGCCGCGTTATCATTTCAGAGCCAGCTCCTGCCAATATTACGAAAATTCAGCCACAGATACAGCCCACTTCAGCGACTAATGAGCCTCCCAATGGCCCAGTTCTCGGTCCCGCATCCGGCCCCGCGGCCATGAGCCAGGAACAATCGCCCGATGGCCCATCACCCAGCGGCCGTTCCTCGCCCTTCTCGGCGACGCGGGCTTTGATACACGATTTGACACTTCCGCCAGTGCCCAATCTGGATATTCCACCTTCACCCCCGGGGTCACCGAACGCCGCTGCCAATGCCAAGTTTGAGCATTTCCTCTCCCTGAAGAAACAAGGCGTTCATTTCAATGCGAAGCTAGCCAGCTCCTCGTCTCTGCGGAATCCTAGTTTGTTGAAGAAAATGATGGAACATGCGGGTATTGATGAGGAATCACAATATAATACGGCTCTGCCTTCGGATCTTTGGGATGTCTCTAACTTGCCCAAGTGGGCTTTCAAGGAGGAGCTTCTTAAGACTCAGCAAGAGGCTCGACAGAAACAAGATGAGAAGAATGCTGCGGGTCAGCGGTCTTCTATCGAGTTTGTCTCCGGAGCAGATGCAAAGAGAAAAGCCAATCCATGAATTGGATAATTGAAATGGCGGAGACGTCCTCTTAATACAAGATGGCTCGTCTCTCAAATACACCCGGGCCACAAAAGACCCAGAACAGCTCGCCAGCGACTACGAACCCATCAGGTCAGTCTCTGAACCTCAGGCACCAGTGAACCAAGCCCATCTGCAAAGATGGTCTCCTCCTCATACTATACGGAGAAGCCTCCAACCGTCTCAGGTGCTAGTCGGAATGGATCACATCCGGGCTTCCTTCAAGAAGCCGGGGAAAGCTAGGGGCTGGGCTCTCCCTGGAGTGGTGTTACACGAAGACGATGCTCTCGCATTTTGTTTTCCCAACCAGATTGAGTCATACAGGTACTCTGGTGGTAACCTGCATTCGATATCCACCCCCCGTTTGTACTAAACCATATGCCAAACGTGCAATAATACGATTAGCTAGTTGAACACCCGATCTGACCGGTACAAATCCATCATTTGGCTCAAGATGCAATCCAACTACATAGTGATTCCCTGTAGATAACGATAGCTGGAACAAACAATCTCAAGGTAGTGACACTAGTCAACCCCCAAGACCGGATAGGCCACAACATAACCGCATGTCAATCCATTTCCCAGCATTTATAAGAAAAATCAACATCTTCATGATAAAATCAACATGAACTCCTGTGTTTCATTCTATGCCACTCAGAAAAGGCTTCGTAATCATCTCTCACTGTCTACTCAATACTACATCCAACAAATGCGTATAAACTGCAAACCCGGAAATAACCAAGGTCGCGTCCCTGCCGGCTCGAACCTTCGACTTTTCGATCCCCATGCAAATGCTATCCTGTTATCGGGATGCCTCCTGCTATGCCCATGTACTTCATCCAGGACCACGCTCCGGTCCATCCCCAACATACAAACCTCCTTTTAACACCACCAACAGGCTTTAATTACTTCAAAAAAGACATCAAACAATTTTACTAACTCCAAGGATTCTAATTATATAAAATTATTTCCAAAAAAGAATTGCCCGGCGCCAGCCCCGCTCCCACCCGCCCACCCATACTCGCCCCCTATGCGTAGTTGCGCATCCCCAGAGCCCCAATATGCGCGGTTCAGCTTTTTGCATAACCGCATAGTAGGTCTCCAATTTGCCGTAGTGGCCACTGTGTGATTTTGGTTATCCCACTGGACCACCGGAGGTTTTCGGGTACTTGGGACAGTTTTTTGACAATTATAAGTTTGCCTTCGGTATTGATTAGGCTGGATGATTTCTTGGCATTTAGCTTATATAGAGCCATGCCTGTTGGATATTCGATTCTTGATGACTCCGAAATACAGCATACGACTCCATATATTCATCCCAACATGCACTTTCAAACAAAGACAACGGCCCTGCGTGCAGTACAACTCGATATATCGATCAACCAGCATTTCCAACCCACGTTAACAGCCTTGAAGTCCTACTCCATACATCCCTTATCTAACCACCACCTCCTCCTCCTCCACCACCAGACGCCTTCTCAAACAAACTCAACCACGAAATCAACACCATCCTCGCAAAATCCTCTCCATACTCCACCCGAATCTGCAATTTCCCACACTTGCTAATCGACCTCTCCCTCGAAAACACAGCCACAACCTGTCCCGTCCGTTCCTCAATCATCTTAAACGACCGCAAACTCAACGGGAAAGCCCTGGTATTCTCCACCTTGACGCTATGCGTCCTTTTCCACACAAACACCCGTCTCTCGCCATGTCCACTCCCATTCACATCGGGGATGGTCATCTCAAAGCGGTATCTGTGGTGGATGGGTGACTCCCGGGTCATATCTTCCCACTGGGTGTTTTTTAGGTCATCTGGATCGCCAAGGGCGAGTTTGCAGTCGCTGGAGAGCTTGAGGAACTTTGATGCTGCTATTATGGGGGATGTGGAGCTGGGGCTGGCGTGGAGGGTGAGTGAAGGCTTGTTGGGTTTAAAGGATGAGATGTTGACGTAGTAGAGGGGTTGGTCGTTGGCGGATTTGATCTCGTAGTGTCGGCGAAAGGCGGGTTTGTAGATGTTGAATGTGCGTGTGATATTGGTTTCGTCGAGCTCTGTGGGTGTAGAGTCGATTGAGTCTGTTCGAGTTGGGGGAGACATGTTTTTGTGCCTTGTGATAGAGGTATAGTAGATAATTGTAGGTATGAATACGGAGCTATTGTGAGTTGAAGGGGACTGTCTGGTATTTAAAGTTCATACATATCTGCAATATGCCGTGTTCAGTCTGCTGTGCCGTGTTTGCTCTCTGGCATATGACCTTGATTGATTGAAGTTGTTCCAATAAACGATGAGATCAGCGGATACGAAGCTGTGGTCGAGAGGCTGAGCGTGGGGAACGACCTATGAGAAGCGAGTATACTCCAGTTTGTCACTGCATACCCACAGATCCGAATACGAGGTGTCCTGTATTGGGATAATGGGACAACTGGGCACAAGATGAATGCATCAAAAGGTTCATCACAAGCTACAACATACAGACGGTGAGCTATTACTCGCTGCTTATTGCCCTATCCAGTTAGCGGTATCTGCCAGCTTCGAAGTGTATGGCCACAAAGGGTGAGAATGAACAGCGCGATAGACTGTTTGAAACGTTGTCCATCCCCATTTTCACATTCCCAAAACCCCAACACGAAACATCATTAAGAAAACGATAGTTCTGGGTAGTAATCTCGCAATTATCGTCTGTTGTCGACTGATCGTAGTCTACTTCAAGTGTAGCGCCAAACGCGCGCGTAGAAAGAAGTGCTGAGTCAGCCAAAGCTCCGTCAGCTCGCCTGCCTAAGCTCTCCAGTCTCCGGCGTATCGTCATCGCTCAACTCCAACTGTTGCTCTCCCACCCTCATCCTCTCGACTCTGCCATCTCACCGTCCTTTACTCGTCTTCCTCGCACTCAATTCATAATGGATCACTTCCCAGGAACCTGGGGTCGGGTACGCCTAGCCATCCTCCACCTCCTCGCCCATCGCTAACATGGACCTTACAGCCCAGGAACGATGTCTACGGAGCTTACGACCCATCATATCTCCAGAGCACGGGTCCCAAAACACATACCACCTCGCCAGCTGTGACTGGTACATCGGTCATCGGTGTGAAGTTTAACGGCGGTGTCGTGTTGGCCACCGACAACCTGGGTATGCAGCGCCCGTTCCCACCCTTCCCATTCACCCAAATAACCAGAACTAAATCTGACCCCATCTTTTATTGAATTACAGCCTCCTATGGATCCCTCGCCCGCTTCACAGACACCAAGCGCCTGCGCATTTTCGGCAACAAGGCCGTTGTCGGATTCGGCGGCGACGTGTCCGACATGCAATACATTGACCGACTCCTCGAATCGATCGATATCCGCGAGAACTACTCCTCCCACGGCAACATGCTCAATGCCAAGAACCTGCACACCTACCTCGCCAAGGTCTTCTACAAGCGGCGCTCCGAATTCAACCCCCTGTGGAACCACGTGCTGGTAGCCGGCTTTGACGGCGAGGGCAAGCCATTCCTCAGCTCTGCGGATCTGCTGGGTACTACGTTCTCTGCACCGCATCTGGCTACTGGATTCGGTGCTCACCTGGCAGTTCCAATTCTGCGTCGGTTGTTCCCCGAGGAGAAGCCGATTGAGGAGATTAGTCGGGAGGAGGCAGTGGATGCGTTGAAGCAGTGTTTGAAAGTTCTGTTTTACCGTGATGCGCGGAGTCTGGATAAGTACTCGATAGCGGTGATTACTCAGGAGGGTATTGACCTGAAGGAGGATGAACAACTTGAGGGACAGAGCTGGGCGTTTGCCGAGAGGATCAAGGGGTACGGAGCCCAGACGGTTTAGATTTGATGTTATAAACCGTTCGTTGCTTCGATGTCCTCCCTAATTATCTACATGAAGAGCCCAATGAATTTCTGTTCGGGAGAAGAATCATAAATTGTTCGTGTCGTATTGGAAATGATTGTAGATGAAGAACAGGATATATACAACGACTGTCATCAAGTGGGTATGTAGTACGTGGAGAGCATCGACTATAGACATTCTTCTTCTTTCCAGTCCATCACAGCTTGGGGGTAGACTTATCAAAGACCACCTTGTTGGAAATGGATCCCACTCCCTCCAGGGAAACTTCCACTTGATCGCCATCCTTCAGCCACAGAGCAGGCTTGCGACCCATACCCACTCCTTGGGGACTATATACCCAGTCAGTATCAAATCACAAAACCAACCCATAGTAACACTATTCCAGGATGTACTCACGTTCCAGTAAAGATCAAATCACCCGGCAACAAAGTCGTACCCTGCGACAAGAAAGCAATCGTCTTGGCCACACCAAAAATCATATCCTTAGTCGACGACGACTGTACCACATCCCCATTCAACTTCGTCCCGATATGCAACGCATTCGGATCCCGAATAATCCTCGACGAAACAATCCCCGGTCCAAACGGCGCCCACCCATCAAATCCCTTACCAAGCCCCCACTGCCCACCACCCCGCTTAATCTGCCAATCCCGATGCGAAACATCATTACCAACCGCATAACCCAGCACATACTCCAACGCACGACTCTCCGGCACATTCCTCGCCTCCTTGCCAATCACAATCACAAGCTCACACTCATAGTCCAGTCCCTCGCCTTCCTGCGCAATGCCCGCAACGGGGATATCATCCGAGGGGCCTGAGATGGCAGTGACGGGCTTGAAGAAGAGGACGGGGAACTTGGGGATGGGCAGGTTGGATTCTTTGGCGTGTTGTTCGTAGTTCAGGCCTAGGCAGCGTACGGTGCGGATGTCCTTGCGGGCTAGGGGGCGAGGAGCATGCGCACGTCGGCGATTTGTTCGGTGACGCGGTGTTGGCCGAAGATGTCGCCTTGGATGACGTGGGCCTGGGTTGCTTTGGCGATGTCGGTGATGCCGGTGGGGAGGAGGGCGTCGCCGTAGTAGACGTGGCCGTCTTTGGCGAGGAAGCGGATTAGGCGCTGGAAGGTGAGGTTGTTAGCTATGAATTTGATCTAGGGAGATGGGTGGTCACTCACTGAGAAGGTGGCCATGTTTGTAGAAGTTCAATTGGGGGTGTTTGATAGAAAGTTTCGGAGGATGATAAGAGGTATATATAGCTAGCTAGCTATACCTTTAGTTGTAAAGAGAACTCGGAAAAATCAGGAATGACCAACAAGCAGAAAAGAATCAAAAGTAATAACAAAAGGTAAGTTGATAATCAGTAGATTTGGCTGGGGTAATTCTCCCGGTGGACATTAATAATTGAATTCTCCCCGGACTACTGCTGTAGGTAAGGTTAAGTGAGTTCATCATTTTTTATTCGGCCGGGAAAATGGGGACCATCGATCGCATCCCCCGGCGGAAAACGGAGGAGCTCCCCCCCCCCTTCTAAATTCTCAAGCTTAACACGATTCGGAGCTTGGACGACCACTCAATGACTTCCACTCCGTCCACTCGGTGATTACCATTCGTTCAATTCCCCGCAAAAATAAGGCCCCGTCCACCATGGCACGGCTCTCTGGTCTACAGCGGGATGTCTTATCCCTGTACCGGCAGTGCCTGCGCGAGGTCCGCAAGAAGCCTATCGTACGTGGAATATTCCATCCTATTATCCATAGATCCCATTGAAAAAACTGCCTCAGGACAGCCCTAGCTAGACGTCTATTTTAACCTCCTTTCTCTTCTGACAATATCTAACATTACTCAATCAGGACTCCCAATCCAATTTCAAAAACTACGCCCGGTATGTCCTCTACTCCGCACTCCTCATTCCCGCCTAGTCAGTCTAGTGCGCAGGTCATCTCTGTCCCCCATCGGTGCATTCCGGCTGACAAGCTCTGCCTCTTCCCCCGGCGTAGAGCGGAATTCCAAAAACATCGCTCGGTGAATAAGAAGGACTTTAGTGCCATTGAATATCTTCTACGAAAAGGTCAGCGTCAGCTGGAGATGTATGCGTCTCCGGGCATTCGCAATATCCGATGAGATTGAGAGGATCTGGATCTGATCTTCTCCGGGGTTCCCTTCCGTATGTTTCTCGTGCTTGTGTGCCTTTCTCCTTGTCTTTCCCGTCTTGGTGTACTTATGGATTTTTGTATAGCTTCGCCCATCTGAGTCCCCCCTCAGGACTTAGAAGCTGTCCGATTCTTTCCGACACGAGGTGATGTCGGGGGTGTTGAGATGGTGACCGTCTACTGTACTATAGCTATCCTGGTCGAGGCAAGCTTGGCCTCTGCCTGTAAAATTATTATTCTTGCCCGGTATGTCTTTCATGTCGGGAAACAGAGATATGATCTTTACCTTAGTCTTGATACACTATCTTAGTGTATATTGACTCTTAATCACCAGCGTTGGACGTTGATGTCTATGGTAGTAAAACCTAGTTGTTTCTATACTTACTAGTACTAATATATGAGACGCGCAGCCTTGTGCTCCCCTAACCATGCCCCACAGATCAGCCATAATCGAATCAATTGAACTCCTATTGGCGAAATGGGAGGAAGCTTATATTGAGCCGCCGTGCGGTAGGCAAATTGACTGAAAAATTTGTAGTAGTAGATCCTAATGAGTATTAGGTAGAAACTTTGAAATAGGTATTGCAAATATACTGCAATTCAAAAAAGGAAATGTCAACAGAGAGCTCGATTTGAGTAAAGCCGTTAAGATGAAAGTGAGAGCAACCGTTCATAGCGCGGATCCTAAAGGTGATTTAGCGCCTGATACCTTGACTATCTGCCTGAGAGTCTTCTCCTATTCATCACTGTTAAGGATATCTTTGGCTTAAAGAGTTCCAACGAGTGATATGAAGTAGTTTTTAAAATCAGATGTACCTCGATACTCTCTCGCATTATTTATTTTAGCCCCCACTCTAGCTACGCGCACTCTTCCATGTTTGGTCATAGTTCCGTCAACCGGTGTACCTTTCATGAGTCATAGTATGTATTTCAAAGTACGAATAATTATGTCGCCTTGCACAAGCTTTCCTTAGACAAGCCTTGTCTTAAGGTATATCCGAAACCACACTTATCTTCGCTTTCGATCTCCCAGTGGCCCACCCAGAGCGCCCTGCCCAATGTCCATCACAGATATGAATCCACCGCGATTCATGGGGTACGTACATGATCTGAAATAACCCCTTTTCCTGATTCATAATTTACCCTGTGACTCATTAGAGAATGATATAAATCTACCGAAATACCAAATACTCATGAAACTACGTCCTGTGCCTACAATCGACCGCCCTTCGAAATCTCCGCACCCTTGACCTTACACCATGACTTCAAAATGGCAAGTCAAACGTCTCCTCCACGGAATCCGAGCTATAGTTGGCGGCCAAGGACCCCCCGTGATTCTCATTCCCGGCTGGCCACAAACAGCAGAAGCCTTTAGCGATATCTTCGAGCCCCTCTCACAACAACATCAATTCTTCGCTCTCGATCCCCCCGGCCTGGGTGATTCGCCTCCTTCCCTGAATGGCTACGATACCGCGTATGTCAGCAAAATCATGGCCGAAGCTATCCACGATATCTTGGAAGAAGAAAGCAAGTACCATCTCATCGGCCACGACGTGGGCGGGTGGATTGCTTACTCGTGGGCCGCTCAATTCCAATCGAGAATCAAATCACTCAGTATCCTAGACGCATCAGTGCCGGGGTTCTTGCCTAAGTTTGAGTTTCCGTTGTCTAATCAGACAAACCTGCGTCTTTGGCAATTCTCATTCAACGCTCTTCCGGAATTACCGGAGATTTTGACTCAAGGTCGTGAGCGGGAACTATTGAGCTGGTTCTTTAACTTGAAGACGTATGCGGATGGGTTTCCCGGGGATAAGTTTGAGCGATATATTCAAGCTTATTCGAGACCTGGAGCGATGAGTCGGGGGTTCGAGTATTACCGGGCTTTTGAAGCGAGTGCGAAGCAGAATTTGGAATTTGCGAAGATGCCACTTGATATTCCGGTCTTAGCTTTGGGTGGTGCTGGCTCTGTTGGCTCGGGTATGATTCAGTTGGTCCAGAACTTTGCGAGAAATGTTTCTGGGGGAGCTATTGATGAGTGTGGACATTTTCTTCCTGAAGAGCAACCAGCTGCTGTTGCGAATAGACTGCTGGAGTTTTTGGAGGCAAATTAAGCAAAGTGAAATTGGGTTGGTTGATTTTGAGTCGGTCTGTGAGTATCATATAGTAGATTCCAATGAATGATTGTAAATACTATCTTATCAGGGATCATCGAAGGTACATTTGTAGATGGAAAGACACCACAGACATGGAGTGGGGGATTGTTAGGTATCTTTGTTTACAAAATAGTGCATGGCTATATGGCTTGCTTATGTTTGGTGTATTCCAAACATACAGATCTATAGAAAGTACTTGAAAAGTAAAGTAGCCATGTCACGATTTGCGTGTTACGTAATTATCAAGATTGGTATGGAAGGCAGTTCCCGATATGGAAGGCAGTAATGGTGGATACTGTAAATAAAGCTCATCAATCAGTCTCATCAATATTCTAGCTGAAACATTAGTGGGAAAGTGTGTAGCGCGCAGGCTAGCAGCAGGTAAGATGATAAATCTGAGACTGATCTCTTCTATAGTAATCTACGACTTGCTGGATATGTATTGTAAGCACTCGGAGCTCCATCATTACTATCTCCGAGGCGAAAGGGTGATTATTCACACATTAGCTTCATAATCAAACTATCCGCTTAGCATATCCCCCAGAATAATCATCCACGCACCCTTATCCTACTGTTGTTGGTGATGGATGTTGCTAGACGATTGGAGAACCTACCAGAACCACCTTGCCGTTTCGGGAATTCGCCGCCCAATCAGTCAGCACCATCCATCAACTCAAGTATATAACAAGCAACACCATCACTCTAAATTCCCCATCATCCATCTTTCGAATTAAATCTAGATCTCATCTGATCCACTCCAAGCTTCTTCGATCTACAAATCCCCAAGTTTCAACTTCCAACATATCAAAAATGGCATTCTATTCTTGCACATCGGACCTGGGCTTCTCCCCACTCTTCCGTCTACTAGACGACTACGAGACCCACCTCTCCGCTCCCGCACCAACCAAATCATCCAGATGTAAATCGACATCTACATGCACACCAGCTGGATCTACTCCAAGCAGGGTTATCAGACGCACCGTCTTTACTCCAGCCTTTGATGTGCGCGAGTTGAATGATGCCTACTACCTGGACGGTGAACTCCCAGGCGTAGACCAAAGCAACATCGAAATCGAATTCACGGACCCGCAAACCCTGGTCGTTAAGGGTCGCACTGAGCGCAACTACGCTTCTACATCCTCTACATCGCCACAGGTCGAAACCGAGACGGAAACGGAAACTGAGTCTCGTGGCAAGGATACTCCTACTACTAGTCGCACCCCATCTCCATCATGGCACCAACCCACCGTCGAAGACGACAACGAAGATGATGCCCGATCAACCACCAGCTCTGCTTCTGCTTCTAGCAAGCACTCAACTTCATCCGGAGCTGTGATCGTGGAAAAGCCCTCTGCCCCTGCACCCGCCCCTGCCACATCATCTCCCTCTTCCTCCCAGGACTACTACTGGGCCGCCGAGCGCTCCATCGGCGAATTCCAGCGCACGTTCGCCTTCACCGCGCGCGTGGACCAGGATGGGGTGCGCGCTGCGCTGAAGAATGGTATTCTGTCTATTGTTGTGCCGAAGGAGGCTGCGCCCAAGACGAAGAAGATCCGCATCTATTAATACTAGATGATCAATCATCCATTCTACGGATATGTTTACGATATGTTACATTGAAATGGATTGATGAATGGCTTCGCATCAGTTTGGCGCGATATGGATCGGGATAAGATATGCTTTGGGATTAGTTTTGATATTCGGCTTGGCCTGTGATATTTTGAGATAATAATGATAAGATTTTAAGAAAAACTCATCTATATTCTAAGCTTAATCATAGACGATTCTCACCTCTCTTTCATTTTCATTTTCATTATCAGAGCTACCTACATATGACGTGTAATCTTATTCAGCACTAACATTCCCAGCTGTAAGCTTTCTCACCGAATAGACATGACGCTCTAATCCATGTCCAAATCAAATTCAAATTCGGCCCTGCATATAAGAACATAACCCCCCTTACATCCAGCTGCACAGCCACCAGTCCCACCCCAACAAACCAACCACCCTACAAAGTCCAATACTAGCCAGCAGAACCCTGACCAGTCCACGCGGTGAAGAAAAAAAAGCCATAGAATATAAGCGAACACTCCACATGGCAAGTATCCCTGGCTGGCAGGCAGCTGCAGCATTGATATGTAGTCGGACAGGGATGAACAGGGGAGGTTGGGCGGTAGTCCGGAGTTCGGTGAGATGTTGACAGCAAAGCAATATGCCGACATACATACATGAATGCACTCAGTACAGTAGGTTAGGTACTCGGTGCTTTGCTTTGCTTTGCTTACTCTACTGTATACCCATACCCAGGCAGGCGGTGGCGTCTTAACTCGGAGCTGAAATGAACAAGCGCTGCAATGCATAATGTACAATTAGTGAAAGTGAAAGGAATAAAATGCAGAGGAGAAACTAGATGATCGATTCGATTCACATTCGATTTGGAACCATAAATTAAAATCCCATCAAACTGACATTGTGAGAAAAATCTTCAAAATAACGCCCTCAGTCATGAATGATAGTAATTTGAATTAGCCATTAGCCCATGAACGCCCTTGTACAACGCCCCAAAAACACTTTCAACGAGGGTATATATCGATAAAAATCAATCCAGGGACTCCGATATCAAACAGAGCACCAGCAACAAGCAACATAAATGGCAACCATAAAATGGAACCAGAAAACAAAAATCCGGCACAGCAACGCCGAGATGAAACTTTTCGTGTAAATGAACCTTGCCCAAAATATTAGAATCCCGAAATGGAGCCAAGCCAAATAGAACATCAATGCCAAAGGACCAGTAAGAAGAAAAAAAAGGAATGAAGATACTGTCGCTCATAACCGTACTAGGAGTGGGGGCGTAACCGTAAACAAAAAGATCGTCACATATGAATCTCCCCTTGAGGACGTGCCTTGGTCAACTTGCGACGACGGTAGTCCTGACTCCGGCTTCGAGGTCGACCACGGAGAGTCTCGGGAACAGACAAACCGATGCCATCTTCTTCCCCGTGCAGGTGATCCGGGGACAGGATCGTGGGGAGAGGTGGGACCTCGATACCGGGCTTCTGGGACCATACCCGGCTGCCAGGGCGACTTCGGGATCGCGATCGATGCGTCAATATGTCGTGTTTGGCTTTGGCATCGAGGTACCGCTCCGAAGCGGACCGGTGCATCTGGACCTGGACCTTCGCGGCCCCGACCTGCTGGTAGCTCGGCGGTGTGTCTGTTCCTAGCGACGTGGACGAGCCCGAACTTCGCGAGATATCGAGTGAAAAGCGATCCGCATACAACGGCCCCCGAGAGTAGACCTGCTCTTCATGAATAGCCGCCGCTGCCGTGGTGACAACAGAATCGAGCTCGATCTTCTGCGCCGGATACTCGGTGTACCGGGGAGCACATAGCGTTGATCGACGAGTTCGTAGGGCTGCAAGGGGTTGATCGGTGGCTGGGCCGATCGAGTCATACCAGCGGTCGAAATTGGGGTGAAGCCGCGAGTAGTTCCCCGCCTTGAACTTTGCTTCATGCAGGCTGAAATAGCGCTGGATTTCCTCGTTGCGGTAATGACTGCGGGACTGGTCACTTGTGACCCAGATGTTCTTGGCGTGGCCGTCTGCAATGCAGGACCCGGAGGTCTGCGAGTCGAAGGATGCGCGAGGGCGGCTGTGGTGGTAGGAGCTGACGGATGCTGCAGAGCTGTAGCCGCTGTCGGACTTGTTGAGCGAGTCAGAGTGCACGGTGCTTCGATCTAGATTGGTGTCACCTGCAACCTTGTCCGGTTGGCTGGTGCCGTCATCGAACATGGCGATTCCCTCATCTTCTGACTCGCCGGGGAAGATTGACTTGGTCGGTGGGGGAACTGTGATTGTGGGGGATTTCTCGAATGAGAATGGGCTGCCTGGGACATCGTCGGATTTTTTCAGGTCCGGTATCGCAGGGATCTCAAGGGTAGACTTGATTCGGCCCATAGCATCGACCTTGTCCAGACCCAGACCAGGTTGATTGAGAGGAATACGCTCACTCGGGCATGGGGAAGCCGAGCCATTCACGACTCGGAGAGATCCTAGCTTGAGTGCTCCCAGTTGTGTGTATCGACTGTCGGGAGGACTGGTTGGCCGTACCGGGGGTGCCACATCCAGTGATGGTCTCTGGCGAGGTGGCAATGGCCATTGTAAGACTTTGCAGTCGGTTAGATCATCGATAGGGTCTGTGGGCTCGCCAATGGGAGACGGTACTCGTCGAACTGCACTGGTAGTCCGTCTCGTAGCCACGCCAGGTCGCGTGAGGAGAGAACGCCTGCGAGTCAAGGAGAAACGTTGGTTGCCAACCAAGAAGTGCGTGTTGGAAGATGTCGCATCTTCATATGTATCCTCATAGATCACACTGTTGTGTCTGGTGAGGGTGGTTTGGATAGAGTTGGCCCGCCTAGGTTGTGGCGGAACGAAGGATAGCTGCGAGGAACCGCCGTAACTCCCGGATTGATAAGATGATCTTCGGAAAGAACGGCTGGTTGACGCCGTCCTGGAGAGTGGTGAAATTGGTGAAAGTATTTCCAAATCTTGAACCACTGGTGATTGCACTGGAGACTCCACCACATTCTTCTCGCTCGATGGATGTGCCTCTGTCTCAAACAAGGTTGGAGGGATCTCTCTCGCCTTTGGATGACTATTCCTGACATCCGTCGAGAGATTAGATCCTACCCATGGATTCTGCCACCCGATCAAGCCAGTGTTCAATTCCGGGCCATCTGTCTCTGCACAAGCTACTTTGGGCGAGCTCAAAGCAGCCAGTTTCCGGGTCAAAGGCTTGGAAAGTCGATTGGCACGGCGCGTCTCTTCCTTCGTCGGATTTGATTGTGAGTTACCCATGGCTTCGCAGAGAGCGACCCAGCGCCAAGGTGAAATTGCGGCTTTGCCCCAGGCTTAAAAGTGAAGCATGGATCAATCAAGGTCTAGCCCAAGGGTAATATACAAGATGCGACAGCAGTTTTGGCCTCTCGGGGCGAGTCAAAGTCCGGAGTGACCGTGTGCAGCGTTGGTGGCAGGGTGAGATTATATCGAATCCCAGAGTGTTGACGTCAAACCACGCCGCGATTGCTGAGCGATCGATCCGGGCTCCAGGCCTGTACAACCCGGTGGGTTTCCAATTGGACGCACGATTGGGCGGCTGAAAGCTCCCCGTGCGGAGATGATGTAGAAAAAATGTGTTTCAGGTTGGAGGATGGCGCCAGTGTTGGTTGGACGGGGACGACAACGTGCGAGGGTTGGAGAGGGCGGGGAAGGTTACCTTCTCCCAAACCAAAGCAAATGGGAAGTGGAGGAGGGGATTGAAGGTATTCACAGTCTCACAGAATGGGGGGTTAGGTATTTGTCAAAAAGACGAGGATGAAGTCATTCACTTGCGTCCAGCACACGATGATCCCTTGTCATTGACCCCGGTAAAGTCAAATCTTACTTGCGCCGAGTATAGTAGACGGAGTTCCGGGGGACCAATTGGATGAATTGTATGAGCAGAGAGGGGGATCAACCTCAAACAGATCGACAGTTATGAACAAGAAACTAGAAAAACAAGGAAAAGAGGAGACGGAGTAGGGATAATTTCCCATGAAGAAGTGGAGGGAGAAGAAAAACAAGCAAAAAGGCAAGAAGGGGAGAATAATAGACGTACATAAAAGTCAAGTGGAGAGAGACCAGCCATGCATCAGCCCATGGCGTCAAAAGACCCAAGGACTGACGAAAGCGTGATGGTCGCCACGACGGAAGTTCCTTTGGCATTCCAAGAATACCGCGAAAGACTAAGAAAGAGGGCGGGAATCGTTCCCGGGAGACAGCCAAGTAAATGGGGGAATCCTGAATGCTGATAGGAGTAAAAGGCGCTGGAAGCTGCAAGCGGAACAGGGAAGTGCAGATTAACAAGAGGAACAAGAAAGGACCAGGACAGGTACAGCAGGGAAGTAGTACATAAATAGTACATATTAAAAGTATAGCCAACACATACCAAAAATAAGTATCATTTATGTACCTCTTACTTTTATCCACCGCCCCAGACTCCCGCCCGCTTGCGGCTGGGCCCAGCACAGACACTCAGCCTGTCACTTGTCACTACTCATCAAGTAACTACTAAGTCAACCAAATTAGTTCTACTATTCTATGATAAACAAGATAATAAAAAACTCAGTATAACCATCCTAAACTATCCTCTATAAGCAATAGTATCCAGTACTCTGTCGCTCTACACCTCCCCCGTACTTCTGTCAAGTACCAACTACTGAAAGCTAATGATCTAGTAAGCCCAGTTCTGAGGTATCAGACCCATCGTGCACACACTTTGCATCCTTGGATCCGCCCCAGTCGTAAACCTGATGCGACATGGTCGATCCCTCCCCCCTACCAGCAACCAACAACAATCTCCATTGTCCACCTTGTCCTATGATTCCCACCCCTCCGTCTCCGGCAACCTTTTCCACCTTCTCACTCTATTATTGCCTCCTTATTGGATCACCACCCTCTAACGGCCGCAACCATTGCCGAGAAAATTCAATCTTATTGATATCTGCCACAGCAACGTTGTGACAAACTGACAGAGAGACCAGACGCTCGGCCCTTCGGGTCTTGGGTCTCCACCTGTCAGTCGGCAAATCCAAGTCTTCGCTCCACTAACATACCTCTACAGTAGCTCTAGCTCGCTCCGCTCCATCAGTCACTACAGTACGGAGTACCTACTGACCATTCGTCTCCCCACATTACACCACGCCGCTGAGCAGTTTCCCTTAAGCCCGACGCATCCGTCGAGTCGGTCGTCGACGGGGCGCCATCGGAAGCTCCAGAGTGGAGCTCGATAGGACGATAGTATGATGGGTGAACTAGACGATGGCGCGATGGCGTGCACCAGCCTGTCCCTATCCGCCTTTCCATTCCTCACGCCAGATGAGTTTGACCGCGCATGTCGAGATCTCGTCGAGCGAGCCTGCAGCTGCACAGCCGCCCAAGCGGATCGAGGCTGGTCCTCGGTTCGACTGGTCACACAAGTAAATCATCCCTGTTGTCGTCCTGCGTGAACTTGACTATTAAATTATTTAATATTTTTAAAAAAATCAATGTGTCGCTGACGTTTGGCTGGGCTGGGCCCTTCGTGCGATCGTTTAGAATATTGTCAGCCTCAGGATTACCAAATACATCGAGGTCCAGATTCATGCACTGGATCATGCAGATCTACGAGATGAAGTGTCGGTGCATACAGATACAAATACAAAACCAAGAACATCTACGCAGGCACAAGCACAAGCACAGTCTCTGGAAGATGAAGATGAAGATGAAGATCCGGTCTGCAGCCCGTCGTAGGGGGGTATCAATTGCCGATTAAAAAAACAGTCCTACTAATATTGTTGATAGGAAGCCCTTGTCCGCACCAATCTCCATCCCACTTTGCAGATAGATTATGATATCGTGCTCTCCCCCACATATCAAGTCCCCGTCTTGTATTTCGTGCTCCGGTGGCACAATCACCAGGGCCCTGTGGGGCTGGACGCGGTCTATCAGTATGTGGTACCGGAGCAGTACAAGCAGCAATTGCAGAATGTTGGCGTGATGGGAGGGATCAGTTTTGGCGTAAGTGCACACACACACGTTCTCTCTCTCTCTCTTTGTCAGACCGAAACGGGCAAAGACTGGGGGGTATTGTTGGTTTTTCAAGGAGCTCATAATGTCTTTCGTAGTATCATCCAGAATCTGGCGCTCCGGCCTTTTTCGTCCACCCGTGCAACACCGCGGATGCCATGGCGCAGGTTGCAGACGGACAGAGCGTCACCACCGGAACATATCTCCTCGTCTGGCTCGGTCTCGTAGGTCAATCCGTGAACCTGCACGTTCCCCGCGAGATGGTCGTTTCCGATGGGCCCAGCCCATCGTGAAAAAGTGAAAAGGTACCTGGCATTCGAGTACCCGACAGAGATAATGCTAGGGAAAAAGAACGCCCCTTCACCCCCAAGAGCTTCGGTCTTGGCCTGGCCACCTTGGGCACGCAATTAATCTTCATCCGAGGAAGCCTCCATGGGCACGTCGCTGTCCTCTTCCATCGGCGCCTCTTCCTCATCGCTCTCATCCTGGCGAGGTCGCTTAACGCCATGTGCCTCTCCATTTGTCTCGGCTGCCGGCCGAGAGGGAAGTGCGCCGGGTGGTCCGCTGAAAATGGACTTTTGAAGATCTGTCGAAGCTCCAGTCGGAGCAGCGCCGAGGGCGGGTGGGTTGTACGTGCCGCGAAGCTTGGCCAGGATATCGGATGCACCCTTAGCATAGACAATTTTCTGCAAAGCAGTGCGTGTTAGTCAATCGTGAATCAACGGATGTATGTAATCACCAAACAAAGATATAAAGAAACGTACCATTTCCTTGCCGAAAAATTCAAATCCTTGAAGAGCGCGCATGGCTTGTGTGCTGGCTTGAATGTCCTTGAAGACGATATGGGCCTGTCCTCGCATCTTGTGCGTCTTCATGGCCACGACGTCCAGGACAGTGCCGTAGGTGGAGAAGAGGGAGTAGAGCGAGGAGCGGAGGTCATGCTTGTTGAGCTTATCGGGAAGATTGGTGCAGTAGAGTCTGAGGAACTGTCAGCATCAGTTGCTTCATCAATTGCGTCTGCGATCGAGCTCACGTTTGGTTGGGATGTCCAGCGGACTTGAGGTCAACACCTCGAGAGGGGGCAGTCTTGGAGGCCATGTTTTGCGTGGATGAGCCGGATATGGCTGTAAATTCGAGCTTAGAGACTTGAAAGGAGAAAGGGGAAGACTGGAGCTTAATGGATACCGCGCCGAAGCCGATGTCTAAATCGCGAGAAAAGAGGACTGCCACGTGACTATCTGCCCTGCTACGGCGGTCTGGAGGGGCCATCCAGGTAAAGCAGAACACATCCGTTGGGGTGGCAGAGATACACCGCCCGCAGGGCGGTGGAGACGGAATGGCCTATGTGAGGATGTATACATACTTGTTCATTCACTTGAAAATGTCGACTTATGATCTTTTAAAATAGTGAATGCTTCGAGTAGAAGGGAGTCAAATATGCGAGTAGATTTAGCAAAGAAGAAAGGGGGTATACGATCTCAAGAGCAGTAGTATACAGACAACAACCTTCTGTTTATGGGTTTGACTGTTAGTGTTAGGGCCATATACAACAGTGTTAAGACGACAATGACCCATGGAGGGCTCATGACGTGTAGATGATCTTTCGATAACTCATGCTAACTACGTATGTCAAAAGAGAACCTTCAGTATTATACATAGGATTGCAAGTTCGTTGGTGACCTCTACGAACTATGGAATGTTGGCCGCCTTGCAAGGCCTTACCTAAGCGGTGAGCGTCATCTATTGCCTACGGTAGCTTTCCCCGTCTCCCGCATCCCCATTCCCCTCGATTATCCCCCCTCATCGACGGTAGAGAGCTCCTCCTGTCGAATCCCTCCATCATGGCCGCTCCTCAAGTTCACCACCTTTTCCATGCTCCAATTGCAGACCACTCGTTCTCCACGGACAGACAGACTCTTGCTGTTGCCCGGGATAACAATGTGGAGTTGTACCAAGCATCAGGCAGCAAGTTCACCCTGAGCGATGAGCTCAAGGGCCACGATAAGACCGTCACCAGTGTCGACATTGCTCCCAACAGTGGCCGTATTGTCACTTGCTCCCAAGGTCAGAAAAGCCCTGACGAAGGCGATCTATTTTACCCCATCCCGCTAACCATTCTTCTACTCCGCAGACCGCAATGCCTATGTCTGGGAGAAGACCGCTACTGGCTGGAAGCCGACCCTTGTCCTGCTCCGAATCAACCGTGCCGCCACTTTTGTCCGATGGTCGCCATCCGAGCAGAAGTTCGCCGTCGGCTCTGGAGCCCGCGTGATCGCCGTCTGCTACTTCGAGGAGGAGAACGACTGGTGGATCTCCAAGCACTTGAAGAAGCCCATCCGCAGTACCATCACCACCCTCGCCTGGCACCCCAACTCTGTGCTTCTGGCTGCGGGGTCCACCGACTCCCATGCCCGCGTCTTCTCGAGTTTCATCAAGGGCATTGACCAGCGCCCAGAGCCGAGCGCTTGGGGCGAGCGTCTCCCCTTCAACACCATCTGTGGTGAATACCTGAATGACACTGCTGGCTGGATCCAGGGTGTCTGCTTCTCCCCGAGTGGCAATGCCCTCGCCTTCTCCGGACACGACAGCAGCGTCACTGTCGTGTACCCCAGCGCGCCGGAACAGCCTCCCCGCGCGATGCTGAACATTTCGACCCGTCTGTTGCCGCTCAACAGTCTGATCTGGAACGGCGAGAATGAGATCATCGCTGCTGGACATGTATGTCGAATCCCATCTACTTGCAGACAGAAGCATAACACAAGACTAACCTGTATCGTCTAGGACTGCGAACCCTTCCGCTTCCGCGGTGACGAGAGCGGATGGCAGCTGGCGGGCTCTCTGGAAAAGCAGAGTGGTGCTGGTGCCGCTGGAGCTCGTGAGGAGTCTGCGCTGAACATGTTCCGGCAGATGGATCTTAAGGGCCAGACTGCCATGGATACCAAGCTCAAGTCGACCCATCAGAATACCGTGAACACCATCCGTGTCTTCGAGGAGGCTGACGGACAGGTGAGCTCTTTCAGCAGTAAGTCAAATCTCCGACACTCATCTGGTAGAATCCATGCTAACTGAACTACAGCCAGCGGTGTTGATGGCCGTGTTGTCATCTGGTCCACTTAAGTATTATACTCTACATAGAAATCAACCCTCTGATCTGGGTAGAAATGGAACATACTTTTTTTCAAACTGGTGTACGGGCTTTCCGCGTAGCGAAGATGAGGTTATACCCATTATGTACGATGTATATAATCTCAGAGGTATACAGTAACACAAAAAAACTACAAGAATACGTGTTAGCATTAGAATTCCAATTACGCAAGAACTAAGGTTATGATCATGTTTAAGGTCAAGCAATCAACTCCCCCCCCTCCGATGGCCTAGTTGGTATCCACCATAAATTGGTGAACCATTGGTGTGCCCTGGAGGAGTGGGCAAACAAAAAAGAAGAAAAATGTACTGGGCCAGTGTTGACGCTTCGAGCTCCACGGACGGCCGGGCACACCCCTAGGCAGGGGGAGTTCTTTTTTTGGAGATTTTTTTGACAACATTATTTTTTTTTCTAATAGAGCTCTATCTTAGACCTTCATATTTTATTAATTATTACTCTCTAATGGCCTTTTTAAGGGGATAAGAGGGTGAAAAGAAGGTGCTGTATATCTAGGGTGGGACTAGCGTTGTTTGTCGCTGTCCGGGGATGGCGATGCAGTAACAAGGCGAAGTATATAGGGGAGGACAAGGTTGAGAGTTCGATCCATGGGAAAAGCAAATTTATTATTTTCGGATTTCTGGCGAGGAGCTGCCCGTGGGTAGCTTGATGTGGCATTTTGCTCTTGCCCGATATTCTTACGTCGTCGGTAGTAGTCATAGTACCGACTGCCCTATCTTCGACGCATTTGTACCCATAATTCTCCAGTAGCCAGGGTGTGTTAAGAATGTAAGCCTGATGATTATCAGGCTCCTGTACCCTATTCATGTATTACATTTCGTTTCAGCCATACATATTTCCTATAAATGTGAAAGGCTGATTCTCGCCTTCATGATGTGACCCGGAATGCGTGTATATCGGGTCTCTTGTACATACAATATACATTAACCGAGAAAATGCTATATCAACATCCCCTCCATGCCACCTAGTCCGCCTGAGATCAGTTTGAAGCATCACTTGTTTCAGGAACAGCCCCATAGCTTTTTGAACTCTCTCGGAACTTTCTCTCGCATGGGAGCTCACTCGTGGAGTCCAGGCGTGATGCTTGTATGGATTTCACACCACTCATGTTGTGGAAAGTCTGCAGCAAGTCGTAACGTGTGCTGGAATTGCGGATATGTCAAAATCACCATCACCCTTGCATGTACTAGGGCAGATCGCAACGAGCGCTCGGAAGATGTCGTCGTCCCTCAGAATATTCAAGCCAAACGTCGTGTATTTATTGGCTTTATTATCCACATTGAGTAATGTTGGTTCAAGTGGTGCTGACACCGCCGAAATGGTCCAGAATCTCAGAATATCTAGAACCTTTATCAGAGATAGAACGTGAGTTTCGTAAAGAAGGACGTACACGAGAGTCTTCCACGTGTCGATACCATGGTCGGCATCTATACTAGACCAATCAAATGTTTGGTTTGCGGTAGGCTCGTCGCTAGGATCGTGGTATACACTCAAATATGGGTGAGATAAAGCAGCTTCGGCTGTTATTCGTTGCTCGGGATTCCACACCAGTAGCTGTTCCAATAAGTCGAGAGCTGTTATAAGGTGAGCAACTTTCCGCAGATGTAGTCCGGCTTGAGACATACCGTCTGGAAGAGCTTGTTTAATTTTATTTGCAAAAGGCACCTTCGCGCGTTCAGGTAGACCGGTGATATACTCCGATGTCTGTTTCAAAGTTAGTCTATATATGACCACTGAGATATGATTGCCACTCACGCTCTTAGAGCATATAGTCTGGATCACATCACAGGGAATAGAGCCCAGAAGATCAGAAATTACCAGAAACTGATCTGTGTGATTCCGTCCCGGGAACAGAGGCGATCCTTCAATCATCTCGGCTAGTATGCAGCCTGCACTCCACATGTCGACCTCAACGTTATATTTCTGCCAAGTGAGCATCGTCTCGGGGGCTCGGTAGAATCTCGTTGTCACATAGCCTGTCATCTTTAGATCGACAGTTCGTGCCAAACCGAAGTCGCAGATTTTGAGGTCACAATTCTCATCTATTAAGATGTTGCTTGGTTTGAGATCTCGGTGGACTACGCCGGCGGAGTGGATATACTTTAAGGCACGCTAAGAAAAGAAGTCAGCCGAAGCATTACAAAGGGTGATGAATGATCGTTGATATACCATAATTTGATAAAAGAAATACTGGACAAACTGATTCTCCAGAGGTCTGAACCGAACGATATGTGCGAGATCAGTGGCTAGAAGCTCAGTGACAAGGTAGCTATGATGCAGTCAATATATATTTGATCTGGTGAAGATATAGCCATAGACTTACATGTCATCGAGAGGCGAGACAAAGATATCGCGCAAGGAAATGATCTTTCATGGCAGAGTTAGCACAGTGAATAAGTATCGACCAGCGAGCGACACACATTTTCATGAGAAAGATGTCGGAGTAATTTGACCTCTCTGATAGTCCTTTTTGCATCGACTTTGGAGCCGAACGGTTTGGGTATCTTCTTGATAGCCACACTCTCCTTTGTAAGGATGTCGGTACAAGCGCTGTACCAAAGAACATGGTTAGGGATGGAATTTTCATCGCTGGGTCTGCAAGAATATTTTACCAGACGACGCCATACGTTCCTATTCCCAGCAACCGTGAATCCGAGTATCTGGAAAAACTAGGGTCAATAAATCCCATCGATAGCACACAAGCCTTGACAAGCAGCGATCGCCAGCCACATACCTGCCAGTTAGATCAAAAGTACACCCGCCGACCTGATATGACCTTATTTCAAGCTCGTCCATGGTTTCTTCGCCACAGATGGAGAAACCAGAGATCTGGGCACCTACCACCGCAAAGGCCTATTTACCTGCGCGGGCCGTAAACAGACGCCTCCCATCTTCTGGCGAGACCTTCAAGGGCAAGATCGATATATCAGGGGTATTTGTGTTTACCCCACTCTCCTGCGGTCGGTGTGGTCCTGACCCTCGAAACAGGTTTCCGTGGTTAGCAAGGGTTTCCGCCAATGATAGTCGAGCTTTGCGTGAGCATTTCCGTAGGTGATAAGTCCATGGACTCAAATTGAATTCCATTATCCTTCTATTCTGCCCGAGCCGTCAACCACAGCCACATCGATCATATGCCATGTGTGAACCCGGGATATGCGATGAAATTCTATCTTCTGGAATAACGGCTCCGCTGACGTCATTGATGTCATTGGCGCTTATGTTTCGGGTCTGGAACACGCCACATGGCTCAAAGGAATGTTGGACATGGTAGTAAACGATCGATAGAGATAATACCCAGGAAGTATCGTAGTGTGTAGAATTCGAAGGAAGATTCCTTGAGAACCTCAAGTCCCAAGTCCTTCTGTAAGCTTCGCCATTCCTATACCGGGAATGTAAGCCTCTTTCCTTCAAGCAATGGGTAATAGTCTGGCTATCGTGAGGACTCGAGATCTATGGCATTCCCCGGGTTCTACCTTGTGGGAGTCAGACGGAATAAGCAGTTGCGAATCTGCGACCGTGCGAGACTAGTTGAGCAGGGAGCAATTGGCTTTTCGATAAAGTTGTGGCAGTGTCTGGCGGCTCGTCGGTTCGTCCCGTGATTGTTCAACACCCAGTGGAGTGCATTTGCCGCCGACGAGCTCGACCAGGCCAATTGTGTTTGATCTCGCTGGGTGTTGATCGTCATGATCGCGAGATGGAGAAGAGCGCAGATTGGAGCCTGAGGCGCGGATGGCAAAGTGGGGCCCGATGACGTCAATGGTGACTCCATTCAGCCCTGTCATCCCCATATAGATCCTGACCGGCCAATAGCTACAAAGAAAATGCGCCAACTTTACCGCGCCGGTCCGATGCACAAACTTGTGGCGCACGAAAAAGGAATTCGAGAACTGTGGAGAATCCTCGCGAATGACTTCATGACCTGCCTATCTCCCCCCGCCCTGTCGATCTATATGATCGACCTGCCCCCCGGGCCAAAGGCCAAACTTTGATGACCTGATTGTCTCAGAGCCTCACCAACCTGGACATAGTACTTCAGACTATCGACACTCTGAATATTAACCCATATTCACACACCTTGCGACCACCAAGGTCGCTGCACCACCATCGACATCACCCGTGGTTATCAGTTCTTCCTCACACCCAACGGCTCGGACCAGACCGAGCAACGCACTTGGGCATGTGACGATTTGATAGCCTACGAGGCTCTGTTGTTTCCAACGGAAGACAGACTTCAATGGCTAATAGAGACTCCTCTAGACAAGCAGACCGGCTGGGTGCGGATGATGCTGTCTCGGATAGATCTTCATCAAAGGTTGCGCACTCCAGGCATTCTGAAACTCAAAGTGCCACTTCTAGTCCGAAGGGTCGCTTTGCCTGGTCTACCCGCTCTCTGTATGGGGTTGATCTGGTGAATAGCTTGCCCACTCCTCGTCCAGAGGAGTCGCCATCGGCTGACTCTGTCTCTGTAGTCAGTAGCAAGGCCAGTGGTTCTAGAGGACGGGCGCCCAATGCAAAAGTTGCCATCCCGCGGGATGTCAATAGTCTGGGCCCACCGTCCATAGGCCGGGTGCCCCGGGCATGTTCGTCGTGTAGATCGAGAAAGGTGAAGTGTAGTGGCGAACAGCCCGTTTGTCGACAATGTCGGGAGCTCGATCTGACTTGCCACTATTCATTGGGCTTCAATGAGAGAATGAAAAAGTAAGTTGCATTTTCCTAATGCGGAAATGTCATCGACTTTACTAATGAGGTTCCTAGGGAGGCCAATGATCTTTCAGCTTTGGTTCAAGACTACAGAAAGTTTGTCCAGGACTTGCTTGGCACCACTGAAAGTGCGAATACCCAGTGGGCTCACTCTACTTTGCAAAAGGTAGGTAATGACAGGTGGATTCTACCCAAAATCCCTTCAAGATTCGACTAAGAGATGTGGTAGTACCAATCATTGATGGAAGATCTGTCCGAAACAATTCAACTTCCTACACCAAACGCCCAAGATGAGGATGGTTCACCAGAACCTGCCACCGACGCAGGCCAGGTTGACCAGTCCGACCTGCCGCAAGAGGATGAACAATGGCTGGAACCAATATTCAGCCAGGACGAGGATGGAGAGGATAAAGTTGCAGACGGAGTAAGGGCAAACACCCTCGACCATGCCCTCGGCGATTTTGCGACCAACGTTCCACAGCCAGTCAACAAGTACGGCATGCCCTCTCGACAACTTTCGGATCTTCTCTTCGAGGAGTACTGGAATAATGTGCACCCTGGCTTCCCTATGATCAATCGACCGCTATTCCGTGCCCAGTATCAGAGTTTCTGGGATCAAGGTCAGCAACCAGGAGACAAATGGCTAGCAATCCTCCACGTGATCTTCGCAATTGCGGCCAAATATGCACATCTCACCCAGGCACCCTGGCGTGGAGAAGAAAATGATCACTTCCTATACTTCAATCGAGCAAGGTTGCTGAGCTTGACTGGTGAGGAGCTGTTTAGTCCCCCTAACCTTCAGCAAGTGCAACTCGAGGGTTTGGTTGCTTTCTATTTGCTTGCAACCGATCAGATTGGCAGGTAAGATATTTACCAATTCCATACGCATTTGTATCATCATAGTCTAACCCCTTTTTGATAGGGCCTGGAGAATTTCTGCATTGGCTGCAAGATCCGCCGTCACTCTTGGCGTCAACCGAAGTCTCACGACAAAGCTGCCCGCCAAACTTCGAGAAGCTCGTTACCGACTCTGGTGGTGCCTTTACACCCTTGAACAAACACTGGGTCTCATATCGGGTCACATCTCGTCGATTCCCAAAGACAGGCATGCCCCACCTCTGCCTATTCCATTCGAAGAAGAAGAGTTCGAGATCGATTCTTCAGCGTCGGCCCTACTTCAACACCCCGGGGTCCGAACGCAGTGGCTTCAGACAATCATGCCAAGCTCAAAGAGCTGGCCAAGCGATAGCTACACCAACAATACCGAACAAGATTCGAAACCAAGAGATGATGCATGGCTAAAGTATCTGGAACCTAATGCTGGCCTCTTCTATCTCTTCTACTGTGACTTGGCCGTCATCATAGAAGAGATCGTCAATCAGATCCACGTCTCCTCCATATGGATCGACCGCGAGAAACGGATCGACGACCTCCGCTCTCGCATCGAATATTGGAAGAACAGTCTCCCATCATCTTTGGATTTCACCACAGTCGATCTCCAAAGCAGCATGAGCCAGATGCGATACAAGCTCGGCCTTGCATTCCACTACCAAAGCGCTCGAATCGTACTAGGCCGTCTCTGGCTCTGTCGAAGAGACGAACTTGGTCCTGACCACTCACGAATGCTCAATCATACAATGGCAATGATGACTCTGGATGCCGCGAAGCAGATCCTCGATTTACTACCCGACCAACCGAACACGGTACAACTCTACCAAATGTTCCCATGGTGGAGTGTACTCCACTATATCTCCCACGCCGCAAAGATCATCTTGCTCGAATTATCTGTCGGATGTATTCATGTACAAGACAGTACGCCGCATCTCGTCTGGCTGGTCAAAAAGGCCATCTGTTGGTTACATGCAATGTCCACCCGCAGTCCCGGTGCAGAACGAGCATGGCGGCTTTGTGACTCGTTTTATCGCAAATTATCTGAACAGATGAGATACTGTACGAATGATATTCCGCCAAGTGATACTGCCAATTCCTCAAATTTGAGTCAGCAGTATGGTGGTTCTAGGCCTACGGAAGTTGGGGATTTGGAACCGTTTGGCTTTCAGATTGATGATCTGGAGTTGACAGATTGGACCACTTGATGGCGTTGTTGGAATATTGGAATATTTAGACTTGCATAACTTTATCATAAGCCTTTGATAATACAAAACCACACAAATCTTTTTCTGATTTGACAACACGTTTCGTAAATTTAAATTGTTCCACTTGAATTCAGCTTCAAAAAAGAGAGGTTCTTATTCAATTTAGCTAACTAAGTAGTAACCTTATCTTCAGTTGATGAAGTACCCAAATCCCAAATCCCAAATTCAAATTCAAAGCCAAAACCAAATCGTTTCTTCAGTTGATGAAGAATGAATAACCTTCCCCATATCCTTGCCACCCATATCCTAGCCACCATATTATGGCAGCAACCTACATGGTATCAGTACGCGTTCAATTTATTCTCTTTAGATCCGCGCAGGATCGAGATATTGTAACGCAGCTTGAAGAAGCCCATTTCCCGACGTAAGGGCATACGGAAACTCGCCTGCCAGGGCAAATAAGCGCGACCTACAAGGCGCGGAAGACCTCGAAGAAGCGAGGGAACAGTATGACACAAACAGCCCTGCCTCTCCAGAGCGACCGCTGCGCCTTGCAGGTCCGCTGACCAGCCGTCGCAGGGAAGTTTCCTTGTGCCCTTACGCAAAGTCACTAGTAAAATCAAGTCACATTAATGTAGCCAGTTGCTTTGAACTGTAGTCCTTATAGGGAAGACGACGTATGACATTACCTGTTATCGAATTATTCTCAGGGCCAGCGGATGTTGAAGGCCTTCATGATGCTCTCGACAACCTGCATGTCCTCCGAGCTGTCGAAGAAGGCTGCGGCGATGACGGCCTCAACGGCATCAGCGACAGGACCGGGGGAAAGCTGGTTCCCCTGCGCGAGATTGATGTAAATGCACTCGGCAAATCCCGTGGCGAAACCTCTGGCATGAGGTTATTCCCAAGTGTTAGTGCCTCAGGCTTCCCGGGCCTGATAAGCCGTCAGGCTTTCTGTGGAGGTTCGCTGGGGCTTCGGCATCAGTACGTGTACGAACTCCTGCAGGGAACACCCTTGACAGAGGTTACACAAGCCTCGTGTTTCACCCCGCTCCCATTTCCCTACCAAGGATACATCTCCTTCCTGTTTGAGTGATGAGACTGTATATAAATTGACCCATGTTGAAGAGGTTTTGCGATCCTCAAGAAACAGTCTTTGACCTTTCTCCACTATTGACTTGGCTCCATTTCTCCTACCTGATTGACAGGCCTCTATCCTGACTTATAGAGTATATCCTTACAAAATCTTTCCGAATGGTCGTTAGTGCGATATTCCTGGCTGTTCGGAAATGCTGTTTAGACTTCCAGAGTATATGCTGCACTAAGCGGAGTGCCACCAAATCATTCTTTAGCGGATTGGCGCAGCTCTCGTTGTGTTCTATAGTCATTGAACTGAGGCTGGAGTGAACACTGCTAGAGCATAAAAATGGCCTATTTTCTATTGAATATTTTATAGATGTGATTCGTCTTTGCTTATAAATATTAGCTACCTTTAGGATTACCCGCACTACAACTCAATCCGTGCTCTTAAAGTGTAGAATTTTAAGCCCATATAGTCCTTTAGTGGCACGCGCAGAGATACATTTCAATTCAGTTCTGTAGTGTCTCGTTACCCCAAGGGTCTGTAATCCTGCAAGGACATCCCTGGTGATCTGTCCCCTGTAAGGGAAGTTGTGTAGGAGGGGTTTCTGTCTTCCTGTAAACATGGGCTACTTTAAGTTCTGGGAGAGCCTAGTTGCAGCATCCCACAACAACGACCTTGCGATTTTTGTCTTGACATACACACTTGCACCGCACGCACAATACCCGTCGCAGATCTCTCAAGCTGTCGAGGCACTTCGGTACATTGTGACATAAGCACATAGGCCCCCTGGCCGAGTGATAGTTAGTGGAGACTCTGCCGGCGGGAATTTGGCATTGGGAGTGCTCAGCCATATGACTCATGGGCACCCGGCTATCGCAAAGCTTGACACCACCGAACATTTGGGTGGACTCGCTCTCATTGCCCCCTGGACCTCACTCGACTATCAGGCCCAGGAGAATTTGGTCTGCAGAGGCGATATTCTCACCCCATATGTTGCTGGCCCATGGTCTCGTGCGTATTTGTGGTATTCAAAGAGGGATTATTACACTGATCCATCTACTGCGCCCTTTACCTGGTTTCGGGATTTCCCAGTGAAACAAGTTTTAATTCTAGCTGGACAAAACGAAATCATGCTTCCTGATATCAAGGATTTTGTGGCAAACTTTAAGGTATGCTCCTATTTAACTGCTATGAGCATTTAGAAAATGGGCATTGTCTAAAGGCTAACTGAACAGGCCGGCTCTCCTCAAGTGGAATTTTTCATAGGGAAGCGGGAAGCCCACGTCGCACTTCTATATAATTTATATATTGGGGACAATGTGGAAACAGGGCAGGGTAAGAAACTTATCAAATGGCTCGAGGGAGTTCTAAAGGGGGACCCATAGTTCTCTCAGGAAAAATGTCAGGTGAATGTACGTGTTTTACCACTTGGGCCAAAATACAGGGGGACCACCTATAATATCTATTTGATGGAGTTGTGCGCGCGAGGGATATATTTGAATACCTTTACAGGCGCTTCTTTGCGTAGCCGGAACCGAGCAGGATTCTTCTTCACCCGCTCCCAGCCGTCTGCCTCGCTATGTCTGCTGTTAATTATCTCAGCTCGCACTTCTGCAATGATTTCAAGTAGCGCCGCAATCTTCTGTTTCCAGTAGAGCGACGGCTGGAGAACATGGTCCGCGGTTTCGCGGATCCACAGCTTTACGGCCCACAACTCCGCGGCTCCTAATCCCCCTGCACTCGGATTTGTAGCAAACATAAAGTTTCTATGATAACATGTAGCCCTGGAAAGTGACTACTGAGATACGCTTTTTAAATACTGCATGTCATAATAGATTATGATGTGACCGTATAAAAGCAGTATAACAAATCATTGTGGTATTTTTTTGTAAGATAATAGCGTTCTTGGCATTGTAGCAGAAGCTTGATGCCTATGGGTAGGTATTGCATTGGTGGGCTTGGATCCCTAGGCATACGCAGAAGGCACGAGTCCCCTCCGGTGTCGGCCGAGTATTCCGTTTGAAGATCATTAATCTGCTCGTTTGCTTGTAAATAATGCGGGATTTACCTCGGATCCGCTGATCCTATCTCTCATTCACTCTGCCGCACACTAGTACATATTGTATTAGCTTACTTTAACAAGATCTGAACTAGAATATAATGTATAAACTATTCAATACTGTAAGGATAGAACCACAAAAAGCATAGTGTAAGAGGTTTGAAAATGAGCGCATGCGGAGTTGCAGCAGGTGCAAGTCAGTTGTTGCGGATCAAAAGAAAGAACCTGGATCAAACTGTACCATTCGACGAATTTTAGGACCTGTTCAAACCCTATTATTTAGCTTGTATGATCATTAATCTACCTAAATGTCCCGAAATTGCTGGCGTCCTTTTTCGAACGGCTATTCTCTCTCAAACTTAAATTTGCCCGTGGCGCAATGATTATATATTAAACGAACTGACCTATAATATCAGACGTGCTTTCATTTGCTGTGTTGTATGGTTCTACCTTACCATTTCATGTTAGCATCAGATCAATAGCAAATTATTTGTGGAATGCCTCTGTCTCCTATTATGACTCAAAAGATGAACTAGGCCATAGAGCAAGTATTACAGGCACTACATGGATATTTCTATCTATTTTGAATCATCGCAAATAGATAGACAACAGAGTTTTGTTCTTTTCCAATAACGGGATAATTCAGCGTGTACTGTACCCAACTAGCTTAAGATTCTGCACCGTAACTCGGCGGAAGCCACAATATCTCATATCAAGACAAGGTTCCCAAGCTATAAGACGTTTCCAAAGTGAAACGATCTATTGGCCCTCTCAAAACAGCACGTGAATTATTGCACCACTAAATCAGTTGGGTTCTTGCCAGTCATAAACAAATCGGAACTCAACCCGCTTTGCCTCCTTCTGGATCACAATGTTACGACAGTGACGTCGCTCTCCCTCAACGGTCTGAAAGCCCCATACTTGTGTGGCTGTCCAGCCTTTGCCCACGCTGGTTTCCTGGCTGTAAATCAGGAATTTACCTCCTTCTTCGCTGAGCCAGCCGGATTTAAGGTAATCGTCATCGATTTCTTCGGGAGCAGTCCATCGCACTTGATTTTTGACGTCTCCAAAAAGCCAGTCTGAATGATCGCGAGCCACGTTATCCAGAGAGCGAAGCTCCGTGCTGGGGCTGGTACCAGGAGCTGACTGCACAATATCGATATGTACAACATCGGACGGATCTGTGGCCGGCGAACTACCCGGTGCTTCGTACTGCTTGACTTCGATTGTAACAGGCGCCACGCGGATAATATTGCGGATCAAGAAACCAATTCCTTGAATAACCAGGCCTGGGTCGGCTGAATCAGATAGTTTTTTATTCTAGTCAATAGGGCCAACATCAGCGAAGATTCTAAAGGATTTGGATAGCCTGGAGCGACGAAAGTCATATCTCGCGATTGTTCAGAGCTTACCAAAACCCATGTGCCATTGAGGTCTTTAATGGTCTTGCTAGCAGGGGCGGCCATGTCTGTAGTTCCAGTGAGACGTTTTCGGGATTAGAGTGGCCCAGAAAACTGTAACAAGTAATGATCCGTGAAAGAGTAATCTGAGGATACTCCGAATTAGTATAATTCCGAAGAAATGACCCGTTAGAAGCAGGCTGGTTTAAATGCCTGGCAGCTAAGCCTGTTCACGGCACGCGAACTATATTTGGCGGAGCGGACCTCGGTTACGAGACTATTTTTGAGCTGGGATGTAACACTTTGTCACATCGGAGCCGCCAGGCAGCATGAAGTCGGCTCCGCTTTAACCTTTTTTTGACCGTCGGGTTAGAGTTCGGCCGTGCGCTCTCCACAACACGAGCCTTATGTCGATAAGTTCGCTTACCCATCCGCGGTGCGGGTAGGATAGAGAGTCCGGAGGTTAGACGTGGGTAAGTACCAGGTCTAAGCTAGCCTAGGCGCTACTCCACGCGCATCCTCTTCTAATTGTCAATTTATGACTAGTTAGCCATTATCAACGCGTGAGTTTTGGCTATTAATGCGTCTTTGTAGTGTAGCGTAGGGTATACCGTATAGCTTGGAAATGCGCGAATGGATGGGATGATCGGGATGGCCGGGAATTACGTTACGGGAACGAAGTAGACAAGGGAAGATGACTGATGACCTGAGTTCGCCAGGGGTAACAGGGGGGATCTGTCTAAGAGGTATCTATCCAAGATGTGGAGCCCATTCAAGTGTGGTAACGGAAAATTGCTACCTATCTATATATACCGTTGCAATGCAAATTGCTCTCGGAATTAGACCTTTTGGCCTAATGGAATAGGACGTGAGTAGCGGCACGTGAGATTGCAAAAGTCTTCTGAGATGGAGGCAAATACACAAACAGCCTACTGCCGTCAACTCGGACAACGAAAATGGGAACTTTTGCTAATGTGGGCTGTAATGTACTGTGAGAGGCATACGTTCGTATCTCATACTTGGGGTGTTCAAATAAGCAATATCCGGCGAAAATTCCATGAGTATCGTCGCTCCTGTTATTCAGAATTCGGTGAGTTTAAAACTGATTACGGCTTTGTCAAGGCTGCACAAATATATGCACGTCGGGTCTAGACACATCTAACGTGGTATCTGATGTGCAAATTACTCGCAGATACTTCAGCCCGCAGGTATCATGATGAGTCTTCTCGAGGAAGCTTTACTACCCAGCGTACTAATTCCTAAAGAACTCGATGAAGATAGTTATTGGTCAACTCTATATCTAGATCGACTCGATTATCTTATCCCGCGGGCAGCCGAGTTTCTCCAACGCCTTAAAAAAGGCCTCTGGCTTAGCCCAGTCCTCTGGGCAATAGACGCCCGGGCGTCTTTGTTCCCCCAGGTCAAGCGCCAATAGCGTGAAAGCTGCACAGCATGCTCCGATCGAAGTTGCCATGCTTCCCTTTAGGAAGGAGTCCTTATGAACCGTAGGGGTTCGTCGAGTGACTACGGCAGGGTGTCCGTTACGGGTGCCAACACCGCGCACAAGCATGCCCCCGCGACGCGCTGCTGGCTTGCCCCGTATGTTGTCAATGAAAAAGCCAAGAACCTCAGCAATTGTGCATCCACCTTTGCGGACCTGGTCAACGATACCCCACAGAGCATAGTTCCATGGTTTCATTGATGAAATTCCGAGTGAAGCGAGCTCAGACAACTGGTTGAGCGTAATATCACCACCCCGGAGTTGCGCGGTGATTGATGTTAACATGTCGGACCAGTTTCCAGACGATTTGCTTTGCAAACCTGCAAGGAAGAAGATAGCGTCATCCATAGACAGACCACCAGAGCTGACGGCAGCACCAAGCCCTCGGGCTAGGCCGTTGAAGGGTCTTGGGTAAAGAGCGCCGGAAGTCCGAATTCGATTCACGTTAGGGAATCGACGAGGCAATGTAACTGACTCCGGGTGAACACTCTCGTAGAACAGGTCATTGGAACCCTCGATAACAGGGGCATATGAGGTCTCAACCCAGTTCTCATGAACTGCAGCCTTGCCGTCAGCCCAGGTCAAGCAAGGTCCACCAGTGATATCCATCAGGTGCTCCAAAACCTCTCTACCTAACTCCCCGCCCTCCTCGCTGACCATCCAGTAAACATCAATACTCTCCACGATGTCGAACTCTTGAGCAATTTCCACTGCCAGCAAGTTTGTCATACCAGGCGCGGAACCACAGTTGATAAAGCAAGAAACTCCTTCTTTCGCTGCCCGCCCGTGGAGGTCGAGTGACTCCAGCGTGCTAGTAACATCATCGGAAAAGTCAAGGTAGGGCACTTTTGCGTCGATGCAGGCGGCGATAACGGGCCCCGAAGTCTTGTAGTACGGCTGTGCACCCTGGACCACAAGGGCAGCGTCGCTGATAGTGTTGCGGAGCTCATCGGGGTTGAAAATGTTCACCTTTTGGATAGCAACATCTCTGCCATCTAGCTTGGCCACAACTCGACGAAGAGCATCTTCGTTGGCGTCTGCGAGAACGATGGGCACATCAGTTGCGTTCGCAAACAGCCGGATAGCTTCGCCACAGATTGGGTCTGCGCCTCCAACGAAGATAACGGGCCTGCGAGCGTTGGAAATATTGCTCATTTCTGGAGGGTAGTGTCGCGATGGATAAATTGTTTTGTGTTGGGGAAAGGCGTAGCGACTAATTTCGATGGCGTGGTTACGTACGGACCACAGTAATGCTCTGTCCGTGTTAGTCGTTTGGAATCAGGAGCCCATACTTAAAGCCCTCGCTGCCTCATCGGCCCCGAAGCAGATCATCACCAAATTTGGTACGATATTCCACATTTCGGCGGCTCCGAGGTCAATGTCTTCCGCGGTAAAGTAAAATCAGATGCAGAGAAAGAAACAGGCGAGTGGTTCGCTGTGCGGGAGAGATGATTCGGAGTCGCGGAATTGCGGAGTTTCAGAGAGACGATCCAGTTATCGGTGCCGTTCTTGCCACCCAGCGCTACCGCTTGTGGCATGGATACGGAGCCGCGGGAACCGAAGCCGACCTCGCATTGGCGGGGTTGGCTTATCAGGTATCACCCTTATAGCTCATTCTAGAAGATAACCATGGGGTATAGAGCCGTTTTCTTGATAAGCTCAGTTCAGGATATTCATATAAATAGAGGGCACGGCGCTGGGTATTTCGATGGACGAAAACACAAACGCACGGCAGAGCTCAGTCGACAGTCCTCTTTAGTTGAATTTATTCCAACTCATACCTTGCGGCCTACCGAACCCCAGAGATGGCGACACCAGAGCTTCCACCAGCGCTCTTGGCTAAATTAGCGGCCCAAGTCGTCCAAGATCCTGGAGTCCCGGTGCCAAACCCAACTGTGTCAGCCTGGCAAGAACCGGCACACCCTCTTGCGACTATCCAGTCAGGCCAGTTGCCGGCGTGTACTGAAATCGCTATTATTGGATCTGGCATCACCGGTTGCAACGCCGCTAGGACAGTCCTTGAGAGTGAACTGGGCCGCGACAAGCGAGTTACCGTGTTTGAAGCTCGTTCTCTAACTACCGGAGCAACAAGTCGCAATGGAGGCTTCTTGCTAAGCCATGCCCCCCAGTTCTATGGTCGGTTTGCCGACGCTTTCGGGGCTGAGGCCGCTAGAGATATTGCCCAGTTTTGTAACCTCACGCTGGAAGAGATTAAGCGGGTTGCTAAAGCCGAGAATCTCGACCAGGTAAGTGAGATCAGAGACGTCACAACGGTCACTACCTTCGAAGATGAGGAAGGCTTCGCCGAAGTTTGTCGGTCTGTTCGTTTGTACGAAGAAGCCGTAGACCCGAAGGAGAAATTCACTATTATCGACGGAAAAACTGCTGAGAAGGTATGTCTTAATAAATCTACTTAGATAAAGCTATTGTGAGCAGTACTAACCCTTTCTCCTAGAAATATCATTTCAAGAAGTCCGCTGGTACTTTGGAGGTCAAGTCTCAGGTCTTCTGGCCATATAAGCTAGTCACCGGTCTTCTCAAGCTCCTTCTTGAACGTTATCCAGAACGTTTTTCAGTTGAAACCAAGACCCCAGTCACGTCGATCACCGTCTCCGAAGATTCCGACGCCGCGTACCCCTATGTGTTGACGACCCCTCGTGGGACTGTTAGAGCGGCAAAGGTTTTGCACTGCGTGAATGCCTTCACTGGTCACCTCCTACCAAAACTGAGGGGCCCTATCTTCCCATGCCGTCTGTCTATGTCGTCCCAAAAGCCAGGTCCCCAGTGGGGAAACCGCGCTAATTCATGGCTCTTCCACAAGAAGATGTCATATGATGAGAGTACTACCGTGACCGAACAAGGTCTATACTGGATGCAGCAAAATGCCGAGACCGGTGATCTTTTTGTAGGAGGAGATATGCAGAGACTGGATGACTTTTTGTCTTCTGATGACTCCGTTATCAGTGCCGACTCAGCAGGCAACCTTACCACCTTGCTCCCGAAGAAGCTCTTCAATGAAGGTTGGACTAACTCCATTACGAATAATACTCTGTCTGCTGGCACTTCACTTCATCGGATTTGGTCTGGAATCATCGGCATGACTGCGGATCAACTCCCGATTGTGGGTAGCGTGCCAACCAGCGTGAGCGAGAGGAACATTGAAGGAGGCGAGTGGGTCGCGGCCGGATTTAATGGATATGGCATGTGCCAGGCCTGGCTGTCGGGCCAGGCTATTGCTACTATGGCTCTGGGCGGACCGAAACCAGAGTGGCTCCCTGATGTCTACCTGAGCTCGGAGCGACGCCTGACAGACAGGGTCAACATGGGCCAGGAGGCCGCACTGGCATCCTTTTTCTTCAGGTAGTGTTGGATGGTGTGGGTACCTAAAGCAGAAGCTTTTCTCTCTGGACAAACAACAACTGTATATAGATTAATATAATCCATTGGATTGTTGAGTTTGTAAGGAAATCGATAATTTTCTAGCAGAAAGGACCACCTTATCGGACCTGGTGATAAGTGACAGAACATAAACACGAGATTGTGGTGTTAAGGGCCGTATCGATCTCGAAGGTGCCTTTTCTTTTTTCAGGATTTTGCTTTGTCTGCACCTTGTCATAAGAGTTGGCTACTTTTCAGAGAGAAAGCCACCAGTTGGGCTGTGATATGCCTGCGGACCGTTTAAAAGAGCTTGACATCACCGCATTGCCGAGCGTCTGCGACCCGGCCATTGATTTTTTTTGAAGGCGCTCTTACGAGTGATATACTAGCCCATTCTGGGGCTCTGAGACAGAAAATAAGGCAAATTATGGATATATGTGCTGATGGCAACCCTCAGTTGATGTTTCTTTACGTGCAATGGTTGGTAGGGTATCTTTAAGGTGAGGTTAATGGCACTACATGAACGTTACTCGCACTACAAACTAGGCCCTTTTCGGTTAACGTCCGCCCCACCACCAAAAGGTACATTTAAGACCTACAGAGATATCGCTGTCTTTATGTGTAGTCATATTCCTCTGGTTCTTATGATAAATAGCCATAATAATTACCGAATAATAGGTAAACATATAGTGACGTGCTCGAAGTAAATACTGACCCTAAGAGCGACCGCAAAAAAGGGCTTATTATTCATAGAAATATCTAGACGGAAGCCTTGGTAGACCGTAGTTGGTTTTTTAGGTGTCGGATGTACCTTTTTGGTGGTGAAAAGTTGCCAAGGCGGGTACGGACCCAAAAAGGTTTAGTATGTAGTGCGAGTAACGTTCATGTAGTGCCATTAACCTGACCCTATATATATAGTCCCTATAAGGTCGAGGTATAAATAACTTAGAGCATTCTCGGGAGAGTCCGTCGAGTAACGTTCTGCCGTCAATAGTTTATAGTATTCCCTGAAAGTCTGCAAGTATAAGATCAAGGTTTTTGTCGAGCAGAAAATTCCGAAGGTTTATATCGCAGTAGATAATATATTTTCTATATATAAATCTAACTACTTCGGCGGCTTACTTACACTAAAGCAATCTCCTGTTAAATAGTGTCGGATTTACGAGGTCAGCATAAATCCTTCGGCGTGCACAAGCAAGCGAGTGTGCACAGTTGGTCAAATCAGTATACGATTAGCGAAGAATCGTATAGGTCAGGTCAGGTCGTCGTACAATTCGGCTCAGAATCGGAAGTTAACTTATAATAAAAGAATGCTCCAACTTCATCACAATCATTAAACTTGATTCAACTAGCTATAGAAAACAGGCAATATTTATAACTTCATGAAATCAAGGCAATACGTCAGACTAGAATCTCATAGAAATCAGAAGAAATATAGAGTGTTGAAGCTCTTTCGTCATATGTGCAAGTTGTTGATGTCAATCGTTGAAGATCGTCGTCACGTGGACGTTCCGTCGCATTCTGTCAAGTTCGATAGCATGGGCTTATGCACCCACTCATGTCGACAAATAGTATAGCTATATACAAGGTAATATATGTCAACATGTGTGTGTGTGCGTATCCCGCAATAAGCGAGCGCATGCATGCATGCGCGCGCTAAATGCAATCGGATGCATAAATCTGCATCCCTATACACCGCTTCATGATATACGATGCTGATTATCAACTACTGCATCAAATGGAAAAAGCAACGAGTTTCCTAACACTCTCGTATGCCCCCATGTTATTTCGGATTTTCATCAGTCTTTTCCTGTGACATTCTGCTATGTACCCAAAGTTATAAATACTGCCTGTTTCCCTAGTTAAATTGAATAAGTTTGACACCATTTTCACTCACGAATAGAGCTCAAGGCAATTCTGATTAAACTGTGTTGACCCTCCGCTGTTCAACCTGTTCGCTGCCGACCCACCTCAATTGCACTTTCGTCTCTCTTCCATAATCGTGGTATTCGATCGACCTGTGTGCGCCTATAAGCACACCACACCAGGGTTTATGCACACAGCGTAAATCCGACAGTACTTACTATAGTTATCTTTCGACGAAGATCGTAAGAAAATTCGCGGCGCATTTCTTCACACCAATATATTCTGAAATATCTTACGAAAACAAGGAATATAGACTAATATTCAACATTGTTGTTGTCGAGATACTATCGAAGAAATCCTTCAACTACCCGTAATGTAATATTCTTAAGCTATGTTTGAGCATCGGGTGGGTCTAGTCTTTAGGTAAACCTAGTATTATTTGTAAGTGACCTGGAAAGAGTAAGTAAGAGGATAGATCGACCAACTTGCGAAAATTGCGTTCTATATACTTCAGATTTTGTTTTGTAGCTTCGGCATAGTCACTGTTGACTTGCGTATCTGGTTGGTGAACGAATAAGTTCCAGTCGATTTCAGTACGCTTAGCTCGAGTTTTTTTTTGGCATCGTGAACGATTACACTTCTGTTATGTATAACAACAGTATCTCTCTTCGCTCTCTTAGAGAAAATTAGATATAACGATAACCTAAACTGATCATTCAGGCTTATTTATACCTTTTGCCCTATGATTTTACGCACTGGGTACTTGAGTATGTACACATATTTATGAATAATACGCTAAGCCTAATTTGGCTACCGCCGTGGTGTCCGAGACGCTAGGTGAAAAGACCACGATTCTCCCTCCAAAAGCCACGCACAATCGTGGTCTTTTCATCGTCACCCCTAATTACTCCGTAGTTAGTTACATACTGTCGGTCCCATGATGTCATCCGTCCAGACCCGCTGCCCCATCACGTTAAGACTCCACATGACCGATTACCTAATCAGATCATCTTCCCCGGATTCCATTTCAACGGCCGCAGACCATCTCCTCATCTCCCTTCCTCAACCCCGCCAACATGTTGCGCCTCAGGGGCCTCACACTCTGGTGTGTCGCCTCCTTGATCCTAGGTCTATCAACCGCGCAAAATGGCACCAGACCCGTCTCAAACGAACTATTCAACTCCCTCGAGGAACTATCCCGCCTGGTAGACATATCCTACTGCGTGGGAACAACGGGTGTCCAGAAACCATTCCAGTGCCTGAGTCACTGCGTGGAGTTTCCGAACTTGGAATTAATAGAGGTTAGTACTATCCCCGTCAAACCAGAGGCTACAGGACTGAAGCGCGACAGACATGGAATACTGGTATACTACTATCTGACTCATGCGGCTACGTCGCACTTTCGCACGCGCCAGGACCAAAGCGCATCGTCCTCGCTTTCCGGGGTACATACTCGATCACGAATACGATAATTGATCTTTCTGCCTATCCGCAGTCTTACATCCCCTACACAGGCGATGACGACAAGGATAACAATGATAGTACAACACCTCTCCCCGCAGTACACTGCGAAAACTGCACTGTCCACGCGGGTTTCATGAAATCCTGGCTAAACACCCGTCCCATAATTCTACCCATCGTCCTCCAAGCGTTGCAAGACCATCCAGACTACGAAATAACCCTGGTTGGCCACTCCCTCGGCGGCGCAGTCGCAACACTAGCCGGTTTGGAAATGCGTTTGAAAGGCTGGGATCCGCTTGTGACTACCTTTGGTTCACCGATGGTTGGAAATGCCGAGTTTGCGACTTTCTTAGACGAAGCCTTTCAAATTGGGAAGTTTAGTCGGGATGGCGAGGATGCTGAGGCAAGCCGTATTCGTCGGGTTACGCATGTGGACGATCCTGTTCCTCTACTACCGCTGAGGGAATGGGGGTATTCACCGCATGCATCGGAGGTATTCATTTCCAAGGCTGAATTGCCGCCAGCTCAGGAGGATGTGTTAATTTGCTCGGGCGATGAGGACGTGAGATGTATCGCTGGCGCAGAGACATCTGCAATCTCGTTGCTGGATGTTCTTCAGGATTTGGACATTCCGTTGGATATCTTTAATACGAAGGTCGATCCTTGTCTAGAAGAAGAAGAGGATCTGCAGCAAGACCCACAACCGGATCAGCATCAGCAGGTTATCCTCGGCAAGCAGAGGCTTGTTGGTTCTTCGAGGTGTGCGTCTCGCGCGGAGGACGAGACAGCTCCATTGTACCCGCGGCATTGGGATTGGTCTCTTATTCCGGCGCGGTATAGATTGTGGGAGCTTTTCTATGCGCATCGGGATTATTTCTGGCGCATTGGGTTGTGTGTGCCTGGCGGTGATCTTTTTAAATGGGATGCTTAGAAGGCTGTCTTTATGATTTTTCATGTTCTTGATAAAGCGGGCGTTTGATTTGAGATTTGTCAATATGGGATCTCGGATGTCGACACTGGAGATGCATTCAATTTCTAGCTTATGTACATATGTGACTCGCAAAGACAGGCATTTGTAGAATTGAATGCAGATTCTCGCAGAGAGTCGAACTATGTCAAGTAACAAATGGCAAGGAAGGACACATGTGTAGTACGAGTCAAATGTAGATATCTAGAAAAGACGCCCACAGGCATAACGCAAAGATCAAAGCTATGAACAGAATCAAATGCGAGGAAGAAAAGTCATAAGCAAAATCATAAGAGCAATCATCAATCCTGCCACCAAAAGCCTCGGAAATAAAAATTCGAGACCGGTTGAAACCGTCCACCACCATCATCTCCAATCCAATCCACCTCATATCTACTTTACTTCCCCTCCTCCAAACACGGCACAATAACCGGTCCAAACTTAACAACATTAGCATAAGCCCCGTCCCCCTGCACCATAAAGTCCGCGGCCAGACTCAACTTCGCCTTAACCGCACTAAAAGCCTGCTGATGCATCTGCATCCCAAAAGCCGGCGTAGAAACCACATCCGGATCATACGCAACGATCGCAACATAATTCCTCCTCGCCATAAGTTTCTTATGCTCACGCGGCTGGCCGTTCACATCCGTCTGGAAAATCTCCATCATGTCCTCCTTTGTATCGGTGGGTGTGGACGAGGAGCGGTGGCCGTTGGCGGGGACGTAGAGGGGTTTGGAGTTGCTGTGGAGGAGTTTGACGACGTAGGAGGGGGGTGGGGTGTTTACGACTGGCGAGGCGATGAGTTGGTACATTGTTTTGTGGTCGGTTGGTTGGGAGGGGTCGTGGACTAGGCCGGCGCCGCAGACGTTGACGGCGCCGGAGAGGAAGGTCATTCGGAGGGATTTTTGGTGGGCGATTCCTTGGAGGGTGCGGATTAGGTAGGTGCGTTCGAGGTCCTGGGAGAAAAAGTGGTTTAGTATTGGACAAATGAGGGGAGCGGGAGAGGGTGGAGGAGACGTACCTTGGACTCATGCGTCCATTGATCACGCAATTCATCCATGAGATCGAACTCGCCAAATGGACTCAAAATACCACCCATAAGACCTGACTTGCCAACAGCACGCTTGACAGAGTCAAAGCCCGAGCCAACAAACTCCTTCGCACCAACGACGCCAGCAACCGAGCTGGTCACCTTACCCAACACGTTATACGCGCCGGTAACGGCTCGCTTGCCTGTAGCAACAGTCTGCGCGATATGCTCGGCCGTCTCCAGACGGGGGTAGATCAAAGGCATAGAGACCATCCACAGACAATGCTGTACACTCGGAGGTAACATGGCAACCTTGGGGAAGAGACCCTGGTACGTGGGACCGGCCATGACCTGGTGTGGATTACGCTCGGAGCGACAGTCTGGTCCGACGACAACGACGCCGGGACCGAGGTACTTGACAAAGTGCCAGCCAGTGCCGGTGATGGTGAAGAGATCAGTGTCGTTGTTGACATTGCGGAGGATGTCGAGAGTTGTGTGGTGCTGGAAAAGGAGATACATCTCGATACCGATGCGGCCAATGTTCTTGAACATATTCGAGAACTGCATATGCTCGGGATACGAGCCGAAGCCATCGAAGCTGGATAGAGCACATCAGTATTAGCTCAAGTCAATCCACACACGAACCCATCAGCGTGTTATCCAAAACTCACATATCATGATCATCAATCTGGCAGATATAAGGAATCTGCGCAAAACTCTCCCTCAGATACGGCTGATCAAAATGACTCGTATAATAATGGAAATACGCATGCGAGACATCCTGCTGATTAGCCGCCGTCCACGGCGCATTTTTCCTCGCCTCCTTCCCACTAATCGCAAGCCACTGCTTCAAACACGGAATCTCCTTCCACATACGATCAGCATAGATCTGGCCACCAAGACACAACTGTGTATGGAAACCGCCAATCTCATTGTGCTTCTGCATGATATCCTTCCACATGAAGCCAACGCCGCCGAGACGCGCGCGCTCGTTCGCGTTCACATTGAGCGAGAAATCGTTGCCGGATGTTGCGATGAATCGCCAGTTCGTCTCGTGTCGGCCTGCGACGAGGAACTCGTACCGTGTACAGCCGAGATGGGAGGTGATGGCGTAGGTCCACTTTGCGGGACCGGCATCGTCCATTTGCAGATCGATTTCGTACTTGTAGAAGGTCCATCGCTGGTGTGCGGCGATATTGATGGCCTTGAGCTGTCGCGGGTTCGGGGAGAGGTCCACGCTTTGATGCAGGTGGATTGTAGGCGGTTGGGCGGCGTCGGTAACGAGGAGAATGGATCCAAGCCAAAGACCGCGCTCGAGATCCATGTTCGTGTATCGCAGATACGGGCCAAAGTAGACGCCGTTGGTTGGGGCGGTTTTGTAGATGTCCATACCACTGCTCGGTGGAGGGCCTGTGAATCCCGCCATCGGTGATTGCAGGCTCTCAAAGCCTGGGGTCAGGGGAACACCGGGAGAGGCTAGAGGCTTGCCGAAAGCTGACAAGCCCGGGGATGTCAGAGGATGGCTGCTGTACACACTTCCAACGGGAGAGAGGGGCGTTTCGTTCAGGTTCAAAGGCGTGGGACCCTTCGGGAACTCCCACTGTGTAGATTGCGTGGGCAGATGGATATAATAGTACTGGCCGGAGTTAGGATCGAGGTGCGCAATCCAACCCTCTGGCAAAGGTGGAGGAGAGGCCGGTGGGGGGCCGGAGGGTCCTGGAGAGGCAACCTGTGCCGGGTACGATGCTTGTTGCTGAACAGGTTGCTGTGCTTGCTGCTGCTGCGGATACTGAGGTTGGCCATTAGCAACGGCGCTCTGAGGCGACTGGCCCGCGCCAGACTGTTGCCGTAGATCATTCGCAAAGGCAGGATGGCCCTCCGTTGAAGCAGTCGGTGCAGGCGAGGGCGCAGAGGTTATAGCTGGATGACCTTGGTTGACAATAGCAGGATGCCCAGCGATAGCACCAGCAGCTGCTCCAGCCGCCGTACCCGCAGCAACACCCACCGCGGCAACACCCGGCTTCTCATTCGGGTACCCGTTAGCAGCACCCGCGCCAGAAACACTCGAATAAGCAGGAGGAGGCTCATCACTGATGCGCATGCGATCAATATCGTGCTCCAGCGCATTCGCAGGGATCCTCGATGACTGGTCCAGCGGAGCCAGCTGCGACTGCTGGGCCTGTGGCGGAGGACTGCCATACTGACTGGGATGCTGCGGCGTAGGACCTCCGTACTGACTAGGATGCTGCGGCGGAGGACTGCTGTACTGCCCCGGATGTTGGGGTGTAGGAGTTCCATACTGCCCCGGATGCTGATGCGGCGGACTACCATACTGACCCGGTTGTTGCACCTGGGCCACACCCTGCCCGGGACTAACTACCTCAGCACCTTGATACACCGTCGGCGGCCCATGAGGCTGCGAACCCGGCAACTCAGTCGGCGTCCACGGCCTCTGCGAGTCCTGCTGACTAAAAGTCGGCTGCTGCCCAACATACTGCTCAGCACGTCTCTGCGCCGCGGCCGAGCTCTGCGACTGCAATCCAGCCAGCGTTCCCGTCCCCGCAATCCCCGCCGCCGCATACCGGGCCTCAATATCAGAGCCCGGTTGCTGGCCAGGACCCACGATAGGCGTCTCCGGAGGCGGGGGTGATCCGCGCTGGGCACGGGTCGTCGATGTCGATGCCGTTGAGCTGATGCGATTAATCCCTGAAGACGAGGAGGGCGGGGCTAGATTCGAGCCTGGTCTGGACGATGCGCTGACCGGTGGTGGGTAGTACTGCTGGCGATAGTCGTATTGCTGCTCGCCGGTCTCGACGGGTGCCGAGGCTGTCGGTGGCCGGGGGTATGGCCTTGCTGCGAGGGCAGCAGCATCTGGTGCATCGGGACCTGGGGATTCGGGGAGCGGCTTGGGCGCTGCGCCGCGACGCTCAGCTAGAGTTGCGACGCGGGGCTCGCGGCCATCGCGGGGACGCAGTGCAGACGGGTAATCTGCGGGGCTTACTGAGCCAGACCCTGAACCCGCGCTGGCCGGGGGCGGCGAGTTGTATCGCAAGCCATCCGTAGGACGGGCATCGTGTGAGCTCGACGAGCGCAGTTGCGGACGGGGCCGGTCATCGGGGTAGGGAAGGGGGATGTTAGGTGGGCTTGAGGCAGACTGGGGACTGGCCGAGTCCCGTTTATTGATGCGTAGCGGCTCAATTTGTCTGTCCGGCCTGCCGGAGGAGGAAGTGGTTGTGTTTGTGTTGTTGAGGAATAGCTCGCCGTCCGGATGGATGGCACGGCTCTCGCCTGGATTCATGATGCAGGCGAGGCGATGCGGATGCGCTCAACAATAGGGATGAGTAGTTGCAGGTTGCAGATCACGTAGATAGGAAAGAAAAAAGTTGCAGAACAATGCACCGCAGCCACCTGAAGAACGAATGCACTGGGAGTACCAATCACGGAGCTAGATGCGCCGATCGGTGTGATCGGTGTTGAGTTTGGTCAGTGAGGGGCAGAGCGGGCACTAATGGGTCCTGTGGTGGGGGAGATAGGGGGCGAAAGGTTGGAACAGGTGGTGATAAAAATAAATTGACAGGGGGAGGTGATGAGATGAGATGGAGGGGTTGTATTGTAGGTAATGTGTCTGGGAAAGAAAGAGAGAGAAAAAGATCAGATGAGATGAGAGATGAGAGCAATGAGAAGAATCTGGCAACCTGGCGAGGAATCCCAGTTTCCAGTTTCGCGCTGTCTGCTAAGCGCCAAGTTGGGCGAGACGCCGACCCCGCAGGTGACGAGGAGCCCATCACGGCGTGTACTTGGGCATAAAAAGTGATGGTGAAGGATTTGATTGGGAGTGTGATTGGCTGCAGCTGAAATGATCGTAGATTTATGTTCTTTACTTCGATATACTTGGTGTTTACATCACATCCGTACCTTGGGTCAATTTAACTTGGCTTATCATTACTCGGGATAGAGTGTGGAGTCCAACCATACATGCTGTACCATGTATCATGCACCCATATTCCTATGTACCATGCAAAGCTGTTGACTGCCCTACTTTCTACGGTCTAGACCCACCCGAAGATCAAATACTGTAGTACTATGCTGTAGTAGCCGTAGTCTTTCCATGGACACATTATTAACAAGTCGTGTTCGTTTCTATACATACATTCCATCCGTCATCACTCATGCAAATAATACAAGCTTCCCAAAATCCAAAAAAAGAACAAGCTCAGCTCAAAAAGACACGACCAAAACAAAAGAAAGAGCTCAAAGAGTCAGTCACACACACAGATGCCCAAAAGCCCGATAATATGCCCGCAAAGATAAAAAAACGCCAATGACCCAAACCAAAACCAACAACCCCAGATCCAAGTCACCTAAAACCCGAAATTGACCATTTGCAGACCTTCCTGAGCCATCAAATCAGCCCAATCCACATCAAGCGTGTGGCCCACTCGCATCAGACAATCCATCTGGCGTTCATAGACAGTCTGCAAAATAGCCCGGGTAGTCGCCGCATTGCGGCCCATCCCGTCTTCCTCATCTTCCATACTGGTCATTAATTCCATGGCCATCATTTTCAGGCCACTAGCTGATGCGGTAGCACCGGCGAGGAAGAGGGGGAAGACCAAAAAGTGCCGGTCGGCGCGACGGGTATGTGTCGTCTGCTCGGCGATACGCAGGATTTCGGCTGCGTGGTGATCGATTTCGCCGTCGGGGGTGAACTCTGACTCAAGGCGTTGGCGAGGCCACATGCTGCTGTAGGAGAAGAGCTGGCTGACGTGGAATAAAGTTGCCGACTGGAAGAATGGATGATTAGTACTGAATGCACGGGAATCGGGTCAGGATCTAGAGGGCGATTCAAACTCACCTGCTGTAGGATCTCCTGCGACCGCCGCGGGAGACTCTCCTGGCGCTGATACCAATAGGCCACATCAGACGCTTCCCACAGCCGGGTCAGAGCTTGACGCAGCTCACCAATCTCCTTGGTTCGCTGATTGAATTCAGAGAAGGGGACTGTCAATTTCTCCTGACGCAGCCTAGAACCCAGGAATCCAATCTGGGTCGCCAAGGAAAAGGTATCGGCATAAAGGCGCATGAGAGTGGGTAAGCTCTCATGCTCATCGGGATAGATCACACTGTATCCCTCATTCACAGAAGGGTAGAGAAGACTATCTGATCCCGGGAGCATCTGGTTGTCCATGATAGTCCGTACGAACTCGCCAGTTCCTGCACCGCTGAGCAGGGCATAAAGATCGATGTGGCAGATCCACCAGAGAATGAAGGGGTGTGGTTCGCGGCCGAATCTGGACCGACGGAGGAGGGCGATGTGGAGGAGACGGGAGATGTGATGGGACCAGAGGTTGGAGCCGTGGGGCTCGGCGGCTGCGACCTAGAGAGGAAAACAGAGAGTATTAGTATGGAACTAGCGCAAACTATAAGAGACATGCGTGAGAGTGGTACCTCGTAGATTAGTAGGAGGAAGTGGGTTAGGAAAAGACCGTCCGAGACAAGGTCGTCGTTGTTGCGTAGGCTGATCTGGAGGGAAGGGAATGCTTGCTGGTAATACTGCAGCGCATCGACATTTTGTCCAGTGCCGCTGTGCGACAGACTGAGAGCCGACACGGTCATAATGGCATGGGAGAGCTACTCGTTATTAGTATACGGCCACTCAACGTTCAATGTGGACGACCGAACATACCGGAGGGAAATGGGCGGCTTCCCGCTCGAGGAAATCAACACTCAGAGTCATGCCATTGCGGTCAAATCCGTATGTGTCATTCAGACTCCGGTCATGAGGGAACAATTGCTTCCACACAACGTGTCTGAAATGGGCGAATAGCGTCGAGTCCTGTTGCCTTTGCCGAGCCGAGTGATCCATACGCGAATCGACAAGGAATGATGAAGAGCCATGCTCTTCACCGAGAACGGGAGATGGGAAAGAATCCATGATAGGAGATAGAGAGAGGGAGCAGAAAGGATCCGAAATCTCAGATGTTGGCGATACCCTTGAGGTTCTGCCGGTCGAAGACGAGCGTCGGGTGACATCCTCAAAAGTCTTCAATATGACTACATTGGGATCGTCGGTTGGGTCATTCTCAGTTTTGATCACGCTCACGGGACTACTCGTGACCGAGTATACGGACTCGGTGAAAGTGGCTTTGTGCTTCTCCGCGTCGTCGGCGTACTCGGGTAATGAGCTGAAGCTATCCGGGACCATAATAACATGGTATGTGCCTGGGGTGGTAATCTCCGCTTTTCGTTCACGCTCCTCATCGCAGGTCAATAGCGAAAAGGCCGGGAGGGCATCTCCAAGAGAGAAATAATCGTTTCCAGACCGGTCCTCGCTTGTTGATCCCGGTGATGAGACTACAAAAAAACCGTTAGACCAAATAGTACGATACGAGGGACTTATGTCGCACCGAAAAAAGGAGAGCTTACGATCCCAGACCACATTTCCCTCAGTCTTCACATCGGCCATACGGCCCATGATGCGCGGGGTATCATCGCGAAAAGCTAGCCGTGGCCGATAATCGCAAATATGGCCGAGTCTCGTACATTGCTAAAGGAGTAAACGGTGAGTCTGAAATCCCGAGAGCGAGCGAGAGAAAGAAATGCCGAAGCTGAGGAATGTGCCCTACATTACATTGCGGATGTCCCTCATCGCATTTAACTGCAAGAATGTTCGATTAGCCAAGGGAAATTCATTCATGAAGGACACAGGAATTTCTGAACACTCACCTTTTCGGCTCTGCAATGCGTGAACCAAAACACCGGGTCAATTGAAATGGTTTTTTGCTAAATGGTTGGAGGAAGAATGAAGGAACTCACCCGACACGTCCTAATTGAAGCAAAAAAGAAAGTTAGCCCTGGGGAATCCGTTGTAAGCAAAGGCGGGTAGTTGAGAAACGTACCAGCAGCCGGTCCGAGATCGCGGCGGAAGACGGATACGCGGCGGCGCGATCATACTCTTGTCTGATTTGCCCTCGAGGACTTCCTCCTTCGGGGCGATGATGGGTAGGCGGAGCGTACGCTTGGCGGAGGCATGGCCCCGGCGGTTTTGCATTACCAAGCTGATGACCGTCATAAGGCTGACTGGGTGCCTGAGACGAGGACTGGGAGGGGGGTGATTGTCAGTTTTGAAAGATAGGGGGCAGCAGCCGAGATCGCAATTGCGTACTTTGCGGGGTTGTAAATTGGTCAACCACCGACAATCGATGGTTGACGGTTAGATGATAGACGGGTTGCAAAAGTGCAGATCGTATCAAAAGTCCGGTTGCCACTAAGAAGTATAGAGTATAGAGTGTAGAAGTGTATAGCGACGATCGCGGGTAGTGATCTAATGATCAGCGACTGGGGGAGTGGGGGTGGAGAGGAGAGGGGAAGGTTAAGGTTAAGGTGGGAGAAGTAGAGCGGACAGACAGGGGAAAGAAAAGACAGGGAGAAGAAGGGAAAGAGGAATTGAGTAGGAGTTTTGGAAGGAATTAAGGATTGCGGGATTAGGGAATGAAGGAAGAGGAAGTATGGGAAATATGGGGGAGGAGGTTTGAAGGAGTAATAATCGTTAGAGTAGTGGTCTAGACTTTGGACTTGTGAAGAACTGGAGTTGTGGCGGGGGGGTGGGAAAAATGGGAAGTTATGTAGGTTCACATCACGAGCAGGAAAATGCAAATCAACCTGCAGGAGAAAGAACCGGTGGACTGGCGAGAGGACTGCATGGTTCGAGCGGGCGCAGCCTTGTTCCTTTCTGGCTTGACGGGTGGCGGGAATCTGAAGGGAAGAATCTCGGATGCGAAGACGCAAGTACCGGGATGTGAAAGAGTGGAGATAGGGAGGGAAAAAAGGGAAAGCAATGAGAGGGATGTCGAAAGTCAGAAGGGTAAGAGAGGAAAGGGAAGGGGGTGGTGTGGGAATAGGACGAACAGGTCAGATCGGAGGAAGCTGACTGGTTGGCTGGTATAATGGAAGACAGTGGAAAAGATGGGATAGGAAAAGGGAAAAAAAAGGGACGAGAGACGCCCGGTTCGTCCGGGGATGGAATTGGGTTAGCTTGGGATTTGGGACGAGAGAGCTGGATTGCGTCGATTTGACAGGATTTGGTTGGAGCTGGAGAATTGATCAGGACTGTGAAGAAAAAAAAATAAAAAACGAACAAAAACCAAACCACCAGAAAACCAAACGCTAAAAAACCACAAAACCACCCAACAACGCTAAAAGACTAAAAAACACTAAAAAACCGGATGGCATGCAGGTGCCAACCATGTGGTCGACGTGTTGCTATTCTTACCCTCTTGCCTAAACGGGACAGGGTTTTGGAGGTCGAACAAATCCTAGTTGACTAGTTGACTGTCTCGCTTAGACACTAGTTCATATCCTCTTCTGGTGGCGACAAAAGAATACAAATGGAGTATAGAGAGAAATGAAAAGGGTGATATCAACGAAAAGGGCTATCATGCTAACGAGAATTAGACATGATTTCTTTTCTCCACAGTCCATGCTCTCTCTCTTCCAGAAATAGGAGGGAAAAAGAAATGGATCGACTGGTAGGCTATTAAACTATAGTGACAGATCGACGAGACTGATTGGGCGGAGCCGCCCCGGGGGCCCGGGACTCGGGAATATGGAAGCGGGCCTGTCAGTATACCAGACCACCTCGAAAACATGGTTGAGGAGGGTCAGATGTTCGAGGAGACCAGTGGATTGGAGCTGCAAAGGCCGGTATAGGAAGAGAGAAAAGGATGGTTGAGATACATAGATACAGAGATACGAAAAGAAGGCAATTCCTCGGCGAGTTGAGTAATACCTTCGAAATCGATATACCAAATCGATATTGCTAAAATCATTTCATGGGGCTCCATAGATAGCGAGTACAGTATACAGTATGTAATCGGAGAATCAATTGTTCGATAGATACAGTACAACATGGGGCTTGTGCTGAGGCTGGCTGAGGGACACGTCGAACCCGACCGGGAAGACGTTTCCTAACGACACAGGGCGGAACCGGCGATATGGAAAGTACAGCCCGCTAAAACCTTAGCGGTGGTCAATGATGGTGGTGGTAAGCAGAGCAGGCAGGCAGGCAGGCAGGAAGACAGGGCTGAGGTAGGGCAGAAAAACCATAGAAACCATGCGCATCGGGACATGGGTGGTTCAAGCCATAAGGGGGTGGATGATAATATGATTATTTGATCAGACTAGACATTCCATAGGGAAACGAAAAATAATCCCAAGCAGAAAAACAAAAGCAGAAAACCGCGCCACAGTCGGAGCCGAAGAATGCACATCTGGGGAAAAAGCTGGTGCGGCTGTTAAGGCCTCGATCGGCCCGTCTAGGCCCGTCTGGATCGGGTCTTGTCCTCGATCGCCCTTGGGAAAGGCCCTACGAGCAAGTTGTCAACTGCGCTGCATCATTCGTCTTTTTTGTCCCGCCCTGTTTACCCTGGTTGTTTTTGATTTTTTGGTGATGTTCTATCTCCTCGCTCTCGCTCTCTTCCTATACTTGACCCTATTCATGTATTTCAACGTATCCATCTCAGTTATCAGGTATCCACTCTGCCTTACCCACTCGTCGGGTTTTGCAGATTTAGGGTTTGCAGACCTTTTGCCTTGACAATCCGGAAGATTCCTAGTGCCCTACAGTACTCCGTAGTGAATTGTACCCCCTGCACCTGCTGCGCCCTTGCCAAATCCCTGTGATGACCACTGGATCGATCACGATCTAGGGGTGTTCCAGTCTCTAGTCTTCATACTATACATGCATGCATACACACTTACTCTCTTTACTCCTCTCCGTGTCTACTAACTACCGGCCTTACCCTCCGTTCTCCGTCCAGTATTCTGTCTACACTTCGTATACTTCGTACTAAGGCCCAACTCAGACTAGACCCGCCCATTTGGCACCCTCCCGCATTCACTAGTCACGGGCTGGTCACCCGTACGGACGGACATGGCCGAGAATTAAGCGAGTGGCGTTTCACTAGTTCGTGTTTGCAGAACTGCATTCCCAAGTTTTCTTTTCTTTTCTTTTCTTTTTTACCATTTCCTCTACGGCTCTACCCATACTTCCTTTCGCACTTCGTTGCTGCTTCGGAGGACTGGATGACTCGGTGACTCGCGACCCTGCTTTGGGCTTAGATCTAAGACAATAATGGGCTCTCTCTGCTGCATTGCTTCTTTATGCCTCGTGCATTTCTGAATGATTTTGTATTTTTCTTTCTTTTCCCTTTTCTTTTTTTCCTATTATTATCATTTCCTCCTTATAGAATAGAAGTTCTGGTTCGAGACGGGTCGTAGCTACTAGCCACGGGCGTCAAAGTAACAGACCTACTGGTCTCGTCACATATACTCCATAGTTAAAAAACGCGTTACTACGAATTCCAACCAAACTCTCCAAACTCTCCTAGTCCAACTACCCAATAACTACTAATTGGTTATAAAACCCCGTATACCATATACCAAACGGAGACACACACTGCCCATCACCGTAGATCACTCCCTCGATCCGAGACCAGGACGGGCCCGTTCCTACACATCTGACTTTGCCACTCTCACTAGGACTAGACAGGCAGCGATTCGCAAAATAAACTAAATTAACCAACATAGCTAAGACAGGAAGACAAACCAAGATTGGGAACTGTAAATCAACCAGACCCATGTCGATCTACCACGTGGCCCGCCTTCTTCGTGACTTGTCTTTGGTGCTTACTTCGTACAATACGCAGTCCAGTCTCCAGTCGGGAGTGACTCCATACCCTATGGTCACCGTCATTGGCAGTCCCCGTCGTGCGGAGGACTCGGTACAGTACATTCGTAGTTAGTCTCGTCCGCTCCCTTTGTCGTTTGTTTTCGTCCTAGTCGCCGGTACACTAGTACCAGTTAAGAGGTGTGACCCAGTAGGTTGACCATAACTTCGGAAAGAGGTTGAGCAGGGTCCAAGTCATTCAGTTGGATTTAGTGGGGGTACCCATGACTCTCTCGTTCTCGTTTTCATGGTTCTTCAGTCCAATCGCAATCTCCAGGCTTCATTCCTTCACAGTAGTTCTCTCTCTAGCTTTAGCTAGCCCTCTCTGGTTTCTTCGGTCTATGACTGCATGGCCCCCTACACTACACTACTGATAACAGGGAAACTTGGAAGTTTTTGCCTCCCGACTCCACCTATACACAATGCAAAGTCCGATCGATCTCCGACCGTCGGGTTGAATGGGGTTGATAGTTAGTTCGAATGATGGGTCAATGACTCAAACAATGTGAAGATCTATACACTGTATACAGCTCGGTCCATCTATGGTCTATGGATCTCAAATCTCACCACTCTCGATCGTATTCCAACAAAATCTCACTCTTTTTATGTATTGTATGCTGTAAAGCCCCACCCATCATGATCTCACCCACCTATCTCATCAGCCCACCAAATTCAACGCCTCGTCCAACAGTCGCTGCACGGTACTCGATCTCTCGGCCGCCCTCCACACACGTAGACACTCGCCCACCTGCGCCTCGCATACCCCACGAAGATCCGGCCGAAGTTTCAGGTACGACCGGATCGCCTCCGCACGACCCTTGCGCACCACCTCGACTGCATCCCGTTCGCGCAGGAGTAGAGAAGTGAGACCTCGCATAGGGCCAGCCAACACGGACTCTGACTCTAACTCTGCCTGAGACTTGTTCTCGGGCGCTGACTCCGGTGCAGCAGCCTCCGTAAAGCCCGGCCACTGATCCACTCGGGTGAAAAACGCTTGGAGCTCCTGATAGACCGTGCTGACGACCTGTCGGGCCCCGTGGGTCAGGGCCTGGTCCAACGGATCGATTACCTGTCGTATGTAGTTTCCCAGCACTGTGGTTAGACTTAGCAGATGAACGGACGCTAGGGGGTTCCCGCAGGAGCAAAGCCCCATCCTGTGCTCCCTCCCCAAGGATTGGGTTCACGAGGGTAAAAAACAGGATAGAGATAGGGAAAAATGGAGAAAAAAAAATCCAAATTGAGCTGACAACTCAATTCAACGGGGGATGATTCAATCAACGTACCTTCGGTTTCGGCCGTGGCGGGGTTTAGACATTGGAGGAGACATTGGACACATGCGGCCAGCGTCTCGGTCGAGTCGGGCCCCTTCCCGTCTATCTCCATCTTGTCACCGTCGTCATTTTGTTCGTCCACGACCTCGTCAATCACGGGGCCAATGATCGCAAGCGCATTAGGCATTAAGTCTACCTCGCGGGCCTGTGAGATTTGCCCCAAGGCGCGCAGCCCATGCGGCCGGTAGGCTGCGTTAGTCCGCTTCGCTTCGCGCACGGCGATGGTCTGGGATTCAATGCGGGGTTAGTCAACTTCAGTCTTAGTCCCGTTCTGTTAGGCAAGTCGGTCCGCAGTCTCGTGAGAGCCCCGAAAAAAAACGCCATCGTCAAGTAGAAAAAGACAAGAAACAGAAAAAAAGAATAGAACCAAAACAGAACAAAACAAAACAAGGAAAATAAAACAAGGAAAATAAAACAAAAAGTGAATGACCACTACACAATGGCGAACGCACCTTGAGCAACTCGGCCAACTCTGTTCGGCTCGTCCACAGCACCCGACCGGAGCGCGCGAATTTCACCAGCGCAGTCAGCACTACTTCTTTCCCCTCCCAAGTCTTGCCAGACAAGGCCTTCTCCAGAACCGGCCACACCAATTGCGCCGTCGGAAGATCCATCTCCCCCTCCAGCGATAACACTGCTTGAGCGATAGCCCGCGCGGCCGTATGCTTGATGGCCCACCGTGCCGAATCAAGGTTGTCCGCCACTAGCTCCACGATCTCGCGGAGATACAGAGACACGGCTCGGTTGCCACCCACATTGTCCTGCCACGTCTTGTCGAACTCCTCCTTCACATGCTCATCTGCGTCATGCTTGCAGACGAAGATGAAGGGGAGGGCCGCTGTAGCGAAGGCCATGAATCGGTCGTTGGACAGCTTCGAAGCCGAATACAGGATTTCGGCCGCAATGGTTCGCGTGTTTGCATCTTCGGAGTTGAGATAGAGCGTCTTGGCGTAGTCGATGGTCTTCAGGACCTGGTCGTCGGATGCGAGACGCAGGAGGTACCCCATTGACGTGCAGTAGGAGGCGCTGACCGTCTCGTTGCGGTCGACCACATACTTGCTGAGGAGCTGGATGAACCGGTCCGCGTAGGGGCGGAAGAGGAGGGTCTTCATGCTCAGGAGGACGAGGACCCGGCTGCAGCCCACCTTCGAGGGGAGGCCGACGGCTGTGCGGAGAGTGTTCTCCAGTTTCGGTGCTAGGTCCTTCACATTGCTCTCATCCAGATGGTCGATCAGGTATCGCTCAATGACCTCCATCATGGGAGAGGTACGGATGCTGGATAGACGCATCTTGTCAATCTCCTGACCGGTCAGACCATACTTGTCAGCGTTGAGATGGACATAATTGACAGCCTGGGGTTCCAGAGCACTGAGCGAGCTCAGGAACTTTTCAAGAATGCTGGGCACAAAGGGATGTAGCAGTGTGCCAGGGCTCTTTTTGATAATCTGCACAAGGGCACCGATGGCGTATCCCCGCACCTCTTCCACACTCGAGTCAAGACCCTTGTCGCTAAGAAGGAAAGGAACAGCACTACCGAGTAGAACACCAGCACGTTTCTCAGAGCCGTTGGTCTCGAGCGTGCGGATCACCGAGTTGGTGATCGTCTGGCAGAGCTTGAGTGCGGCTACTCGCACGGACTCTTTGATATCATCCAAAAGCTTAAACGCCTTGCCGTAGATCTCATCGAGATATTGGGCGTACTTCTCTGGGCGGCGTCCCGAGACAAGATCCGCCACGGCGGCACAACTTGCCTGGCGAACACGCCACTCGCGCCCCGAAAGCATGCTTTTGAGTAGATCCTCCATAATCTGGTCGAAATGCGTGTCCACCACCACGGTCGGATCCTTGACGAGCGCCTGCCAGATAGTATTCATAGATCGCTGTACATTCGGGTTGGGGTCAAATCGGTAGCGGAAGAGCTTCGGATAGATCTTGGGGTTCTTGGCGAGATATCCATCGACACTGGAGTCGGAGAATATCGAGCTAATACCAAATCGACCAAATGCTGCTCTGTTCGTCCAGAGGGCATTGTTGGAAGCCATAGACATGAACCGGTAGACAAGAGTTGGATCTCCAGCCTCGGCGGCCAGATTCATAATATCCTTGTATGTATTGACCGAGGAACCCTCGCCTGTCGGCAAAGCCCCCGGTTCGAATAATTGGGTATCCCCCGTGATGTTGCCACCCCCGAGATTAGATCCAGTCGCTGTGAAAGAATCCACCAGGTCACGGACCAAGTCATCCTTGAGGGACTGATCTCCGATCTCGTAGACAAGGCTGAGACCATGGGCACCGGTTTCTTGTACCACCTCCTCCCGGCTTCCCAGCAGGCTGGTAAATGTGGCTTGACACTTACGTAGGCGTTCCTGCATCTCTTGCAGGTGTCCACAGTTCTTCACGAGGGACAGTAACCATATAGCCGACGCCTTCCGGAGAGATGGCTTGGAGGCGCCGCAATCCTTGATGAGCTTGTCGCATACCTCGGCAAATACTGTGCGTGGCACATCTGATTGAGGGAGGTCTGCATCGACATCAAACTCTTGGATTAATGCCCGCGAATCCCACCCAACCGCAGCATTGCTCAGTGCTTCACCGATGGTGAACTGGACCTCGGGGCTCTTGATTTCGTGAAGAGCATAAAGAGAGCTCATAAAATCGTTGAACAAAGAAGTGTCCGGCTGGGCTCGGGAGAAGGTCAGAGTCAGAAGACCCAGGGCGGAGATGGGAGTATTATTTTCGGTCTTGGCATCGGTCGCCAATTTCTTCTGTAGCTTCTTCCAGCCATCCTCCTGGAGAGTCTGCAGTGAGATAATCCCAGATAGACTGAGTTGGCCCAAGGCTAGCTCTGCAGTTCGCTGAAGAAGGTTATCCCGAGAAGCATCAATGATATCTAGAACTGTGTCGATAATGTTCTTAATTTGCGCTTCAGGAACCTTGTCCAGAAGCTTCCTGTAAGCGAGTCTGCTTAACAAGTATGATAATGAGAGAACTGCGCCGCGGACACGAAGCGCGGCTTCGCCAATAGCAGTGTTCCATGACTCGATGGTACCAACCAGTTCGGTCACGGAGTTCTTCAGTGTGCTATCATCAAAGGTAGGATGAGAAACGAGGATGCCAAATGCCCTGGCAGCGTAGCCCTGCATATCTTGGTTGTTGCTGAAGACGGGCTTGGTCAATGACTGGGCAAGCGGGAGAAGCTTCTCAACTACATCATTCGGGGCCAATGAGCAGATCTCCACAAAGTTGAGTCCGCATTGGCGTAGATCCGGAATTCCTTCTTTGACGATTCCGTGAAGGATTCCGGACAGGAACGTGAACACTGGTTCTTTGGCGGAGTTGCAAATATACTTTCGCACCGCGTTTCGTGCTTCCACACTGGCGGAGAGTTCAACCTCCAGTTTGTAATCCCAGTCTTGCTCGAGTTCAGTTGTGATTCCCGCGGCTGAGAATGCCTCCGACAGCAGAGCATTTCGCAGGAAGGCAACGGCAGGAACGAACGCATTTTTGTAGGGGCCAGATAGAATCTGGGGTGTCGATATACCTTGAGCAGCCGAAGTTGTATCTTGATCGCTTGAACCGAAAAGGTATTGAGTGGCCTCGGCAAACTTGGGAAACTCGAACCAAGACTCGTCACGCTCACCGACTGCCGTCGTAGCTTCCCATTTCTTGTCCTTGGCCGGATTGAGGAGTCGGAACCAGTAAGGATGAAGACCTTTCTTGCCCTCTTCCACAATTTCCTGTTGTCTTTCCGGGCCTCTGGCTATGGCCATAAGATCAACCCAGCGAGCAACCACGTCACTGTAGGGAAGGAATCGGTTGGCAAATCGCACAGCGGCATACTGCACGCCCCGAACAACATCAAAGCCATTGTCTGGATCAGTATCCCCCTGGTGCAAGCCCATCTGGTTCACCAAGAATGGACGTAGCTGATCTTGGAACTCCTTATCATGGCTATCCAGCGAGGAGTTCAATATGCTTCCCAGCGCTTGATCGATGCTGACAAAGATCTGTGGGCTGGAGTCATCAGAGCTGAGAGATGTAAACAGCCATCGAACGAGATCGAATTCGAAGTTCTCGCCGGTTTCATCACGCAGCTGAAAGTCAACTTTCGGCACCATGATACCAATACTTTCGTAAGCCAGGCCACGCAAGCTCAGATCAGTTGCAGGGAGTCTTTGTCCACTGGCACCAGGACTGGGCCATCCTTGTGACTGAATAAAATCCCTCAAGCCGGCAATCAGCTTGGGAGCAATTTGTTTAAGGTCAGATGGAGAGCCCATACGAACGACCCATGTGGTGAAAGTGAATATTTGCGTTCTAAGCTTGGATGCTTGCAGACCCTGGGCGGATCTTGCGGCATCCGATAGAAGCCCATCTTCGATGAGCCTGTAGATTCTTTGTGTGTTCTCTGTAGCTTTGATAGATTTGCCTAAGAATACTAGGATTCTCACTTGCAGAGGTGGGCGCACTGGTGGAGCCCCATCTGCCTTTCCGGAGCCAAAATACAAATCGTATAGCTGCTCCACAACGGTCGAATCTTCAAGATCCACAGCAAACCGCTTCAGAGTCTCGTCGCCCAAATCAGCCAGTCGTGAGTTTGCGTCTGCGGTGGCAATTAACGAGGGCAAGAAGCGCTGCGAGTCGGCAAATGCGCCACTCCCGAGGAAGCGCAGAGCGATGACTTTGGTTTCTGTCAAATTCAAGCCACCAGGAGCTGCAGGGTTCCACGTTTCATTTGCAGGTGCATCCTTGTTTAGGAATTTGTATTCATCAGGTGATAAGCCAGGGCATGTCTGAGCCTCGGCGACTGCGGGAGACAAAAGAAGTAGCTTTGTCAGCCAGAAGGACAAAAAGCCAGTGTCTTCATCGGATAACTTCAGGCGTTCTTTCAATTTCTGATCCTCATCACTGCCCTTTGGTGGAATTTTGAAAAGGGGCAATAGTCGTAGCACGAGGTTGAAGACGATGGCACCCTGGCTAGCCGATGTCCCGATTTCCGCAATTCCTTGAAGCAAGGGGAGTAGGATATCAACCCTGGCCTCCGAGCCCAGACGGTCAATACCTTGCTGTGCATAGATCAAGTCAAAATGACGCACGAGCTGAGACTTCTGTTCTTTGAATTGCTTCAATAACGCGGCGACTGGTAGTTGGATGGAAGGGGTCTTCACTCGCGCGTTGACATGCTGACAGACGGAGATGACCTTATTGCGCACTGCAACGCTGTCGGATGATAGCTTGAGTAGAATTGGAGCCAGATATGTCATGAGCAAGGACTGGAGCTTCTCATCGGAGTCGGCCATCGCAATCCTAAACTCGACCTTGCCTATCAGACTCAACTCGCGAGCCTCGGGGCTCGGCAAGTCTGACGCCATGACGGGGGAACTGAATTATGGGAGCTGAGCACAAATGGGACATTGACTGGAACGGATGATCTTTAATATGCGGCTCTTGGAAGGTTTCATAGGCAACAAAACACACGTCACCGTCACCGGTCACCAGAGTCCCCAAATCGGCCGGGGGTGGGGATTGCTTAGTAAAGGTCAGTTTGTGGCCTCCCAAATCCGGGCCTAAATTGTGAGGTGTCGAGGTTCTAGGTCCCCAGGGTCTGGATACTGTAACAACCTTTTTTTGCCTCCTCACGTGACCCATCCTGTTGACCTGCCCACCCACACCGCCCGAAGTATAAAGTCTACCACATACAAGCTCTCACATGAACATTGAATAGACAAACAAGATAAGAGAGATAGGTCAAATTTGATGGATATTTACTTGCAAGGCAGATTCCTTGTTGACTAGGCCCTGCACCCTACTCTGCCGGCCTACAAGAGCCCCCTTCTTCCCCCTTTCTGTTCAGCTTCTTTAGAGATTTCTAGATTGACCGATTGACTTGTTTTTTCCTCCTGACTGTTTCCTCTGCGTAATGGCACATGTTGTGCCATCAAATCTATTATTACAGTCTCATTTTCTGCAAATCCATAACGGGGCATAGTTGTCTTGTGGATATAGTTTTAAACCATGACAAATATTCAAAATGATCTTGGGGTCGAGCGATAAATCAAAGAGGTGGTACCCGAGCCATCGATGAAGACGATTTGAATGACTTTTATAGATATTTTCCACGAAAAGAGACTGATAATGAATGCGGGGGATACAGCAATACTCCGACGAGCGGTACTTCAAGGTACTTTCGAACGGGAGTTTGAGTGAAAATTCTTGATTCAAGAATTGATGTAGAGCAAACAGGCTGCTTCTATAGAAAGGTGGGGTCTATTTGCCCGGTTTCTTCAGGATTCGCTCGCTTTGCGATCCTCACTTCCTCTCTTCCTTTCTTTCCACCTGAAGCAATAAGCTGCCACGAGTCGAACTTTCTGCTCTGCAACGTTTTTTTCCATCCTTCTCCCTTCCTGCATCACTTCAGTACCGCCCGCCTGTCTTACTCCATGAATATCACCAGCCTTCAAGGTATGTGATACAATCTCGACAGGAGGCTCACTAGATATGCTGTGGTTGACAAAATCTTGCATCCAGATGGAGCATTTAGAAGACCCACCTGGGTTACTTGTCAGTACAAACAAAGCAAGGCCCGAATAGCAGGGCGTGTCGTACGCGACCCCGGCCGTTCCGTCTGCAGTTGAGACGGGCAGCTCAAGCCAACCATCAATCCGTGGGTCCAACCACAAGTCTTTTCTACTCTCAAAAGCTGACTTTTCGGAATCTAGCTACCGGCCTAGACCAAAACTTCAGCCCTCTCATGCCCAGCAATCCAAGCACCCGGCCTGACGAGAAGGCCGTGGAGGCGTGCAGACCGATCCGCAACGTGGACTGGCGTGAGGATCCACAGCCCGTTGAGAATTTTCACCAACGCCTAGTTGCCCATTGGCAGCGGTGCGGCGAGGCTGCTCCTCAAGGAAAACAATACAGTCCCTGCAAGAGGGGATCGGGGTTTTCCACAGCTGCATCGTCAACTACGCCGGTGAAAAGATGCAGTCAGGAGGTGGCTGTATGAACTGGGTCTTCTACAACAAAGCCCATTACTGCAGTCTTCGTAAGTGTCTAGGGCATACAGTCAGGATCTCAGCTCTTTAACCATTATATTAACGACTTAATAGGGGAGCGCGACGAACAGGACAGATTCACCGGAAACTTCACTGAGCAGTGGGCCACGGACTATCTTGCTACCCAGACTTCACCTCACAGCGAGATCAGCGTCGACAAGGAGGTGAGTGCTTTCTGATGTCACATTCCTTCATTTGCTGACCAGGATTAGAACGCGGATAGCACGAGCGATGCTGGGGGTCCAGATACCACCGCGGAACTCTGTGCTCGCTTGAAGAGTGAGAACCCGTTTCCTTCCGCACCGGATGGCAGCCCAGGGTGGAATCAGGACTTATACAGGTCCCCCCTTTTCCTGCCTGATGGTCTTGATGCAGAAAGCAGCCTACAGGAGATGCTGCGAACTGATGCAAATTCATGAACGCCTCGAATGGGACATGAAAGCTCTCTGGCGAACCTTTGGCGATCAGTGGGACTGCCCCCCCCCCCCCCCACCCAATGAATTCCTAGGAATTCTCGATTGTGTATGAGCACAAGGCTCGGCAATGAGCACAAGCGATCTGAAACACTTTTGCTCAAAGACCCTACACCAAAGGGCAGATGACAGTTAGGAATTTATGAAACACGTCTATGCTTTATGTCCTCGCCTAATGCTTAGAGACAGGCTATTTCTCCCACAAATTATTGACAAGTCTGTCTCCCCTAATATCTTCCTTCCATGCTGTTCATAAAATTCGTTAAATCATAGCTTCCTCTCTTCTCTGCTCCGCAGCCTCGCCGCGCAAGAAGCGGCCAACTTCTCTCTCTGCATCACTTGAAAGACCGTGATCATCCTTTCCAGCCGTAGCTCCAAACAGACACTGCCATAGATCATCCTTTTTAACCATCTCACCACCTGCCGCACCGCTCGTCATGAGACTGTTGAGAGTTGCATCCTCCAGTTCCATGGAATTGGCGGACTCGATTGCCGTTTCAGTTATATCTTCTATCAACGACTCGTCTCCGTCACTCGGATTGATGAAGCGAGAGTTTTTCTCCTTTTTTTCCTTCTCCATGATGTGGGCGAGCCGACGATTTACTGATAATTCGTAGATGGATTCCTCGACGGTCCCGGACACGAGGTACATCCAAACTGTAGTGGGACGGCTTTGACCGATTCGATGGACTCGAGCAATGGCCTGCAGTTCAATTGCGGTGTTGATGAGCGGCTCACACAGGAAGACATGGGTTGCGTTGATAAGTGTCAGTCCTGACGACTGTGCCTTGCCATGTAACAAAAAGCATTCAATCTGTAAGAGTACATTAGCATGGTAAATCATGGTTACTAAATGGTGGACCAATTACTCCTGGATCCTTTTTGAACTTCTCGATTCCATCAGGGGCGTCGACACTGCTATTGACGATGCCAAATCGGTCGAATGCTCGCTTCAACACAACCAAGAAATTCCTGTACTGCGAAAAGACAATTGCCTTGGATCCTGGGTCATGCTCCCGAAGCCAGATAATATGACGTGCAAGGGTGTCGACCTTTGTACCAAACGAACCGTCAAGCTCAATGGTTTCAATCTGCTTCAAAACACCCGAGCTAATATCGCTGTAGATTGCATTGTTCGACTGTCTTTCGTGGTCAAATTTGAAAGGCGTCTCTTCTTCCTGGGCAACCAGTTCCTGTGGCTTGTACGTGATTTGATGAAAGTCGTTGAACTTCAAAGGTTTTTTGCACATAGGACAGGTTCGATGTTGGCGCCACCATAATCGCAGACAATCTGCGCAGTATTTGTGACCACAAACAGTCAAGACACCTAATAGTAAGAGTCAGTCTTCAAGTGCTCTATCAAGTCGGCGTGGGATGCAGTGCTCACCATTTTCAAAGCTTGACTGGCAGATAATGCATATGCGGGAGGTATCTTCCTCGCCTGGATCATCACGGAGATGGATAAGATATCGCCGCTTAGATTTGAGTGAGGAGATTTTAGCCTCAATCTTTTCTTCTTGCTTCAATTTGGAAGCAAATAGCTTCTCATCCATTGGCTTGCCAGCATTCTCTTCATCGTAGGGTGCGACCGTGTCTGAAATTTGCTGGAGATGACGATAATATTCCAGTCGGTTATTCATCGTGTCTCGAAACATTTCCACTTCTCTCTCTAGATTTGAAGATATTTTGAGCTGCTCAGCAATCATTCGGCCGGCATTCTTCAAGACCAAAGTGACCATCTCAAGTTCTGCACTGGCACGAGAGCTTCCTCCAGAAGCTTGCCAATCGAGCGAGCCAACCAAGCTGCGTAGTTCACTCACAATACCACGAAGTGATCCCAGGTTAGGATCTGGCATGAGTTCACTGCGAGTGTTCATGATGGAAAGAAACAGTTCCGGGGATGGCCCTTCTCCTTTCTTGGCCTGAGCGATACCAGCCTTGGCCTCGTGGGAGATAAGAATGTTCTTCTGGCCGGTAAGGGCATCGTGACGATCGGCATACATCGTACGGAGAGCCTCCATGTAAACGTACATTTCATCTTGGTGCTTGGTTGATCGCTCGTACTCGTTTCCTTCCAGTTCAGCATCCTCTTCCTGGTCAATGAGTGATTGAGAGACAAGCCCAATCATGACCTCTCGCCACTGATTGTATTGCTCGGCATGCTTGTTCAGAGCATTGCACAAATCCTCGAATTTGTTGAGTATCCTGTAAGATTCCAGTCCCCTGCTGTACAGGTATGGCTTCATTGTCGGAATGTGCACAAACTCCTTCTTTCGAGCCTTTTCCTTGATGGCTCTCATGTACCGCTCGACTTTGCGAGAGATGTCGATCAACATCTCCTTACGAATCAACTTTGCTGCCTCGTACCCTTCCTCTTCCTTCTTCTCAAGGGCTTTGAAATGCTCGGAGTCTGGTTGGGTCAGAGTGGGATCACTTTTGATCTGGTAGTACGCATTCGCGGTGAAAAACACAGCAATATGTTGCACTTCCAGGGCAGCACGAAGCTTCAGACGACACTGGCCAATACGGCTGTTCTTGTCTACTTCTTCTTCGTCGTTTTCGTCGTCGGTGGTATAATCAGGAGTTTGAGGGATAGTTGTTACGCCATTCAGAGCCACGCCCTTGTTTTTCAACCGCTGTAATTGAAGCTGCGCTCTGCTGTCATTTACCAGCTCAGTAGCACGGTCCAGAGCAGCCTGCCAAAGAGTTAATGATTCTTTCTTTCGCTTCGCATTCTCGAGAAGCTGGCCCCGACGAAGCTGAGAAAGAAGTACAGTTCTCTCTTCCGTGCGGATAGATGTGTCGGTGGTCTCAATCATAACTTCAAGAACCTCATCGACCGTACGCAGCGGGCCATTGCTGGCGCCCAACGCCCGACGATTACTACCACTAACTTCAGGATGGAGACAGGTCTGGCGAAGGCGGGTTAACCAGGTGCGCATTTTTTCAACAGTCCCCGGGTCTTCGGGATTCCAGTCATCCTCAAGAGGTGCGCCGAATGCATCGAGACCACACTGTTCGCACATCTCCTCGAACAGTTGTCCATAATGCTGCTCCTCGATTGGAGTAAAAGGAGTAGTGATCACAATACGCTTCTGAGGCGGTAAGCGCAGTTCGTCGCGTATTTTGTCTTTGGTATGTCGAAGCGCAATCGAATTGATGATGCTGACCAACACCGGGCCAAATCTTGAGTAAAGACGCTTCCATAAGGAGCTTGAGTCGCAAAATGGTCTGTACTGGAGAAACAACAGCAACCCGAACAGATCATCGATATTCTTTCGCAATGGTGTACCAGTCACAGCCCAGGCGTTCTGTCGAGGGATCAAGCGAGCCACCTTTGCTGCATTGCTGACACCGCTCTCAATCATCTGAGCTTCATCTAGGCAGACACGCCACCATGATATCCGGACTAGCGGTGTTTTTCGAGTCTCAAACCGCTTTTCATGGCGAAGACTCCGCGATGGCGTGGCACCAGCATAGTGTATCTCCCGAGAAATAACGTTGTAGGTGGTTAAGACAACGTCAAAATCTGCTATCTCTTCAATCATCAAGTCATCTGATTTTTCTTGTCCACGCCTAATGCCCGTGTAGTGATGCACCTTTAGTTTCGGAGCATGTTGCTCAATTTCTTGCTTCCATTGTTCCAGGATTGCCGGTGGTGTAATGATCAAAGTAGCGCCAGATACCCGCAACCCATCAGGATCGGGTTTCAGCGTTTCTTGCGCAGGTCGTCGATTCAAGCACATCAGAGTAATCATCTCAACTGTCTTCCCGAGTCCCATCTCTTCTGCGAGGATGCCTCCTCTCAAAAGATTCGCGGCATCGCCCCATTGAGATATCTTGGTAGTAATTGTCATGAACAGATGACTGAAGTAGCAGACGTTTCCATCGGCGTCCTGTATTTCCTTGAAAGATGCTGGAAGGCCATTTGGCAACGGCCTATCGATAGTGGCAATGGTCCCGTCTTCCTTGATCTGGGTTCCTTCCCTCCACAAAAGCCACCTAACGGCTCGTCTTTGGAAAGGGAAAAGCTCACACTCCAGATCATCACACTTGATATTGGCGGATGCACTTTCAGTATCCTGTGGGACGTGGACACTCTCGTAGAACTCCCGTGGCAACCACTGCCGATGATGTCCAAGTAGCTTCTCACGGCGTCCGTGAGGCGCATATTCGAGGGCGGTTACATGATCCTCTTGCAAAACATACTTCCCAAAAAGTTCCAAAGCTGGATCTGGTAGATGATTGAGACTAGGCGTCTCAAGTGAATCTCTCCAGAGGCCAACTATTTCCACTATCAGGGATTTTGTTTCGGTCAAGAGTTGTACGGTGGCTTGATAGCACGCAGTGGGAAGACGATTGTAGCATCGATCGGCGGCAGTCAGCTGAGTGACATGTCTGAGCTGTTCAAGAAAGCCGACCAGTCGCAAATCATTCACCACACAGGAGATTATATCCTTTTTCTCTGCATCAGTTGTTGTAATGACCAATTTATGAGAAACGTATTCAACATCCGGACGGTCGAGAGTGACTGTCGCATCAGAGCGTGAACTTGTATTTTGAATTTCGACGAGGACAGGTATTCGGCGCGAGAGATAGGAGAGTTTATTCGGGGTTTTATCATTAAATCGATATGCTTCGGGGTAGTCCTGATGAAAATGGTGGCAAATTGTTAGCTTTGCTTTGTTGAGCATAATGCGATTGATTACTTACTAATCGCAAAGACAACCGAGTCAGTGGGATATATCCCAAGGGAATTCCAGTTGACGATACACCCAGCTCATCACTCAAATTGTATGGACCAGACTTGGTGACCTTGCGCCGCTTGCTAGGGCGTCCATCGACATCAAGAGTATCGTTCTGCGCGAACGCGGAGATGAGGGTCTCGGGGATCACGCCTGGTACAGTAAGTCTCTGCTCTAAGCAGCACAATCCAGGGGCTAGAAGTACCTACCTGGGATATCGGTATATTCCGCGACCACGCCCATCCTGATGACAAGCGTGCTAGAGATCTTTTAACGCCACACGACGAGGATTGGCAAAGGGAAGATTCGCAATCGTGAAATCTGGGGAGCATCTTATCGATGCAATCACGTGGAGATACGTGGTAATAGCCAATAAGAATGTGCTAGAGAGCCTCACCGCTTACATGACGCATCTCACCGCCTTGGTCTATCTATAGGTAGAGGACCGATGACGTTCCTTGAAGAAAGGGCAGATGACTCTCTCAGTAGTAGTACTAGATATTGGTCGAGCATTAGACATCGCCTGGTATAATTTGATGGCCATGTTTCAAACTTTCTCATTTCTTTGCCTTCAATCTATACCGAAGTTTTATCTTGCCAGATGCCTGTCGCACTGCGATATATTTTGACCGAACTAGAAGCAATTCGTCATGTGGAAATCCCTTTATGTGACTCATGTAGTATACCTATCTAATACGGCCGATCTGTAGGTCAGTGCGACTGGAAAAAGCGCGATGATGGATTGAACAGAGTCACGCTTTCTATATTACGCATTTAAGGTAAGTTACTGTCTGCGTCAGGGATTTTGTAACATGTATTGTTGGTGAATCGGAGGTTTCCTAGCAATAAATCCATATAATCCCATAAAAACACCAGAAATTCGAAAACCGTGCTCATACTCTTCCGTGCCATATCAATGGAAATGCCAGGAAAATCCTAGAAAAAGACAAATAGTGATACATTCTATTCCATCACCGTGAAATCGAACCTTGCACGGCAAAGAGGGCATCTGAGCCGGGAAGAATCATCCCCAGGCATCATCCACCATATTGTACGGCATCGATCGTTGCCACAGGAATAATAACAAACTTTATCACCCGGTGTTCGAAGAATGAGATCACTTGAAAATTCCCCAATTTCACGCACCACGTCTCGGAAGGCCGGTTTTAACTTCAAAGTGTCCAGACGTGGTTGCACAGTTAACAATGCGAGGTCCCGGAGGACCCGGTTCCTTCTATCTTGTAGATTGGTAGATTTCCGAAATTACATCCGGAAAGTCTTTATCATTCCAGGTTGTTCTCACCAAAGTTTCACACTGTTATTTCGCGAGACACTTTAGGTTCGGGATCATGTATTTGTCACTTGTAATGTAAAGCATGACGTTGAAAAGCGTGGTTGACACTTCGACTGGGGGCGAGGGGGGAGTAGGGATCGAGATAATAGAGGAACCGAAGCATGGCCTCAACAGTGCTAGAGGGATCATCTTCGAGAATGATTATGGTTTCTTTGAGACTCCTGATTTTCCGTCAGTGAGAACTTTTGCGAAGGTGACTTTCTTACCTTCCAAGGACCGCTGAATATGCTGGCAAAGTAGTCGGATTGCGCAGACAGTACAAGTTTGTGCGCGTGGAAGCTCTGGCTACCAGAAATGATCGTGATATCAGAGAAACTTTCGGAGTTGAAGAATCTTTGAATATTAGTAATGTTTGATTATTAAAGACTGAGCACTCACCTCTGAAATCCGGATTGGAGATGATCAGGGCTGTTTATCTCGTCGTAGGAGCGCTTTGTGCCTTGCTGAGAGTCCGCCATCTCGTTGTTAAGTGCAGTCTAAGACGGTGTCTGCTTAAGTCTTTGTTCAAGATGTGAGCCGATCCTGACGAGAAGTGAGCGATGTGTGAGGAGAAAGTGTAGGAGAAAAGAAGTGAGGGAGAGAGGTGTTAGGGAGGAAAATGGGAAAGGAGAGAGGAAGAGGAGAGAGGAAGAGGAGAGAGGAAGAGGAGAGAGGAAGAGGAGAGAGGAAGAGGAGAGAGGAAGAGGAAAGGGGAAGAAGAAAGGGGAAGAAGAAAGGGGAAGAAGAAAGGGGAAGAAGGGAGAGGGAGTAAGGAACATGCAAACATCAAAGCTCCACGGATAACCCTAGCACTAGAAGACAATAGTACTATCTAGGTCGACTAGATTCCACTATCAGTATCGGAGTCTAATTGAAGGCTATATATAAGCATCAGATTCTATATATTGTGAATAGAAATTTGAGGGCAGCTAGGTCCTCCATACTGCTGTTGATGCTTCCAAAAGACGAAGCCCATAAAGGCATTACCTATTTAGCCTGAGGAAACAAGCCATGTGGAAAGTTCCGGTTGAACGATGTGGCTAACCCTGTGCATATAAGCAATCTCCATTCCTATATTCAGGGCTCTTTTCTCTTCCACCGTTAACATATCTGATACTGCGTATCCCTTCCAGCAGATCCTCTCGCCAACCATGCTAGGTTTCTCAGGGCTCAATAAACGGTGTCTACCTTTATACCTCTATATTGACTGCACACTGTCTCAGTCTATTCACCGTGCTTGACACCTTGAACGGTGCTGAACACTCGCTTGTTATATACCCGGAAACACTCTCAACACGGCTTTATTAGCAATGACCAAGTGGATCTCTCCTCTTCTCCACACCTTCTGCTCCTTCAACACTTGCTTCACTCTGTTGGATTCTAGCGCACCTATTGGTGTCACTCTTCATAATCGTCCCGCGTGGTATGATATATCTTTCGTTGGGATTGAGCAACATAACCCATTCTGTCTAACTTAATCTCTTTGCCACATAGAAAACCTACTCTTGAAACGATCATGCTGCCAGAATCGCCAAGATGGAAAATCGAGCACCAAGACTGAACCCACCTCGGTGATCCCTCTCGCTTTCCTTCATCAACCGCACTGGTTGTTGGCCCTGGAGTGTGCGAGGCACTGCTGCCCGGCTTTCTCGACCAGGAGAACTCAAAGATATCGACCTCTGATTATTTGTGAACAAATCGCAATATTTGTCAAGCCATGGAAATTGAGGAGGAAAGGGAAGAACCCTACGCTTATATTCATTGCCCAGAGAAGATCATGCCCCAGGAAATGTTTGGGGGTATATACATTTCCAATGATGCATTGCTGGACTTGAGTCCCCACCAGATTTTCAAGCCTGCCAGGGCTCTGGAGTCGATGAAATTCGGGCAGCCCTTGAAAAGAAACACTGCCCAAAAAAGTGGGAGGATGTTGCACGAGACCGCAATTGAGGAACCTGCCAGTCTAGAAGAACACCCCCAAGCGGGAATTGGCGAAATGTGTGGCCACCAACAGCGAGCGTGACCTTATCCAACAATCCTTCCCTCCTCGGGGCAACACAAGCCTGGACTCTTGAGGCAGTGATCAGGAGTCTGCTTTCAATCCGCCTAAGGGGACACCAGTTTCCTCGATTGACCACGGTACTCAGCCCGTCTTGTCTACCACGTCTCCTCATAGGGGTGGCGATCGAGGCCAAGATGTCAAGGAGGGTGTGACGTTCGATCAACGCCTTCGCTCCCAAGACGCCATTATTAACAAAGACTTCGACACGTCGTCGCCGAACCGTATGACTCAGGGGTCACCCGCCGACACATTGGGCAAGCTCAAGTTCCGGCCTTACCCACGAGAGGTCGTGAAGGTATGCCAGTAATACGCGGAAGAAGCCTCGCAGCAGGGTGAACAATAGGTGCGCCCAAGTGGTGCAACGGCCGGATATCGCCGTCATCCTGAAGCATTGCGACCTCCACTAAGCGGATATACAAGATTGGGGGATACCGTACGAGTGCGTCGACATCCAAGACTACTTCGACGCGACTCACACGAGGCCAGTCAAGATCCGCAAGCACGGCGGTCACCAACCACATCGAAAAATGACATTCGCCATGCTGAGGTTACTTGCTGGCAAAACGTGTCTCGCGGTTCATCAAGTCGTTGGGTGCAACAATTGTTGAAACCGGACAAGCCTTCTCCTTCGCACAATCCTTTTTCTAGTTCTTCCTCTTAGGCAACTCAAGCCTTCATTCCGTATAAACTTCTCTCATAAAACTCTTACTTGTGGCTCATTACTTTCAACAACAATCACCCTGACACCAGAAATGCTCAATCTCTATTCGTTCGCACACCTTTAAAAGCATCATGCCACCTCTCAACATGGCTTCGAATTCTCAATTATTACTGTCATTTATTGCCTAGACAATAATGCTATACGTAGCCAACCAATGAAAGCAGACAGTCCTCAAACCCCTAACTGGGTGGACTACCCGGTCCTCTTCCAAGCATACTCCGCACACTACCCCGACCAAATGCAGTCATATCCTTGTATACCTTCTTCGCACCGCCCTGAGTATCGGAGACGACGTTCCCATTAGCAGCCGTAACAGATCTTGAATAAGACACTCCATTTGCAACACCGGAGAACTCATCAGCCGTGTTACCAGTAGAAGCTGAGCTTGATCCAGTGGCTGACTTATATGTCGCATTGCCGGACTGCGTGGTGTGGAGCTGGGATGGTCCGGAGACGAACGTGTAGGTTGATAGACCTGGACCACCGGTAGATTTAATTTCAAGACCTCGTTCCATCCATGCATCGATTGTAAGGGAATTTGTGGTAATGCCGTAAGTTGCGTTGACGATGAGAGGGTAGCTAAAGGTGGTTTCATTGGAGCTTGATTTGATTCCGAGTTTTGAGATGGTGTTCTTTCCAGAAGTCAGTTGTGTGTTGACTTGACTGTATCCTTGTTGGTTGAGGTAGCCGTAGTTGGAGAAAGATAGTTTTTGTGACCACGAATATTCTGGGGAAGATGCAATGAAGGTCCGCTCTGCAGTTACAGAATATGACAATGTGTCGTTTTCGCCGGTCTCGTTCTGCGCCAGGTGTCGAGTGACGGTGAATTTAGGCGCAGGAGCTTCCACGTGAGGAACGGTTTTGCTGCGAGTGACCAGGGCTTTTGAGCTTGTCTTGTCCCCAGTGTAGAGGAAGATGTTGCCAGTGACAACCCAGTAGGAGCCCACAGTATCAGCAAAGGTGGCAGTTCCACCAGTGATATTCAACCCTGTGACTCGAATCTCGAACGAATGTTCCTGACCATCTTGCACCAGTGGAAGGAAAGGCGAGATATCAATCTCTGGTTGGCGAAGATCAAAGGCATCAATACCAACAATCGGGCGCCAAAAACCAGGTGCTACACCCCCAGTGAAGATAACAGGGAAGGGCCACACGACGCCAGCAAGAATACCATCAATGTAGAGCTGAATCTCTCGGAAGGGGGAGTACCCGTAGAGCTCGCCCACGGTGCTTATGAAATCCTCTGTATCCTCCGAGAAAACATTCGACCACCAAAACTCCTCCTGAGATTGACCACAGGCGGAAATGGCAACTACAGCCCGTGATACCGTGTCGGGAATTGTATAAGAGACGGTTGTGTTATCAGTTGGAACCGTGAACGCACTGGCGGAGTTCGAAGCAGACTTCTTGGCCGAGATAGGATAGATGATATCTGCGCTTCTCGCGTTCCCCGTGTATGAGAAGTGCACCGTCAGCGTGACATTGAAAGGTCCCGTATAAACATCCGTAATGATATTCCCCAGATCAAAGATTAGTTTCTGCGACTCAGTCCACAAGGCATTATACTGCGACATCTCCTTGATGTATGTCCACACGATTCCCGTGGATGTTGGCTCTGCAGTCGAGGTGCGGAAGACCTCTGCATCACCCAGGTACATCAGTGCCAATCGATCATACTGGTGTCCACTGGAGGTGACAGTCATGTTGATCCTGACGGTATCAAATTTGCAACTTGGGGGCTCATAGCTTCCTGAACGTCACCGAGGTTAGCATCATTTCATATATCAGCAAGCTCCCTAAGGTAATACTTACCAACAAATGGCACGCCATAGCTTTCACCAAAGGAATGCTCCATCAATAGCATATCCAGGTCACATCCATTGTGACTCTTCGGCGCAAACGTGACAGGCTGATACACCTCAAACACATCAAGTACGCCCGTGGACGAGTACGCAGCATAAATAAGCTCAACTTGCCCCAAAAAGAGCCACACGTTCAGGAGCTGCATGATAATCATGGTAGCAATAGCAAACCTTAGCGACCAAAGATCTCTCCCGTAAATCCACCTGTATTCCCGGTCACCGGACTCCAATCTATCTTTTGCCTGAGCAAAGCGAGGTGACTTCAAACTCGCAAGGTCATTCAGTAAAGACCACAGATCCGACAAAAGGAAGACCGACTTCCAAAAAAGCCAAAGCACGAACAGCAAGAGAGCCAGGTGCGCGGCGAGTGGAGGCGACTTTATGCTGGCCAGAATCGAATCAGGTAGCCAGCTCGTCAACGACGCTAGCAAAGACTTGAACAACGCCATTATCATCATGCAGCCCGGTGACAAGCTAGTGGAGACTAAACCGTGTACTCCGCACGAGGATGCAACATTCACAGCCGATCATGCAGGCCAGGCCGCCTTGACCCCCGCGCAAGATAAGCTCCAGGGGAAGGTGCCAGGCACTCCAATCGGGAGTTCGGCACCCGTGGGAGGAGTTCTGATGCTTAGCTTGGTTGAAAATTGCATTTCATAGGATGGGATTCGTCATGACGAGGCTTGTTTTGGGAAGTAATGGGGTTGATTGTTTTATTCAGACAGCGTTTGCCGAGCATCGGCTGATACTATAACGTCGATGGACTAGCGTTTTGTTGATGCCGACGGGGTTCCGGGGTGGGACAATTTGTCTTGCAGATAGACAGTGCCTGCCTAAATGGGTTACAGTGAAATATTTCGAATCGTTTTGAACACTCGAAAAGTTCATTCGGATTTTGCTAGTGTTTTGTTGGATTGACTCATATAGTATGTAGCCCCTAGCCAAGGAACGATAGGCTCTACAATAGACAACATCCAATGAAGAGGAACACGGTTCATCGCTATCTAACTAACTCGGTCACAAGCCAGAGCAGAGAGTGAAAGCAAAGTATTGATGCAAAAGAAAGAAAAAAGTCGAGGAGACACCAAGTCTCATGTATAAAACAACCAAGAAAAGAAACGCTCCGTAGCCATGCACACAAGTCTATACAAAAGCAAATCACATAAACAGGCGCCAAGCACCAAGAATCAGAGCAGCAGTACCGGTACAGACACCCCTAGAGTAAAGAAAACAGAAGTTAGCATCAATCTATCCGATGATAAACGAGTTCGGAAATCATACATCAGCCACTGCAGGGTCGAGAACTTGACAGCCTCGACACGCTCCCGTAGACCAGCAACCTCCTGCTCAATGCGCGTTTCCGTTTCCTTAATCCGCATCTCTTGGCCATTGGCCTCCTCGCGGATCCGGCCCTTCTCCAGATTCAGATCTAATCGGACGGAGGCTTGTGTGCGGCCGATCTCGTCGCGCAGCCGCGAGTTAAGCTTTGCGAGATCCGCTGCGATCTTCTCGTGTGATGAGCGGGTCAGTTGTGCTTCGGTGGAATCGGCGTTTAGGAGTTCGGAGCGTAGCTTGGCGAAGTCGACTTTTTGGGTGTATGTTGATCGCTCCGAATCTATGATGGAATGCCTCTGGTTAGACGTCTCCGGACATAAGGCGCAGAGGAAAGCTAGCTCAAATGTCGGAATGCTTACCTTCGCGGAGGACCATCGTCCGCGTCAAGTTTTGAATAGACTCTTGGATGATATCGTTCAACACACGCATCATAGCCACGGCCTGTTCCTCACTGAACCCCTCGGCCTGAAGCCTCTTAACGAAGCGGAGGGTGTCAAAATGGTGATCACGAGGTCGAGAGGGTGTCGCATGGAAAGCGCGCTGAGCGGGCTTGAACGCAGCGACGTAAACGCCATTGTGACGGACCGGACTGGTGAGAGGTTGTTCCCCGGCCGGGCGTGAGGCAGGTGAAGTAGACGGTCGGCGGGAAACAGGAGAAACGAAGTGGGAGTCACGGATAGCGGTAGAAAAGGCTCGGGAGGACTGGTGACGAGCAGTGAGTGAGTGGATTTGGCGATTTAGAGGACTCCATCCCTGGGAGTAGTTATAGGTTGTCGTTCTTTTTGTGAGAGCGGGACAATGTGAGGGAGTGACGGATGGACGAGAAGAGGAGCTGTTCCAGGTCAAGCGAGGGAGTAGGTTGCGCGGCACCTCCGCGACGTGTTTTTGAGACGCCATAGCTCGAGGGTATGGGTTTATTCCATGCACGATGGAGATAGAGAGAGACAATTCTTTTGGTGTAAGGTTGGAAGCGATTTGTGACGCAGGCAAAGTTTGTGACGCAGGCAAAGAATTGGACGGATGACTAAACGCGGATCGGGAAACCTTGGAAGATCGACGCTTTCCCCGATGCGCCCCGCAAATTTCCGGAAAACATACATACACCTCCTAATCAAGGGACAGACAATCATCATAACAGTTCATGGAATTAGGATCGATTTCTATCGATTATCTTTCGACAAATATCTTTCAGAGCGACCGAGGACCCTTCTAACAGGTTCTTCCAAGCTTTTCAATATGCATACGCTATTTCGCAACATCATGCCACTTCCGCGGATAACTCACGGCGCGACTCGCTCAATAATTTAAAGGTCAAAGAGCTCCTTCAACTGCTTCATGGTGTCCTCAGGACCATCAACCGAGTGACCGATCGTGCGGGGGTCGGAGTAGATCTCATAATCGTTGCCACCGGGGAAGCACTTGTCTCCGAAGAAGTGGATGGTCTTGTACTCGATACCGGTGATGTTCTTCTCGGCCTCGACGTGCTGCAGGCAGTAAGTCTTGTCCCAACCGGTGGGGAAGACATCGAAGGAGATCTGGCCACCGACGGAGTAGCTGTGTTGCAGAACAGTCGTTAGGGCTATACTTTCACGGTATACATCATTCTGTTGGCGCAAACTTACGTGAGACCGTAGTCGGGGAACTCCTTCTTCAGGGCCTCGACCATATCCCGACGGATGTTGTGGATCTTGTCATAACTAATTCCAGTGTCAGCCAAAATGTCCTCGCATATCCTGCTATCTCACAGAGCATAGCTGGTTCTTCGGGAATGCGTAAACATACGCCTCGAACTCATTCCGCTCCTCCACACTGGCATTACGTCCAACAGGGCTGACATTGATCATGCCATTGCGGAACTCAATGAAAGTACCACGCTTCCTGGGCAATTTGACGTTGGAAATATAACGAAGGCAGAAATCGGCGAGGTCCTGGTACTTGTCCTCCCCAAGCCACTGGATGAAGCTGTTGCTGTCGAGAGGCTTGCCCAGGCGCCAGGCCACGAGGCCGTTCTCGGAGAAGCAGAAATCGAACAGGGAGGTGACTTCGGTAGTCGCATTGCCCAACTGCTCCTGCTGCTTAACGTAGTTGGAGCCGCCGACCTGAACGGTGTTTTCTAGTTAGATTCGACTGGGGACGCAGGAGAGTGGGAGGAGGCACGAACATATCCGATGGCGCACTTGTGTCGCAACCGAGAGAGCAACTCGTGCATCTCAGGAGTGGCGGACTAAATAAACAAGACGTCGTGTTAGCAATTGCTTTGTTTGAGGGGTGTTCTGTCGCAAACATACCCGCCGGGCCTTGCTCAGGGTCTCGTCCACATCGAAGAGAACAATGGTGTCCTTGAGCGGACGGTTCTCCAGAGTAGGGTAAACAGCTGTAGCGGTAGTCATTTTGGGGAAGCAATTAACAATGTCAAGTCACAGAACAGAAGAGAAAAACCAGCGCGGCCAGGCGGGGATAAATATAGACCTTTGATTGAGGGGTGTCCTTTTTGACCGCAAGCGGTGAGCGTGGGTGGGGTGTTGGCTAGCGTGGGCGACGGTCCAGAACTATTGGAATTGACGGGATGCCACCTAGATCATTCGATCAAATGACCAATGTCTCAATCAAAGTAACAGCGGGTTTCTATAGAGAGAAATAAATGCAGTGCGGCCAACTTTCTCCGCAAGGATGACAGGGGATGACCGAGATGGGATCTGGTCAGAAAGTTGTACTGTAAATAAGCCCTGTTATCGATAAGGACCAAAGTCTGGCCAATCTTGGCATGGACCCTATTTAATCGCAGACATGATACTCGTATAACTATATACGGGAAAGAGCTTGTTCCTTGAATGTATTCGTATATCTACATAGGTAATCCGGCTAAACGGTATCCGAGATCTGGACCGATCTCCACAAGATTCCAATGCAAGATCTCATCCAACCCCACTTCTGCTCATAGAAAGACAAAACTACCAGACCAAACGCCAAAATCCAACCAATATCAAATCCCATGCAATTCCCAAAATCCCCTACCGTCCCATCGTAGTCTGGAACACCTTTGCTGCAAGCTCACTCAAGAGCCTCGCCCGATCCGGCTGTGGAAGGTCCAAGAAAACCTCATAGACACTTTTCCCCTTCGCATCGCGAACAGCACCCAACCGATTCCCAGCCACAGCCCCCGCCAACGCACCAGGGACATTCCCCACGATAAAGCCCAGCGCACCACCACTAACTCCACCAACGATGGCCCAAAACCGGCCTGTAGGTCGAGTACGCCGATTTCCCTCATCACCAGCTTCCTCAGCGAGCCCTTCCTCGCGTAGCATCTCCTCAAAGACGGATCCGAATTGGTCATCATCGCGCTCGGCGCGACTACCAAAGCCAAAGGCGGACCATGGGAAACTGCGGCCGCTTGGGGGAACTTCTTCGTCGACTTCTTCTTCGGCTTGTTCGAAGGCGCGGGTTTGGTCGTATTCGCGGCGGCGGGTTGGGTCGGAGAGGGTGTAGTAGGCGTCGTTGATTTCTTGGAATTTTTGGGTTCGGGCTGGTCTTTCGGGGGAGTCGGCGGGGACTCGATCGGGATGGGATTTTAGCGATTCCCTGGGAGGGCGTGTTAGTCTAGGCGGTGTTTCGAGAGGATCTTGGATGGGTCTGGTGATCTTCGGGTATGAATGCTCATAGACTACTTACCTTTTATATGCGCTGCGAATCTGCGGCTGAGTCGCATCGCTGGATACACCGAGGATCTTGTCTGTAGCGACTATTAGGCTTGCTTGTTGGGCGCTGGATGGGGAACTTGAGTATAGACATACAGTAGTCTGGGCTTTCTGTGTGAATAGATCGTGGTCAGTCCGCTATACTATTGTAAATGTTTAACAAGAGACTTACTCGGCATGGTGAAGTGAGGCACGCAAAGCAGGAAGTGAAAATGAATTCTAGAAAGCCTCCAAGAACAGCCACGAGTATAAGAACCACCGTCGACGCCAGTGACGTCGTTCCGGCCTGATTCATGCCTCAGGCCACTAATTACCAGCCACAGACATGTGATTCCAGTTCTTAGGTGTCAAGGTGTCGAGGCATCCAGGCACCCGAAACCAAACCACTGGGTAACGAGTCCACAGCTGAAGTACTAGCGGTCTCACTCTGAAATGTCCAAGCTTACGTGCGATTCGCTCCCCCAGCCACCGCATTTTCATTTTCTCCAGGGGCACTCAGATTAACCCCTCTCGTAGGCTGATGAGCTTCACGATCTCCATTCTACTCCGTACTCTATACATTCTTGTTCCTGTCACTTGCCACGACACAGCAAACCGTCCCCGGTGGGTTCATAGATTGTACATACAGTACGCCCGCGGCCTAGACCTGACGACGTGCGCATCGCTGCAGCTCTTAGCGGCCTGACCTGCATCTGTCTCTTTTCATCCACTTCTGCCCTTGCCACACAGTGGTTAGAATTCGTCGGACTGTCACGAGGCGCAAGCAATTCTTGAGCGCCGGCATATCCTGCACCTGTAACATCGACATTGACATCTACATCTACATCTTCGGCGGGATCTACTTTAGACAGCTTCGTTCTACACCCGTCGGCATTGATTGCGACTCTCTCTTCTCTGATCGCAATCGAGATCGCTGTGGAACAGCCCCAGTCGAAAACTCCCCTCGCAAGTCCAGATCAAACGAGAATTGAACAAAGACTCGCACTCAATCCTAATTCCCGCCATCTGAAAAAAGGCTCATCATCACCACACATAAAACACTCACCTTCCCAAATCCCCCGATTCAAAAACTCCAATCCAAATCAACTTACCCTCACACTCAACTTAAACCCCAATCATGGGCTGGTTCGACGGAGCCTCCTCCTCCACCAAATCCTCCTCTGGAGGCGCCTTCGTTCGCCGGAGAGGGTCCCCAACCCGCAGCACAAAGGGCCACTCCTCCTCTAGCCACCACAAAGGCTACACCTCAACCCACCACGGCCGACATTCGGCGCCGTCAATTTTCAGCCTCGGCCGAGGCACCACAGGCCGCTCCTCCAGTCCATCCGTCTTCTCAACCTTCTCGTCGTCGTCGCGCCGGGCTCGGCCGCGGGAGGGTTTCGTCCAGCGCATGATTCACTCCATCAAGAAGCTTTTCCGGGATATTGTCCGGTATGCGCGCAAGCACCCTGTTAAGGTGTTTTTCTTGGTCATTCTGCCGCTGTTGACGAGTGGCGTTTTGGTCAAGCTGTTGGCTATGGTTGGATTGAGACTTCCGCATGGAGTGGCCAGTGCGCTTGGTGGTGCTGGTGGTGGCGCGCGTGGGTTTGGGGGGATGGAGGGTGCGATGGGGGGTGTTGGGGGTGGGAAGGGGTTGTCGGAGAGTGTGAGTGGGTTGGTTAGTTTGGCGAAGATGTTTGCTTGAGCTTGCTCAAGCTGAAGTGAGTGTCTGCGGTTGAGCTTGAGATCATCTACCGATGATGTGAAGGCGAGGTCGATTTCGAAGTTGGAGTTGGAGTCGAACTTGCAGTCAAGCTCGAAGTCGGAGTTCCTTGCAACGGGTGGTGCATCGGTGACCCGTAACGACTGTCATGAATACCCTACAATCCTCGATTGCACGCTTGTTTCCTTTCCTTGATGCTTTTTCACTGCTTATGCCCTGTTTTCATGTCCTTTCCCCTTCCCATCTTCTTTCTCTGCTACCATTCTACCTCCTATTGCTGTGCTAGACATTGTACTGGGCGGCTTACTCAATTGAATCACTGTCGTTGCCTTAAAAGCATCCGTTGAGCATCATATACATTCGAGACATTTGCAGCCTTAGAATGAATGAACAAGACCTGTCACTTCAGCAATGGAATACCTGAACAGAAACAAGAGAACTCAAGGTTGAAAATGAAGTGAGGGGTTGTCCAAAGACCCTTTTTAAAGTAAAGTACTGAACTGGCCCCCATATGTCGGTGAAGTTGTGTCGGTACCCAACTGTGGGTATGGGGCCCCGTTGGACTTCCCTACATTACGTCTAGGCGGGTTTGTGGTCGATTCTCACTGGTAGGGACCTTATTTTACAGGATTGAGGACGTGGCTGGAAGAGGTCAGAGTGGTTGTTTACGATGTCATTGCCTCGAGGTAAGGGTTAGGATTTAAGGCTGCTGGGTAGTACAGCAGGGTGCTTGGGTGTTGTAATGGGAACACGATCAAAAATTGAGATGAACATGTAGTACAGTACAGTAGCGGGTATCCTTGTTTGGGATTCGATCTATTCTATTACACGTATTCTGCTTTTGCTTTTGTTAAATCAAATCAAGTTATACAGATAATGACACGGCCTAAATGGAGGCTCATTTTCAGCTCACTCCCCAATGAAGCTCAGTCTATGACCGCTGGTTACGCTTGTTGCGACGACGAGCAGACGACTTGGTGGTAGCGGTAGCCTCAACGACCTCCTCAACAAGCTCCGCACCGGTCACATCCTCTTCCTCCTCCACAGCCTGGGACGAGCCGAGCACGCGACCCACACTCTTGCGGTACACCCAAATGGGCAGCTTGCAGACAACCGTATCCCGGATGGACGGACGCTGGATCTCCTCAATATCCAACAGGAATTCCTGCTTCTCGCCCTCCTCAGACTCCTCCTCCAGGAAGACATTACCGATAGAGTCAACGATCAACACCTTGCCATTCTCCGCAACGACACGCTTACGCTCGCCGGTGGACACAGCCACGGCTGGCTGCTCGACAGGAGTCGAGGTACCCGAAGCCGAAGCCGAGCCCACACCACGACCATTCCGAACACTCTTCTTCTCCTTACGGTTCTCCTTGTCCATCATACGCTTCTGACGACGGTTCATAGCCACTGCGCCAGCCTCGGGGGCCTCAGAGCTAGGAGCAGGAGCAGGAGCAGGGGCAGGAGCAGTAGCCGAGTCCACACCCGGAATCCCACGCACGCCCAACTCATCACCCCAAGCAGCACGGCGCGCCTGGCGAATATACCGATCGACAAACTCGCGCTGACGCTTCCAGCCCAGATACAGTGCACCGTAGTGCGCCGCACCACCGAAGACCAGGAACAAGCCCAGCAGCACGGAGCCCAGACCGGGACGGAATCGATCATAGTAGTAACCAGTTCCCTTCCAGAGGGGGAAACCGTTCTTCAGGAAATGATCATAGCGCTCGCGGCTGGGGCCCTTGAGGACATTGGCGACGAGGTTCAGGCGTGCGGAGCGGGCATTGGCGTCCTTGATGGCGGCGTCGACTTCGCGCTTGGAGGGACCCTTGTTGACGTTTACGCCCTTGGAGGACTTGGCCTTGGTCTTGTCCTTGGAGTAATTGGCGATGAAGGAGCGGCGGACCTTGTCTGGGTGCAGGTTCTTGGACTTTTTGCGGTGGGCCTTGACGATTTGTTCTTGGCTGGCATTGGGGCGGACCTCGAGGAAGTCTGTAAGTAAGAAGGTGTTAGTTTGTTTGTCTGTAGTAGCGCAATGCATGGCAATTGCAATTGTGGTTATCATTGCCATTGCAGTTGGGGCCACGTACCGTAAAAGGTCACATTAGTGCCTTCAGTTGTCGCCAGTTCATCGCGCAGGCGGAAGATCTCGTAGTCTAGGAAATGTCATGAGTATACCGACGAGCAATTGAAGCCATTGGGAAATAGCTGTGATATGGACTGATATGGGGACAGAATAGGGAAGTCAATGTGGACACCTACCTTCTTTGGACCAGGCGGCGACCAGACCGACCAGCGCCAACAGGAGCAGCGAGAGAGCGGCGGTCTTCATAATTACAGGAGAGAGCGGTCAACACCGCAAGGCCGAGAAGTGGTGCGGAACAGAACGGGGGAGCAAAGGGAAAAGAAAAGCAGGATTATGCTTTGCAGGGGCCCATCGGAGGAATTGAGGATCACAGCTAATCGACTGTCAGTAGCCAGATGGTGGATCGTGGAGGAAGCACCACTCAAAAGTACAGAGTCTGGACACTAAAACTGTCTGTTTGGGCCAAAAAGCGGTCGGCCTGGGACACTCCACAACCCACAACCGCCTTTCCGACGTGGCCCAATGGAACAGTCTGTGGTTTACTGGTTTACCAAGAAAAGAGGGAATGAGGGGAAGTGTGATGACTCTCATGTACGTTGACGGAATTTTCCATTTTGCAGATTCGATAGCCCTTATATAACATCGTAATCCCCCATTTTGACTCTACAATCCCCCCCTCCTCTTTCTACGTGAAGATGGAGTTGTCTTGGTGAGGTTGTCCTTTTTCCGCACCCAGCCAGAAAGAGGAACCCACCAACAACAACCAAACAAGAAAATGGGACTGGGCTATGCTTAGCCGTTCGCAGGCACAATAAATCTCACAAGGTTGGAAATCCTTTCTAGGCAGTCAACAATCTCCAATCTCGTACTTTTCGTGGCTGAGGGCAGCTGCAAGAAATCACTAGGCTGACGAGTTTGACTAACGTCGAAAGGGGCAAAGGCTGACCAAAAAAAAAAGTGACTGCCTCCTTGGGACTGTCCACTTCCTGTTGGTACCTTCCCCTAAGTTACCAAGTGTCGTTCTCCGATCTCGTGTCCTCGAATCTTCCTTTCTCCTCTCTCACCTTTACATTTTATCCACCACCGACACTCTCACTCCAACCTTCTTGGGATTTCCACTCTTTCCCTCTACGCCCTTATCTTCATAATTCCTATCACCACTTCCACTCCCACTCTACCGCCATGGCTATCCAAATCCCTATCGACGTGATCACCTCGCGTTTCGGCGACCGTTTCAACAGCATCCGCAGCCAGTCTATGAGCTCCCGATTCGCCAACCTGCGCCCTGTCTCTGAATTCCTTGACCTCAAGCGCCTGTCCAAGCCCGCCAATTTCGGTGAAGTCCAAAGCCGCGTCAACTACAACCTCGGCCACTTCTCCAGCAACTATGCCGTCGTCTTTGTCATGCTCAGCATCTACAGCCTGCTGACCAACTGGTATCTGTTGTTCCTCATCGTGTTTGTCGGCGCCAGTCTCTGGGGAATTGGCAAGCTGAACGGTCGTGACCTGGACCTGGGCTTCCGCCGCTTCAACACCTCGCAGCTGTACACGGCCTTGGTCTGTATCGCGGTGCCCGTGTTCTTCTTGGCATCCCCCATCACTACCATCCTGTGGCTGATTGGCGCCACCGGTGTGACCGTCTTTGGCCACGCCGCGCTGATGGACAAACCAATTGAGAATGCTTTTTCCGAGGAGGCGGTCTAGGTGGTCGGCCGCGAGCTCCTTACGATATGCCCCGATGGGGAAGACCACCGGGGGCACGAATGGGGAGACACAACCGGGGAGGACGTGCGCAGTGGGGCGAGTCGAGGCGAGTGGAGGAGATTGAGAGCGAGGAGGAGGATGAAGATGCGTATGGGCATGAGCTGGTGCGGAAGGCTCGCGCAGGGTATATGCGACAGCTGGAGTATGACAGTCGGGGCCCGCGCAGGCGCTCGGACTATGATGATATGACCGACGAGACAGAATCGGTGATGGATGGAGGGGAATTTGACCTATACGATCATGAGGATGGCACGGTGGCCTATGCGGTACAATTGGCCATGCGGGACAAGGAGGATCAACTGGTGGAGAAGGCTTTAGAGCGCATTCGCCGCGCCCAGATGCTGGGAAAGAAGAATGTGCGACTCTCACGGCGCGAGCTGGACGCGTTGGAGCGCAAGCGCCAAAAGACCGACAATGAGATCTCCAGTACGTCGCGTCGCAACAAGCAGACTGGCAATGCGACCAACTCTCGTCCGGTATCTCGACGAAATGCGTCAGCAGTGCCCGAGCAACAAACGGGGCCTTACCCACACTTTGCCCCGGATCCTAGCTGGGGTACTGCTGCGCATGGCCGACCTTCGAGCTCGTCGTCTGCGCGTCCACGAACCCCGACGATGCAATCGTTACGGCCTCAGCAGTCCAACTCTCCGCTCCGTCCAACGTATCCACAATTTTCTAATCCTCCCCCCAATGCTCGTCCACAATCGATGCAACAGCCAATGTATTCCCGGCCCTTGCCGGACGACCCTCAATGGGCGCCGCCATATTATAACGCCATGCCGATGAGCCCTTATGGGACTGAACCACCTTACCAGCCGCAGTTGCCCACTGATCTTCGAGCCGGGCCTCAAAGTCGAATGAGCTATCCCGCGGGGATGTCACCGATCCAAGCCCAACACCGACAGTCTCCTCCGGAGGGTCGCCATTCGATGGGTGCCTCGCAGCCGCGAGGTGGTCGACGTGCCCAACCTGAGTCAGAGTCGGAGATGTCCAGCTCAGAGGGAGAGGAGACTGAAAGCAGTGAGGAGGAGGACGATGAGGATGAGTTGCAAATTGTCAAAGTGGTGCAACGTCCGGCTTCATCGGGAGTACAAAGGCGCACTGTCTCTGGCGGTAGTCGAGGCAGTCGAGGGAGTGGCGGTGGTCGCGCGCGAAAAAGTCGATGATGATAAATGGCTGTGTCTCTTTCCCCAGGAAAAAAAAGCCCTCTTTAATGCGTTTCGGTTTTATATGGGCATTCGTTATTAGTGTTATCCCCCCTCCCCTCGGTATTTCTCTGTGCTTTCTTTCTTTTTCTATGGGTTTCAGCAGCATATGTGTTGCTCTTCGGCGTTTGGTAGATCGGGGGCCCCCTTCGTGCATAGATCCCCAGTGCATACAATATCATGCATCCACATTATCCAGACTGACCACCTTAAGACTCTCGTCCACGTAAACTATTTAGAGGCTTCGATCTCAGCCACATTCAGATAGTAGATCAGTGTGGCAGGGCAATCAGTCAACAACATTTCACGGGTAATCAAAGCACCGGCCAGACCGGACCATCACGAAGGACTAACAGTGACAAATAACTTAATTTTCACTCTTAACGTAGTTCCCGGCTTACCTGATAACCCGGTTAACCCGATAACCCACCCCCATTAGAAATTTTCAAAATCGATAATCGCAACCAACACCAATTAATCTAACTAGATAACACGATTTTTACATGAAGTAATCCTGTGGCCAGTTTTTCCACATCCACTGCAGGTAGGCGGAGCCCTCCTGGCCGGTTGAATCGGCTGATTAGGCAGATCGACCTCCTCATGCGATACTACCTCATCAGCTTCTACTGGCTGAATTAGCTGCTGAGCTAGCTGTAGGCCCTCTTCGATTGATAGGCCCCCTTCGTGTGTAATCCGTCTAGTCGATCGAGTGCGCTTTTGACGTTTTTTTTCATTCGTTGCGCGTAGATCGGCGTTCTCCTTCACTAATAAAGCAGTGTTGTGTAATGCTTTATAGTGGCCCTTAAGAATCTGATCAACCACTAATTTCAACGGGCTTGGAGGGCTTTTTGACCGCCGATCTATTAGATCTTTCATCATTTTAGCCTGCTTTTGTAGCTGGGCTACTGTTCTAGGCGTTTCTAGTGTGAATTCGCTAGATCTGCTGCTTGGTCGGCTTAATGGGGGTGAAGGCGTTCGAAGAGATATAGTAAGCTTAGAAAGCACCCTTTCGGCATTAACTGGTACAATACCAGCAGCTGCGAAGCTATTCTGAATAATGTTCGGCTGAAAAGCTTCTAGCCGTGCGCGTGGGTAGTCAGCTAAAAAATCAAGCTTGTCGATATGATTATAGCCAGTTCGGGTTAAATCGCTCACGAAGCGACTGTACGCACGCTTTAGCACTGCGAAGCACCCAACATCAAGCGGTTGTAGTAGATGTGAAGAATGCGACGGCATACAGAGTGGTATAATATCATTTTCGACACAGATTCGATCGAATTGAGGCGTAAGATGACTACCGTGCCCGTCAAGGATTAACAGCCGAAATCGCCCTCGTACACGCGAATTAGTGTACGGAATAAAGATCTTTTGGAGCCAGCGAAGGCCGATTTCATCGGTAGTCCAGCCATTATCTGATACTTCGATTCGCCAATCCCTAGGGAGATTTGATTCAAACCAACCAGCGATATAAACCGAGCCTTTGAATATAATACAGGGCGGCAGCGAATAGCCGTCAGCGCATATAGTTTCGATCGCAGTGACCCATTCGCGATTTCCTGGCTGTAGAATTGATCGCCGACCGTAGTATTCTGCTCGTGTAACCACCTTTTGCGATGATATAAGGCCCATTGCGAATCCAGTCTCATCAAAGTTGTAGATATCCTCTGATTGGATACCGTTCTCCTCAATCGCGCGTTGTACCATCGAAAACCACTCGTTTATAGCCTTTGGATCCTCGTTAAGAGCGCGATGATAGTCATATCGCTTAGAAAAGCATGATCGAAGCTCATCGCGCCGTTGAACGAAAGAAGATGGCCAATTTTTGCCAACAGTAGCCGGTGGGCTCTCACCACGCGCAGCTAGTAGAATATTGGCCATATCGCGTACGGTAGAGGGCCTAGGGGCTGCACCACGCGTATCCATAGATATAATCCACTCAGCTAGCGAATCCTCTTCCAATTGGGTCAATTTATGACGATGCCATCGTGTATCGACGCGTGGGGCTACTCCGGAAGAGCGCGCATGCAGGGTAGCGTAGGGTATATCATATAGCTTCGTCGCTGCGTGTAAAGATTTGATTCGACCCTCTTTAATATCTTGGAGGGCTAATTGAATCTTGCCCTCCTGATTGGCCGATTTTAGCCAGGATTCAGAGCGGATTGGTGGCATGGTAGGTGGTTGAAGTTGGTGTGTTGGTAGGAAGACGCGAATTTGGAGGGGGTTATCGGGTTAACCGGGTTATCAGGTAAGCCGGGAACTACGTTACTAAGTTAGTTAACAGTTAAGTTAACTGTTCCTCCTTTGCACAGCCTGCTTACTGTTAACGTCAGAATCAAGCCAAATGTGGGTCCCCTTATTACGAATTGCCAAACTTCAAGGAGAAAAATGCCGTTGGATCCGCCGCCCGTGAAGTTGTGCACTTTTCTCGGCTCGGATTCCTGGCGGACCCGATGACGTCGCCTGAAGATCCCTGTCTGCCTGTCCTGCTTCTTCTTATTACAAACCGAAATTTCCCTTGCTTCTCTGGACGTCTAAACTGCCAAGGGCGTCGATCTGCGTCTTTAAAATATCCGTCCTCCTTCCCTCTCACTTTCGGTGTTATTCACGTTCACAAACAGCCTTGATCTCGGCTTGCCGTATATCCGATTCCAACTGTACATTGTACACTGTACACTGGGGAGTTCCCTGGTTATCCGAGCGCCACAACAATATATTTTGCCCCCGTGCCTTAATCTTATTTCCCAGGGTCTGGTTTTCTGTTGATCATATTTAAGTGTGGAATGTACTGAGAGGGGTTGTGTGTCTATTTTCTATTGACAGGTGTCAGGGCATAATAATTGGATTGGTGAGTTGTGTTGTGATTGTCTCCTTGTTGAGTGTTTGGTGTCACTGCCTGTTTGTTGAACGTTGCGCATTGACGTTGCAAGAACGGGTTGTTTAAAGGTTGATTTTGAGGAATGCGCTTTGACTAACGTGGTCTACAGTATTTTGCGCAGAGATAAATTGTTGATATCTTGTTAAAGCGAGGACACTGCAACGCGACGTGGAGAATTGTCGACTTCTCGATCTACCGCGCATCGAGAAACATAACTATCACTATTACCTATTAATTCAAACCGAGACACGAAGACATCGCCAATATGTGGATCATCTCATTCTGGGTCTTCCCCCTCATATCAGCCTGCATGTGGATTGGTAAGTGACCCTCTGCCAATTAACTACTTTCACGCGTTGCGATCACACTCTAATCAGACGCATCGATCAGCCTTGCTCATCACCATGCTTTGCGTTTGGGCCGGTGACGGAAAACCTGTGTACCCCAGTATGGAAAAGGGTCAGACCATTGCGTACGTTCCCTAACCATCTCCAGCAAAAACCCTCGTGGTTTCGGGACATCCGCTGACTTCTACCTCGATTAGGTATATCTCCGACGTGGGCGCGTACGGACTAAAGCCGTTTTTCATCACAGCCAGCGTGATTACAGTGGTGTTCCTAGATCTAGCGTTCCTATCAGAGCGCTGGTTGCGCCATTCCGGCCAATTAGTCCCTAACAAGGGTCTCTGGGATAAACTATGCGCCATTGCCTCGATCATCTTCGCAATCGCCGGTGCAGCAGGTCTAATCCTACTATCCATCTTCGACACATATCGTCACCCACATATGCACGACGGGTTCCTGGTACTATTCATGTAAGTTCAGAACAAACTCGGACCTCAGTTCCATCTGCATTGCACGAACACTCGCTAACCAAGGATGCCCACCATCTCCAGTGGCGGATACATCATCAGCGCCATCCTAATCTGCGCCGAATACCTCCGTCTCGGCCTCTCCTACCGCCGCCAACACCGCGTGCTACTAGCCAGCTTCATCATCAAAGTCACGTTCGCAATCATTGAAATCGCCCTAGCAATCGCATTCGGTATCTGCACCAAGAGCAAGGATAAATCGAAGAAGAACACCGGCGCTATCCTCGAGTGGGTTATTGCTTTCGTGTTTACGGGTTACGTGCTCTCGTTCGTGGTGGACTTGTTACCCGCTGTTCGCACGCGCACACATGTTCCCCAGGGTGAGAAGCATGCGAGTATGATGACTACTCCGCGGGATAGTGGGGATTTGCCACCGCATGCCCATGCTTCGCTGGAGGAACCGTTGACGACAGATTCGATGGGGCCGAATGCGGGTTATTATCGCGGTCAGCGCGTTTGATAAATAGAATCCTTCTTGCTTAATTGCTTGATGTGGGGAGGGTGACTGGCATATAACGATATACTGTAAAGGGTTTGTGGAGTTTTGATTTTGATTTTACTTTTTTTGCTGTTGCGATTGGCGTTGCTATGACACGTCATGATGATGCTTGACACGTTGGTGCATTTTGTTGGAGGTTTGTTTACTTTTTGATGATTTGATTTGATACCTTTAATGTCTCTGCTTTGTTTGATGCGAGGCACTTTTATCATTATCTCCGTGCGGGGTTTGCGTTTGCTTCATGTATATGTATGTATGTATATTTTATCTTGCGTGTCTCATGTCTGTCACAAAATTGGGAAATGTTCCTTATATGGATGTAATCAAATTGAGTCTTCATTATCAAGTATGCCTGAATGAAGTTCATATTTTCTATGCCATGTATTCCACATATAGCATGTATCTTTCATGCTGCCGTCATTATCGTATCCACATATGCTATATCATATACAAACAAGAACAGCCCATGCCATGTCATGCCAATAACAATTGTGATGGCTCACCCGGAACCCAGAGTATCAATCGGCAATGATCAAATCCCAGCTTGAATCAAAGCCTGGAAGAGAAAAACAAAAACAAAAGAAAAAAGGAAGTCCAGTCCCAGCAAATGCCCGAAACGTCCAAAAACAGATGGATGCTGGATGCGCGTATGTATACCCTCCAAGAAAGGGAAACATCGGTCAAAAAACAAAGAAAGAAACCATGGAACGAACCACCCATGAAAACCCCGAATCCCAAAAAACAGCAAAAACAAAAGAAAACCCCCAATACACTGGGCCCAGGATCAAAATCACCCCTGAACCAAAAGTTTCTGTCGTATCAAATCCTGCATCCCGGCATCAATCCCAATCCTCTCCAAATACCCCCTAACCCCACCATACCTCCGTTCCAAAAACCCAATCATATCCGGGACATAATCAGGCGGACACCTCGTATACTCCTCCCCCAGACCAAGCACCCTAATCTCACGCATGCGCTCCTCAAATTCAGGCACGAGTTCTAGTTCCGACCGCGCGTAGTCGTCTGCGACCGCGTCCATGCGGACGCCTGCTAGAAGTAGCGCGAGGAGGATTATAATCCCCGTGCGGTCTTTGCCTTGGGTGCAGTGGATGAGGATTGGATAGGATGTGTCTGTGGCGAGGGTGGTAAAGATTGAGCGGAATTCGGGGATGCTGGTTTCTAGGGTGTCTTGGGCGAGACCGGTTAGGCCGCGGGGTTGCATGATTGTTTCGCCGATTAGGCGGATTGCGTCTGGGCGGTAGCCTGTTAGGGCGAGGGTGATGACGCGGCTGGGGATTATTTGTTAGTTGGTGATTATTGAGGTTGATTAACAAAACAAAGGAAGAAGATGGACGGTTCGGATCGAGGATAGGGACGGGGCTGCCAATCGGGAGCGGAGGGAGGGGGATGTGTGATATGCGATGTGCGATGTGCATCGCCCATCCGCATGCAAGGGTCCGGCCCCCGGTTGGAGGTACTTACAGATAACTAAACCAATCGAGTTTACTGAGCAGGGCCCGTTCAAAGGCCTTGCCCGTAAGACTGATGAAGAGGCGCTGAGAGTCGGGAATCTTGCAGATGTGCTCGTCCGGGTCCGCAGGCACAGGGGCAGAAGTCAAGTCGATGTCGTCGACATCCGCCGGTGAGCCTGCACTGGCGATTTCTGCGCGCCGCTTTCGAGTCGCCATTTGGTGTTCTGTTCTGTGGGCGTGTGTTAGCGAAAATCTTTATTGTAGATAGGGTAGAGCTGGGGTATTTCCAACATACTGTGATCGTAGATCGATTACTGTTGCAATGTGGAGTTCCTCGGCTAGACGCCGCTTGTCGCGCTCGGAGGCATCGTCGGGCTGGTTATACAGCGCGTCAGCATGGAATTGTCATCTTTGACAGACGATACCTCATCGCGCTCTGTAGGAGCTTGGTAGAGCTTCATAGGAATGGGGGGTAATTACCCTGGCACTGCGGTAGAGAATACCCTCTTTAAGAACCCTGTGTCACAATCAACAGTCAGCATATTGCAATCCCAGCGGACTCTCGCTTCGAAAACCGGGAAATGGAAGGGCAACCACGCACTCCGCGCCGCAGAAATGGTTAATCGTCCGGCCGACATCGCGGAAGTTGATAATATTATCAAAGGGCCGATCGGGCGAGTCTAGATCGATACTGGATTGGCGAGCCATGGCTAGCGTGGGGAGGAGGAGAGGGGAGAGTATTTAAAGAACTAGGCACGGAGGTCGAGCAGGGTCGTAGCGAGCATAGAGATTGAAGTCGAAGCTGGAGGTGACGTTGGAGTTGGAGTTGTGTTTGGGGATGGAAACAAAAAAAGCAAAAGCAAAGCAAAGAAGTCAAAGGATAAAAAGCAAAAAAGAAAGCAACCAAGTCGGTTGCCCGTCAAATGTAATTCCAAGTCGCGTCGCGGAACAAGTGGAGAACGGGGCCGGGGCTTCGTTAAATTGGTCCGCCAGTGGGTGTTAAATGGGTGGAAGTGGACAGAAAAGTGGGTACAGAGTATTGAGAATTTGATAGTAGAAGGCTAGAAGCAGCTTTCAACGGTGACTGGAGTAGCGGGATAGGATAAGAGCCGTTAAGAGGGGAAGTAAGTTAATGGGCTTGATGAGTTAACGAGTTTAATGGGGCCAACTATTGAGAAGCCAAATGAACCCAAGGACCCATCGGGTGGAGATGCAGGAAGCAATAAGTACAGAAGGGATTCTAGTGAAGAAGCTAAGAAACTGCGTCAGAGGAAAGTACAAAGTAGCGGTGGACGTTGGGCAGGAAACTAGAAACTAGAAATGGTCGAGGCCAAAAACTAGGAAAAGTAGGAAATTCCAGACCAAAAACTAGGAAACTGCACTAGACGGTAGTACTTGGTATTAAGTACTAAATACTACTGTACAGTAAGTACTACTACGGCTAGTTGGTTACTTTTACTGTCATCGGCCCTGATTCTGGACTTCCCCGGAGCTCCACAAGCTTAGGCCAGTTGTGTCATCAGTCATCAGTCATGATTTCGGTTTTGTTCATCATCCTATCTTGAAAGTCTTGGATTATTGACTAGACTCTTTACAATACGGAGTAACTGGCAATAGACAGAACTCTACACAGTAGTAACATGTACTCCGTATAGACTCATAGAGAGAACTCACCCCCACCGCCCTTCCAGCCCTAACATCCCCACCTAAAGAATACTAATGCACTAAACATACTCCCTCCGATTATTCTTCCACCGCGGCTGCAGGTACGCCCAATCCTGATTAAAATCAAATCCAGTCCGATACGCCCCATAAGCAACCAACTCCACCGTCTCCAACGCCGCCCCCTCATCCGTCAACGCCCACAAACTAATCGCCAACGTATTCTCCCCCCGATTATTGATAATACCCGGCGGGAACGGGAACAGCGTCTGCGGTCCAATATGCGGCAAATAATGGCCAAACTGGTACCCATTCATAAACACCTGCACCACCGCCGTCGTATTAGCCACCGCCCCGAGTTGCAGCCCGATCGGCACGTCCAGATCCGCGTCTAGATTCAGCTTGAAGGTTGTTGTGTAGAAGCGTCCGGCTGCGGTGGAGACGCCCTCGAGTGGGGTCGACCTGCCCGCGCTCTTGGGCGCTATGTACCCGGGTAAATGCCAGCCTAGGCGTTCGCCGTAGAGACCGCCTTCGTTCATGGGGCCGCGGACGGGGTCGATATTTGCTTCGCCGCCGGCGTTGCCTTGGATGCGCCAGGATGTGAAGTTTCCGCCGCCGAGGAGGGTGGCTCCGAGGATACCGCGCGGGTTTTGGGTGCCGACGGGCTTGACGTTGTTTTCGTCGTGGCCGGTGTAGTCCATTACGACGGTGAGGACGTTATCGGTGGCGAGGAGGGAGGTGCTGTTGAAGGTTAATACGGCGGATGTAGATGCAAGACTGGGAGAGCCCAGTGCGCCGCCCACATAGGCGCCGTTCAACCAGGCTGCCCAGCCCGCGGCGACACCGTTTTGCACTGTGATGTTGGCGCCGGTGGCATTGCCGTCGAAGCGGCCGCGGTAGACCTTTGTGCCGGCGTGGTATCCATAGTCGCCTGAGTACAGGACGGGCAGGGAGAGTGGTGCGACGGAGTTAACCGACGTGCTCTTGTTGCAGACTGTCCAGCGCGAGTCGTCATAGTCTTGCTTGATCTCGGGCAGAGTGTCTTGGGACTTCCAGGATGTCAGAGATGGCAGGGAGATCTTGGAGTTTTCGGCGCCGGGGGCTGAGCCGATGAGACTGCCGTATGCGGTTTTCTTGGTGGAAATGGGTTTTCCATTCCACTTGATCTTGGTGACCTTGGAGTCGCCGGGGTATACTCTGCGTCAGAACGTCAGTAAAAGTCTTTAGACGGCATATCTGCTTGTCTGAATCAACTTACTCGAGTGCGGTGGTGTTTGCATTATCACCAATCAGGCTCACAGTGTCATGGCTGATACTCGCCTCGCGAACCAAATACGGACCCAGAGCGAGGATCTGCTTACTGGGAGACACGATCGGGTTCGATGACGTGGGCACGGCAAAGAAGTTCCATGCCGTCTCCTTATCCAGAAGATAAAGCAGATTGCCGTTGGAGAACTTGACAACGGTCGTGCCCTCTCCTTGGGTATAGGAGTACTGCGTTACATTTCCTGAAGTGGTCGAAGTCAGGTTGGAGTTACCGTATGTCTTGAACGTCAAGTGGGACGGAGCATTCTTGAAAGCGAAGACACCCTGTTGTCCAATGTTCAAGTAGAACACGATCACGTCCACGTCGAGCGTGGCATAAGTCAAAACCTCGGCGGATGAGTAGAGCAAGCTGGAGGCTTTGCCGACTTCATAATCCGTGACGATAATCTTGCTTTGGCGACCGTCAAGTTCAATGTCCGGGATAGTCAAAGCACCTAAAAGAGCAGGCCAAGTTAGCCAAGACCTCACCAAAGTAGCGAAACTCCGAGGTAAATACATACCAGCCGTAGTATTAACATTCAACGAGAACGTCGTCACAGCACGGGATGAACTCGTACTATGCGCAAGCACATAGAAACCCGCCTTCGTCTCCGGATTTCTCAACGCCCAAGTATAAATACTAGCATCACTAGTATACCCGGTCCCATTCCCCTCCATGTCCGTCTGCAACAACCCCTTCGAAACCCTCGTAAACAACCCAATCAACTTAGTCTGCTTAAGCTTATCCTGAATCTCTCTCGTCTCCCGTAGGGGCGCCGCATAGTCATAAGAAGTATAAACGACCGGCGCCGCACTATGTCCCCAATTCGTCCCGCCAAAGACCATATACAAACTCTGCAATGTAATCCTCGACCCAATATTATTCTTGTAGTACACATCGGCGAATTCAGGCGAATGCTCCGCGGCACAGACGTCGTAGAAATACCCACCCCAAGGCTGGAACCAACCGCCCTCGAACTCGGGGAGGTATTCTGGTTGTGTGTAGGAGTAGTTCTGGAACCATTGGTAATAAGTGCGGACTAGGTTGAAGCCGGAGTTGACGTTTGTGCATGAAAGTCCGCCGGGATACGAATCGAGGCCGTAGACGTTCACTGCACCGCCAACGTCTTGGTAATCGGTTGACCAGCTCTGCGACCGCATACCCTTTTCGTTATGTGTGCTGGGTACAACGACGCCTGCTTCGGCGAACGCGGCTGCGATCTGCTCCATGTACAGGACGAGAGTGTTAGTCGCACTGTGGGTGGTCTCCTGGAGTTCATTCTCGTGTTGGTTTAGGATCACCGGTCCGCCGTTGGTGATCTGGTTATCTGCGATGATCTTGCCGATCTTCAGAGCCCAGGGGAGCCATTTATCATAGTATGATGAGGCGCTGGTGCGTTCACTGCCCATTTGACCGTTCGCTGCCCACAGGGCGAATCCACCTGCTGAGGTCTCGGCGTTGACGTACGGACCTGCGCGGGCAATAACATACAAACCGGCTTGTTTGGCGTAGTCGAAGACGCGTTGGATATCGTGGGCGCCATTTTCAAAGTCGAAGGTATCTTCCGAGGCGGAATGGAAGCTCCAGAAGAAGTAGACTTGATAGAGTGTTAGCTGGAATTGCGCCTCAATTGAATAAAAAAAGTATTTAGTATAACGAGTCCACTCACGAGAAACCGCATTGAAACCATTCGCGCGCAGCTTCTGAAAAACATCCAGCCACAACTCCGGAACAGGAAGACGCATATAGTGAAATTCACCCGCAAAGACAAACAATCTCTCCCCTTTCACCGAGAGACTATATTTATCCCACGTAACATCAGTAGTCTTGCCATTATCTGTCGCAAAGACCAGGTTCGACAGCGCTCCAAACAAGAGGGGCAGAAATGCGAGAAACCGCATTTTTCAACAACTCGGCTCTAAGCAAGCATCACTAGATTGATTCCGTAAGGTTGCTTGTTGTTAGCTACAAATCACCGGTATAAATCTGTTTTGTGTACCTCGGTGCTCGCGATAGTGATACACCGGTCGAGCGTTGGGATTGGTGGATGTTTTCATGACGATTATTGACGCTTTGGGCAATTCTCCTGGAGAATGCGGGGTGTGCAATTTCGCTGCAGGGGACAGGGGTCCATAGCGGGGTGGCCTGGGGTTGCAATAACCATATAATCGGGGTTTTGCTCGGTTGAAAGGATATATCGGATCCTTTAATGGCTATGTCGGGACTTCGGGATGATGTGCTTTTGATGGAAAGCTCGAGCGCATCTGTTCTTAGTGAAAAGCCGTGAAGTCTCTCGGTAGTTTCGTTGCATACCCCGAGCAATTGCCCTGCTACCTATTCCAGAAACGTCAAAGCTTCAAAGCAGGTCAATTTATTAGGAGAATATAGAAGAACAAAATCAAGATAAAGATTCGTGTATGTACTGGATAAAGAACGCCACCAAAAAAGCCCTGGGTAATAATTTCCGATCCCAGAGCGCCACGATAAAACCAGCCCATATCATCAAAACAGTTGCCAGAATTTGAAAGTCATTAGATCAAAGAAAAAAGATCAATCATAATATTAGTGCCATCACAGATCCTCAGAGAATCTCGATTCCCGGCGCATACTAGGGGTATCACCAATAACAGGCGGGGCGGGGAGACCTTGTTCAGTAGCGCTATCGCGCAGGGCCTGCAGGTCCGAACTACCAACGGCCTCGGAGCTTTGACGCTTGTGATCAGTGCCATTGGTCTTGAGATCCTGGGAGTTGCGTGTAACGGTCTTCATGAAACTTCGACGAAGACGATGTCTCTTGCTCTCCCAATTGGAATTGCCATTCTGCGTAGCCTGGTGGTTATTGGTAGTTTCCTCGGTGAAAGACCTGGTGGCTCCACCGTTCTCACCGTGCTCGGACTCAAGGTCTTCGGTACTAACGGGGTGCGAGCTTAGCGCTGCCCCGCGAGGCTCGATTCTCCCGGTTAGAGCAGCGCCCCCGGTGAACGCAGACTCGCTGTCGGTGTTGTAGTCTGGACCGGGCTGGTGGGGGTAGAGGGGTTGGGGTTCGCTTGTACGACGAACTAGTCTATCGCGGAACCAGGTCTTGAGCTTCGAGTCTGCGCGGGGGCTAGCGATCGGCTGAATGTTATGCATTGCGGACCCTCCACCGGTGGCAGCAGCATCTCGTGGTCCGGTTTGTGACCTCAGCATACCAGGACGGTTTTCATCCTGAGCAGGCTCATACGTGAGACTGACTGGGGGAGAGATGGGAGCCAAGAAACTTGTTGTAATATCTGGCACGGTATCGTTCTGGCGAGGAGCCTCTCTCGGCTCAGGTGCAGTTTCTTTCGCAGCTGTGGTTTCGGCTTCGGGCTCTGGAGCAGCGACAGCGGCAGGTTCTTGAGCTTTGGGGGCAGCAGCAGGAACTTCTTCGGCCTCGGGTGCGACAACAGCTCCTTGAGCAACAGGGGCTTCCTCGGTGGGCTGTTCAGTAGCTGGCTCTTGAGTGACTGCTTCTTCGTTTGCCTCAGCCTTTTCCTCCTGCTGTTGCTTGCTCTTCCGCTTCCACATAAACAGCTTCAGCCCTTTGCTTCCACGCTTTTCTGATACTGGATCATTGGTTAGTTTTAGAAAGCCCTAGAAAAGAATGATGAAAACTCACCACCATCCCGCTTCTCGGCTCGACTCAAACTAGCTTCACGCTCTCTCTCAATCGCAGCACGTCTCTGTTGCTCCTCTGCATCGAGACGCGCCTCCATCTCTTCAGCTCGCCGACGCTCGGCTTGATCTGTGATCTCATCCAGCGCGGGTTGAACACGTGTACGGGCAACGGCCTCGACATCCGCCATATCCATGTACCGTGATGCGCCAATGTTGACCCGATCAGTAGGAGTTTCCTTCGTTTCCGCGGCCTCGGCTTCCTGACGAACCCGCTCTCGGGCTGCCTCGTCCCATTGTTTTTGGATCGAGGGTGGTGCTCGACCAGTCTCGGCGTATACTTTCATTTCCATTTCGTGGATTTGAGCGTTGACATTACGACGGGCTGCTTCCATCAGCAAGTCCCGATCCTTTTGTCGCTGTTCATCCACCTTGTTCAGTTTGTTTCGCAAGCTGAACATCTGATTACGAATCTGCCTCGACTGCTCTGCATCGACTTGAGTTGAATCCGCATCACTGGACGTCCTCTTTCGTCGAGCAGACAAAAGCGACCGTTGAGGCTGAGGGGCGGTGCCATAGTATTGCTGCATGTCAGCGTGCTCATCACGCATGCGGGCCAACTTTTCTGCGGCCCGCTTTTGCGCCGTTTCTTGCAGAGTCAAGGCTCGCTGGCCTGCTGATGGGGTTGCTCCGCTGACGGTTTTCCGGGCTTGTAGCTGACTTTGGCCCTTTTGAGCTGCAGAAATAGCCGGATCCATATTTTGGGCCTCACCGGTCGGACCAGTGATATCATACATGTCCCTCGCCATTACGAGAGCTGCAGCATGGAGCGAGTTCCGACGGTTGCGCTCCTGGACTTCACTCGCGATGGGCGGGGAGGAGGTGTATAGACGAGCATTCGTTTTGGCCGCATGGGTAATTCGGCTCGCTTCCATCGCGTTGTCTAGATGTGCTAGAGGACCCTCGTTTTCTACATGAGCACGGTGCGATAGGCCAGCAGCAGAGAGCGCCCAGTTCGAGTCGGTTGTGTTAACCGGCTCACTGGGTGCAGAGTCCGCCCTCTGGCGAGCCGCATATGCACCGGTCGCAGCACGGCGCGAATTATCCTGGATATGGCCCGATCGGGAAATATCATGCTGAGGACTGGTCTGTTGGTTCGACGCCTGGTTTGACAAGGCTCTCTGCTCTCGTACTGCAAGGATAGCTGCTCCCAAACCCTCTGCACTATATTGAGTACTTGGTAGAGGAATCTCGGGAGGGCTGAAATCCTTCACGTGGAACGCGGCCTTCTCGGCGTCGGTCAGTCGGCCCGGGCGCCATACTTCGATGGGTTTCTGATTTGCATGGGCCAGGGCGGAGGCGGCGGAGGCATGGCTGAGGTCGGTCGTGGCGCGTGTAGCTCGTGAATCTATTGTGTCGAGCATAGCTTATCAGTATGGAGGGGCATTGTCTTCTCATCGTAATCTACGATCGCGTGAGGAAAGGAAGGGATCACTCACTGAAGTATCGAGAATCCGATGCGGGGGTATCACGAACAGACGCCTTGCGTCGAGGCTGCGTTGCATAGAGTGCAGCAGTCGCGGCTGTTTCAGGGGAGACGCATCAGAAATTAGCGATCAGTGCACCGAGCGAGTGGATTTTGGTATGACGATCCGTAAGGAGTAAAGAGCTTACCATCGTCGGCTAGCCGGGTAGACCGGGGCCCCGCGGGCATTTGCTGTGCAGTTGCCATGATGAAGGAAGCTGCAAAGAATCGGGAGAAAAAGGCCGAATCTACATTCCTCGGCGAAGGCGAGAAGAAAATGGTAGCTGGCAGTGCAAGAAGATCAAGTTAAAGGAGGAAATGGGAAAAAAAGATGGGAATGGGATGGAAGCCCGGAAGCTTCTCTACACCGCGTGACGTCGTTGGCTGCAACGGAGGATCCGCGAAAAAAAAAAGTGCAGACTTTCCTCCCCCATTGCATCATTGCATCATCGTATCCGAGTCAATCGATCGATGAATCAATGAGAGGCGCTGCCCTTATGCGGGGAGGGCGCACTAAGTTACTTAACATCCACTTGAGTGGATCCTTAAGGTGGGACTGAGTAGCTCAACTTCCGCTTTCGATTCGTTTGGTGGTGACGTGGGGGCTTTGGGGGCTTTGGAAGGCTTGGAGGGCTTAGGAGCTTCTTCACACTTTAGTGGGTCGAGGGTGATCAGGATCTCCCTGTGGTTCGTTTACGCTGGGATGCGAAAAGGCCCCATTTTCATGTTCTTTATCTCCTCGTTCATGATCGTCATGATTACCTCGGGTACTTCGGGCTTGGAGGTGGGGATGTACATCTCCCGGTACTTTCGACTAACGCCACAATGCTGGGAGGAATACCCTCACCGATAGAGTATATCTAGGTCTCGATCCAAGTTCTACAGTGTATTTATCTTAGATACCATTCAAAGATCGCGCCAAGGATAGGGCTCTACCTGATTTCTTGCTGCCGGCGATCTGATCCGAACTCGTCCCCCATTATTTGCTGTACCGGGATGACTGCTTAATAACCCCGCTGTCGGAAATCTGGTTCTCAAGGGCATACTCAGAGATGTATTATATGTGCTTAGTTCAACTTCACCTACTTACCCTGCATGGTTATCATCACCCTATTGGCCTACAATGAGGCGGTTAGCAGGACTATAGACTGGGCCTCCTGCGAGGTAGGTATCTAAAGAACCACAAACTCGTAAGCCCTACAGATCAAGTGGCGCAGGGCATCTTGACAGCTTAGCCGGCACATGGTGTCAAAGAGAGGTCAGTACGTATGGTCAAGAAAGATGAAAACTGATGTATTGAGCACTTGGAGAATATGTGGTTCATTGATGTTCAACTTCATTATCCTGACACTTCTTGCGGTCTGGTGCACAAGCATTTCCCTCATCTGTGATTGAAGTTGTAATTCGATGTCCAACATGCGAGACGCCGGATCCGCCAATTCGTAGTCCAGTGACAGACATTACCGAGGGCTTAGCGTTCGCGATATTCTGGTAGGTATCACCCAGTCTCACAAATCCACTTCCATCGATGGTCACATTTTCGAACCTGTGACCCTTCTTTTTGATTTCTTCGAAGATGACGAGATTGAGAAGCTTATCATTTTCGCCAAGGACCTTAACAAGCGTTGGGATGCTCTCTGGTTCGACTTCCTTCAATTCTTCCTTACACAACTGCTTCTGTTGATCCTGGAGAGTCGGGAACAACTTCACTAGGTAATCGACGAGGTGGCATATTGTCTCGATCAAGCTTTCGAAGTCGGCCTTGCGGTACAAAGCCCACTGTATCTTCCTTCCAAGACTTGCTTCCTTCTGGCGACGCTTGGTGGCTCTTCGAAGTGATAGAACGAGCTTTTTCATATGCTTTTCCCCTTTCTCAAGCTCGGCCGTTTCCTCAGGAATCTCCAGGATTTCCGGTTCGTCGTCATCTTCGTGTAATGACTTGAACTTCTGTGATGTTTTCTTTGCATCCTCGAAAGCATCTTCAATCAAGGCGAGCCATTGTATGGCTTTCTTGACCTCCTTTTCCTCCGAATTTCCGTTTTTGAACAAAGCTGGAGGGTCGAAGGGGGTCTGAAGCAAGCCCATAGAGTCTCCCTATGTAGTGAACTCTAGTTCTGGTGCCTCGAATTTTGCCAGACAGAATCCAAAGTCTGCCCCAAAGGCCCGACCGAGCTTGACATACTGGAAGCATTCAACACACGAGACGAAAATCCCGGGGATGGAGCCAACGGCCAGAGTAAGCCAGCCAATTCCATCTCTGTCTGGTAAAGGGCAGCAATTGGGAACGACGTCAAAGTATCTGTGAGTTGAAGCAGAATATTGTCCGGGGATACCGCGAGGAAAGTATGCGAAGAGGAAAGTGGGATGAGATGCAAGCACACTAGCGGTCTCTTATCTGTCCTGTCTGAGTCGAAGAGTTCAGCCTCAGCCGCCCGAGTTTACTTGTCTGCAATTATTAACATCATGGCTTGATTTTGTTAGGGGCTCGGAGAGCCAATCAAATACCTGTAAGTTGTAATGGTCAATTGGACTGAGGGCATTGAAGTAGTAGACACTCAACGACTTAAAACCGTGATGATCCCAGATGAAGTTCAGCCCCGAGCGATCGTTTCAGCTACGCGCCGCAGCATAATGTGGCGTCTGGTTGGCCCGCATTTGACAACGTGTTCCAGTGATAATCATGAAGTTCCATGCGGAAGCTGCAAGCGCCTTAACTGAGGGGTTTCCTGGAGCCGCTGCGCGAAATTTTAGTGGGGGCTGAATCCCGTACATCGGGCAGACCTACAAGATGCTAAGAGCGCGATGCCCTGCCGGCAACATCCGCCACACGATTTTTAGCTATCTCACTCATGGCTTCAAAGAGAGAGAAATGAGATGCCTGTAGATGGTGTCAACCCAACGAACCAGCAAGTTCCTATTTCTGGCAATCAATTTGTGCCCTTTTGTGAATCTTCGCACGTCTCGGACGCAGGAGTGCAATGCCGTGCAGCGAAGCCGAGTCAACGCTCGAGATACTGAGGAATCTGTCAATTTCCCCAACAAGAAATTCACAAATTGGAAATCCACGGGTAAGTTGCCCTGAAGCAAGAGGCAGACATAAGGCAAGACACTTAACCACCATCGTAGGGTCATTTGGCTCAAGATGTACTCCTCAGAGATCAGGCATCATTGACAATTGGAGATACGCATGAATATAATGTGACCGTAAATCAAGCAACGCATGAGTCCAAAGGTTTGTATTTTGCGACAAAACTCACTTATAGGCGTGGCTGACAGGTCAAAGCACCCCGTACGGTGGATATCCTTAAGTGGCTGCCTGCCATCAACTTCAGGACCCTCTATGAAGACCGCCTGAAGAACCTCCATATCCCGATCGGAAAGAGATCACTGGAGAGCAAAGAGTTTGCAAGTTGGTATAATGGCGAGCATAAGTGGCTCTGGTGTCACGGGATGCGTGAGTGGTCACGAATATCCTCGAAACAAGAATCCGGTACTAATCCCTGGTAGCCTGTGCTGGCAAGACTTCTCTGGTGTATGTTTTCCATTTCTCCAAGAACTCAGGTTGTTTGTACTAACACCTGCGAATGTAGGACTATCATACTACAGCACCTATTGGATGTACGAGAGAAACAGAGAAGGAATATCGGGGTTGCCTATTTATACTGTATCCACTCGGACAAAAGCCAATCTGCCATCAGCTTGGTGGGAACCATCTTGCAACAGCTCGCCCAACAGTCGAAAGAAATCTCAAACGAGCTTAAATCCCTATATCAGAAACATACGTCCGTTGTGCCGGAAAGCTCGCCATTACTCGAGGAGTACGAAAAGGCACTGGAAAGCCAACTGGACCACTTCGAATCTGTCTATCTGATTGTGGATGCGCTCGACGAGTGCAGGAGTGATGATGCCGCGGATTTTCAGCTGGACACCAAGTCCAGACTTTTGCAGGCCCTCGGCTCTCTAGGAGACAAGATTCACTTGTTAGTGACCTCGAGGGACGAAAGTTTGAGGACTGTTGGACTCGATATGGACGTATCTTTCAAGGTAATGAAAGTTACAGCTACCGACGGTGATATCACTGCATACGTCGAGGGTCGGATCGCTTCAAACACTCCCTTCCGGGAACTTACTGGAAGGTATCCGAAGTTGAAGACCGAGGTAAAAGAGGCGATTGTTGCGAAGGCAGCTGGCATGTATATCCAACCTATCTCATCAAACCTACTCAAGCGCCCATGTTTACACAAGATTGTCTCAGGTTCCTCCCTGCCAAGCTTTACATGGATTTTCTAGCCAGTAAGGCTGTGACAAGCAGAAAATTTCACGTCTTGCAGGCGCTGCGAAGCTTGCCCTCCTTTCACGATAAGACCTTCGAGGAAGCCTACCGAGATGCTTACACAGGTATTCTTAAAGGCATCTGGGAACAGAGTCCATACGACGTTGAGCTTGCACGAAAAGTGTTGTCCTGGGTTGTATTTACCAAGGATCCTCAGAACCTCACAATCGACATTGTTAAACAGGCTCTGTTGCTTGAAGACGAAATTGACGAGGCAGGGACTGACACCGACGTCACAGATGATGAGTTTGATGAGATACCTGAGGAGAAACTATTATCTGTCTGTCGTGGGCTCCTCACAGTAGATCACCACAGCAGAACCCTCCGCTTCGTCCATTATACAGCGGAAATCTACTTTTCTAAGCCCGCAGTCCAGAACGTGGACTTTCCCAATGCCCATGAACAAATTGCACAGGCCTGTCTTTCTTGCATTCTTTCAAGTACCCCCAGAGGAGCCGGATGTTATGCGCTGGATCGATACGCAAGTTTGCACTGGGGTCATCACGCACGAATTGTGGAAGAAATAGTGCAACCCAAGATTCAAAAGCTTTTTGAGGACGAAGAAAAGATGCGGAACTCCTTTCAGGCGGTAGTGGCCCCGCTTCCTAGAGACTGGAGAAGTAAAGGCCAAGCAGTGAACTCTGGCATAAAACCCCTCCACGTGGCTGCATATTTTGGATTACGGTCGATAGCTACAACGCTCCTGGAGAGATCAGAGGACATCGAGAGCAAGGACTTCCGCGGTTGGGATCCCATGCGATGGGCCATATTTGGCAAATCAGACGCACTAGTAGCTCTACTTTTCGACCACAAGGCAAACCTCCTTTTAGAGGACTATGAAGGGCTGCCAACCATGTTCTGGGCAGTTGACTCGCGCGAAGCCAAGCAAATTGTGAGCAATATCGTCATGAACGGAGATGTGCGGTTTTCTCTCGGAGAAATATCAACTGTTCGTTCAGGACAATCTTTTGCAACTGCACTACCGAGTCCTGTTTTGCCGAAGACAAGCCAGAGCGTTATCAAATTCTTACTCTCTAATCTTCCGGAGGTGGACTTGGATGTCAGAAGCCCCGTGGATGGCCAAACTCTCCTTTCTGTTGTCGCGGGCAATTGGCATGGGACGCTGTCAAGATTCTCCTTGAAAGTGGAGCGAACGTGAATTCGAGAGACAATAATGGCATGACGCCTTTACTCTGGTCCTTGCAATGCCCTCGTTCCAGAACCGTGATCAATAATGTCGTTGTCAGCGATGATTCCTGGCCCAGTATTGGCGGCATCATGAACGTTGAATCCTCGGCTAAGATCAGTATTGACGACAGCAACTATTCAGAAGAGACGGTTGAGCCGAACATATGTCTGTTAATCGGAAAGCATTTAGAAGCGAAAGACGAGGAACAAAGGACGGCACTCACGCTTGGTGCAGAGAACAGATTCCACAAGGTTGGGCAACGCTATTAGAGATGGGGGCAAACCCGAATACGGCGGATGTCGACGGTATGACTCCGTCACATTGGGCCTGCAGTTTGCCGAGATTACAATCAGTCGTCGTCAAAAACCTGGTATGCAAAGACTACGCCAGAGTTCGCCTTGGAACCAGTAAACTACCCCGGCTTTCCACTAGCTGAATCGAGACGACTCTCGGGTCACAATATCGACAGGACGGTGAAATCGCTTCTACAATACGAAGCTGTTACGTTGGCCACGAACACCCTTGGACAAACGGCATTGGCATTGGCTATCTCGGATGGACTTGACAGCCATGCTAAGATCTTGCTGGGGTACCAGTCATCCGAACGCGATGGCAAAGTGGAAGACAGCTCCTATAGACAAAGCGTCCACGTATATGGTCATACCTTGGCACCGGAGCTCTCAGAAAGAGAGGATTGCGAAAGACTGCTTGTGGCAATGCTGGACCGCCGAGGCCAATTCACGCTGTTAATTGTGATCACGATGGATAACTCCAGCTTATTTATCCACTCCACGTCCAACATCACCAATCTTTCCGCAGGCGATACATCTCGTGTCCTGATTACCGATAGACCAAATATCACCAATCTCGCCGCAGGCAATTGGTCAAGGGTCGTCATTTGTGCCGCAGCAAACATCACGTCCATCTCAGTTAATACCCATTCTTGGGTGTACATTGAAATAAACGCCAATATCAAAATTGATTCCTGCGCCGTGAATGTTCAGGGCCAAGCTGCCATTGCATCAGTATCTAGCCATGATCACGCGCGTCTAACGGTTGGATCCGAGGCTAAAATAGAGAAGATAAGTGTGGTCAATGCCAGCAGCCTGTACACAAAGGATCAATGTGCTATCTCGCGAATAATGACCTCTGATCACGCAAACGTGAAGATCGGGGCCCATACCAAGATTGGAAAAATGCTCATGGACCGTTATAGCCGAGTGCACGCGAAGGGCCGATGTGCCATCTCAAAGACAATGATCTCCGATAGCGCACATATTAAGATTGGAGCCGATACCAAGATCGAGGAGATGCGCATAGACTGTTACAGTCAAGTGCACGCGAAGGGCCAGGCTACAATAATGAAGATACTTGGAAGCGGACACTCAACCTTATATCTTCAGGCCGGGGCCAAGATCGGCGACATTGAAACTCGGGAGCACAGCATAGTTCGGATGGCAGGCCTCTAACAAGTATCGAGAATGAGCGGCTTCGACTGGTCAAGAATTTTTCTTCTCGCTCAGGCACATATCAAAGATATAGGGGCTAATGGCCACTGCTTGGTCTTGACTAGAGGTCGCTCAGAGATCCATAGAGTAACCAGTTGTGACTTCTCGGTACTCGCAGTTCTCGAAAGCTATCAAAACCAGCCCCTGGAGGTTGTAGCAAGAGATGATGCTCGCCTACTATTTTGCGAAGAAGACGGCAGGTGGTCCGAGGGCAACTTCTGGACCTGGGATCACGCGAAATTGACGATTCAAAAGTTCAACCCGGCTTCAACTTCAGAGATAATCAACAGCCTTAAGGAGGCGCTTGGTTTGGACGAAGAGCAATTAAACATACCAGAGGAGGTAGCGCAAGAATCTGAAGACGAAATCAGTGATAACGAGCTGGATGACCTCGGTGACGACGAGTCTAGCGACGAGGACTGGAGCTGGGCTGCAGATATCGGTAATGTCGACATCAAATAGCAGGTAAAGAGGTGTGTTTTAGCTTCATAGGCGCTTGAGCTGCTATGTTTTACACAGAGATCGGGCATAAGAGTGATAATGTGACGTTCCCAATTGAAGACCAACATTTTGAGGAAAATTCCACAATTCAAATGACCTAGAGAAGATTAGATAGTATCTCGTTTTTTTCTTGTGGAAAATCAATACATATACCGAGGTGTCAAGTCTCCACTCATTGAAGTCCGTGCATGATGGCATGACGTCCGCGCGAAGCTTGGCCTCTAAGCCAAGGTCAGCCCAACTGTACCATGTACACCCACACTCTCCCCTCTCCCACCCTTTACCAACGGCGACATTATTCATGCGCCGCAACGAACAATTCCGACCGGGGCGGGAGCCCCTGTCCGATCATCCCCACCTAACCCTCCGCCGAAGTCATGTTTCTGGTCCTTTCTCGTTCCTAAATCCCACCTGGGCGCGGTACGCGCCTACCCCAGCCCCTGGACAAACTAAGCCTGGTACCCTGGCACAAGAAGAAGAAAAGCCAGAAACACCCGCACCAGCACCAGAGCCAAATCCCCCGGCCAAGGCTCGATCTGTCGAGCATCTCTGGCGCTCGCGCGACAATCGCAAGGGGAGACATGCGCTGAAGGTTGATTATCGCGCTCCGACCCCAGAAACGGGGTACATTGCGCCACCGCCGACGACAACGTTTAGAGCTGTGGTACGGGGTATCCTGCGAATGGCGATGCGTGCGCCTTTCTGGGATGTCTCATGGCTAGTCGCTGTTACTTTCACCCTTGGATCGGTGATCTGGATCATCAATGCTTTTTTCGTGTGGTTGCCGCTCGTGGATCCGGGGACGGAGTTCTCGGGCGAGGTTCTGCAGGGTGGGGGTATAAGCGCGTTTATCGGCGCGACGGTGTTTGAAATTGGCAGTGTGCTTTTATTGCTTGAGGCTGTTAATGCTAATCAGACTGGTTGTTTTGGTTGGGCTTTGGAGACGGAGTTGAGAAAGGCGGAGAATCATGGGACTCAGCCTGTTACGGAGGTGAAGCCTAGCGAGGATGAGTGTCGACATCACCATACGAATAGGCGGAATCTTGTTGGTGTTGGGAGAAATTTGTCTCATCAACTATCTCGTGATCTTTCGAATGGATATACGACGTCTTCGTCGGATGGGAAGTCATTTCGCTGGCTTCCATCTTGGACTGAATTGCGGACACATTACCTCCATGAACTGGGTTTTCTGGCATCTTTGACCCAGTTCATTGCGGCTACGATTTTCTGGATCGCTGGTTTCACTGGTCTCCCCGGGATTATCGACCATATGAGTCAGCGAGTGACGAACGGTGTTTACTGGGTTCCTCAAATAGTGGGCGGAACTGGATTCATTCTCAGCGGACTACTATTTACTCTCGAGACGCAAGAAAAGTGGTATCGGCCAGCTTTTCATGTCCTCGGCTGGCACATTGGGGTCTGGAACTTCATTGGCGGTATTGGGTTCACTCTTTGCGGTGCATTGGGGCCCGCAAGTACTGCATCGGGTGTGGAGTATCAAGCTACTCTTGCGACGTTTTGGGGGTCCTGGGCATTCATGATTGGATCGACGATACAGTGGTATGAGAGTTTGGAGAAGTATCCAGTTGAGAGAAAAACAGATGACAGTGCATCGATTCAGAGCGTGTAGATATAATGTGCCTTATTGGGTTTGATAACCTGTTTTGATTGATGGCGAGCTATGAGATACAGTGTACATTTGACATGAGACTGAAGATACTTTATAAGACATGACAACCGCTCAGTTATTATGTGGTTATAACTCGATATTTAACTTGATCATAATCATAACAAAGCTCTCAACCCCGTCTTTACCAGAGATGAAGCATTTCGAGGATATCATGGCGCGCGAAGAAAGACCGATTCCATTTGCCGAAAACGTCTGAAACACAGGAAATTAGCCAATTTGAACATCATCTGCGTGGTGAAAACTTACACATGGGAATACTCAAGCAGCAGATGCCCGCTTGGATGCTACCGAGAACGATCATGGTGTGCTTGACACCACCGTAGGCCATCCAGTCATAGGCAAAGAATGTCAGGACAAAGCTGAACATGTTCTTGAAAATAAGCAGACAAGTAAACGCCTCGATCGCAATTTCACCTGTAACCATTAGCGATGTGACCTGAAACATAACGGGCGAGGGCTGCAACATACGATGGGCATCGACAATATAAAGAGACGCAGCGACTGCGCCCATAACCATCCCAATGATAACGAACGCAAAGAAAACATCCGGCAGCAGCCAGTGATACTTCATAGTATTACTAGCCGTCCATCCAAAGCCATAGAGACCCATGCAGGCAAAGACCAACTGGAAGACAACCAGTAGGATGCGGAACTCTGGCTCGTATTTACCACGATTCAGCTTCACCATGAACTTGGTCATGGAATCGGTCAAGACACCTGCAAGGACCAACCCGATCATGGATCCTATAAAGGCTCCACTGTATAGGTAACCTGTTTGGTCCTCGTGGAACCAGAGTGGTGGACCTTCGAAAACAAGGGCGAGGATGACACCAATGAAGACGGCCCAGCCAATGACTACGCCTTGAATCAGGCAAGCCCAAAGGATACCTGGATGCAGGAACAGGGGGAAAGGCCGAAGTAGCAACTTCCAGAATTTTTCGTCCGTCTTGCGTCCGGTGAAAATCCGTAGTGACCTAAGGAAGGAATCCTTCTCTTGTGGAATTGGTGTTGCAGTCACCTCTGTTCGAGACGCCCCATGTGCGGCACCAGTTTCTGGAACAAACGCCTTGGATTCATCATTGACGGGATCATGGAGCGCCAAATGGGAATCAGTGGATTCGCTGTGTCCAGGTTTGTGCTTGAAATCGGTATTGAGATCGTCAGACCGGCGGTATGCCGTTTCGGGCACGAAGAAGATCATCAGAGGCAGCGAGGCGGCCAAAAAGATGGCAACAAAGTAGAAGGACCACTGCCAGCCGATAGTCACTGTCATCTTTCCAACAATGACGGGCGTCAAGAATGCAGCGCCGAAGAGAGCTACATTAGACACTGCCATGCGCTTGCCTCGTTCCTGGATTGATAAAGGTCAGTTTTAACTCTCGAGAAGATAGCCGAGACATCTCACATGGACAAAGTAAAGATCTCCGACACAAGCATTCACCAGTCCCTCGAATGGGGCCAGAGCTACTCCTTGGAAAATTCGTGCCCATAAAAGGCTCTTATGATTGGTACCGCTGGCGCCAGCCCAAATACAACTCGCGATCATCAATACATGTCCGAGCAGAAATAGATGGCGTTTACCCCAGACTCGAGCCGTAGGGACAATCAGGATACCGGCCACGCCAACACCACAAAGATGGTATCCAGTGAGCAACGCTGCATCCACGTAAGTGATTTGTTGGACATCAGCGATTTTGACCGTGTTGGCGGCGAGAATGGAGCTAAGCGTGGTGCAGAGTACTGTCACGAAAGATAAGGTCGCCAGGATCAGGTCGCGTCTCCATAGTGGCCAATTCTGGTACCGCAAAGTCTCATCAGCTTCGGTGTATAATTTGAAGTATGTATTGCGGTCTCACATACCAACGGGTCGTTAGGGTCGTCACTCGGCTGTGGGACAAGAATCGTGGGCTCCTTTGTCGTCCAGTCATGCTTCAGACCTGTGGTATCAGTGTGGTCGCTCCGATCATCGTCTTGTTCGTAGATATTGGAAGTACCTGGAAAGTCGCATAGCTATTAGTGCAAGCTTTCCGCAGCATAGCCGATGTCCAAGCTCACCAGGAACATGCTCGTTCTTGACATCCAGTACTCCTAGACCCATGATCGCGGCAGTCAGGCGACACGCCTAAAGGTGTCGAAAGTTCGACGCGAGGAAGTTGATAGTAGCTAAGATAAATAAAAGGTGGAAGGTGCAGTTGGAGGAGTTAATCCGTGATGGACATCGCTCGACTCAGGTGACCAACACAACAAAAGACCTCAACTTGCAGTTTGAGCACCCATCACACCACTTCCTTTAAATGCGATCGCGACCGACAGATAAGGAGGCTCCTCTTGTATGTTGGTGATGATCGAGGGGGTTTCAAGAAGATTAGCATCACTGACGAGACCAGGTTAGGACCAAATCCGAGGAAACGGGACCAGCTGTGGTGCGAGTTCACGTCTGGGCTGCCCCCCTTTTCCAGGAGCCTCGGCGTGATTGGCCTTTGGAAGAGAATTTCAAGTGCAACGGCAGGATTGGTGGAACGGGGTAGATCTGCGTGCTGCAGAGTACCACGTACCTCTTGTCCGAGGAGATCAATAATGTCCCGGATTTCAGGGTGAACGCATCCAGAGGTTTCAAATCCAGCATGGCCACCGACTCGATGCCAATATGCTGCTGACAGTCTGACTATTACCGGCAACGGCGCCAGAACATACGAGATCTGGAGCACAAACTTCAATAATCTTACCAGTGGGCAACTCTCAGCCAAACCCAAAAGCCGGCGTGGGGAGCTTTCGATCGGCGAGAGTGGGAAATTTTGGCCGAGGCATCGCATTCGTTGCTTTTTAGCTCTACGGCTTCCCAGACAAATCCTATGGGAAGATTTTGACTCGATACTTTGCGGATGCCACGCGGCCCATGGCTCTTACCGTGATCCAATGATGGTCGTGTCTCGCAGGGCATCAGAAAACTTACCACCACCGACAATTAGCGGGAGAACCCTTGAACCCTTGATTTAACCCCGAAGCCAGCAGAGCTGGGGAAGGAAGGCCCCACTGTGGAGTTGTGGGGACCTCTTAACCCTGTTCATTGGTGGAGGTCGGACTGTATGAAGCCCGTTCGTGTATTGAAGCTGCTTATTCGGCGTGTTCATACTGAGAGATAGCAAATGCCACAGCCACATGAAGGAATGGAGGATAACAATATCTCCGCTGCACTTTAGTACGGCTAGTCCACACATTATTATTTTAATAAAACCTTATGGTGAAGTCATGATATGATGTACAACAAAAGTGCTGAATATATAGAAATATATAGAAACTACCCGATTCAATTTCCAAAATAAAACGCATTGTTTTGGTTTGCTTGTCGGTTTAACTTGTATGATAATTTCTTGAACGCCCCCGTCCTGAAACGCCGAATTCTAACATGATCGTAACGGTTCGCAGTTTCGATACCAGCACAAAGTTGGGGCTCTGCAAAGCCCAGAGATATGATTCCCATGTTGGTATAAGGCTGTGGTATCGAATCAAAGCTTGTTATCTTTCGAAGCGAGTGGATGCCACGAAGGTACGATGGTTGTGGGCTGCGCCCACCATGGCGCGGCACATATCGTTCATCAGATTGTGATACTTGGCGACACACGGATTCAATCTCCTTTGGCCATCTGCAAAATTCTTGTAGCGTATCTGGGTCTTCGCCACAAGACATGAGCCATAGACGTGTAAACGAAGCTTGATGTCCTTGCTGTGCGATCAAATCATGCATATTCAGAGGCTCTATTACAACCTCTTGTCGCACAAAAAGACCGGGAAAGGTTGAAGGAGTAAAAATGGCCTCGCATTGTATGTATCAGCCTCATGATGTGAAAAGGTGGCTGTCAGAACAAGATCTCCGTAGGTTTCGAGTATCGACCTCGTGTAAAACCGAACAAAGGATGAAATCATTGCACCCCACTGCTCGTTTTGTATGCTCAGCCCCAAGGAGCCCTCGGGAGAAAAGCCAACCATGACTGATCCTCGCTTGTAGACAAAGGACAAAGGACAAAGACTTGGTCATTCTACTTTTAGCCTGAGACTGAAAGCCGGTAACTCATCCAAACCTTAATTCATTGCTTCGCAGAAGCCAACAGAAGAGATATCATGGAATCGAGTGGCTCCCATCAACTCTTTGTACGAACTAGTCAAGCCCAGTACTATTAACACCGCTCATAAGCCTAGGTGAACTCTGTAGAGTATCCCCAAGCATCGTCGGAAGAGGAGCATCAACGTGGAAAAAAGAAGCGAGGGATGGCAGTCTCATACGCAACCTTATAATTCGAATGCGAGAGTCAGAGTATTTAGGCGCCAATCCGCGCCTATCTACAACTCCCGTGCACAAATACGTAATTCATGTACTCTAATACTCGCGCCACGCAAGCCACGGAATTCAAAGCCGTCGAGCTAGATGCATATCAGGCTCTTGGTAAAGATGACAGAAACTCTAAGTTTATACCCGCTCCGCTCGGTCGTGAGTCCCAACAGGACCGATTAGGATTTAGGTCTCTTAATAACGGCCAAGGTCATTGCTCAACTCATTGTTCCACTGGTGACCGAATTGCCGATTTTGAAGCTTTGCCGAGTTTCCAAACTTTTGCGACTACTGTATTTGTTGAGCGTATCAGTATAGAGCAGCAAATGGTGAGATAATGCCATTCATCCGTACTTATAGGACGAAAAGAGGAAAATTCCTCTTACAAGTATCTTTCATCATTCTTGCTGGCTTGTAGATAGCGGGTTTAAAATCCACGGCAACTTAAATCCAATAGCCACGCCGGCGTGTTGTAATACAAGATACATCCAGCGGGGGGCAAAACACTATTACAAAGGGTCCAAGCCACTGGTTCCCAGCACCCAATGGTTACAATAGCGGTAAAAGCGCGGTATATCCAATTGAGGCGTCAAGTTGTAACTGGATCTGCAAGCCCCCCTGGTCGAGACCAAATCCCCCAATTTGTTCAGCTGTAGCCTGCAGGTCGGCAGCTACTTTAAAAGGCGGGGAGAGCATGTCGCTCCTTCCATTTCTCAACCACCCCCTGTCAGCTTTGTCGTAATTCCTCATTCCAAATAACTTGAACTTCTCTCAATTCCTCGAAATTCTCCGAGAAACAATACCCAGACAACATGAAGTTCACTCAGTTCACTCTGGCTGCGGCCGCTCTGCTGGTTACTGTCTCTGCGCAGGGCCTGGATGCGCTGCCTGACTGCTCGGTATGTTTCTTCCTCCCTTGATCCACTTTGTGCTGCCCGACACAATTGACCAGGACTAACGATCAATGGTAATGTAGAAATCTTGCGCTACTAGCTCCATCCCCGCCAGCTGTGGCCTCAATGTTCAGTGTATTTGCGCCGACAAGTCGTTCCTCAGCAACATTGCCTGCTGTGTGGCTGACAAGTGCTCCCAGGCCGATCAGGAGAGTATGTAACACCTCGACTCAGAATTGCTTGAGTATTCGCTGACCATGTCCTCTTCATTGCTGCAGCTACTCTCCAGGTTGCCAAGGGCATCTGCTCTCGCGGCGGTGTGACCGACCTGCCCAGCACCATCTCCTGCGCCTCCTCCGCGGGTTCCTCCTCGGGCTCTGTCGCTGCTACCGGCACTTCTTCCGGAACCTCGACCGGCAGCTCTACTCAGACCACTACTGGCAGCTCGCAGGCCACTGGCACTAACACCACCCTGTCTGGCTCTGTTTCTGCCACCAAGACTGGTGCTTCCACCACTGGCACGGGCGCTTCGAGTGCTTCCTCGTCTGCCTCCAAGTCTGCCTCGTCTGCGGCTGCTACCACTGGCGCTGCTGTTCTCGGCCAGACCCGAGACTCCTCCCTGATGGCTGCTGCTGGTGCTGCTGCCGCCTTTGCCATCTTCGTCTAGGCGTGCAATGGCCTGGTATGAATGACTGATGGATGAAGGAACGAGATGGGATGAATGCCCAATGCTTGGGGATGATTGTGCCTTGATAGGATGGTATATATGTAATAATCATGACATACTTAGTCAATGGAACGAACGCAATAACTCTAATGGTACACTTTTTCAATGGGCGCTGACAAGAAGCCTTTGTATGAAGAATCCAGACTTAGTTGGACTCCTCGCGAGCGTCCTCCAGGAGCTTGCTCAATCGCTGCTGGCGCTCCTCACGGCATGTCACGAACACCTGTAGTAAAACGTTAGCCTACAAAGCGTGGAGTAATCATTCCCCCGACGGGAGAAGCAACATACCCAGAACCACACCATCATCTCCATGAACACATAGGTGAAGACTACGCGGCTCTTCAATTGCTCCAAACCCGAAGGAGCCATCTTTGAAGTATACGACGACACCAAGTAGCTACCACGGGCCTGGTAGATGAAGAACGAAATGCCGCCGTACAGGGCAAACCGCAGGGCGGAAATGCTGACCCACACATTCCAGTACATTGTCAGAGACCGTGTGATATACTCAGGCAGCTTCGCCAGCGCCTGAAGGTCTTCAGCAGGCAAGTTTGAGTTCCGCAGAGGTCGGATATAAGGCAGGGCCTCGGTCAGGGCATCGTGGAAGGGGAGGCTGGAGAGGAGGATTAGGTCGACCAGGGCAGCGGCGAAGATCAGGACGGAGCAGATGACGAAAGGTGATTGTATGGGAGTTGTAGCGACGGGGAAATCCTGCAAAACTATTAGTTATTAAGGTTGATTGGGGCTGGCGATGCTAGCAATCCGGCACGCGTACAATCCTCAAGGCCTCGCCCATCATAAACACCAGGTCGGAGTCGGTGATGTAATTCGGGTTCTTGACGAGATACCCGGCAATGATGATCAGGAGCACGGCATGTGCCTGAATGAGAAGTTTGGACGAAAGGAGAGCCATCTTTGCGGTTGGTGATGCTGTTGGAAGGTTGGTAATGGAAAAAAGTGGCCTTTGGAGATCGACTGGTCCGAGTGTCCGGCATGCCAAATCGCATGTGGGGAACGGCAAACAGCTGCTGCTCAGGTCGAGGTCGAGAAACCCCACTGCAACAAGTCGCAGGTGCGATCTCGACAAGCCACGCTTAGTTGCGAACAAATCGCAAGAGCTTATATTTAGTCTCGTCCTTCGTGCTGATCATATCTCATCTTCGACTTTCACATTCCCTTGATCGTCATGGCGGGGCCCATCTTCAACACCGAGCGCCATGTCAAATATTACCTCCGCTGCCTGAAGACCTTCCTCCCCTCGGCCTATGTCTCCAATGACTCCAATCGCATGCTCCTCGCCTACCTAACCCTCGGCGGTCTCGACGTTCTCGGTGTTCTACAAAGCAAAACAACCCCGGAGGAGCGGCAAGGGTACATCGATTGGCTCTACCATTGCCAAGTACCCTCGGGCGGCTTTCGGGGATTTTCAGGCACGGACTTTGGCGATGAGAAGCGGACATCGGACAACAAAGCTTGGGATCCGGCCAATGTCCCCGCGACATTCTTTGCGCTGGTCAATTTGCTCATTCTGGGCGATGACTTGGCCCGAGTGAAGCGGAGGGAATGCTTGGAGTGGCTCCCGAAGCTGCAGCGTGAAGACGGGAGTTTTGGAGAAGTGTTGGGACCAAATGGGACAATTGAAGGGGGTAGTGATCTACGATATTGCTGTTGCGCATCGGGGATACGCTATATCCTACGAGGCCAAGCCGGAAAGGGCGTTGAAGATGTGCCAGATATTAAGGTCTCTAAATTAATCTCATTTATCGAGGCGTGTCAGGTAAATTGCCCGTATACTAAGTGTCTGGACTGGACTGATCGCTTTCTCTTCGGGCAGAGCTACGACGGCGGAATGGGCGAGTCGCCTTTTCGTGAATCGCACAGTGCGTATCCTTTTCTTCCCCTTTGCGCGATACTTTCCTGACCAAGCGATCTAGGTGGTCATACATATTGTGCAGTTGGATCTCTGCACTTTCTGCGTCAGGAAACAGATAAAATCCCGTCTGCCCAGCTGCTGTCTCCGGGCTCGAAGAAGTTTGAGGGTCTGGTGGGCTGGCTGGCATCGCGGCAGACCGATAAATTGCTCGGCGAGGAGGATGAGGAGGGGAAGAAGAAGTAGCGGATAATGATAATGAAGAGGACCCCACAACCGCCGAGGTAGAGGTAAGAACAAGGGACGAGTCGGTAGATGACCTGATCCGAGGACTGTCGAATATGGCGCCGTTATCAGGCGCGACGATATCTTGCGCTGGGTTCAACGGGCGATGCAACAAGCTGGCTGATACCTGCTACTCCTTCTGGAATGGTGCAGCACTTATGGTATGTTTTCCGGTCACCATCAAAAACTCCCACGCTCATCAAGTGTATAGATGCTGGATCGGTATTGTGTGATTGATGACGAGCGGAATCGGCAATACCTTCTAGAAAAGACACAGCACCTGGTCGGTGGGTTTGGAAAGGGCGTTGGAGATCCTCCCGGTAAGGTGAAATGCTTCTTCGAGCAGCACCTCGATGCTAATCACGTTTCCTAGATCTCCTTCACTCGTACTTTGGGATGGTTTCGCTGGCGTTTCAGGGCGAGGCTGGACTTGCCCGGGTTGATCCTGCGTTGGTCGCGACTGAAAGGACTGTTGAGCATTTGAAGTTGCTGCCGTGGTGGTCATGAGTCGAATGATTCCATCCAGTGACATACAATTACGTCATATGATTTACCCTGCATGGAGCGAACCTTAATTGAAGCGTGATGTATACACACAGGGTCTGCTTATTCACAATCTGCCTTATAACACCGAATTTCTTTCAATCATTCGTTCTTCTACTACCAGAATGGCACTGGGTGTCGCAGTGGGATCGGAATACCCAATTGGATTATCATGATATGCGGGTCGATAAACTTCGATCATGGCGATGGCTTTATGCACTTCTCTAATCGCCCTACTTGATAGAGCCGACGCATGAATTTATGCAAGCGAAAGACATTGAAAGGGGATGGAATCGTCGAACTGACCAATTGGGTTAATATGTGGTCATAATGAACGAAAGAGAGATGCCAACATATCAATTCCTTTGTTGCCAGATTAAAACTGAAATTGCGGCCTCAAATCTAAGGCAGTTAGACCAGCCAAAGTCGTAGTCGAGCCGAGCCTAAAAGCACGTGATTATCGGCAACTTTCCTACTTTGGTCCTAACTCTCCTCACAGATGACCATCTATCGGCGCCTTTCGAAATCTGAGTAGAACTGAGACTTGGTGTATCCCCTGCTGGGAGGCATGCGCTCTTACTCCGGCTGGTATGTGCACAGTCCCTCACTGCCATTCCTCCTTTTTCTGCCAACCATCGCTCTCTATCAGAACAGCATTGCTCACAAATTCTTAAAGCTTGACTTGCAAACGGAGAAAGTTGAAATGCGACGAGTCTAAGCCAGCATGTCGCAGATGTGTCAAAGCAGCTCGCGACTGTGCTTATGGGGAACAGTCTATCTTCCGTACCCAGGAGATTAGCTCTACGCCAGATCGAATACGGAAAGCTACTGATGATCGTCGAGGCCAGGCCAATAGGCCCAGAGAGGAGACTACCTGGGTAGACCTTCCATCCGAATGTATGTTTCAACTTCAAAATACAATCTCACATGCTCACGTTAAATAGTCACGTTTGTTCAGGAGAGCTCTAGGATTTTAGAGGCAGGAGAGGCAACCGTAGATTCGGAAGAAAATGGTACAGACAGGGCGGTTGATACTGTTGATGCGAACGGCTTTCCTGTATCCCGTCCAGCATCACATAATGTTTCTGTTGCAGCGCCCTCTTTTCACCATACACCAGCCACCGATCACTGCACACCACAAGAACGCGATGCCTCACTTTTCTCCACCAATCCATCAGAGTCCGAGCCTTTGGAGAAGGTTCTTGCTTCATATCTCATACGGCATTTCAAGCAAGACCCAGGCCAATGGATGGACCTTTTCGATACGACGTCTTACTTTTCTTCAAAAGTGCCTGTCATCGCGACATCAAAGACTTTATTGAAGTCAGCGGTTTGCGCTCTCTCTGCAAAGAATCTGCGGCATGTCTGTCGAGTTATGAGCCAAGCCGGCGTGGACCCTGGGTCTGTTCCCAAATACGTCGGCCTTCCGTTCTCAAATGAAGAGATGTGGCGTTATCACTCAGCAAGATATTACGATCAAGCTCTTGGTCATCTCAAGATTGCAGTCAGCTCAGATTCGTATTCCCGTACCCTACTTGGCAAGGAAGAAATGCTTGCTGCCGTCGCAATTCTTTGCACTTTCGAGCTGATGGATGCTCCTGGTAGTGCATGGAAAGCTCACCTGAGCGCGTTGCCTCTCTTTGATGATAGAGCTGCCTCTGTACCAGTTCATTCTTCGATTATTATCCCTCAGACGGCTGTAAAAGGTCCGATATTCTGGAGCCTAGCGAGGCAAGACTTGTTATGTGCCTGTGGGTTACAACGTCATCTACCTGTGAGGATATATTTTCTGACTACTGTCCCAGGTATAAGCGAAAGCCCAACTCGTTTGGACTTGAAAGACATGCGACTGTGGCAAAATGCGGGCTTGGCCACGGACGAGAAAGGAGAGCTTCTACCCTACAGCCCATCGGATGTGATGGAAACCCAGAATTCATCTGGAATTGAAGAAGATATGAAGAGCAATGAACTCACGTGGATTCTCGGCAAAATTGCAAATCATCTCACAGCGGGAGATGCTCTGGTTCCGGCAAACAACGCAATGCCACGCTATCAGCGGCCTCTAATCGGACTGAGTCAGGAGCATCTCCTAGAAAGATGGAATATGTTGATGGCTGATTTAGAGAGATGGCATGCTTCTCTTCCCGCATGCTTCACTGCGACTGCTCGAACCCGGAGATTAGGCAGCGCAGCTTTGGGTTTTGAGCTGAGCTTTGATACCTTCGAGCAGATCTGGTTTGACTTGCCATTATGCGCAGCAACAATGCAAAGCTATCACCAAGCGAAAATATTGTTATTGGCGAATGAGCCGCAAGAGTCAACTGCCATTCGATCAACTGTGTCAGCACGCTTGAGATCCTACCGGCACGCCCTTCGAGAAGTCCTCTACCATGCCCGGGAAGTTTGTGGCATAAGTCTTGCCAACTCAACCGATTCTTTCAGAGTCAACTCTGTACAAGCCTTGTTTGTCGCTGGGCAGGTATTTCAGGAGCGCAACGAGCAGGAAGCGGTCCTGGAATTACTTTCTGGAATTGAAAGGGATATCGGCTGGACTACTCGATATCATGTGGCCAAGTTGAAGGATGAATGGGTAAAGGGAAGAGAAGGCAATCACGTTGACCGTGAAGAACAGAGCCATGACTCCAACTGGTTTATTTCCTAGCGCTGCTTGTAGCTGCAGGGCTTGATTGTCAAAAATAATTGCTCCCCTCTCTCTTTCTCTCAAACTCATACCAAAGTGCCAATGTTAATCTAGAGTGATATTCACTTCCATCTCCTTAAAAGTGTGTTGAAATATCGAGCCTATTTAGTCTACGAAAATAACCCCGAAACATGTCCTTGCAAGGCAATCGAAGGTATCTACCGAAGACCTAGATAATGGTTTGTTATAAAACGGGAAATTGAATTGATCCGATTCATCATACAAACTGATAAATCGGGTAGTTCTTAGATCATCCCGGTCTGTACAGGTATAATAGGAGCCCTTGAATCGACATGCTCTCAATACTCTACAGCCAGAGCATCATAGTGCATGTCTTATGTCATATTCTTTCTATCTATTTTCGTGCTCGATTGGTTTCCTTCGCACTACATATGAAGCTTTCTCCACCTCTTCTATCTCATGGATCAAATGAGCATCCAGGCCAGCAGGCCTGGCTTGCTTTTCCAGCGTGCTACCACATTCTCGAAGGTGCGACTCCTTCTCGGTGGAGTCTTCGGTAAACTCTAATTTTCGATATTCACAGTTCAGGTAGCCAGTACCTGCCAATGAACAAGGGTCAGCCAAGCTCAAATGAAGATAGATCAATCTGGGGGATACATACCTTTGCCCTTCACATAACCCGTCCAATCCTCGGTAAAGTAGTGCAAGAAGCCCCCGTGAGTCACGAGAGCGATATTCTTCTCTGGGCGGCTGTAAATCCAGTTGCGCATCTCAGCAGCCCGTTCGTGAACGGCCGACAATTTGGAAGCGTAAATTCCCCTCTGTTGGAATGAAATTAGCGCATGAATTCGTGACGAGAAACGCCGAACGACTCACCTTTGAGTTCCATGATTCATCAACCAAGGTGGTGTCCAGATTTGAAGCATCCCATAAAGGCGCAGCGTCAGCGATCAACTTCTGGGCCTCGGAGATTGTCACTTCAGCGTCATGGCCAATGTCACACGCCAAACTACTAATCTCTTGTGCTTTTGGCACCAAAACCATGGGTATCTGTCGTTTCTCTAATTCAGGCGCGAAAGTGTAGGCGGCAGTCTGAATAGTGCGTCGGAGTGGAGATGCGAGGATGACTTCAACATCTTGACGGAACGGAAACTTTTTTTGGAGCTCTTTACACTGAATTTTGCCGAGATCTGTCAACAATGCATCCCGCAGATGGTGAGAGTTCTATAAGCTGTGTTAAGGGCGCTAGCGTTGACTGAGAGGCAGGGATTTCGGGGTAACTATACGTTGACATTGTGTTCGCCTTGTGCATGGCGAATGACATAGAGAGTCGGAGGCATTTTGGGGTAAGAAAGGGAACCGCTCAGTCTCTTTATCTAAGTAGTTGTCGCGGAAGTCAATTATATATGGCCCATGTAAGTTGAGATTTTATTTTTCACTAAACTTGTGGAGTCATAGGAAATTCAAGACCGATTCTGCAGAAATGTGGCTTTCGGTTACGAAGGGCTTCCTGAAAGGATCCGTCTTGTGACTGGGGCATGTGGATGTTTGACGGTAGAGGGTGAACATATTGGGTATGAGGCTGATATCGGCTCCGCTACTTCTTGTGATACGGACTTGCCGAAGGGGATATTCCCGAGTTTACTTCTCAATCTCGGCTCGACTTCCAACTCCATCATGCTCCACTTTTTGCCCCTCATCTTGTATCTCGACCAAACTTGATAACAATCCCAGGAACAAAGGAAGTGGAGTGGCTTCTCTACAGGATAATCATCAGTTAGTCACAAATTTCCTCTTTCGCGAAAGTATATTTGATCTTTAGTCGGCATCTATTACTAATTCCAGTAAGGAACGCATTTTCCTATAATACAAGGAAGCAACTTGACTTTTTCCTCTTCATCTCTTGTCCGGCCCCATTTACACCCAATTTCATTCTGATTTCGATAATTCTACTCCTTCACAAAGCGATATGGTGCAGTCATTGCGTTTGCAGGATAAAGTCGCCATTGTGACCGGTGCCTCATCCGGTCTGGGTCGAGCTATCGCTATTCGCTACGCGCAAGAGGGCGCCAAGGTAGTCTGTGCCGATTTGACCCCAACAGCACGCTCCCAAGAGGAAGCTGGGATTACGACACATGATTTGATTACCCAGAAGAGTGGTCAAGCCATTTTTGTGCAAACCGATGTTGGAGATGCCACTCAGATGGAGAACTTGGTTGCGGAAGCCGTGAAGGTGTATGGAAGACTGGATATGTATGAAGCCTATCACACCACGTATCTCTACCTAAACCACTTCCTCTAATCTTTGTTAGCCTGGTCAATAATGCTGGAATCAGCATTGAGGCACGCTTCCCGGCTGTTCTCCATTTAACTGATGAAGCAACGTGGGACACGACGATGCGAGTGAATGCAAAGTCTGTTTTCCTGGGTAGCAAGTATGGACTGGGGCAGATATTAGCGCAGGAGCCACATGATTCGGGGGACAGAGGATGGATCATTAACATTTCATCCATTATGGGCATGATTGCGGGGCCCGAGAATCGTAAGTCTTCCAGTCTCCACGTACTTCAAATTAGAACTAACCTCCAATCATCATAGCCTCTTACTGTGCATCAAAGGGAGCTGTTAGCCAGCTCACCAGGCAGATAGCCTTGGATTATGCCCCGCATAAGATTCACTGTAATGCAATTTGTCCTGGATGTCAGTTGCAGAATAGATCTTCATGACCATCAAGGCTGACAATCGCAGATACCCAAACCGCTATCTTCAAGGAGACGACTACTAATCTTACTCCTTGGGATGATCTCAACCATAGACACCCGTTGAAAGGTCCTGGCTTCCCTGATGATATTGCAAAAATGGCTGTTGTCTTGGCAAGCGAAGATGCTAGCTGGGTTACGGGGGTCTGCTTGCCTGTGGATGGCGGATACACTGCCCGCTAGGCGTATAAGGGTAGATATCATTTTAGTGTCTCAGAAAATGATTTGGAGATCAATATCCACCACTTATTGTAATAAGAAATCCGACAAAGTTTTCCTCAATTAAGCTTCGGGTTAGAGTACCAGAGATTATCTTCTACAAGATAGGGAAAGACAGTTGAATTGATGGAAGAGAATTGCTTTGAAAACATATATCTCGCGCCATATTATCGAAGCATTCTATTGGTAACCCCTGTCTATCTTCTGCCCAAATTCTCAACCTAAACCTAAATCAATACTTTCCCCAGTCCCATTATACCTTGCCGGCAGTGCGCCTCCATAGACGGTTTCCCTTGACTGAACTTCCCTTGAATGATTCTTCAATCTTCTTGAAGCTTTTTCCTTGGGTTTCGTGCATAAAAAGAATGCTGACTATAACAGTGATTACACAGCATCCACCAAACAGAATATAGACTCCAAAGTTGCTCTTCGCAAGTAAAACAGGTGTGATCAAAGCTACAGTAAAGTTACACACCCAATTACTAGAATGGGCCAGTGTGGTGGCTGCTGCTCGCGTGCATTGAGGCTGAATCTCGGCACTGTAGACTTTGACGGTGATACCCCAAGTGGCTGAGTAGAGAGCAGCAAAGAGATAAATGCAGATGATGACAATCCAGCGACCGGCGCCGGTCACAGCATCTCCAGCATATAAACCTCCCATCGTAAACATTAAGATGCCCATTCCGATGCCACCGAGGATGACGCTGCTTCGACGACCCCATGAGTCGGCATAGATTAGCCCTGGGATTGTCACAGCAAAAATCACAAGTGCCGATACACCGGAAGCTAGGAAGCTTGCTTCTGATGAGGCAAGACCGGCTTTTTGAAAGAGTTGTGGGGCGTACTTTGATTTCCGTTAGCTATCGTGATGTTCTGTATAAATAGGGAGGTTGGGTTACTTGAACGTACGTAAAGCACTCCGTCGATACCACTCCATTGCTGCATACCCATCAGGAATACGCCCAGCGCAGTCCGACCTCGGACATCCCTTGAAAAGATATCTAAAACGGCGCCGGCAGTTTTCTTCTTGGGGCCAGGATTAAACTCCTCTTCCTCTGTGTCAGACTCAACTTCTTGCACTTGTACTTCAGCCTTCACAGGCTCACGGTCTGCAAGAGGCACACCCAAATTTTCCCACGCCTCTTCGGCTTCCTGATAGCGACCGTGAAGACCGAGCCATTGGGGTGATTCTGGCAGGAAAGCCAGAGAAATACCACAAATAATGATAGCGCAGGCTGAAAGAACAATCCATGGTGTGCGCCATGAGAGAGAGGATTGAATGCTGGAGGTTCCATAGCTGACAAAATACCCTACAACCAATCCAAGGGTACAGGCAAGCTGAGGACCAGTTGTGAGGGTGCCTCTCGTTTTGGTAGGCGAGATCTCACAGATCAAAACTACCAGATTGCCGAGGAAAAGGCCTTCCCCAACACCTTCAATCAGCCGACCAACGACGAACATCGCGATATGGATAGCTCCCGCTTCGATAGCAGCCCCGAGACCGAAGATAAAGGTTCCGATACAAATGCCCTTCGGCCGACCGAGGCGATCGGCAACATGACCAGCAAAAAATGACGAGAGAGCAGCTGGGATCAAGATAGAGGAGACGATGAGGCCATGGATAGTTGCGTTTTCGCTCCCCCGAATTCGGCTTTGAAGTCTTTCATGTCGGTAACAGGACCGATGATTCCTGTGTCCATCCCGAAGAGCAAGCCATTTGCGGAGCATAAAATGGAGGCCAGGAGGTACTTTGGGGGATTCTTCAACTGGGGCGAAATCAGGCCCATGATGTTTTCTTTGTGGAGGAGTCCTCGGTGACAATATACCAACTTGACTTCGATGATATACCGTCCGTTGAGTTTGCCCGAGCATAAAAGAATTTGTAGATGGATATCGGGACAGTAAAGCATTTAAATCAAAGGATGGGAACATGGGAAATCAAAGACCCGTGGCGTCAGCCCAAGCCGAAGAGTTTTCTACCCCTCTATGCAATCTAGATATCTCCACAAGAAAATCTGTTGGGGGAGCTATGTTCTCACCCACAATGTACCACTGGATGGTCTTAGCTCGACATTGTGGGAATACACGTGCAGACTTGTCAGTTACCAATGTTCAAAGCTCATAATAATTTGTTTATTTTAATCATCGTTGAACAGCATATCCACTTTGTGGCGATATCTTTCGGGACCTTCCCCGTATTTTGGATTTAAGTCTCAAGGCCAGTCTTTCTCTGTTGACTTGAGAATTAGTCACTTATAAGTTGTTTAATTTGCGGTCATGGTAGTACCTCGTAAGCCTCTAGAGTCAAAGGCCATCATCTCCTGCTAAGCATTTTGAACTCCTGTGTCAGGGAAGGAGAGTTCGGTAGAACTCCGGCAGAGACAAAATACTAGAAAAAGTCCGAGGCGATCTCGGCCCGAAAGTGGCAGTCGAGCCGATCGGCCGAGACCAGCGACTCTGTGGGGCGAATACATGAGCGTAGTGGGCCAGGAACTTGAATATCTACGGAGCACTCTGTGCTGCTTGGAGGAATGAACAGGGCAGTCGGGGATTAATAGCCCCGAGTTAGCTTTGTCATGAAGAAGGCTAGAGCTTATGCCTACTCAGCACTGTATCACAAGAGTAATATGTCTCATATGTTGCGGAGCTTCGCGCATCACAATAAACCCCGGGGCCCGATTACATAACGTTTGAGCTCGGCTGTGTTGCTTAAAATGTCCACCTAGTTACTACTCAGTGCTTCGGCAAAGTATTATCCTAATCCTGTCGCCAATATGATGAACCGGGAAGAACAATAATATGTGACTTACTACACCTTCGTAGAGTTGAAAAGCCTAGATCCCGAGATTGGATACGCTTCCATTAACTCCCTCCCATCAACCGATGGACATTGATCCTCGCGAAGGACGTCCTCGGAGTGATTGCCTTGACTTTAGGCGTGGATTCAGGTGTCTTTCTGCCTCTCACTACAGGCGCAGTAGCCACAATGCGATACTTGCACTACCCAGCACAACCAAAAGATGAAGATGAGCGATTGAACTGGGGGATTGGTGCTCACACTGACTTTGGCTGCGTGACCCTGCTTCTCCAAGATGAAGTGGACGGTCTTCAAGTTTTGGACGCACCTTCGGGACAATGGCTTGATGTTTGTGACCTCATCGTCTATACTTCGGATATAGCTAATAAAATTTATCCGCAGGTTAAACCAGTAGAGGGGGCCTACGTTGTGAATCTCGGAGACCTTTTCTTGCGCATGGCCAATGATAAATACAAGTCCAATATCCATCGGGTGATCAACAAATCTGGCCAGGAGAAATACTCAATTCCGTTTTTCTTCAGCGGGAACCCTGATTACCTTTTGCGAGTGCCTTCCCAATTGCCGGGCGCCGGACGAGCCTGCGAAATATCCGCCAATTACAGTCCAAGACATGATGACGGGGGCTTATAAGGAAAGCTACGGTCGAGCAGAGAAGTTCAAGAGAGAAATGGAGAGTCAGAAACTAGGGGCTGTACCGTCAGTCGCTGTGGTTGGCGCATAGTGACTGGGCAGTTGGTTTGAGATTGAACTAGATTGTGTATTTTTTTCCATTGATTGGAAAATCCACCGAGAAATTCATCTTCTTACTTTATACAACCAGATTGGAAATCAATCATCGCAGTATCATCAAGAATAATATTGTTTGTACTTCTGTAGCAGAGTGTGCTTCGCGACGAGGCCTTGATCTGAGCTCAGGAATGCCAGGACCGTGCTTTTCTCTCACTGTATTTTCTACAAAGATGGGGGGTCTGGCCGGTGCGTATCGGCCGCTGCCCACCCTTGTTATCGTTTACTTCAGTCGTAACTAGATTTGTTCTATTGGCTACATGATTTGGTCAGCATAGCTGCTAGCCCTAAGGCCGGATATATGAATTGACCTGATCTGGACGACCACAGTGAGAACGAACTGGCAGACATTTCAAGGTGGATGAAATACGATCAGACAAAAAGAAAATGCAACCAACCCAAGATTCGGCCTCGGACGAGGCTAATGGGAAGGTCATCGTCTTGAATAATCATGAAGTCGAACAATTTTATGGCTCTTCTACCACTCACGCCTACCGGATCAAATCTGAATTGGTGGGGAAGTGTATGGAGGAGATTGGCATGGGAAAGTAAGTCATCGAGGTCCCAAGACTATAGTTTCGGTCTAACGACATAGCCAGATTTCAATGGAAGTTGTTTGTGGTGACGGGGTTTGGATGGATTGTCGATAATGTACATTTCCTTTCCTATGATCACGTTCGGTACTGATCTCAGTTCCCCTTCTTAGTTTGCCTCTCAAGGGATCGGCAGCGTTCAACCACCCATCGAGCAAGAATTCTCAGACATAAGCCAAGTCAGTTACAGTTCGGTCGCGCACTATGTTGGTCTGATCATTGGTGCATCATTCTGGGGCATCTCGAGTGATTTTATCTGTCATCGCCCTGAATTCAACTGCAAGCTGCTCATAGCTGGGGTTTTCCTTTGCGCAGTGGCCGGTTCGATGAACTTTATGGCTTTTAGTGCGTTTTGGGCGGTTATTGGTACTGCTGGGGGGGAAACGTACCCGTTGACTCGATGATATTTTTGGAGTTCGTTCCAGGAAGGTACGTCTCAATTGAGTGTCACAACAATCTCCCGGAGTACTAACAGCGACCTAGTCACCAATACCTTCTGACTGCCTTGTCTGCATGGTGGAATTTGGGCCAACTTGTTGTTTCCCTGATTGCATGGGTCTTCTTGGTTAATTTTAGCTGCCGACAGATGCAACATCCGCGACCTGCTCACGCCAGGACAACATGGGATGGTAAGTATGTCATTGGTTTTTCCATGATGCATAGGTAACTAATATTCCTACAGGATATATACAATGATCACCCTTGGTGCCTTGTCACTTGCTTTTACGTTCATCCGTATCTTTGTTTTCAAGCTCCCCGAAACACCTCGATTCCTATCTCAAGGCCGGGACCAGGATGCTGTGGACGCCGTCAACTACGTTGCCAGACAAAATGGCAAGCCAGAGCCTTTGACTATTGCAATGCTTCGTGAGGTTGATGCTAGGTTGGGCTCTGCTTCCGCTGAGGATGGCAGAAACACACGGCTGTCGAGGAAAGAGGTCATCTCCTAGAATATGCAAGCGTTCAAAGGAGAACATTACCGAGCTTTGTTTGCCACTCGGAAGCTTTCCAGGCATACCATTATCATCTGGGGAGTATTGTTGACTGTTGGTGAGTATAATTAGGCCTGGTACTCAGGAGGGGGTATTAACTTCACTGTTTAGGGATCGGATACCCACTTTACTTCAATTTCCTCCCTTCATACCTGGCAACCAAGTTCACCGAGGACTCCTCCCTTTATCTGACGTACCGGAACTACTGCATCACCTCGGCCGTTGGTATGGTGGGGCCTTTGTCGGCCGCTGTAGCGGTGAACACAAGGCTAGGAAGACGGTATATGATGGGAATATCAGCAGTAGTCACGGCTGTGTTCCTTTTTGCTTATGTGGGCGTCAATAACTCATCTGCAAGTTTGGCATTTTCTTGCGTAACAAGTCTTTTGGCCAATTTCGGTATGTTTTGGAGAGAGATCTCCTGAGTTCGCTAGTCCCGCAGGCTAACATGGATTTACAGAGTATGCCGTCATGTATGCCTGTACCCCAGAGTCATTCCCAGCTCCGCACCGTGGTACTGGTACTGGTACAGCTGCCGCTCTGCTACGACTGGGTGGGCTTCTTGCTAGTCTTATTGCGTCTCAGACGGGATTCACCAGTGCGCCAATTTATGCCAGTGCAGCCCTTTTGGTTGCTGTTGGAGTTTTCTGTATCGGACTACCATTTGAGACGCACGGGCATGATGCACTTTAGAGGTCTTGTACACCGATGAGTGTTTTACTGGATTTGGAAGACGTTTTGCTGGTTACTATGTCGTCAAACCTCGGCAATTGATTTGATCTTAATTCTAACAATCCTCTATTCATGTTGTCCATATTATCCCTCAGATGCCACAAGGTGGCTGGGATCCTTCGTGCTGTTTTGATGTGTAATTTGGGAATTCAAATCTCTGCTAGCTTTGAGGAGGGACATTAACTCACCAAGTCTTTCACCAAGAATTATGGAGTAGACCCGATTATGCTATCGCACTTCTTTTTTCCCAGAGAAAGTTTTCTTTCCTAATAGGAGATTAGATTAACGAGTGCTGCCCCCATTCACGCGGAACTTATGCCGTTTTCACTAGTGGCGGCATATGCAAGCTTCATGCACCAACCCCCACCCTTGATAGAAGCCCGCAATGAGTGGGGGAGCTTTGATAGAGATCATGCAAAGCTTTCCCCTTATCTACGCCTCTTAAAGACCACATCGTGTCGAAGACACCAATTCACCAAACTCTCAGGATCAATTCACTTATACTTTTGGCATATCTCTTGCCGGGGGTAGTTCAACTACGCACTCCTACAATTGGACCACCACGAGCCACGAACGCACACAATGGGCAAGAAACGCGTTCTAGTTGGCTACGGTGTCGATACTGATGAGTGGCTGGCTGGCTGGGTTCGTATGGTGGTGAAGACAGCGTCAGCGACATCAGTCGAGGTATGCAAAGCAACACTCACACCTCCCCGAACCAATATCTTCAATTACTCACTACAAAAAATCAGGTCTCTGGGCCGGCCATATAGGAACCACTCGACTCCTCAAATTATTCGAGAAATACAACATCAAGGCCTCCTGGTTCATCCCAGTGCATTCGCTCGAGACCTTCCCCGAGGAATGCGCGAAAGTCCGAGATGCAGGTCGCGAGATCGGTCTGCATGGGTACTCACACGAGAACCCAGCCAGCATGAGCAAAGAGCAGCAACTGGAAATCCTCGATAAGACCTACAAGATGCTAACGGAGTTCTGCGGCAAGCCGCCACGCGGCATTGTCGCGCCGTGGTGGGAAGCCAGTGCGGAGATGGTCGAGTTGCTGCTTGCGTATGGTATTGAGTACGATCACTCTATGTCGCATGAGGATTGCCAGATGTACTGGTTGCGGACGGGTGATTTGTGGATGAAGATTGATTATTCGAAGAAGGCTGAGACATGGATGAAGCCGCTTGTCAGGGGTGAGATGACGGGGTTAGTAGAAATCCCGGGAAGCTGGTACATTGATGACCTGCCGCCGATGATGTTCATCAAGAACCCGGCGAATAGTCATGGGTGGGTGAATCCGAGAGATGTGGAGGATATTTGGAAGGTTGATGCTCCACTTTACTGCGCTTTTCTTGCCTCTGTTTTACTTCCTTTTGCCTGCTTTATTATAGTGATCCTACATTGGTCGAGTCTGACATGGCATTGGAATAAGCATGGCTGGCTGACAATGACCATCCCCTATCAGGATCATTTCGACTACTTCTACGGCGAATACGGCGAGTTTGTTTTCCCGATGACGATCCACCCAGATGTCTCTGGGAGGCCTCATGTGCTCCTCATGCATGAAAGGTGAGACAGCCCCATCTAAACCGGGGAAGGCGGAAGAAAGTGGGCCATTAAGATTAGGCCTGGGGAAACACGAACTAACGAAGTTGCAGAATCATTGAATATATCAATCAGCATGAGAGTGTCGGATGGGTGACATTCGAGCAGATGTGTGATGAGTTTAAGAGAAACAATGAGCCGCCGCCTGGGGCATTGATGCCGGCGGCCCGGGGAAGTGTACCCTGAAAGCCTTGAAGGTTCAGGGTGGCTGTAGGGAAGGTGATCGGGAATGTATATCTGCTTGGTGTACATATATTGGTGAACTTTAGTACCTGTACAGTCCAGAACTTATCGATCCGTACATGGGCTGCCCAATGACTGAAGTTTTCGGGGATCATTTACTACTAAAGGTTCTACTCTTGTCTGTCAGTATTCAACCGGAAATCATAATATGCATGTCGTTGATACATATTATGGTTGTATCGCGTCTTATAGATAGGTAATAGCTATGGACTTGCGTTCCAGGTGCACTATCATCCAATTATCGAATTTGCGATGTACTATACGGTGATATACTAGTGCAAGTGCAAGTGTGACTCTCGCAAGATATTTTGATCCTGACTAGTGTAGCGAGATGTGGCATTTAAGGCGAGCACTACCTCTGGCAGCCACTGAAACATACATCTTGGCTCTGCAGAGTTAGAAGAGTATACAAGAGTAGAACACTATCATGATGTGTTAATAGTATCAATTATAGAGATACACGCTGCAGACATTATTCGCAAGCAATGTTGTCATATTGTAGCAGAGTCTTTCCTATCCCGCCAGAGCTGCCAGTCCCATAACCATGATTAGGTTTGACCTTTTTTTAACCGATCGCTGCTCGCTAGGTACAAGCCCTGTGATTGGTTGCGGAAGCGATGAGCGGGGTGGCATTCGTGATTGTGATAGGTGGTGAAAACATCAAGGATGAATTAATAATTGAATAAAGAAGCAAAGAGGCAAAGAGGCAAAGCCAAATTCTCATCGAATCCAGGTTTTCAGCAAGAAAGTTAGTCATACGAGCAGGCATTTCCTGGAAGATTCTTTATCCATAATCAGAAGAGGCGACTTATCTATTTTTGACTGAAGATTTTCTTCTCGCCTCTTGTCAGTTATAGCCGTTAATTATCCCCGAGAGACTGCCAAGAGGGAGGTAATCCATGGTGATAGGTCAAAACCGTGACCTGGTTCTCCGTTGGTTCCAGGTGCTTGTCCAAATGGTTCCGAGGGGTCGCCCCCAATCACAAAGCGTTGCTGACATGTCGCCGAGACCCCGAAAAATAGGAACATGGTAAGAACCATGTGGAATCTGACGTCGGTGCCAGACATTGTTGATGTATACATATTATCATCATTACCCGACTTCTACAGGGCTTGGCCTTCGTATAGTGTTGCAGAACACGACGATGACTTGATGCTGTCATTAGTTCGATATGTAATCAGATCGGGGAAGGGTTTGCCCGAGGAAAGAGATGTCGTAAGTCAGTTCTAGATCCTTGAGGTATGAGAGTGCCTAGAGAGCGCAGATGGACAGTGAGACAACTACAGTAGATATCTCTCGCTGGCTGTATCTCTCGCTGGCTAGGGTAAGTGCTACTTGGCCTGGTGCGACTCTGATCGGACTACGCTGTGAGAGTCGGGATGGCATTGTAGGTAAAGAACCACTGTGAAACATCAATCCTAATGGCTATTTCTCTGCTCTCTATTATTTCTCGTATTGCTATGCCCTCGGAGTAAGGTTCTTATGGCGGCACTGGCAGAGGACCGTCCCTCGTTACACGACAAGGCCGCTGTGCGACACGTCTCTTCTGGCTTCTTGTCCATAAGTATTTGTGTCTGGTCAGATTAGCCACGGGCGGGTGGATGCACCTAGCAAGGTCTTCCCCGGAAGTTTAGGTATGGGAGAGTAGCGGCGGAGAACAAAAGTACAGTACCCTAAAGATCTAGCAGACCAGCCAAGAAAGGAGCACAGACGGCAGACGGAATGACGATATTTCATCTGCTTCACCGGCGACCTGTCTCAAAGACAATCTGTTCCTTCGGCTTTGACTAGCTTGAGCCTTGATCGGGATTGCTGTGAGTGGTTGAATCGAGGAGGGGAAATGTCATCATAAGCGTTAACAAAGGACTCCACCGACCATAGGTCTAGACACAAAACACCGCCGATCTCGCGCACACGGAGACCCTAGGGCTTGGGTTAGGTTTCTGCTCCGGCGCAAACCATGACGATGGGGGCTTTTGCGCACTCCTAAAGGGTCCTGGGGGAGGGGGAGGGTAGTTAACAAAGACCAAAGGTTGCACAACGGATCTGATACACAGCGTACTCTGTGTAGCACATAGAATAACTGAGCCAAAGTGCCAAGTTGTTTTGAAGAAAGAAAAGCCCGGGTCCATAATTCTTCTTCTTCCAGATTCTTCTTCCTGAGTTAATAATCCTGGGGGGTTGTGGCGAACCCATGGTTCTCTCTCACCCTTGAACCACCGGAACACGACGGAGCAAATTTCTTTAGGCAAGCGACCGAAGATCGGTAACGGTCGCGTGGGCGAAATTACGAAGAAAGAGTCGACAGAGTGGACGAAGAAGCAACCCACTAACCGTTGGCTCTCCGGGGGGTGGACAGACTAGCTTAGTTTTTGGTGTTTGTTAATGTTGGTGGGACTGGCTTGGTGGTCTAGTCTTTTGCCTTCGGTCTCGGTCCTCCGCCTCTCTCTTGTCCTTTGGCCATCATCTCTACCTTCGTTTCTTCTTTTTGACAACAACCTGTTTCCTCATATTCATCACCATCCTCCTCACCCACTCCCTTCCTGCCCCGAATTCCTGCAGGGTTGCACTAGAGCGGGGATCTCCCTGTTGGGCGCATTATCACCAGCCCGTTTGCTGATTTGGGAGGAGTCATCGCAGCAACCGCCGACTTTTTTTCTTCCAGCCCAGCCAGCTGGCAGGTTTGGCTGTTTGGCCCACGTCTGTCTGCGCTGGCGTTCCTTTGGCCTGCTTCCTCGCCGTGTCCGTCCGCCCTTTTATTGGACTGCCTGGTCTCCATCCCCAATTAACATCGTCGTTCCTGACACTTGCCGGTTCCTGCATTCACCGCCACGTCGCATCGGGTTGTTCGTGTCTGTCAGGCCTCTCATCAGGCAATCACCATACCTCTCCTTGTGACTCCTTCCACCGGTCGCGGCTCGATCGCTCATTAATTGAGCGTCGTCTCCCACCGCCGTTCTCGTGTCCACCTCCAATGCTGTACAGTGTCCGACCTTATTCCCACCAGCCTCCGCGACGCCTTGCGGCCTCGCCTTTCGCGCAATGCGTAAACTGTCTCAGATCATCGACGCGCAACGAGACTCTCTCGACGCGATGGACTCTCCCCGCCTTCCCCAATCGCCGTTAACTGTGAATACTTCGGCGCCTGCTTCGCCTGCTCTTTCATTGTTCTCCGCAGCAGGCCACAACCGCGTCTCTAGTTCGGTCTCTTCTCTTGTTCCGTCAACTAGTTTGGGAAACTCAATGGACAGCTCCAGCCGGACACACTTGACAGGCGTGAAAGAGGAACTCTGCGCGCGAGATTCGCTCGAGGATCAATATTTCCGTATGTTGACTTGATATATACCCAGTGATTCATCGTGGGGAAATACAGTGGCTAACATGACGCGATTGGCAGAGCACTTTGAATGTGGGATGCCTACCACCGACGAGTCTTATTTCCCTAGGGACCCCTCCGACAGCTACGATCTAAGCGATACTGGAATGGATGTTCCCCACTCGCCTAAGAAGCGCCGTTCTGATAGCTTGTCAGTGAAAGGTGTATCGCGCATCGGCTCCCATATGTCGACTGTCTCGTCTCGTTGGAAGTCCAAACGCGCGTCGGGGAGTCCCGAGCGAGATATCTACCCTGATGATTTGCGATCTCGCGCCAACTCTGCGGCTTCTTCCGCACTCGCAAGTCCCATCATCTCCACCCCAGTCAGCCGCATTGACTCTCATGTCCCTCCATCTCCCGCCCACACAATCTTCGAGGAGCGCGTCAGTTTCTCAGGCTCGCAGCCAATTGATATCGCTCGCGCGAACAGCATGAGTCAGGATGACGATGAGGGCCAACAATCCACCACACCTCTCCTTCCCCCGTTGCTCGGCGATGACCCTACGAGCATGATTGCCTCGCGCGTGCAATCTCCACTGCAATCGCCTTCCGTTGCAGATGTGAGCGAGCCCGCGCACTACGCTATGACCTCGGATCCCCGATTCGTTGCTGTGACTGGCATCCCCTCTCCGCCACTCTCCTCCAAGCCTTCCATGGCATCAATCTCCCGACCACGTGCAAGTACAGTCCGGACTATATCTGGAGAGCCAGCGCCCTTCGTTCTTACCGATCCCAAAGATGAATGGGCCAACAAGCTCGGCCACGCCAATTTCAACATTCAGCCCGAGCCGTACGTGCCAGCCACATGTGATTTGGAAAGCTTCCACCAGCTTCGTGCCGACTGGGACATTGCGCGATGCAACTTTGCCAAGCACCTTGTCCGCACCGGCGAGCACTATGGTGAGACTTCGAACATCTATAAGTTGACTGGTGAGAAGTGGGAGTCCATCGACCGCTCATGGCGCGCCCAACACGAGGCCATTCTCAGTGGGCTCGGCTCCGTCGATAGCGTCACGCTCACACTGAACCACGCTGATCTGCGTCCCTGTGAACAAGTCTGCGTCCCTCGATTACACGACAACGCCAAGTTCCCCGAGATGGGTGACGAGGACATTGTTGGGCCAATGACTGTGTCGCCGGTGGCTGAAATTGCAGGCCCTTGCCGCACAAGGTCTTTGAAGAAGCGTTCCTTCTTCCGCTTCTTTTCAGACCTTGTTGGCCGGCCGTGAACGATGCCTTCTATATTTATCTTTCTTCCGCATACTTCCAAGCGACTTCACCTACGATAATGACCTATAGACTTGCTGCAGCTCGCGCCCGGTGATAATTGGTTTTATCAAGCCATTCTCCCAGACCGAGCTCGCACTCTCACGACTAATGTCTCTCTTTTTGTTTTGATGATGACTCTTACGACTCACGGTCCGGATTTGCGACTACTGCTCTCGCACCAGAACCATTCCTTTCCTTCGTCTCCTTCGCTTCATGAGTCATTCTGTTCTTATTCCCTCGAATCTTATGCCGGGATCGGCGCACAGACTGTGCCGCCCGGTTGGGTTGAACCCCCGTCCATTCCTTCTTTACGATATACCCGCGACTTTTTGCATACATCACATGTCATCTGCATCCCATAGACTTGACTCATATCTTTATATTTTTCTTGGTTCGATTTCAAAGACAAAAAATGTATATACTCTGCTCGTTATGATGCTACCCATTGGTGGGTGGTGCTCGAGCTCTTGCGCAATACATATCTTGTCTCAGATCATTTCAACTTTGAAGTAAAGTCCACCGAGCTTGGCAAGAAGCTCTAGCCCATGTTATGCTTCGCGCATGATTTCATCACCGCGGAGGTAAGTGGGATTATAGTTTGTATCTCAAAATAGAACCATTCGCCAACTTTGAGCCATGTATCTTGTTGGGATAATAGAGTATCCCACCAAAGGGGTCTGTGTTCTCGTGGTAGGTTCGGGGCTTTGTTCTCGGAGTCCGGACGATGGAACTCTCGGGGTCTTGACCTCGGAAGCTATCGGTACGAATATGCTCTTTGCTTGAGGTCTGAGCGGGGGGACTAACCTGCCTAGCCTATGCAGATGTCAGACCACCTATGTACTTTCTACAGGGATCTAGAATCGAATTGATTACCCTCGGGGACAATCTAATATTGCTAGGTCTCGGTTTGATTAGAGCATGGTCTTTCACATGATTAAACCGATACCTAGTCAGGGAAGGAGGCCCGGGCTGTGTCGCTCCGTTTCGAGCCCCGGCACTAAAACGAACTATATCTGGAAGTGGATATGCGCTGATAGCATCTGCCTTCCTAAAGGGCAAGTGTCAGATGGAATGTTCTTTCTTGGGGTTTTTGTAATCACTTAGTACATGATCTGGCTAAAATAGAAAGAGAATGCATATTTGCTCAGGGTGTAAGGCTCAAGCCTTATTAACAGATTCTCAAGCTTAGGCATACCAGTCAAGATCCTATTCGTAGGTAGACCAAGGATCGTTATTGAACTTGAGTATCGGTGCAAACCTAACAGTAGTTATAGGTCTGTCGAAATAGATGGAAGAACTATTCTGTATCCAGTGTATGTCCCTATATAGAGCTGGTATCATTAACAGATCATGATATTATTCTCCTGTATACCCTTCTAATTGTGCAGAGCCAATATGTATGTTTCAGTGACTGCCTCTGCCGGTGCTCGCCTTAAATACCTCATCACGCTACTTTACGATCGCAATATCTTGCGAGAGTCATACCTGCACGTGCACCAGTAGATGGTGTACATGCAAAGTCGATAATTGAATGACAACGCACCTGGAACATGTAAGTCTATAGCTTATTACCTATCAATGAGACCCGGTACAGCCATAATATGTATCAAGTGGACGATGTACCTGTTTTTATTTCCGAGAGAATAGTACCGACAGAATAGAGTAGTGTTGAAACGGCCCCTTCAATTTCTTCCATCTTCACAGTTTGCGTACGTCTCTCGATGAACTGGCTTTCGAACATTCTTGCGAAATAGAAGGTCCCATTGCGGAGGAGGGGCATTGAGATTGTGGATTCGGGGGCATCGGGGTTGAGTCTCACCTTGACAGCAGGGCGGTGGTAGACGTGGGAAGTGCTGGGTGGTAGTTTGTTAGATCTGGGGATCTTGGAGTCATTCATTGATGCTATCTTACTCACCGTTGCGTAGATTCGCTTGCGGTAATGTCGAGAAAGTCGGATATGATGCTGGATTTTGGAGTGGTATGAGGCGTGAAAGATGGGACAGGACGCTGCAAGGCAGACCGTTCGTGCTCAAGATAAACCCGGAGATGCAGAGGGAGAAGTTTGCGTCGGGATATGGGAACGAATAAGGGAGCCAGAAAAAACAACATCCTCAGCTTCAGTAGTAGCAGCAGCAGCAGCCGTCGTCATCAGCATCATCAACATCAACATCAGCGTAACCAGCAGCAGCATCATAATTATCATCATCATCAGTGATGATACTACCAGACTTTGCACTGTCAAGGACCTCCTTGCCGGTCACTCCGTCGACAAATTTTGACTGCCAGACTTCACCAACTTCAGCATAACCAGCAGCATCAACATCATCAGTGTTCTTACTGCCAAAATTTTCACTGTCAATAATCTCCCGAGTTGGGATTACATTGTCAGTTACTCTGTTGTCAGATACTTGACTGTCGTGAATATCCCAAGGGTATTTCACTGGCAGTTCTGTCAACTTTTCGCTCTCAAGGCTCTCCCGGGTTGGAATTTCATTGGCACTTCCTCTGTTGTCAAATTTTTGAATTCTAGAAATATCCCGAGGGTATTTCACTATCGGTCTGGTTAACATTTCGCTACCAGGAATACCCACAGCTGACATTTCCATGTCAGCTACTCTGTTGACAAATTGTTCACTGCTAGGAATACCCGCAAGCGGCATTTCCAAGTCAGAGATTCCTTCACCTTCCGACTGACTATCAGGGATCTCCCGAGGGAAATATGTGCCATGTCTTCCAGTGTCGAATGTGAGATCACCGCCACCAAGTGTACGTGAGTGGGGTCAGTAACTAGATGACGTCCCTGCTTCCAGCCGGTGGTATCGCAATCCGCACACATATTACCGCTTTGGCAAAGGTGATATTTGAGCTAAAGGCTCGATGTTTTCGAGGTGCGTGCATCTGCGGGTTTTGCAAGTCGAACAGAGCAATTTGGCTTGGGCCTAGGCCCCAAACATAAGAACAGTGCTTGTATTCAGATCCGGTTTGCGTAGCATCGCACCCAACATAAAGGCCCAATTAGGAACTACGAATTCGATCAATCACCCAATCAAACTGCAACAACAAGTTTCAATGTGATTTCCGAGCTCTAGAACTCCAAAATTCGTTTACGCCATTCCAATTGCCGGAGGAAAAATGAGATTTTGAAACAGAAAAGGTTACTTTAATGTTAACCATTCATCGATCGATGAGATCGAATATAGAACTTACCGGGATTTGCGGCGAATTCGATGTCCATATGCTTTGAAGAGAAATGGGATGGGAACTAACACCGTTGCCAAACACCCGAGTAGGGTGCTTGCCCACTGCACTCCCATATTTTCGAACATTTGGCGAGTAAATAAGGGAAAGCTTGATGCAAAAGCTGAACGCAGGATGATGTTTGCTGCTACAGCAGATGCGGCGCTACAAAATTGTTAGTAAGCTGTTAAGGAAGCATAGGGGAAGGTTGTACTTACACTGGCAAATAGGCGTCCACAAGATAGTTAAAGCAAGGTAGGAAGATGCAAAGAATTCCGAAGCCAATAAACACACCAGCAGCCGCTGGTGCAGCCCAGTGTATTTCAGAAGTGAAACCAGTCCAACCAAACCTGAACTTCATTAGATCGTTTCTTAATGTTATAGCTTATTGGATTGGTCTTTCTTACCAGAACAGTCCAACGGCGAACATCGGGGCTCCTACCATGGTTGGACGCAGACGCCATTCAGGAATAGGAACATTCCCATTCCTTGCCAGCAGTGCAGTATACTGCTTTTGCTGTGAGAGAATAAATGTAAGTGCCAAGACAATACCGATAATAAGGCCGATAAAGTTCAAACCAGCAGCCCCTGGATGCATGCCGTGTATGATTTCGAAAACATGAGGATACGCCTCTAATAGGGCGTAAACCAGACCGTAGATGAAAGACATATAGAGCGAGATAAGAAGAAGAACGGGCTCGGTGACGAGTAGTTTCAGTGGCCGGGCTAGGTATTTTTCAACCAAAACACTAATCTCAAGTTCGACCTCTTCTTGTTTTGCATGGATGCCCCAATTTCCTGAACTTTTCCGAATTGAAGCAGCCTTTGCAACGAGGACACATAGGGGATATGATTCCTTCAGGAAAAAGAAAGAAAGCAAGCCATTGCCCAATGCAAGAATAGCTGGGATATATAGCGTCCATCTCCAACCAAGATAACTCGCCGCTGTATATCCACCAGCTATAGGTGCAATGAACGGGCCCCCGAATACTGCCAAAGCATACAGGGAAATGGCGACACCCCGTTTCTTGTTGTCATAAATATCGGCAAGCAACCCAGGGACAACGGTCAATTGACTAGCGCCACATACCCCGGCGAAGAATCGACAGATAATAAGCGTTTGGACGTCTTTGGCAACCGCGCAGGCAATGGTAAATATGCCTTCTCCGAATATGGCAATCACCAAAGGAAATTTTCTTCCCATTAATTCAGACATCGGTGCCCAGATCATCGGCCCTGTTGCAAAGCCTAACACGAAAAGAGTCGTACTGAGTGTAATTACTTCCGTTCCGACGCCAAAATCCCTGCTAGCCTGATCAATCCCAGGAGAGAACATCGCACTGTTCAGCGAAGCAATAAATGTACCAGAACAAGCCAGTATAGAGGTGAGAAGCCTAGTTGTTCATTAATGTCGGCTCATCAATCAGGTTGAGTGATAGAAAGGTAATTGTAATAGTGGATGACCACGCAATGAAATCATTTTCGTGAGGTAACGGAAAGGTGCAAGAGGATGAAAGGTCAAATATGGAGGCAAGGAAACTTACTTTGTGAATAATGACCAATTTTGAGGATTCAGAGGATCATCAGGACCTTCAAAGTCGACAAGGTAAAGCTCCCTGTCTGGAAGAGCTGGCGGCAAGGGCTTCCCTGGCCCAATTTGCATTTTCCCGTTTGTTTCGCCGTCAGATGGTGCATCGTCGTAGCATGACATCGTATCTACTTCGTAGCCTGTCATCTCAAAGAGTGCCGTATGGGAAGACCCTCTAAATTCGCATTGGAATATGACCAAATGATCTTGAATTTATAAGTTACTATTACACAACCGGGTGCTGCGGCATTGCGGCCAGATCCTGATACGCCCTACGCATAGATTGGCTGTTTGGATAGGCGGGCCGCGGAACACCCATCCTCTCTTTTTGCCTGGGGCTGCCAGAGAAATGCCTCTTCCCTGTCCGTAGGCGCCGCAAATGCCGTAATTGCCGCTCATGACAAAGCTATCTCACTTGATTTCTTCGGCTCCTGATTGGGGACATATACTATAGCGAGTGAAAATTTCAAGGCGTCCCGCGGGTATTGCGGGAAACCCAATGTGGGATGGGATCTAAACTGGAGGCAATCCAAGAATGCCGAGGCTGAGCGTTTATCATGAGCAAGGTAATATTGTACTTCACATGAAGGTAGGCTCTACCAGCCTACAATATTAATATCATTAATAAGATCTGAATTTTTGATGAAGTAGGTATTCCTTTGGCCCTTAACATAGAGAAGATTACATGTATAAAGGCTTAATGTATAAGAGCTTATTGTACAACTGGGTTTCTTGGTACTCTAGTATCGGCATTTTGGCCCATGCGATCATGGGCGTTCTATCCCAGCCCACTCAGTACCGAGGTATCGATCATATCTGCGTTCAGGAACTGATCAAGATCAATCCTCTGAAGACCAGGTAAATCGGCTACCAACGCACCCAGCCATGAATATTCCTCGGAGTTAGGATCGAGTTGTGGCGGCGACTCACGCGGTCTTCCCTGCTGATGCGCGTGAAGCGCCTCGCCAAGGATCGCTACATCATCCTTCCTGCGCTGCTGATGCAGCATAACAAGCAAGCAGGCTGCACTATGAGCCTCTCTCATGGTTTCCGTATCGTATATGGAAGCAACCAGCCCCAGGGTTTGCAAAGCCTCTGGGAGCATGGCAAGAGAAGACCGCGTGTCCATAACAAGAAGGACGCATATGATTTGGAAAGGCACATTAGCAACTTGATGCCATGGTGAACAGTCGATAACCATGCTTCGAGCGCAGTTAAGACCTTTCTTCAACAATTGCAACACCTTCATCGCGAGCTCAGAAGGGATATCGAGGTTTTGGGTATGGATCCGCCGAAGAACACAAAGCACGAGATTACACTGAGCCATAACTGACGGTGGTTGAGTGTGAGTTCCATCCAGAAGGCTTGAAAGTGTGGATGTGAGATCCGTCTCATCCTTCGATCTGCTTGGGTCAAGGCTAACTGACACAGGGAGGAGTCGGAGAAGCTCAACTGTGCAGTCACCAGGCTTCTCTGATGGGAGCGCTGGAAGATCGTCTTTTGAAAAGACACCCTGGACAGACCGAGGTCGTAAGAAGTCCACACGTTCAAATGGTGTGCAACACCAACAAGACGTTTCTGAATCTCTACATCGCACTGTACTCTTTCCGGCAGGACCGAATGCGACTCTGGATGGAGACCCGCAGCTTCGACTAGGTGCATCAAAGTCGAACTGGCAACCCACGTGGAATGTGGCGAGTCAGTCATACGTAAATAGATAGACCGCAGAGTCCATCCTGTCAACAGATCGATAGAAGGAGGACCGGAGAGATGCTGCATGTCTAATACAGCACAAGCTGTCCGAACGAGACGTAGCTCCGTGATTGTAGCGTCTCGCAGCGAGAACAAACACCCAAGAGCCGCCACACCCGCTAATGTGGAATCGTAAAGCTCCCATAGAAGGGGAGATTTCCAGCGTAGCTCAAGTCGTTCAAAAAAGAGATTCTGATCGATAAATCCATAACAAGGGTGGACTTTATCGAAATACACCTGCGCCATAGCCTTCATGTTTTCAAGCGCTGTGGTTTGAAGAATTGGTAAGGCCGATGTTGTTGAATTGGCTGGATATGTCTGTTGTCTGTTTCCAATGTTCCAGCTGAATAGATTGAGCTTCGGGGCTTTCGAGGGATCAATCCTAAGCCCAAGCCTTCTCATGAAGGCGGCGCCCGAGTTGGCCTCCAGCCGCCGCACCAGTCCACCCCGATCGACCACGACTTTTTCGGCAGCCTCGACAGTGCTCGGAATAGAGGTACTACTGTGAGGTGGGGACTGACGTTCGGGTTGGGAATCTGGTGTGGGAGACCTCACTTTTCGGCGGCGCGGTTCATAGTAACAAGCGTATCCCCAAGATGTGCATGTGCAACATGGCTCGCCGCCGTCGCATTTCCGTTTGCGCTCCCTACAAGGAATGCAAGCTATGCGGGCCCGTTTCCGCTTGTTCGGTGTATTAAGTGGTGCATCCATTCCGGTATGGCCACAAGAGGAGATGGATGTTGCGGGTGTTGCGGGCTCCCGCTCTTCCACCGTGACCTACCTGCTTACTCAGCAGTTTTCAGGCGGGTTCACTTGACTAGATGATGCAAGCAATCGTGTGGAAGAAATTAGAAAAATGTTGCGTCGCATAGATCGTAGCTGAGCATGGTCACACTAAAGCTGGTCATGGTTATAAAACCTATCCTGGCGATAAACCTTTTTCTATTCGACCTATCATCCAGATTGCTCACCGACTTGATCGAGGTTGATGATATGGACCAGTCTGTGTTTTAAACATAATTGTCTCATTCTCAATCCCATGCATGATTGATACTTTTACGGTTCCCAAGTTGAGATTAGAGTCATTGAGATGACCAAAATTATATGCGTTTCGTAGGAGAATATAGTGTTTCCAAAACCTCATTGTTTTTGTTTCTATCGCGGAGATTTCCGCTCCAGGCTATGGTGACATGGTCTCACGTGACTAATGTCGGACAACCCTCCGCGGGTCTGCATAGACAATCGCGCGATTTTGCATCCACTGAGTCACCTGAAGTCAAGGTCTTTTGAGCGGGGCCACCAATTCTTGTCCCTCATACAGCTTTCTCTTGCCAGATCAAATCCCAATGAAGCTTACCTGGTATCTGGTGGCTGCGGCCGCTGTCGCCGTCAGAGCTTCTCCGCACCCCGCATACGGGCAACAACAGCCGCTCGGGAGCTCGCTACCAGCTTCCCAGGGCAGTATCGAGGAATTCGAGAAAGCGCGTGTTGATAATTTGATTAGTATTGACCCGCTGCTTTCTTTGCACCGCGACCTGGTGGAAATCGAGTCTATCTCTGGCAATGAGCACGATGTGGGCATCTTCCTCGCGGATTTCCTCGAGTCGAAGAATTTCAATGTGATCAAGCAAAAGGTTGCCCCTGTGAAAGATAAAGAGGATGGCGATGATGGAGAAACACCCAAAACCCGCTACAATATCTACGCCTACCCTTCCACTCTGCAAGAAAAGCCCTCAATCCTTGTCACGAGCCATATCGACACAGTCCCACCCTTCATCCCATACTCAGCGCACCAGCCCGACCACGCGAGTTCACCAGACTTGGACAAGATGGTCCTAGCTGGCCGCGGCTCCGTCGATGCAAAGGGTAGCGTTGCAGCGCAAGTCTTTGCCGTCCTGGAGACTCTGAAGTCAAACCCAGACGCAAAGCTAGCCCTCCTCTTCGTCGTCGGCGAGGAAATCGGCGGAGACGGCATGAAGGTCTTCTCCGAGTCAGAACTGAACACGGAAAGTGCCTACCACACCGTGATCTTCGGTGAGCCTACTGAGGCAAAGCTTGTCTCTGGGCACAAGGGTATGCTCGGCTTTGAGGTCCTTTCCCACGGTAAAGCCGCGCACTCGGGATACCCGTGGCTCGGCAAGAGCGCTGTCTCAGGGATCTTGCCGGCATTGAGTCGTGTGGATGAGCTCGGCAATATCCCTGTCGGCGAGGGAGGTCTGCCTGCGTCCTCTAAGTATGGCCCCACCACCCTTAACATTGGCACAATTCGAGCCGGTGTGGCTACAAACGTCGTCCCTGCCTCTGCACGTGCGGATGTCGCTGTTCGCCTCGCGGCTGGTACACCGGACGAGGCGCGGGAGATCATCCGCCGGGCTGTGGAGGATGCAACTCGTGATGTCGAGGCTGATGTTGAGGTTGACTTTTCTAAGCACAATGAGTCATACGGTCCGCAAGACTTGGATACTGATGTGGATGGGTTTGATGTCATGCCCGTCAACTATGGTACTGATGTGCCTAACCTGAAAGTCCGCGACGGTGTCAAGCGTTATCTCTATGGACCTGGAAGTATCTTCGTTGCTCATGGTGACAATGAAGCGCTCACTGTCGCAGACCTAAAGGACGCTCTTTCGGGCTTCAAGAAGCTGATTGGCGCTGCTCTTCAGCGAGAGTGAACGGTCGGCCCCGGGCCTACATTGTCTTGTTATGATACACAGTCTTGATTGTATATACCAAATCAGGTCATTCCGGGTTTTCTAATGATGTGCGGAAATGATCACCATGTTCCAATTCGGAGTCTCTGGAATTATCTTCAATGGACAGAGAATCCAGGAGATAATACACCTAAGTACAAATCAAACAAACTTTGAATGCCGGTTTCAATGTTACAAGACGAAACGCCAATATCTAATGAAATGAAACAAGCATCCAAGCGCTACTCAGCAGCCTGAACAGCCTCGGCGACCTTCCGCTGCCAGCCAGTCTTCAGATCACCCGTAGGCTTGAACCGTGGCAGCGGGTGAGCCTCGGTATTAAATACATGGTCCTCGAGGGAAATAAAGTCCCGGTCAGAGAACAACAAATAAAAGTACTTGAGCGTCTCGGCCATCCAGAAGCTCTCCATATTATCACGCGTGGTGGGCGGGGTAGTGTCAGCATTGGACAGAGAAGTGAAGCCCTTGATCCGTTTGATGGTGGCCTCACCATCTGCCAGTTCAGATTCTTCACCCTCAACCACGGCGGTGTATTTGACGAAAGCTTTGAACATTTCCCAGCCCCATTCGCGGTAGATCACATCGCCGGTAATGCGGTACATGTAGAACAAGGACTCGACAGTCTCCGGTCGTTGGAGGTTATGGCGGTCCATGTTGTGAATCTCAATGTCCTTGCGCCAGGGCTCAGAGCCATCGGACTTGGGGAATAGTGGCTGGGAGATCGACTTCAGTTCGAATGGCGACGTAGTTCCAGATGCAGACTTGGGATCGGGATACTTGTCTCCCATCATGACGGGTGGCGAGTCGAGAATGAAGTGGGAGATCTCGGGGGCTAGGCCTGTCGCTGTTTTTAGATATGTTGCCCAGCAGGTCTTCATCAGCTCCTTGGAGATGAGAATCTCCTCCTCGCGCTGCTGTGACCAATCTGCGGATTTTCTTGACTCTGCCAGGGGTCGGCCGCCGGTAGCACCAAGAGCATATGTTCCAGGGAGGAAGCATACCAAATGGTCCATTTTAGGAGTAAGGCCTTCCTTCAAGCCGTTGGGGCGCTCTCCTAGGACCATCAACTGTGAGTTTTGAGAGAAGGCAAGCAAGTGCTTGCGGATGCCAGCCAAGGATTCATCCCAAAGCTCTTTGTAGACAGGCTCCTGTTCAGAAGTTTGGAGGTACTGCTTGATCAGGTACTCTATAAGAATCAAAATTAGCGAAGCCCTCCAGTTTAAGACCAATGGTGTGACGAACCGTAGTATGAATCACCTCGGCTACCCAGACGAATGTTCTCGCCATGAAAGTGACCCGTCTTAGGATTAATGTAGATGGGAACGAGGCCATCTTGGGGGTGTTCATTATCGATAACCTCCATGACCTTCTCAACGGCCCTCCAATATTCAGCCTCACCAGTCAGCTTCGCTAGATACTTGAACTCAAGCTGGACTGAGGTTGCCTCGGCAGTAGAAGAAGCACCCCCATCGCCATGCGATGGCAAGCCCTCTGACTTGTTCAAGTTCACGCTGGCGTAGGGAATACCAGAGGGAGACTCAAACGCTCCGAGCAAGCGGTCTCCAAGATCAGCAGCCATTTCAATGTACAAGTCCTCACCAGCGGCGCCGACATCATCATCCGCAATTGGGGCGAGGTCTGGATATTTCGTCGACAGATAGTGTGCGGACAGCAAGCCTCCCAGCATGCGAATGGTTGTTTCGAACGTGCTCACGTCGTGGTCTTGAGTATATTTTAACGAAGTGGCGATCCACTCTCGCGCATGGCGCACCTCGGTGGTGAGGTTCATGATCATCATAGTATCTAGGGCATCAACGATGATCCAGCCCATGCCACCTTCGACCATGTTTCTGCTTCGGCCCGAGATCGGGTTATACTCGTCCGAGCCTGTGGTAGTTGAATGTTAGCTGGTCAATTCTGACAGCGCAGCTCGCGAAATTCTCTCACCCCAAGCATCCTTTTCATATCCCTGCCAGCTGACAACAAACGCATCCCGAACCTTCTCCCGACGCGCGTTCCAGTCGACGATTGACATCGAAGGACTCTCATCATCAAGAGTCTGCGCCCATTTCCAGAGTTCAGCTCCGACGTCCAACGAGCCCGAGCCCTGCCACACAGGCATCGACGACATATAGTACCACAAAAACGTCAACGCGCAAACACCCAGCACAAACAGCGGCCGCCATCGTCTCCGTGGAGCCGTGCGCTTCGGCGTAAAGTACGGCTTGTCTTTGTACATGGGGAGAGTGCGGTCGTTGCCTTCGAAAAATCCTCCTACTTTACTCGAGAGACCTGCAGGACCAGTTGAGAGGCCGAGTCCTGCAAGGCCTTGGTTGGAGCGAGAGCGGTTATCCTGAAATGGGCTCGTGGCGAAGGAACGTCCCTGAAATGACATGATTATCCTGGTGAGCCCGTCGCCAAATGCGTGTCGGTCCTGCGACTGCCTAGTATGAGAGCATGGGATTATGCAGCGGTGTTGGGGCGTCGGTTTCTTGGGAAATGTGGTCTTCGAAGCTCAACGGTGGCGGCGAATGCGCGGGGTGGGCTCGTCTTTCAACGACGGCGGCCTGGAGGTATCAACTAATTAGCAAGGTGCTTGCAGTGTTTCTTAAATGGTAAAAAGACGAACGTACCGTCTTGAAATCGCCAGTAGGTTCCTTGCTCGCGGATTTAAAGTCGATGTTGTGTCGGTTCGCAGTTACAGGTCAATGCGAACATGCCAACGTGTGCTTAAGTCGACAATCAATTTCTCCGATGGTACACCCGGGGGTATTCTTCGTCCCGTAGCCGAAAGAGAAATTATCCGCGATTTCAAATGTATCCTGAGGAGGCCGCTCTTTCGCTATAGTTCGATGCGATGTTGAATTGTTGTCAGGGATAGACACCACTGTCGGGGAAGTGGAGTAAATATGAAGCTCGGTCACCGGGATGAACCACCCTAAGAGGGCGGAATTACACATTGCCATCGCAAGTTAACTAAGTCGGCGCTTAATTTCCAGTAATGAACTCCATTCTATTCGAAATCTGTAGGGCTTGATAGTTTCCAGACTTCTTGGGGCCATAACTCACATTTTCATGGCGCACGTAGGTCCAGACTGCAATGTGTATTTACTGTAACTCTCACTCGAGGTTAGTCTCAGGCTACGAATATATTTACCGACAGCAAGAAGCCATCGGGGCACTCCTCAATAACAATTCCCGTTGAATGATGCATGGTATTCTAGACGGCGGGTTTCCAACAGGATGAAATTGTATGGGCGAGCTGCCCAGCGGTAGATACAATTACAGCTTCTGGTACTCCAGCTTGCCCTCCAACTTCTTGGCTTCGGCCACCTTTCGCACGGCTTTGTTGAAGTCGTCCTGGTTGATGGCATCTCTGTAGTCCTTGATCGTGAATAGACCTCTGCGGATTTGTTAGTATACAGACACGTGGTATTTGTAAGAAGGATGCACTTACGCCTCAGTCACCACGTTACGCAGATCGGCACCGTTGAGACCATCACTCATCTTGACCACACTCTCAAAGTCGATATCACCCTCCAGTTGTACCGTGCTTGAGTGAATCTTGAGAATCTCCAGGCGGCCGACCTCATTAGGCAGAGGAATCTCAAGCTTGCGGTCCAGACGACCAGCACGCAGCAGCGCAGGGTCGAGAGTATCCGGCCGGTTGGTGGCCATGATGATCTTGGTCTGTCCGAGGTAGTCGAATCCATCCAGCTGGTTCAGCAACTCCATCAGTGTTCGCTGAATCTCACGATCTGCTGATGTGCCCTCAGAGAAACGTCGACCACCGATCGCATCAATCTCGTCCATGAAGATAATGCAAGGCTCGTGTTCCTTGGCATAACCGAACATTTCTCGGATCAATCGAGCGGATTCACCGATGTACTTGTCGACAATAGCGGAGGAAACCACTAAGAGAAGGAAGCGCGTTAGGGATAGATGTCGGTCGAGGGAGGAATTATGAACGTACCCTTCAAGAAATTGGTCTCCATGGAACTGGCCACTGCTCGGGCCAGCAGGGTCTTACCCGTACCCGGAGGACCATAGAGTAGAACACCCTTTGGAGGCTTGATACCTACTCGTTGGAACAGCTCCGGGTTCTTCAATGGCAACTCGATGACTTCCCGAAGCTCTCGGATCTGCTCATTCAGACCACCAATACCGGCAAAGTTGACTGACCCAGGATCCTCCAGAGACATGTTGTAAACCAAGGGATCGACCTCACGAGGGAGCATCCGCATGATGGTAAGTGTTGTCATATCCAAAGCAACTCGCGTGCCTTGCTTTAGCTTGGCCTTGTCGACCTTCGAACGGCAGCCAACGACATACCGTGGCCCCGATGACGCCTTGACGATGACTGCGGTAGGGAAGAACCGATTAGCTTGGAAACACGAGACAGTTCAGGAAGCACTTTTTAGACATACATCGCTCTTCATCCAGCTGTTTCAACACCTCGCCGATGATCTGACCAACACTCTGGAGTGCCTTGATGTTCTCCTCCGACACATCGAATTCCCGCTGAAGATCCTTGATGCCCATGCGGAGAGTCTTCAACTTGGCCTCCCATTCTCGCAGCTCCAACAAGCTCTTTTTATAATCTTCAAGCGCCTGCTCCCGCTCGGGGTCGCTGCCGCCGGTCATGATGGGCGACGAACCGATTCGTGAGGGATGGGGTGTGGAAGGATAGGTGACGCTCCAAGGGCGAAAGTTATGGAAGATAGACAAAGATCTATAGTCCAACGGGTAGATGATCGGAAAGCGTAAGTGGTGGGGATGATAACAAGGTCCAGCTGGTGAGCTTCCAAGCACCTGGTCGAGGAGCTTCCAGCAAGGTCACCTGACGACGCGCTCCGAGATCAGGTGACCTGCATCATCGTCAATATTAGTCATCTGGACCGACCCGTTGGGTGCCTGGCTTTCGCTCAGGGATTAAGGCCTCAAGGCTGTACAAATATTGACACCTTAACGCCTTGACACCTCAAGAATGTGGCTTGTCAAACATGCTCTTTTCGTCATTCATTTTGTCCAGACGGGCTGGATGCGACGTTGGATGTTTCTCCAACCAATGGAGTCTTCTACAACAGTGATTCTTTTCGAGAGCACATGCCCATTGACTTTTGAGTTCCGACGAAAAATCTGCGATGTGTCACTCTTTGAGTCTACTGCTCAATTCGTATCTTTGTCGTGTGTACGATAGTGTCAATGTCAACATGATCGTGGAGGTAGTGTCCGATTGTCGTCATTCGGTAATCCCAAGGCACGATTACTCCAGAGTCCTCTGTGGATCATTCTGGCTACGGCAACTTGGCAAGTCACAGACGAGTTGCTCGGGCAATCACATCATAGCAATCAGTTTTCCTCCCGAGGGCGACGGGAGATCTCGCAGGTAGGAGCCCACCGCAGACGGTCGGATCAACCAGATAGCCAGCCAAAGCGTTGGTGATGGCCGTCGCTGGCCGTGAGAGCCCCACTGCCGCATTGGAAAGAATCGGAGGACCAGCTGTGACCTTTCCCGGCTGAACACAGTAGTGGACAGTATTTAAAGCATCGGGTGTTCCCGTAGAGCTATTCTCTTTGCATTACCAGTATATTCATTATTCGTTGTTTACTTTTACTTTGGTAAGTCAGATAGCTCTTATAATCTGGACCCCCCCTCTACATCATACCCCGCCAAATCTGCCCCTCCTCCTCCTTCTCCTTCACCTCCTACACTTCTCTTCTTCCCACCTTCACCTGAACCACCAGACAGGAAACCCCGACAAAACAAAGGTAACCTAACCTGAGCTTCGGTGACGGCCGTGGCCAATTGCCCCATCGGCATTTGCTGAGCTCCAAGCAAATCAGCCGTGTCCAATCCCTTCTCCCCGTTCGGCCTGTCTTTTTGGGTCATCGGTGAACCTGTCCCCCCGCCGTTAGTCACACGCGGCCACTGCCTTAATATACTACTACCTGCGCTGCTTTTTTTCCATCCTTTCTTTGCAACCAGACTGATCTTATTTCCCTTCAGATCTTCTATATTCAACATGCCTATCTCCAAGGTTCACGCTCGTTCCGTGTACGACTCTCGCGGTAACCCCACCGTTGAGGTCGACATTGTCACCGAGACCGGTCTCCACCGCGCCATTGTTCCCTCTGGTGCTTCCACCGGTAAGTAGCAAGGCAATCCTGATCTAAACCTCTAAATTGAAAGATTCATCGGAGCTAATGACCGTATCTAGGCCAGCACGAGGCTGTTGAGCTCCGTGATGGTGACAAGACCAAGTGGGGCGGCAAGGGTAAGTGATGACGCACCTGATCAACAATTGAAAATGAGCTGGTGAGAACTAATTCCAGTGCTTTCATCGCAGGTGTCACCAAGGCCGTGAAGAACGTCAACGAGATCATTGGCCCCGCTCTCATCAAGGAGAACCTGGATGTCAAGGACCAGGCCAAGGTCGACGAGTTCCTCAACAAGCTCGACGGCACCGCCAACAAGGGTAACCTTGGTGCCAACGCCATCCTCGGTGTCTCCCTGGCTGTTGCCAAGGCTGCTGCTGCCGAGAAGGGTGTCCCTCTCTACGCTCACATCTCCGACCTCGCTGGCACCAAGAAGCCCTACGTCCTCCCCGTTCCCTTCCAGAACGTCCTGAACGGTGGCTCCCACGCCGGTGGCCGTCTGGCCTTCCAGGAGTTCATGATTGTCCCTGAGTAAGTTGTCATTACCAGTAGTGATAGCAGCTCTTGTTGTCAAAAGCGACCCCATTCGCTAATGCATACCGAACTATAGCTCCGCTCCCTCCTTCTCCGAGGCTCTCCGCCAGGGCTCTGAGGTCTACCAGAAGCTCAAGACCCTTGCCAAGAAGAAGTACGGCCAGTCCGCTGGTAACGTCGGTGACGAGGGTGGTGTCGCTCCCGATATTCAGACCGCTGAGGAGGCCCTGGACCTGATCACCGATGCTATTGAGCAGACCGGCTACACCGGCAAGATGTCCATCGCCATGGACGTTGCCTCCAGCGAGTTCTACAAGGTCGAGGAGAAGAAGTACGACCTCGACTTCAAGAACCCCGATAGCGACCCCACCAAGTGGATCACCTACGAGCAGCTCGCCGACCTGTACAAGCAGCTTGCTTCCAAGTACCCCATTGTCTCCATCGAGGACCCCTTCGCTGAGGACGACTGGGAGGCCTGGAGCTACTTCTACAAGACCTCCGACTTCCAGATTGTCGGTGATGACTTGACTGTCACCAACCCCTCCGCATTAAGAAGGCCATCGAGCTCAAGTCTTGCAACGCCCTCCTTCTCAAGGTCAACCAGATCGGTACCCTCACCGAGTCCATCCAGGCCGCCAAGGACTCCTACGCTGACGGCTGGGGTGTCATGGTCTCCCACCGCTCCGGTGAGACCGAGGATGTCACCATTGCTGACATTGCTGTCGGTCTCCGTGCCGGCCAGATCAAGACCGGTGCTCCTGCCCGTTCCGAGCGTCTTGCCAAGCTCAACCAGATCCTCCGCATCGAGGAGGAGCTCGGTGAGAATGCCGTTTACGCCGGCAAGAACTTCCGTAACTCTGTCAACCTGTAAATTGTAGTCTTTAAATGACTGCATGGGTTTGAGAGGAACGAGAAAAAAGGATGGTACAGTCTCGCATAAAGGGCTGCCATCAGTTATGATTATGAATTTAATAAGATCTTCTGAAATACAAGAATTTTAAAGAAAACTGATCCCTTTGTTCATGTAGATGTAGTTAGTTGTATTCAGACAATCAATGTAAACAATCAAGCCCCAGACGTCAATGGAATCACGCTGGTTGGGCACCAAGAAAGCCGTGACACGTGACCACCCCTCCTGCGATAAGTGGCCCACATAAAATTTGCCCTCGCCCCTCCATTCACTACTGTTGAAGTAGCATCCTATCGTCGGGCTCGCCGTCGTTTTCCCCGTCCTTTAGTCTTGCGTATAGCGCATCTTTTCTTTCACCTCTTTCCTTTCGACCGAAAAGTTTTTCACTGCCCAACATGGCGCCTTCAAAGTGGGGTATGTTTCTTATCCTCTTAGTATCCCGAGCCGCCATCGCGAATTAGCAGATACGACGACTTTTCGCCTGCGCCAAGTTTATAAACACTGACTGATTCTCTTCGTGCTTTACAGATGAAGAGGAGGATAGCGTTTCGCCTCCCCCTCCCGTTGCTCGCCGCAGATTCGACGACGAGGAAGAGGAAGATGTAAGAATCCTTTGAAGTAGATCCGAGACTTCCACGGCGCAATCCAGGACATGCGCACACCAGAATCACGCCGCTGACATGTACCCAACAAAATAGGTCCTCGACTCCTGGGACGCCGCCGAAGATTCCGAAGTCGAGCGCGAAAAGGCAAAGAAGGCCGAAGAGGCTCTGGCCAAGGCCCAGGCCGCTGCCGCCGCCAACAAGAAGACCAAGGCCCAGCGGATAGAGGAACACCGCGACCAGCGCCGACGCGAGGCGGAGGAAAGCAGCGACTTCGACGAGGACGAGACCGAAGCCGAGCGCCGTGATCGCCTGCGCCGCACCGAGCAGGACTCCGATCTCCAGCACGCTTCGGACCTTTTCGCCGACATCGACATGAACCGCAACCGTGGTGCCCCCAAGGCCGTCGTCATCACCGACAGCGCCAACCCTACCAACTCCATCGATCTGTCCTCGATGCCCCTGTTCAAGCCCACCACCAAGGACCAGTTCGCCCGTCTGTCCGACGTCCTTATCCCCCTGCTCACCCCGCAGTCCAAGAAGCCCCACTACGCTCTCTGGGCGCAGGACTTTGCTCGCAAGCTCGTCAAGGAGTTGCCTAGCAGTGATATCAAGAAGATCGCTAGCGCTTTGACTACTGCTAGCAATGAGAAGATGCGTGAGGAGCGTGCTGCTGATAAGGGTAACAAGAAGACCAAGGCTGCTAAGACTAAGATCTCGCTCAACTCCAACCGTGATAACCAGATCGATAACACTGCCTACGGTGACGAGGAAGGTCTCGGCGATGATGACTTCATGTAATGGACGAAACAATGATCGCTTTTGCTCTTTCTGTTTCATTTTTTCTTTGTCTGTCCTTCTCTCTTGTCTTTGGATGTGTGACCCATGAATATACACACTTCAGCAAGACAGAGGCACTCGTCTGATGTATCCTCTCTTCTTTCGGGGCTCCGAGGTCTCCCTTTTCTTTATTCCTATCACCTTCTAACCCCATATGTCCCTCTCCCGAATACCAACATGTACATCTCTTTCTACCTCTACGTCAAAACGCTGCACGAGCCCTATCAAGCATAGACCAAATTAACGTGAAACTTAGATTAAACCTCTTTTCCTCTCAGAATTTCTAGATTATCTACCCCTATCTTAGGGACAAATTTTTGATCCGTGGTATACACTGGACACTTGCCCCCGCATGAGTACTATATCCAGGCAGGGGTGGTTTCGGAATCTACGAGGTCGATATGAAATTGTTCATAAATTAAGTCGAAGGTTTGATCAGCATACTGAGAGGGTACAATAGCTTATAGCGATAGAAAATAAGATAATCAAATCCGATTCCCAAATCGGGAGAGGTTACGGTTGGTTTCATGCTCAAGTTTGCAACCCTCCTCGCCGGTAGCCTAGCGGTCCGAAAGGTCTCGCGAAGCTGCTCTGGTAGCTGTTTCTAACGGTGGCCGGCTGTCTGGTTAGTGTGCCGTGAAGCTTCTGTGGAGCTCGGCTGGGCAGCGGGTGAGTTCTGGGGTTGGGCGGGTGGGAAGACAGATTGAATTCTGCGATTATCTTTTTTATATTTCTCATTTGATTGCATCATTTTGATTAGCCTAATTAGGATAATCTTTTGACCCATTTTTTGAAGCTTTTTAAAGAGGTTTATTGTTGTATAAAAGTGTTATCTGTTAGGGGTGATGTCTAGATGAAGCTCTTCGGGATGCTTTTGGGGAAGCAAAAAATACAGAGTGAGCACGGGGGATGGTTGTATGGGGAAGTGGAGATTCGGGGTTCGATTCGTGGAGGCAGCTTGTTTGCTTTTCTTGAAATCTGTTTGCGAGGGTTCTGAGTCTTCAATGTACACCTATTCGTATGACTTAAAAGCCCGCATGCCACGCTTCTCCCAACCCTCCACCATGCTCTACTCTCGCTCATTCATGGAATAGGGCACAACACCTTCTCAACAGTATCCAATGCTTGTTGCCACGGTCGATGCGACTCTCTTGTCCATTACAAGCGGCATCTCCTCAACCGACACGCGAAATCGCGAGTGCTTTATGGAGCCACATCCATACCCTGCAAATGGAACTAGTTGCTCGAATCTCCAAGTCAACCAACTTCGAAGACATGCCGAGTAAATCTTCAGGGACAGCATGCCAGCATCTATATTCTTCACTCATCTTTGTTGCGCAACTTGGAACTTTGGGACACGCAGGGATCAAATATGAAAGGCCTGTTACTATGAGCCCGAAAGCCTTCATATCAAGGTTTTCCTTAGAGTACTAGCGGCCCAGTCTAAGGAAATAGACAAGAGCAGCACGTCTTATCTGCGTTTCTCGAATACAAAGTACTTATCCTCAATTCATCTTGAACAAAGTACGGGATCAGCCATACCCCTACTCGAGAGTGTTTTCTTCCAGACGCTCCGCGTCATGTGAGGACTTGCAGCAGTCAAGGGTTATCAGCTTCGATACTACCCAAGGTATGCAAGCTGGAAGCTTGTCTAGGATAAAGTTGTAGGTATGGATTCGGGTTTCAAGGATTACCTTCTGCCGAGGTACATCAGACCCAGAAAATCCAATATGACTTGCCATTGCTAGCCACTGACATGCCACTTTATGGAGTAGTATTAAAGTACGTTGTTCAGGCAGTATTCTAGAATGAACAATTGCAAGTATAAGCTCTACGAGATGTACAAAAAACCAACTGGAATAGGGGACCGGGTGAAATTGGAAAATAAACACATTGAATCTTGCTGGAGTGGGAATAGAGACAATAAAAGAGAGAGAAATTCCACTCAGCCCCTTTTCTGCGCTCGCCTCAACCGAATATCAAACTCCGCCGGCCGACCCACACGATCCCGAACACGTGCAAGAGATAGGGTGCCGGTCCCAACCAAGCCACGCTGCGGTGAAAACAAACAAGCGACTTGCATAACCACATCCGGGAAAGAAATGTGAAACGCCTCCTTACCAATTCGGCATACGGTTGGCTGCGAGATTTTCGCATGGTGCTGAAACCCCCTCATTTCTTTAAGACGCAGCCTGGACAGGCTCGGCCTCCTCTGCCTTCTCTTCGGCGGCAGGGGCGGCAGCGGCCTCCTCCTCGGGCTTGTCCTCCTTGGGGGCGGCACCCTCGGCACCTTCGTTGCCATCGGACGAGGTCCAGAGGGTAAGGTTATCACGCAGGAGCTGCATGATGAGAGTGCTGTCGCGGTAGCTCTCCTCGGACAAAGAGTCAAGCTCGGCAATGGCGTCGTCGAAGGCCTGCTTGGCGAGGTGGCAGGCGCGGTCAGGCGAGTTGAGGATCTCGTAGTAGAAGACGGAGAAGTTCAGGGCAAGACCAAGGCGAATGGGGTGGGTAGGGGTGAGATCAGTCTGGGCAACATCGGTGGCGTTCTAGATTGAGAGTGTTAGTCGCTGTAATGAAGACGGTATGGGACGATGAATGGAGCCGGAAATACCTTGTAGGCCTCGTGGGCGGCAGTAGCGGCAACCTTGCGCTTGTTTCCAGAGGCGAACTCAGCGAGGTAACGGTGGTAGTCACCCTTCCTGTAAGAGAAATTCGTGTCAGTCTTAGTGGATCACGTCGAAAATGGGGGATTATAGTGGAGTGACGAACATCTTGTAGTAGAACACCTTGGACTCGCCAGTCTCGGCCTTGGGGATCAAGGACTCGTCCAGAACGTCCAAGACATCCTGGCAAACCTTCTCCAGCTCAGTCTCGATCTTCTGGCGGTAATCGCGGATGATGGTTACGTGCTCCTCAGAGCCCTTGGACTCCTCCTTCTGCTCGATGGAGGAGATGATGCGCCAGGAGGCACGGCGGGTACCAACAACGTTCTTGTAAGCGACGGACAGGAGGTTACGCTCATCGACAGTAAGCTCGCCACCAATCTGTATGAAAAGAAAGTGTGTCAATCATGGAGCCGATGCGGGCAGGTTAGACCAGAGGCTAGGACGTGTGTATCATACGTTGGCGACTTCCTGTTCAACTGATTAGCGCCGAGATCCAAAATAGAGCAAAACAACACGAGTGCGACTGACCTTCATGTAGCTGACCATCTCTAAATGAGTGGGAAAAACATCACGTCAGTCCTGGCAAGTTCCGACAACCTCGCTCCCTGTGTATCTTACCATCGTAGCGCTCGGCCTGCTCGCAGAGCCTCGCGAGGAACGTCTTGCTGGTGAGGGGGTCAGTCATGCCACATCGGGGCTGTCGCTGGGGATCCAAGATATCCTTACTTCTCACGCTGCATGATGAAGATGCGAGTTAGCACGTGTCAAATCTCCCAAAATGAAAAGGGGTGGATGGGCGCGAGGGGACAGGCAGGGAGAAACGGGGTGGGATTGCGATGGCGGTGACAGCTCAGAGAGCGCCCGATGGAGGGGCAGACATAGACCAGAACGTACCTCAGAACCCATGTTGACGGATGTTTTTGTTGTAGGAGGAGATGATTTGGGAGGATGGAAGTTGGGGAGGTTAGATATCAAGAGATTCGAAAGAGTGGGAGATGCAGAGGAGGAAAGTGATGGAGGTTAGAGGAGGACTAAGTGGGGGGGGAAGGAAAGAGGGAGGATAGAGTTGAAGAGAAGGAGTTGGGGGTGAGCATCATAACAATACCTCCTGTATCCTGTTGACAGTACAAAAAATACATCTGTATCTTTAAAACCTCTGTATCCGGTACCTGCTCGTACGAGAGAGATTTGGTGTTTCACTGCCAAACACGGTGTAGGCCGAGTCTCGGGTACTTTGGGCAGACGTCCAATACTGCACATTACATTCAATACACCAGGTATATTTCACAGCTGACAGGCTATGCAGCCCAATTGTCCGCACAGCACCCAGATCATCACAAGTCGCTTACAAGGCTCCGCTAGGTTATCGATCTGGCCTGAAAATAGTATTTACCTTGACTGTATATGCTCCTAAAATGTACCATCTCAAATTGTGTATAGGCTATCTGTACGATCTCCTACTGACGGATGTCTGTTTACTTTTCGCGACCGTATAACCATAGGTTGTTTCCAGCATACAGGCCGGCAAACATACAATACCAGCCAGGAACCAGCGTAAAGATGTATTGTCACTCAACTATTGAGAGATTGGTGACAACGAGTCTCGGTTCATCCGTACGCTCACTTTCTTTCAAAGGATTGGACGTGAGGTTTTTTTTTATTAGGTCATGATATTGAGAAGAGTAGGAACCACACTATGGTGGGTGTCGGGGCGATGCAGGGCAGAGACAAGGTCTAGGGACGACAATGACGGAATCGAACCTTCCAGCACTAGCAAGGTTGACACGATGCCTGGCTATGATGTAGTAGGCAGTACACACTGCCACCCATCATCAGGCATAGGCATAGTTGATCGTATTGTCAAACACATAGGGGTCAATCAATTATCAATCCTGCACTTCAGGCCATTAGTAAATAGGATTAGCCTCTCATCGCTTGGGTTCAGTTTGCTGATAGCAACCGCTGTATTTTCTAGTTGTCTCTGCCACAACAATATATAGTGTTGAAGGAGTAGTATACACAAGCACCAGTCCTCAGCAAAGATCTTCTATTTTCTAGTTATAGTCGCCTTTCATTCGATAATGAACAACACATCAATACCTTTGAGCCTTTCAATAAATAAACTTTTGCCTTTTCTGTGTCTATCTTCGTTCCGGTCGCCAGCCTCGATGACAAGCCGTGATATGGTTGTCAGCTCGATTTTCACTCGGCCTGGGCGAGTCGGCTGTCCGATATAAGCCATACAACTGTTGTCGTCCACCAAAATGAAATCGAAGCGTCAGAGTTTCCCGTCTGTCATGGGCAGCGATTGACTTTGGCTTAGGATCGACTTGCATAGGGAGCTGCATAAATCCCGACAGTCTCACGGACCCCGTTCAACATTACCTTGTGACTTAGCGATAGCTCCTTCGCGAACAATTTCTCTACCCTGAATCTGATACTATGGCGATTCCGCAAGCCTTTTATGACAATCTCGGTATGCAAAGTGAATATAGAGGCCCGGTCTCCCTTGGGCAGAGATCTCGGTGGCCTAATGGGGATGAGTGGAGGCCTTACGATTGATGATGCGCGAGTGGATGAGCTAGAATCAGCCCTACAGGCCAGGGAAATTTAGCGTGCTTATGCATCTTGCCACTGAGGGAAAAAGAGAAGACGCGCAGGATAGACCTGTCAATCGTACTCTAAGAATCTTGTGAGGGCTGGAGGAACATCATTGTGTCCGCTAGCAGATCTGTCCCATACAAAAGACCACCCGAGACCATTGCCCGAAGAGATTAGATCTCCGTTGAGGCTTCTAACACTCTGAAAAAGTTAGTGATCAGTCACAACGACTTTTTCTTTCCAAAAAAAAAAAAAAAAAAAACCGTCAGGACACCAGATAATCGTCTTCGAACCAGTCAATAATGGGCCATGACCCAGCGGTCCCAGCCGCCAGACGAGTCAACTGTCTGTGCCCCAGTCGATCAACCGTACTGACTGCAGATTTTGGTGACAGCGTAGGACATTTCGCTTGTCAAGGAGAAGAGCAAACTCCACTGGTTATGTCCGATAGGCATAGGAACAATGTAGCCTAGAGAGATGCCCCATAATTCATCCCAGCTCCCGGCAGAGATGCCGGGGACACCTGACGTAAGTACCATCACAATGATAGAGAATATCAGCCATAGCATAGAGGTTTGCGACCTTCAAGGAGGCATCAATTGACACATGGTTCATAAAGCATATAATATGAGGTGGAGGAAGACAGAAACCTGCCGGGCATGTATAGACCCTGTAGGCGGCTTCCAGAATCGGGACCTTCCCGTGACTCGATCTGATCACGGGACGTCGGAGTTCAGCCCTGCCCCTTGCTGAGTAAGCTACAGCCCCGATCCATTGGAGAAGGCAAACAACTGGATGAGAACACGTTGTGTCTCCGCTCGCCGCTGGGTCCCTACCGATTGTCGACAAGAAAACCCAGCTATAACAACGCTCACTCGCTCTTGGCCTTGTTCATTTTTTGTCTTTGGCTGGCCACCGGTGATACCCCATGTATCGCAACTAATCCAGATTCATCGCTCATTTTCTTTTCCTTCTCTATTTACCTTTCTTACCCCGGCTCTGTCTCCGCATCTTCCCCAACTGTCTCTCTCCAGGGGACGCAACCCCAATCGGTCCGACTCCCACCATGGAGAACTCCTTTCTTTATACTCCAGCGGAAGCGCTGGAGCACTTCAATGTCTCGGAACAGACAGGTTTGACTCAAGGCGCGGTTCTTGAGTCCAGGAAGAAGCACGGCCCTAATGGTAAGCAATGCTTTCAGCCGCCTTAGCGCGCATGAAATGCGAAATGCGAATGGAATCTGACGCAATCACCCATAGCCCTTGCTGAAGAACCGCCAACTCCCATGTGGGAGCTGATCCTGGAACAATTCAAGGACCAGCTTGTCCTGATTCTCTTGGGTTCGGCCGCTGTGTCGTTCGTCTTGGCTCTCTTTGAGGAAGGCGACGATTGGACTGCCTTTGTTGACCCTGTCGTGGTACGTTCTGCTTTCCTTGCTATTATAGTTCTCCGAAGTACAATCCACTGACCTGATACTCTTCTTGTCTAGATCTTGACGATTCTCATCCTCAATGCGGTGGTGGGTGTTACCCAGGAAAGCAGCGCGGAAAAGGCAATTGCGGCTCTCCAGGAATACTCGGCCAACGAGGCCAAGGTTGTTCGTGATGGCAAGGTTCAGCGGGTCAAGGCCGAGGAGTTGGTCCCCGGCGATGTGATCCATATTGCCGTTGGTGATCGGGTCCCCGCTGACTGCCGCCTGCTTTCCATCCACAGCAACAGCTTCCGCGTCGACCAGGCTATTCTCACCGGCGAGAGTGAGAGTGTGAGCAAGGATACCAAGATTGTCAAGGACCGTCAGGCCGTTAAGCAGGACCAGATCAACATGCTCTTCTCCGGTACCACCGTGGTCACTGGCCACGCCAATGCCCTGGTTGTGTTGACTGGTGGAGCCACTGCCATTGGTGACATTCACGACAGCATTACCTCCCAGATCTCCGAGCCCACTCCCCTGAAGCAGAAGCTGAACGACTTTGGTGATATGCTTGCCAAGGTCATCACTGTGATTTGTATCCTGGTTTGGCTGATCAACATCGAGCACTTCAACGATCCTTCTTTCGGCGGTAGCTGGACCAAGGGTGCGATTTACTACCTGAAGATTGCCGTTTCCCTGGGTGTCGCTGCTATTCCCGAGGGTCTCGCTGTTGTTATCACTACCTGCTTGGCTCTGGGAACTCGCAGGATGGCCCAGAAGAATGCCGTTGTTCGCTCTCTGCCCTCCGTGGAAACCCTGGGCAGCTGCAGTGTTATTTGCTCTGACAAGACCGGAACTTTGACCACCAACCAGATGAGTGTGGAGAAGATTGTCTACGTGAATAGCTTGGGCTCTGGACTGGAAGAGATTGATGTCGAGGGTACTACCTTTGCCCCCGAGGGCAAGCTCACCCGCAACGGCAAGGTTGTGGAGAATGTGGCTGCATCTTCGTCGACCGTCGCTCAGCTGGCCGAGGTTTCTGCTCTGTGCAACGCCGCTACCCTGGCCTTCGATGCTAAGACCGGTGCGTTCTCTAACATTGGAGAACCCACCGAGGCTGCTCTTCGTGCTCTCGTTGAGAAGATTGGTACCACCGATGCTGCCGTGAACAAGAAGCTCTTCAGTCTTCCTGCCTCCGAGCGCCTCCATGCCGTCTCTGCCCACTATGAATCCAAGCTCCCCCTTCAGGCTACCTACGAGTTCTCGCGTGACCGCAAGAGCATGTCTGTCCTCGTTGGCAAGGGCCACGAGCAGAAGCTGCTTGTCAAGGGTGCCCCCGAATCGATCCTGGAGCGCTGCTCTTACGTTCTGCAAGGTCCCGAAGGCTCGCGCGTGTCTCTCACCAAGAGCCACGCCAAGTTGCTCTCCGAGGAGGTCGTCGAATACGGTAACCGTGGTCTCCGTGTGATGGCGATCGCCAGTGTCAACGAAGTTTCTGGAAATGCTCTGTTGAAGAAGGCCTCAACCACCGAGGACTACGCCAAGCTCGAGCAGAACATGACCCTTATTGGCCTGGTTGGTATGCTGGATCCTCCTCGTCCCGAGGTTGCCGACTCTATCAAGAAGTGCCACCAGGCTGGTATCCGCGTCATTGTCATCACCGGTGATAACCCCAACACTGCCGAGTCCATCTGCCGCCAGATTGGTGTCTTCGGACCAAACGAGGATCTGACTGGCAAGAGCTTCACCGGACGTGAATTCGACAGTCTCAGCGAGGCTGAGCAGGTCAAGGCCGTCCAGACCGCATCTCTCTTCTCCCGTACCGAGCCCACCCACAAGTCCAAGCTTGTTGATCTCCTCCAGTCCATGAACCACGTCGTTGCCATGACCGGTGACGGTGTCAACGATGCTCCCGCCTTGAAGAAGTCCGATATTGGTGTTGCCATGGGTACTGGTACTGACGTCGCCAAGCTGGCCGCCGATATGGTCCTTGCTGATGATAACTTTGCCACTATTACCGTTGCTGTTGAGGAGGGTCGCTCCATCTACAGCAACACCCAGCAGTTTATCCGGTACTTGATCTCGTCTAACATTGGTGAGGTCGTCTCGATCTTCCTGACCGCTGCCCTGGGTATGCCCGAGGCTCTGGTTCCCGTTCAGCTTCTGTGGGTCAACCTGGTTACCGATGGTCTTCCCGCCACTGCTCTGTCGTTCAACCCTGCCGACCATGATGTCATGAGACGTCCTCCTCGTCGCCGCGATGAGCCTCTTGTTGGTGGCTGGCTGTTGTTCCGTTACATGGTCATTGGTACCTATGTTGGTGCTGCCACCGTCTTTGGATATGTGTGGTGGTTCATGTATAACTCTGAGGGTCCCCAAATCTCGTACTACCACCTGGTAAGTCTTTATGGTCAGAAGTATAAGATGATGTATACTGACAGTTAATCTCTAGTCTCACTTCCACCAATGCTCTGCTCTGTTCCCCGAGATTGGCTGCGAGATGTTCAGCAACGACATGGCCAAGTCCGCCTCGACCGTTTCCCTGTCTATCCTGGTCGTGATCGAGATGTTCAACGCGATGAACGCCCTGTCGTCTAGCGAGTCGCTTCTGACTTTCTTCCTGCACAACAACCCCATGTTGATCTATGCCATCACCTTGTCCATGGTCCTCCACTTCGCCATCCTCTACATTCCATTCCTGCAGACCCTGTTTGCGATTCTGCCCTTGAACTGGAATGAGTGGCAGGCCGTGTTGGTCATCAGCGCACCCGTTATGTAAGTTGCCTGTCTCACTATTTTTGGTCTTTGACCCCTTGCTAACGCTTCTCTATAGTGTGATCGATGAGGTCCTCAAGTTCTTCGAGCGCCAACTGTACAACACCAAGGTCATCGTGGCCCCGGCTGCCCAGAACGGCAGCGCCGGCAAGCCCAAGAAGGCGTGAAGAGCAAGTAAAACGATCCGACGATCTAGCATATACAAGGAAGAGGGGGTGGAATCACTGAATTTTTGAATAGAGAACATGTCAGATGTTGACCTGTGATACACGGAATGATGGAGAAAGTATCTGGATCACCACTATTCCTCTTTTATATCATGATGTTCATAGATGAAGACTTGCAATGAAACTTTGATCATGCAATATCCCCTCTCTCTTGAGACCCTTTAAAACATCAGCCCACTCAACCTCTTCTAACACCCCACGCTCCCCCCAATTCCAACGGGGATCATTATCCCGGAATAGACGTAGACTTTCCACCTGGACCTCCTCGCCAAGATCCAAACGCTATTTAAATATCCGATCGATTTAAATACCCGAGAGCTAACTTGCACCACGGTCTTACTCCCATAATGAAGCCAATCCCGAAGCCCAAAGCCAATCGTAACGCCACTTATAGCCTGAATATACCCCAACCCCAACCCAACCCAGTTTGAACCCACATCCCGTGTCTGCACCCCCGCACTTACGCAAAGAAACAGAGGTACGTCGAGCCTCGGCGCGTCTGCAAGCGTTGCCTGTTACTGGTGGGCTTCTTGTTAGCGGATACCAAACGACACTAAGGAGGTTCCAGTTTGTGGGCTGGCGATGGAAGGGATCGACGGGGTCGCGCACCCCGGATTGCGGAGTGGAGATGCGGAGAGATACACGTAGGTGTGACATTCTGGTGTGACTCTGCCCGCCTCGTTCAATCTTGTTTTCTGACTCGTGGAAAGGGCTCGAACTCGGGTATCTTTGAATGCTTAAGTGCCGGGGCACTTGATTGTTTTGCGGGTGAATTCTGTCGACCCCTTGCTGGGTGAAACGGGTATTTAGGATTGAGGATTCTTTTGGTATTTAAGTATACCATTGAATGCTGCGACGGGCCTCTGATCGGGTCTTTGCTTTTTCGTTCGCGTTTCTTCTGCTTCACACACATAGCCTCAGACCTATCACTACCTAATATCTACTACCACCGGTGGTCATAGTATATAGCATTGACAGCATTCCCGGTCTAGGACGGGACCCCACGCCATGGGCTTCAAAGAAGTCTTCAAGAGCCGCTCCGGCCTGCGCGTCGATAATCGCAAGACGACATCCGCCGCGACATTAACCCTGCGCCAGAGTCTATGGCCACTCAGTCTTGTGACGATTCTATTCTTTTTATGGGTATGCCTCGCCCATATTCAAAGAGCCAGTACTCGATATAAAACCAACCATACTCAATTGCTCTGCAGGGCTTCGCATACGGTCTCCTAGACACTCTCAACAAGCACTTCCAAAACACATTGCACATTGATCGGACCCGCTCAGCAGGTCTCCAAGCTGCATACTTCGGGTACGCGTTTCCCCTAACCCCCCATCTCCAGAACCGTCAATGCGATACTGGACGACAGTCAGAATTGAGAATAGCTGCTCAGGATACTAACTCCCGCAGCGCATACCCACTCGCCTCGCTCGGCTACGCAAACTGGATCCTACGTCATTATGGATATAAAACGGTCTTCATCTTCGGTCTAACACTATACGGCATCGGCGCACTGTGTATGTGGCCGGCAGGTCTACACCAATCCTTCGGCGGATTCTGCGGTGCGACTTTCGTGATTGGGTCTGGGTTGGGATCTCTCGAGACCGCTGCGAACCCGTACTTGACCGGTGCGTTACTTTACCTTGTTCTCTCCTCGCATGATACAAGTCACGAATGAGCATACTGATTTCACGTCCCAGTCTGTGGTCCACCCCGCTACGCCGAAATCCGAATCAACTTCGCGCAATCCTTCAACGCCATCGGCACCGTCGTAGGTCCCGTACTAGGCTCGTATGCATTCTTCACCACGACGAATGATAACGTCGAGGCACTGCAGCGCGTGCAATGGGTGTACCTGGCCATCGGTATTTTCGTCTTTTGCCTCGCCGGGGTATTTTTTGTCTCGAATATCCCCGAGGTTACAGATGAAGATATGGCGTTTCAGGTGTCGACTACTCATGTTGATGAGCAGGATAAACCGCTTTGGAAACAGTGGAAGTTGTTTCATGCTACGTTGGCACAGTTTACGTATACCGGTGCCCAAGGTATGTCTAATCGTCATTCTTATTGTCTTTGTGCTCGTTCTGGTGTTACAAATAGTTTGGGGTTGAAGGCGAGATGCTAACGATATCAGTTGCCATCGCGGGTTACTTCATCAACTACGCCGTCGAGACCTGGCCCGGCACTGACAGTGCCAAGGGTGCGAAACTGCTTGCTGGTGCGCAGGGTGCATTCGCCATGGGTCGATTCCTTGGCTCGGGGATCATGAAGTATACCAAGGCCCGCTATGTGTTTGGCATTTATCTGTCTTGTTGTGTGGCATTCCTAGCTGCATCTGTGACGCAAAGAAATCAGACCGGTATTGGTACGTATCCCCAACGCCTCCTGTCCTCGTTCATGACACGTCTAACTGGTTCTCACAGCGATGCTCTACATGACCCTGTTCTTCGAATCGGTCTGCTTCCCGACCATCGTGGCACTGGGTATCCGCGGCCTCGGCCGCCACTATAAGCGTGGTTCGGGCTTTATTGTTGGAGGTGTATGCGGCGGAGCAATTGTCCCGCCTATTTTGGGCCATGTCGCTGATATGAGGAACAATACTGGGTTTGCATTCATTGTTCCTACTATGGTAAGCTCAGCCATTTTGAATCTCTGGACAAGCTCTTAACAACTGACACATGTCGCTTTGATAGTTTATGGTCGTTGCGTGGACATATGCCGTCGCGGTCAATTTTATCCCCTCGTATAAGCTCACTGTGGACAAGGTCGGTGAGAGTACGGTTGGGTTGCAGAACCAGAATGTTAAAGATGAAGAGGCTGTTGTTGGGACGAGGGGTGACACTGCTGAGAAGGATTTGGGCCATGCTGATGCGAGTTTGGACAAGGAGGGTGGACCGGTTCATATTGAGCGGTAATTTCCTTGGATGTTGAGATAGATGGTTGCCAGGGGGGTATGTTGGCTTGCGTCACTCCAGCCAGTAGCTAATGTGCCTATCCACGTTGGGATAGAAAGAATGATACTCACGATTTTATGCGATAATCTGAGAATGACACTAGTATACTGCTACAGCATGATGAAATGCGATACAACTCAGGCCTTGAGAGAGCCTCACAGCTAGCGCTCTCGATAGATGAGTGCGGATCACGCTAAAAGGGAGCCATTTTATGTCATGATGCAAGCAGGGATGCAAGAAACAGAGGAAGTCTAAAGTGATGTGATGTAGGTAATGCAATCCTGACAGAAGAAAAGAGGTATCTGAGATTCAGAAAGATGGAGATGTGTGAGGTCATAGGAAATCTCGACAGATAAAAGAGCCGCATCACAGAGCGGAGTAACAAAACAAGAGGAGTGAGTCAAGGAGAGCTGGAGCGAAGGTGGAGGCGAGAATCAATCACGACCAAAAACAATGGGCAGGCAAGGTTGATAGAATGCCACGGGACGCCAATAGACATTGTGTATCGGAAATGCAAACAATGAGAAACACGTACACTGGCTGTGTATGGAATCGCAAGAAACATGGGGGGTATATGAAAAATCACAAGCGGGAACACAAGGGAAATAGGAACAGTAACAGTAACAGCTCTATCGTCTAAGAAATCGCACAATGACAATGAGAATCGTAGAAGTGGAACAGGGTAAAAGCAAATCACATCAAATGGAAAGGCATCAGCAATATTACTCGGCAACGACCGGCTTTGCAGTGACCTCGCTAGCGGCCTCAGTCATGTCAGCCTTGATATCGCCATCCTGTGTGACTGACTCTGCGACGACATCTGCAAGGGCCATTCCAGTCTCAGATGTCGGCGAACGCAGTGAGGATGACCGCGGGGGCCTGGCTGGACTGGACTCTAGCTCCGGGGCGGGTTCGAGTACCAGTTTGCGGCTTGATACAGGAGAACTAGCCTCGGGGACCTGTGCGTTGGACACTCGGGGCGTAATTTCGCCATCCACGACAACCGTGCCGATGTCTTCCTCCGGACCGTCAAACTCATCAACTTCTTCTATCTCGTCTTCAAAGCCCTCATCATCTTCCTCCTCTTCAATAATCTGACTCTTGCGGGCCGCAGGGCGACCGGCAGCGGGAATCGCATCGCCAGCATCTGCAGCCTGGCCAGGGAGAGGTGAATGGATCGCGCTGCCCGAGACCATCAGATTGGAAGTGTGAAGCATAGGTCCCTTGAAGGCGGATCGCTTTCGGCGAGCGAAGACTAGGCTTGAGGACGGCGAGTAGAGAATCGGACCAGGAGCGGCTTCATTGAAAGCCGATGACATGGCATGATCGCTTAGCTCCCTCTGTGGACCACTGGGGCCACGTACCAAGCGAATGTTGCTCGGGAAGCGGGCGGAAGAGCCAGGCGTAGTAGGCAGCACTTTGATGGACGAATGAGGAGATTTAGAAATTCGCGCCGTGGGCGTCGCGATGGTGTCGATACTATTGGACGAGATGGAAGATGCTTTCGAGTGCGCACGGGTGTGGTGTATGCTGCGTATGGATGAGACAGAGGATGATGTTGATTTGCGGCCACGCAGTCCAGCTGACGACCGTCGATATGAGCCGCGCGGGGTAATGGGAGATGGCGAGAGAGAATTGCGATTGCTGGAATGGCCGGTGTTCAGTGGCCGAGGCTGACGCGGGTAGGAGTGCCTATTCTGACGATATGAGGCACTACTTGGAGCCAGACTGCTGGCAGTGGAGATGCGCTTCATTTGAGTAGGTGTCACTACCTCTGCTGGAGGCTCACTTGCAGGAGATAGCGATGAGGCCTTCTTCCCAGAATCGTGGCTCTTCGCAGGACTGAACTTTTCCGAGAGGAACTTGCGCGAGCCACCTGACTTACCACTGGGAGACTTGGCCCGCTTGGCTGACTCAACAAACCAATGCTTAAGAGATGCCAGCTGACTGAGGATGGGATGATGGCGTCGAGGAGTGCGTCGGCGGAAGAGTCCATGGTGCTGCGCTAGCTCTGGCTGAGATGCACTGACATGCAGCATACTGGGACGTGACCTTCTTTTATCCTTCGGAGGAGGAACAGGGCGGCGACGAACGGAAGTCGAGGCCGACGTGATTGAGCGCCTGTCAGCGGCAGAATCTTTATCAATGGGCGCTGGGGGAACGCCCGCATCGGGTGAATGAACAGGCAATGGCTCGGGGAGCGCAGGAAGCTCTGGTACCGCCAGCTGGGATGGTAGACTGCGCCTATCACGCCGCCCACGGTCCTGTAGGGAAGTGACCTGGCCTTCTTCGTCGACTTCTACTAAAGCCGAAGAAAGCTTTTCTAAGCGGCTGCTAGCAGCGCTTAGTCGGCGGAGGTTTTTTGCCTCGACTTCTCGCTCTCGGCGCTTGCGCTCTCGTTTTTGTTCTTTGCGCTGCTCCTTTTCAATCAATAGGGCCCACCATCCAGCCAACGGGTCACATCTTTGCGCAAGAACATTCTCAATAACCTCGTCAATGTTGACACCGGCACTCTTCATCCGTTGAAGAGTTGTCTTTTCAAGCGGTGTCGTGAATGGCGAGGGTCGGGGAATCTTAAGAATAGCAAGTTGTTCGGGGGTATGCTCCGCGAGGAATGGATGCGCGAGTATGTCGTCGAGGCTCGGTCGAAGCAACGGTCGTTTGGAGAGAAGAAGATTGATCAATGCTTTGGCGTCGTCTGGGAACTTGTCGTTGTATTTTGGCTCTTCTGTAAGGATTCGGCTCTTGGTGACTTGGTCGTCATCGTCATCGTAAGGTAGTTCGCCGGCCAGAAGCGCGTAGAGAATGATACCCAAGCTCCATACATCCACTTTCTCGCCCGCATATTTCTCCCCCTTCAGCATTTCCGGGGCACTGTAGCATATCGTCCCGCAGAAAGTTTGCAGATAGCTCGCCTTGCCTTCATATTCGCGCGTGAATCCGAAATCGCAAAGCTTGACATTTTCATGCTTGTCGAGTAGAATATTCTCCAGTTTGAGATCGCGATGTACGCACGACTTGCTATGAACGTAGGCTACCGCGCCCACCAGCTGGGTAAATATCCGTTTCACCTTATCGACAGGGAGGGGCCCGTGGTGCAGGAGGTAGTTGTAAAGCTCGTCGCCTAAAGACAGGTCTCCGTTAGCCCATAATTTTTCTAAGCAGTCGCCTCAAGTTGCGCTTTTCGAACGACATACCAGGACAATATTCCAACACCAGCCACACCAGGCTCTCCGTTACGATGACTTCGTAGAGGCGCGCGATATGAGGATGGAGGAATTGCCGATGATGGTGGATCTCGCGGGCCAAGTTGGTATCCTCCTTGCTGGAGGACTTGAGTACTACCTGTACCGGCCGTCAGTAACCTAGTTCCCACAGTCCTGCGACCCTTCCCACAGCGCGATCCGTACCTTGGAGCCATTGGTGAGTTTGTGCGATGCGAGATAGACTTTTCCAAAGGATCCTTTCCCAATCAATCTCCCTAGTGTGTAGTTTCCCACGCTTCGCAGATCCTTAGACGAGAACTCCCTAGAGGGGGCGCAGGTCAAAACAGTGTATCCAGTAGAAGGGCCGAACGAGACTTACTCGAGTAGTTCATTGTAGGAGTTGGCAAGCTATACACACACGCGACCAGATTGGCCGGTCTCATTGTTAGTGACATGTTCCCTCAGGAGGTCATGGCCGCCACAAATAGCGGGCCGCGATCCCTTCAACGCACCTTTTCCTTTTGTTTCTGGCTTTGCACCACCGCTCTCGTCCTGGGCGGCATGTGTTATGATCGATCTCCGGGACTGCCGTCGGTCACGGAGATCTCTGCGCGTGTCGGATAGAAAGTGGTGGAGTCGTGGGCTGCTCGGACTTGGTGTTGCCATTCAAACAGACACGGAGAGTCGGGGAAACAGGTTCCGGCGGGAATGTCGGGTGGTCGCAGAGACCAGGAGGAAAGGGAAGGGATGGCGGGTCGATTGGAAAGGAAGGGGGAGAGAGTCTCAATGTGCGGTGGTCTAAGTTATTGACAATTTGACGGCAGTTGGAGGTTGTCAAGTGGAATGTGGTGGTCCATACAAACTTTCTGGCGAGCCCAAGACGTCAACGGGAACGTGGTGGAGTTCGGCTGTAAACTCGAACGGCTTTTCATTAGCTCACTACATTAGTTAACTTAGGTTACCTATTCTTAGAGGATTATATCATACACGGGACCGAGCCCCTGAATACAAATTGACCTCGTTTCATCCCGTCAACAATAGTGATTATTTCCATCCAGGTCGCGCGTTGTACATTTTTTGCATATTTTGATCCACTTGACTACTGCAACGTGCACTTTTTATTTAGCACAGCCTGATGGGGGGCGAAAATACCCATGACCACCCCAAAAACCGGTATGAAATTGTGAGACCCGGTATACAAGAATGAGACTGCATCAGACACCAGGCAGAACAATCTATTCCTTCTACGCCACTACGCCATTTCGCGAATCCCACGTATCATGTATCGTGCAACAGCACCATCCCTTTACTCGGTCATTGTCCCCAATTTACAGGCGAGCGCTCATTGGTTGCACGCGCGTTGATGACATGGACCAATCACATCCAAGCCGCTAAAGCGAGATCCAGCAATGATCATACGGTGCATCCAGTACTCGATGCTACTTGTTGAAGTACCTTGGTGCTAGATATACAGTCTCAATAGAGATGACGAGACTATTACCGATTGCGCACAGCCAGGCAATTAATCAACCCGACTCCTTCGATTGGGCGATCCTGAGAAGTTTCGTAAATATATACTGTGAGAGTCTTAGCTACCAGATACCAGATCCATCCCCTGGGCTCGCCCTGAAGTACCTCTCCACTTCCAGTGTTCCATTTTAAATTTAATGCTTAGTTTGAAGGTATCTGAGGAACACCTAGTAGTACACTAACACTAGACGCACTGAAGATCTTTTCTACTACCACCTCCAGATTATTAGGGCTGTATAGTGGCAGTTCAAAAGGCTGAGTCTAGAAACCAAAGGAATGGACAGGTAAGACATGCTTCAATCGCTCTTACTTGACAGATCCTTCCAAATGTCTTTCTCATCATCTTCTTGATGGCACAGATACCACTTTTGGTATATCCAACTCATGACTACTAAGATATTTTAAAGTTATCGGGGAAACTTTGGAGCGACACGGAGGGACAGAGGGTCGGTTTCATGGTTAGTTTTCTTCGACATGACTTAAGAATCTACGGAATACCCACTCATCTCATCGTTTTCATCGCTCCTCCAGGTGACCTCGATGATGCGGTCGAATCGTGACCGACTAATCCACTTACGCTCGGTATGCAATGATGCTATTGGGTGAGCGGCACTGCATACTTCAATGTCGGGGCTTTGTTTACAGAAGACTCGTAAGCTCTCTTCCAACGAGCCTGCTGTCCCTGCATCCTCGTTACAGACGCTGAGCAGATCCCCGCGACTCGAAATCAACAAGCCCGTGATGCTGCTTAACCCTACGAAACTATCTACACGATTATGAGAAGCAACATCCGCGCCAAGGTTGCTTACGCCGAGGAGAAGGCAGAGCAGGAAGCCCCGAATGCTTCAAAGGCACATGCAAAAAGCTCAGGATCAGGAAACAATCAAAAGGGTCAAGGCTCCTTGCTGCGCAGCTGTTCTGACAAGAAGACTGTCCACAGGAATGGTTTGAGCAGTTTGTCACTCGCTTAATCGATCCTGGGTGAAAACCAAGTTGTTTCCGAGGATTATGTCCATCGTTTGCCCTCTCTATCTAGATGCTTAAACGGAAATAGTGAAGTCGAATGTGCCATGATGAATGGTTAGGATAGCTCCTTGTGCTTTGAAACTAACTGCCTGAAGAGATATGCTCTCCAGTGAGATTCAATAATTATTAAGCAGGCCGGGCACCTCACTGCCTTTAGGTAGACCACCTAATCATAGTGCTCCTAAAGTGAAACGTCCAAATTTCCGATATGGAGACTCAAAAACATAAAGTTCTTTGTCACAATCGAGATCGGTCGAGAACCGCACGTGAACGGTTCTACCGAGCTCTAAGCTATAACTGGGTCATATTCCCTCTGACTGCGATGGGAACATTTTTCAGTAAGTAATTCCTATGCTAGTATAGATGATACTGATGCCTATATTGCTTAGTCCTCTACGTGATCAGCATTTGGTCAGGTGTATACGATAGACTTGTTCAACCTGGCGTTCTGTGGACTCCAGACTGCAATATCTTGACTCCTATCAATGTTCTATTTCTCTTGGCTCAGCTCCCACCTTACGCCAATCTTTGGGGCTTAATCATGCCCATGCATCTATTCAAATATGCAAAATCACCAAGGACACGGGTAGGCCAAAAGTTGATAGTTTGTCTGGTAACAAAGGGGATAAATATTCAAGTAAGCATTGGCGAGCTTTCTGCCCACCTATCCTAATGTATTTCCCCATAGCATTGACAACTTCACAACAGACCGTGCCTAACTCAGTAAAGCTATGGCACACATGCAAGCATTTCAGCAATATCCGCTTCTATGTGGTCTTAGACTCAGCCCAAGGCTATGATGAGAGCTTGCTTCCAAGTGTCGTGAAAGTGGTGAAAGTGGTGAAAGTACCTGACTCGTTCCAACCATCTCATGCTAAATACCGACGATGATACTACATGTTCTTCTTACATTGGCTTGCGCACCTTTCGTTCAGTTAGCACACTCTTGTATCTTTACGTGGGCGTTGATTCAGCCTGCGCTCTACTTTGTGGTGGTCAAGAAGATATGACTCTCTTTTTGTCGTCAGAAAACGAATTACCGTGCATAATTGATAAGACCCAGTCCTCTCTGTCGAGCGGTTTTAACAGCTACTCCCCTCAGCCACGCAACCTCAGTAGCTTCTGTTGTCCACCCCTCTGATCTTAGATAAAATGATTTGGCAGGTCCGATTACCCCATATCTACTTCTGGGAATTCTCATAGAGTATGTTGTCGTTTGTATCTATCTCGCTACTAGGTTCGTCATTCCCGTTCAGCGAGGTAAGAAAAGTGAGAGGGTACATGGACTTGGTGGATACTCATCGATGGAAGAGCTGTAGAACACTATGGAACATGGATGCAATCTGTTGAACCTGATGTAATTGAGATGTTCATTTCCCAAGGACAATGTTACAAGGCTAATGTTTCCGCCAATTTGAGAGCGGAGATGAAAAATAGACAGTAATGGAATCCACTCCAGGAACCGGACCTTATTTCAAGATCGGCCCTTGGAATATCATCCATAGATTTGCGGGTCTTTGACAAGTCAAATCCAATACTGGCGCCAGAGTTCCTTTTCTTCATCTGTGCCTTTGAATTCAAATTCAACGGGTGTGATATCCTCGAAGCCCTCGTCAAGAGTAGGCGCCTGGTATCTGCGACCATAGTCTGCAAAGGCGATGCCAGGAAGAGACTTTCTCGCCTCAGGGTTCTGCAGGACTCACAGTATCAGTAATGCATTCACGACCTCGGTAGAAGTGGAATCAAGTGCCAGCACGTACCAGCTCTTTGTTCGAAGCTCGAACAGCATTGTTGTGCCTGCACAGTTCTGGTTGTGATAAGAAATGGATGCATCGGATAGGTACATTGAGCTCTTTCGCAAGTTCTGTCCAGTAGGCTCTGGTCTCGAGATTTGCATTGGTATTGTCTAGAGAGCTGTCAATAATCAACGAACCTTGATAGCTGGTGTCATTTTCAAGCGGCTCCGTGACTTACCAACAACGACAGATTTCTTAGCTTCAAGGAATTCGCGAGCTACTTTCAGACATTTTGGGCGCTGATCGAGTCAGTACCTCGAACTCAACATCGTGTAGATATACATACTGTTCCCAAAATGTCTTGATTGACACGTTCATAGCCCAAAGGCTCCAGGTTTTTCCAGAAATATGTGGACTTTCCAGAGCCTGGGCTGCCGCAAAAGATGACAAGCTCAAGGGGGTGTTTGCGGGCAAATGATTCAGCTATGAAAGGACACCAGTTGGTCAGCTTTGGATGCAAATGGGGTTCTCATGGGCCGTGTATTACATTCACGGGGCGAACCTGGTGCTGACTTGATATATGACTCCGGATCAAAGATCTCAGGAACTTCCATTGGGGGATGGGCAAGGAAGAACTCCTCTGGCGTCTTAAAGACCATGCCAGCGTTTGTCCCGAATCCACTGGATCCATAGTTAGAAGGCAACGCTATATTCAAGTAGATGAGCAGCTCACCGATCAACATTCGAGTGATCTCCGGGCCGCCCCGCCGCATCACCGATAAAGAAAGACCCCTTGAGATCTATCCCTGATACATCAAGGTCATAGTCGTCTTGGAATTCGCGCCACATGCCCAGGCGGGGCTTCCTGTACTCTGGGTCTGTAGTAGCCGCATAAACGCTGATAGGAATGTCCAATTGAGTCATGACCGCGGTCATCTTTTCTTTGAAATTGGACAGACTTTTGGATTCGCTGTTGCCATGTTTGATATCCTTTTGGACCTTGATCATCTTCTGGTTGGAGAAGATGACAACTTGGTAGCTGGAGAAGCATCAGTTAGCGCAATGACATATGATTGTCTAGAGTATACAGACATACCCTTCCGAGTTGAGCTCCTTAAGCTTCCCTGGGACCGCAGGGTCCCACCATTGCCAGTCCTTTGGTGACTTGGGGAAGGTATTCCCCGATATAGTCTTGATCAATGTTGAATCCTATCACCAACCAATTAACACAACTCCACAGCATGCCAGTATTTCATCCAGATCTCAAAGAGGGCCCATCAGTATGAGAATCACCCACCAAATCAAAAGAAGCTATCCTCCGCGCCTGCTCCGAGACCGTCTGCGGAGCACTCTTCTCAGGCACATATTTCCCTACAATCAAGCTCGTGCCTAAAATGCGCCAAGTGATGGGCTCGGGCTTCTTCTGCGACGCCGGCGTGAAGAAATTCGCGACCGACTTCTCTGTAGAGCAGGAGTTAGATCTTTCCAAGCTCCTTGATAGACCAATCGTGCCAAGGACTCACTGGTAACAGTTGCGACCTTCCGCCGAAGTGGAGGTGGGGAAATTGCCCGAGTGGGGGAAGCAGCGCGCTTGACTCCCCCTTCGGACATTCTGAGGACTCGGGTGAGGGAAATCGTTTTGAAAGTGGTTTAATGTAGGATGCGGAGGTGGTGTTGGGCTTCTGGAGGGCTGTGGTGGATTGTGGTGGTGATTTGAGGTGACTGACGACCATTCCTCCGGCTGACGCGCCGAAAGACGCGGGAGCTCCACGACACGAAGTCACATGGTCGACCGCCTATTTAAATAGGCATATGAACATTTACATCTAAGATACAAGATTATAGATTAAGGCGATACAGTGGGTGTTCATTTTCATATTCATCATTAAAATTGAATTCCTTTCCTTGTTTCAATTCGTTTTGAAATTGCTGGAGCTACCTCTCCGGGTATATGACATCAAGGTGCCGTTCTTCAAGATCACCATGATAAGAAGCATCTACTTTGCTCGTGTATCCAGCGACAGCCGATCTGCCGGTTCCAAACGGACTGCTGACTTGAGCTGTTCCCGCAGCCCAAGCAAATGCTGGGAGGCCGTCTTCATGGTCTCCTGATTGCTGCCGTCTTGGACGGTGATAGATGCTTGTAGGACATAGCTGCCAGTCTTCTCCAATGGAGCCATTTTCTTCAAGGCAGGAAGATTCCGCCTGGGCTCCCGGGGCTCTTTTTCACCGGTGGGATAGTGCAACACGCGGTGCAAAAAGATGACAATATCATTATGGATAAAGACATCCCCCTCGACCAAATACTCGGTCACAAAGCTGGGACGATCAGATTAGCTGGGCGATCATAAGATCAGGGTTACGCCACTCACCCATAGCCCCACGCATTCATGGATGGCTCGATGTCTCCGCGCGGCAGAGCAGCGCTGGCCATGACCCGAGTGGTAATGGCCGACCGGGTGGCTGCTTCAGGAATATCCCGGAATTCGAGTTTCCATGCCTGTTGGTCGTAATCATAGACATGAGCATTGTCAGGCTGGGTCAGGACGGACGGTTTGGACTCGTCCATCCCCGCCATCTTAGTATCGGCGTCCGGCGCTGACGCGGACTTAGATGCAGGTGCAAAATCTTTCTCCGAGACGGGACCGACAACCTGCGTATAGAACATGCCACCATTGAGCATCTTGTTCACGCGTTGCAGGTCGCCCGCGCTGGCCTGCTGCAGATCTTGGCTGCCGCCCACACGGCCGGTGATGAGGCCAGGCTTGCGAAAGGCCTTGAAAATCAGCCGACGCTCAAGAGCATGGCGAGGCTGCATGGCCGTCAGCCCGGCCAGCTGCTGGAGGAGCCCATGATGCTGATGGACGGGGACCGAGGCGAACAGGAGGAGCTCGTGCATCTTTTTTTGGACCAAGGCCAGTAACCCGTACCAGGCACAAGCTCAAGCACAAGCAGCACTAGCGAGCACAACTGGAGAGTTTGATGCGGGTAAATCCGGGACGCGTTAGTCAGGGTCCAAGCTTCCCAGGTGGCGCGATCCACGCTTATCAAGAGCGATCAAGTAATTATGTGTGTCGGCTATTGGGTAATGGATAACAATTGGGACCACTTGGTATGTTGTACCTTAGGTTGTCATCGACTTGTGCCTGGCTTTCTCATGCCGCGAATTTGCACATTCACCAGTGTTTCAACCGAGGGATCGTCCGAGGACCTGCAGGGAGTGCCCAAAAACCTTAGGTTCTCTTCGTGCAGAACGGTAATTTTTTGAGGTGGAGTGATTATGCTTCCCCAGGTCTCCGAGTTTGTCCAAGGGAGGAGGGAATGTGCGTTTGTCAGCCCCTCCACTGAGGTCGACTGTTCCACAGTTGGAAGGTAGTTGCGGGGCCAAAATGGGAATTTGGGGGAGATCCGATCAACGTTGCACAACCCTATGAGGAGTAGGAATGGGATTGGAGCCTGGGGAAGATAATAATTGGTGCACGAGCCAGCCAAAACTGGCAAACGAAGATCATCCACCAAAAAATTGGGGAAGCTTCACCGGGGATGCAAATGGGGAAAAAACCGGAGATATCGGGGGAGGGAAGTAAGGCTTGAGATCAATCAGAAATGATCGGAGCACGGAGGTAAGAGTGGCATGCTTCACGGAAGTGCGGGGGAAGGATGAGGAGAAGAGGAGAAGAGAGGAGAGACTAAGAGAGGAAAGTGTGTCCTCCACGGCGCCGTGTTCCAATGAGAAATGAAGAAGGGCCTCGATGATACTAAAACACCATCAGGAGACAAAAGACAAAAGTCGTGTTAGTCCCGACAGCCTCAAAAGCATAGGCCGTTCCGAAGATGGTGTGACAATAATCCAATGTAAATCACACAATGTTCAATATTAACTAGCTGATGACATATGACATATGGCAATGCTCCAAAATACACGGTATAAACGAACAACTCCACACGAGTTCAACCCGTTGAGCCCGTGGAAAAGGGTAAAAAAAGGCGTAAAAAACCCGGCGGCTCGTCGGCGCCGACCAGTCGGCTCGTCCCAATTCGGAAACGCTTAAGCCGCTCGCTACATCGTCCTTCTTATCTTCTTCGCGTTCTGCTCTTCCCTTCTCTCTTCCCCTCTACCCCTCGAACCGACTCGTATACATTCCATCACTATCAATCCTGACCTCTTACGTCTATCAACACTATCCAACTCGGTTTCATCACCCAATTCCTCACCTTACTTCTCTCTCTCCAGTCCGCGCTCTTTCCGCTACTGGGTTGGTTCGGATACTACCGGACCCGTTGGATTTCCCACACCACAGTCTTCCCCCGTGAATTCGACTTTTGAAACTACCAACAACCCTCCCTTCTCAATCAAACCCACCTCACATCAAAATGCGTGCCTCCGTCGCTCTCTACAACGCTGCCCGGACTCCCCTGATCCGCTTCGTCGGCAAGCGGTCCGTCCCCAGTACGTAATTCTGCCCTCCCGGAGGAGCTCCGCCCCCAATGCCAGATCAACGAACCGCCCATGCTAACAACTTCACCTTTATAGAGTCCATTGACCACACTCCTCGCGTGCACCCTGCATCCCCCGTCAGCGCTCTTCCCGACTCTTTCGCGGCCTACCGCGCAAAGGCCCAGCAGCACGGCCCCCTCGGTCGCGCTCAGTTCAGCGGCCGCGTCGGAGCCCAGCCCGGCTCTGCCCTGGGCCCTGTTGCCCCCAAGGCCGGCGAGTTCTTCGACCGCACTGAGCTGCCCGCTCGTTTCGGTCGTCTGCCCTGGACACAGGCTGAGATCGATGCCGTTGAGACTGGTGGTGCCAGCATGTACGCCTAAAGTGTTTGCCGGCAGAGATTTACGTCTCGGTCTTGTTTCTTTCTTTCCTCTCCTTGAGTCTACATATACCATGAGCGATGGGGTACGATGCTTCTCTTGATAGAAGTTGCACGGTGGATGGGTCTATGATACAGTGCTGGTGTCGCTTGACACCTATCCTTCGATGTTGATGACGGGCGACCGGAGTCGGGCGATGATACCAATTCGAGCTGCAGTTGCATTGCAGCAATCACTCGGTTCGGGAGAACCGAGTTATACCCCCATATTGCCTAACCGATGGTCGTCCTCCGCAGAAACCGCCCCATCGTTACTTGTGACACGGGGCCGTTACTCGCCGGCCTTTTTTCATGTCCATTGAATTCCCCCTGGTCTTTCTTCCCGAATCTGGCGCTGGTGGCTGTCTTTTGGGTGTTCTATTCCTTCTTCCAAGCGCAACATACAGCTTCTCAAAAGCGGTGCGGTTTTTTATTCTTCCATAGATGTGGACATCGGGTTCATTGAATGGACTCGGTTGGAGACCATTCTCCTTTTCTTGGACTTTACTGTGACAATTCAGCTCTGAGAGCAAATTGTTCGAACAATGAAAAGATTCTTCTCCAAAGAGCGATATAACTTGTAAACACTCAGTAGTATTCTAATACTCTTCATAGCTGTACCTCCGTTAGGGTACGTGGTTTCCCCGCACGTGCCTCTCCAACTCCCCAGCGTCGACATGCCAACCGCGGTAACCACCTTGACGTCCACAACACCACGCTAATATGGGTTCAAACGCCAATTCAGAAGCCCGACTGACAATTCAGGAAACGGACGAGGCGGATAACCCCACTGTCACCTACATCTTTTCCGGGCAGGACACGCAAAAGTCGGCTTCCTCGGGTGGTGGCAGAGTTGATATTCTAGTAAGCAACGTTTCATATTCTGTTCGGTGTGCATTCCCGAGGCCAACTGTCGGATGTACAAGCCGACTTGATGTGCTTTTTGAAGATCTGGTCAATACAGCCTGTATACCAAAAGAGCTGAGCATTTTTGAATGGTACGGGAAGTTCGGGTCCTGCCACATGGCTTCATGGACTTGGTCCCTGTCGGGTTCCTCGCCCGAGGCCAAATGCATATGGGAACTGTATACATCCTACGTGTTCAATTCTTAATTCTAGGCACTTTCTGTCAGTTTGAGCTTTGCCTTACATACTGACTCCAATACTCAAACAGAGCACAACCTCGGATCCGTCCTTATGGTCCACAAAGCCGCTCATCGCCTATCTCAGCGATGTGTTTCTTCCCTCGGGGTATCCTCAGAGCGTGAGCGATGACTATCTACCGTGAGTACATCGAGACATGTCTCTCCTACAATAATAAACTGGTCATTTTTTAACAAGTACTCTAGCTACCAAATATTTGTGAGTCAATTGGCCAGACCTCGTCGCCAATACACAACCCATCGTCGTAGAACCCCTGGCTCTATATTCAACTAGCCTAACGAATACCGCTAAATCACAAACAGGACTCCCTCCAAGCATTCTGCAGCTCCATAGCAGGCCTTCTCTCCTCCCGCGCAGTCTTACAAGGTACAGTACACCTCCTCCAACCCACAACTCTTTAACCCTAACCCCTAACACAACCCACTAAACCACCCCCAGGAGTCGGCGTCGGCAACGCAGACGCATCCCCAACATCCGCCCTTCTCCTCCACATCCTCCAAGACACATCAGGACGTATAGCAACGATCCTCTTCGCTCACCGCGTCGGCACAGCCCTCGAGCCAGAATGCAAGACCTACCGACTAGCCGCAGACGTCTTCAATGACTTTGCCATGATCCTGGATTGTCTGTCGCCTATGGTACCGGCGGGTTTTATGCGAGTATCGATTCTTAGTGCGGCGGGCGTCCTGCGTGCTTTGTGTGGTGTTGCAGGAGGAAGTTCGAAGGCGAGTTTGAGTGCGCATTTTGCTAAGTGGGGGAATTTGGCGGAGCTTAATGCTGTATGTTTTGCAAATATTTCCTGCAGGGTTTGGTTTAGGGATTGGGTTTGTGGAGGTGATGGATGAAGAACAGGTTCCTAACCTTGTTATAGAAAGACTCTTCGCAAGAGACTGTTATCTCGTTAGTAGGGATGCTGGTAAGAGACTGCGTTGCTTATATCCAACGTCTTGTGTTACTCCTACGAGATGGACCGACTAACCGTTATATACAGGTTGGTTCAGTGGTCGTCTCACACGTCACACGGTTCACAACAACCTGGATAGCACTCCTCACTTTACTAGCCCTCCATCTGAGTCTCAACTACGCCGCCGTCCGCTCCGTGCAAATGACCAGTCTAAACCGTCAACGAGCCAACATCGTCCTCTCAGCGCTCTTCGAGTCAGACACTGACATAGATCTCACAGACAAGTCAATCAAATCCAAAACAGAACCCAGCTCTGACATGAATACATCCAAGTATCCTCAAGCCTGGAAAGTCCTCACTCCCGCACAAGTCGCCTCCCAAGAACGCATTTTCCATCGTGGCGGCGCACTGCAGTGGACGTCTCTTTCCAGGAACACGAAGACGTACCTAGGTAGTGCCGAGATTGGTATTTCACTTGATATATTCTTCAAACATGCCCGACGCTACACTCATTCTACTTCCTCTACCATCGGGGGTGGGAGTACATCCATCCAAATAGCCCTCCCAATCCAACAACTAACAACCCTCTTCGCAAACGAATCATACATACTCTTCCTCTTCCCTTCTTTGGGGGCCTCAAGTCCGAAATGGCACGCATCCATCCTCTTGAAGAGAGGGTGTACCGTGACCGCCCAACTGAAGGGCTGGGCACATGCGCTTCTTGCGGCCCGGGTTTTATGCGAATCTTCTATTTTGTTGTCGTCGTCCTCGAAAGACACCCATTCGCCTCAAACGAGCCAGGATGTCTTCGATGTTGTGGCGAGTGTATTGGATGTTTTGAATCGTGGGGAGAGGTTTGGAGGGTATGTGGCTGCTTTGAAGAGAGCTGGGTGGGATGTTGATGTGGGAGCATTGGAGACTAGGGGTGGGAGGAGGGTTAGTTTTGAGTAGATTGGGTAGCTGGATTACTGCTGGATTTTGACAGTGGGTGGTGCTGGTGCAATCAAGGCAATGAATGTTTCATCAGCACCGTTCCTTTTGCCAAGGATGACAAGCCATGGCTTCCAGCAAAGCAGGACATTGACCACGCGAGCATTGCATCTGCCAAGCTTATACCCATGCCAAACTCCTTTCTCTACGACTCAAGTCTACACTTTACGATATGAAAACATATAAATCGGGGTATCAAGTCTATTGATCGAAAAAAGAACCATCCTATCGTAGCAAGCTATCGACACAGATCCACCGTACAAATGCCTGAGTGAAGAGCGTGACCCAAAAAAGGTAGCACCAGATGATGCCCAGAAAAATGTAAAAAAACGCCCAAGCCAGCCCAGACTTGCCGAAGAGGCTTCATCCAGTCTTCTATATGTAATGGTGAAACAAAAATGGAAACAGAAAGTATGTGGTGTCTTTCCCTGGTCCTGAACGACGCCCACATCTGCCCGTCGTACTCGTAAGAAATAAGAGGACGTGCGAGTCGCAGATAGAGCAAGATCAGGATTGAGGGTGTGAAGACATGCAATGCTCGCTGGGAGACACTGATAATGCAGGGCAAAAGGAACAAGAGAATAAAAAATACAACGCCGGGTTCGTATGCTTTCGATGCATCGTGCTCTCATACACCGCCAATGAACGCTAACAGAATAGATTCGGATCGGGGTCGGGTCGTGTGAGATGCGTTTCGGGAGAGATGATGTGAAAGATGGGAGAGGGGGGGGGGGATGTATCATGTGGTTTTGAGGATCGGATCATGCGAGGTTGAGGATCGATGAGAGAAGAGGTTGATAAGTGACAGAGTATGTAGGTCGTTGAGAATGTAAAAATCGGTCGTGTCGTGATAGGTGATCATGGTCGGCAAGAGGAAATATAGATGAAGGGAGAAATGCAAGCTTTTAATCGTCCAGGCCCAGAATCTTCGGATCCCGCGAGGTTCCACCACTGCCAGCGCCAGAGCGTTTCTTGAAGCCCAGCTTCATGCCCATCTTCTTCCAAGGGTTGTCGGTTCGCAGCTTGGGGCTGTGGATGGGGAGATGCGGCTCGCTGGCTGGGGGCGTGGTTGGTGGAGTCATGGGCTCCTCGGCGGTCGGGCTCGATTGTGGACTCGAGTCGTCCGTGAGTGTGAACGAGCCCGATTCCCCAGATGTGCTAAGCAGGGCGCCTGACGCACGCTTACCAAGGGCGTGCATGGCACCGAGCGAGACGGTGGAGCGACCGGCAGCCGCGGGCAGGTCCTTGGTAGACGATTGCGGAGACGTACGCTTAGTTCGGGAACGGACGCACTTTACAGGATTCTCATCGTACGATGGACTGGACAAGTCCATGGTATCCTCTGGACCAAAAGCGGAATCGAGTTGGGCCAGCATGGACGGCGAGGTGGTGTGGCTGTTCAGAAAGGGCAGGAAGATAGACTCCTCCATCAAGTCATGAATACGTTTCACAGCCGAGTTGAGCGTGTCCGGGGTTGGTGGGGTGGTCACATCACGATAACGGAGGAGACCGTCTCGAACCTCGCTGGACAGATTAACTTCACGTGGCGCACCAGGCAGGATGTAAGCCGTCATCAACCGCTGCCAAAGCATCTGCAAGTGTTGTGCCTCCCGCGTCTCAGGGTCCGTCAACGCGTCTGGACCCAGTCGAGCAGACAGGGCTTCATATGTATCTCGATAACGGCTGGCCTCCATCGTAAATTCGAGCGTCTCGAGGCAGTGGTTCTGCGAGAGATAGGCCATAAAGGCGGATAACGTATACGGCGGGGCGGCGGCATTGGCCAGGACCTCGTTCAAGGTTGGTCGCATAGGACAAAAGGCTCCCGCCGAGACGGCCAGGCTGACCGGTCGGGAGCCGGATGATTCCATATCCTCGTCGGAGTCGCTGTCCGACGAGGTGGGGGACAGTTCGGGGGTGGTGGATGGGGAGAAGTTCCAGAAAAAGGCGGGCGCCAGAGACTTCTTTTTGAGCATCGCGCTGAGCGTGCGGCGGGGACCGTGGAACTTGGATCGTTTTCTCACCAGTCCGCCCCTAGGTGCTGGACGAGGCTCCAGCTTGGACCGGAGAGAAAAGAGAGAGGGTTATTGGTGAGGGAGGCGGAGGATGTAAGAGGATCTCATGGGAGAGAGTAGAATGAGGAAAAAGAGTAGTTTGGAATAGAGAGAGATAATGGTATAAGAGAGGGGGGAGAGAGTGCGTGTGAAAGTTGAAGAGTAAGAAAGGAAGGAAGTGGAGTGAAGATCACAGAGGGAGGGAATGATGGAATCGATATAGTCAGGACGTCGTCAGGTAGAGAGAGGGAGGGTACCCCCAAGGCCAAGGCGACAGAGAGACCAAACGAGAGGAAAAGGGAAAAAAGGGCGTGTGGCTCCACTTTGGCGGGAGTTCTGGAATCATTCGTCGATCGACTATCGTGTTAATTCCATTTATTCTTTGGAGTGGGGAATAATCGAATAAATGGAATTAATTAGGAAAAAGATTGGAATATTGGAACCGTGGCAGTAGTGTAATTTAAGGGGTATCAGGTGTAATTAGTGGTATTAATGTGTATTGTCTCTGTGTATGACTAACGCAATTGGGTAGACTCCCAATTATGTAAGAAATGCCCATTGACGGCCCAAGTGGATCAGCAGAGAAAAGATCGAAGAATGTGTGGTGGCAACACTGCACAATCAGACTTTCTTTGCTGCTTCGAGAAGGTGATGTTCAAACTGACCACCTACCTAAATTGCAATGCTACCCTCTGAATTAATTTTATAGCCTACCAAAAATGTCTCTCCTTTCTACTGTAAAATGTACTCTTTACAACTCCTGCTAAACCACCGTGGTTACGACAAGCGCCGGGCGCAAGGGATAGTAATCCCTGGGGCCTGCAGGGGGGTCTACAATGGACCAACGAGGTCACCACATAGTCATACATACTTCAAGTGACTACTCCGTACTGTGCTCCATAACAATCATGACCAGTATGACCACGAAGCCTCCAAGCCCCCATTCAACTACAGTAGGCTTATTTCTCTTTTCTTTTTTTCCAGAATCCACACCGTCCATTCTGGAAGAACCAGTGCGTGTGCCCAATCCTTCCGCGTGGCGATTTTCCCTCGTGGCCTGCCTTCCACCATCCCCCTTCTCGACGGCCTGCACATCCACTAGTCATACGCCTCGCAAAGCTGGCCTGTTCCTAAAAATCATATCATAGGATAAGAGATGCTGTTCCCTGACGCCCATGAGAGGCTAACAGGAAGGAGGCTAACCTGATAAAACAGAACGAGGATAAGCAGCAAAGTGATCCAATCCCCAGTCTGAACTGACCCACGGGCGTCCAAGATAACGACGCTAATCACGCCAGTATCCGGTCTCGGAATGTCAATCTTTCCTAAAGACCCACGGTTCAACATGGTCTATGGTCCAGCCAGCGTGTCCCCTGTGCCCCGCATAGTTTTAGTGACACGCACATCCCCTTGCGTATCGCTGGAGATACAAGGGGGGTCACGTCATTTTCTCAGACACTGCCACTAGTGGAGTCAACTGTATTGTAATACCCGTGTAATAGGTTGTGCCTACAGAGTTCTATCCAACTCGTCACACAAAAATCCGCAACTAGCCCTATCCCAGCCCAGTGCCACACCAGTTGGGTCTAGCGCGGCCCTTCAAGGTGGGAAGAGGATGTGAATCGCCCTGCCGATCTCCCTTGGTATGCCTGGAATGTGTGGTCGAAGCTTTTGATAGACAACACCTCCGGACCAGAATTTGACATTGATCATGAAATCTTATTGCAATTGTGTTACCTCTAAGCCAATATCATCAGATCATCAAAGTATTTGCTCGCCATGATCTGCACACAAGGGAGATCTCGGAATGTGCATTGGCATACACCCGAGATATTGTTCTAAAATGCCTGACGGTGGTGGTGGCAAGATCGGGCGTTTACGATAACAGCGGTTTTTTCCTATCCTTCCACGGGGCCCGGGTTGAGGTTCAGGGCGCCATCCACGGCGCCTTTTCTCCTTCTTTGATATGAACCAGTTCGGCCATCACCGAGCATCCAGAAACAAACCGAGGCGCCCAGGAGTAAAAAATTGTAATCACCTTTTTCCCGATTCAGCAGAGAACCGAAAAAGCAACGATTCAACAAAGTCTAATTAACACGATGGCTGGAATCTAAGGCCACTAATGAACATGGGTTCTTGCGGCTAAAAGCACAATCAAGACTGGTTATATTAGTCTATGAACACACCTGCCCTTTAGTCGTTTTGATTTATCGGGCACAGATTTCACTCTTGTTTAGGCTGGTCCAATGCTACACTGGCCGGTCGCGGAATAACCGCCCTCGACCTTCTAGAATTCTAGAATCCCCGCCGAATCCTCTTGGCGCTCGTACTCATGATCGCCACACCCGAACAGAAATTTTCTTTTCTTTTCTTTCAATAATTTTGCATTCTTTTTTCTCCTTGCTCTCCACACCTACCTACTTTAGTAACTATGTACATTAATCATTAGATATTCCTAACGTGGGGGCTGCAAGACTTTTGTAGCTTGGGCCTCTTCATTCTCTTTGACAGGCTTGGCTTGGCCATTGTAGACGATCAATTACGTTAATACAAACACACCTATCAACCTTGAACCTATATCTCATTACTATCAATAGATCAACTCCTGTGAAACCTTCAGACGTAGCTATGTAGCATGCAACCACCGTGCCTGACGCCTGCTTAAAGTTTTCGCGCCTGCAGGGATCGAATTTTCAAGTTCGCCACCAGACGCCCCTGTCCTCCGGAGATCTTTGCGACTCCACTTAGCCTTCAATATCAGGATTCAACTCCTCATATGTAGCAGAGTCGCATGAGACAAGCATAGACCATCACCGTTACTGGCCAATGGTCCTATTTATCCCGAATCAGAATTTTCAACGCCTTCTCTCCTACAGCACGCACTACTGTACTGTTACTACTGTATACTACTCTCCTCTTTTCTACTCCACTCCGAGTCTAGAGAAATTTAGGCTTGTGCTTCTCCGTCCTCATCTCCGTTTCCCGTCCGGAGAACACTCCCCGGTGGCCCACACGGTGACTATGCCTTACGGGAATCGGTGAATCATTTCGTGGGACCGATGCAAACCGAGAGCCAAGAGTGGCCGAGCGGTCGGCCCCGGAAGGCTCCAGATCCTCAGGGACTACCGTAATGAGGACCGTACGGGATGACGGGGTCCACACTCGGTCGGAAACCTGATGATAAGCTCCTCCGAGAGCGGAGTCTAAGATTTAACTCTCGAAAGACTGATAGAGTGATAAGATAGATTTGGACACCGGGCTGGATAGTCACGACTAGGTAGGTCTGGCGACATAGTCGATGATTTATTCGTGACACTGGAGTGATAACTAATGGGTTTCTGCAACCGATCACTGTGGCACCGAGGAAAGGTTGTTCAGAGCACAGCAGCATTATCGCTGCAGAATTGTCTTCCCTGTACACGCATAGAAACATGCCAGAAGTGCATTTAAGACTGACATGGATCTTATGAACTACGCAGTGTTACCCTCGTACAACTCATCCGTGCTCCGTCTATCAATGCTTGTCATTAGGATCTGCGGTTGACTGACCGGGGTTTGCTGGGGTTAAGGTTTAAGGAGCTGGAACTGCACCTTGCAACTTGCTTTGAATAAAGTACGAGAACGGAGACCCGGGTTGCTGGAGCTGTTTCGCAAACCTCTCACGTGCAGAAGTGTATCTTGAGAGTTGTGTACGATTGGGATTGGGTCTAGTCATGGTAGCGTGTTGGTCCTGCATGCTGCGAGCTTTGTGCCACTGCATGCTTCGAGGGTGTCTACGGAAGAGTCGGCTCGTCGAAGGTTTGAATAGTGCAGTTGTGTTTATACCGGTCGTTAGAAGATAGAATATTGAGGGATATTTTGATTGTTTGGAGTTCTCTTGTTGGTGACAGTAAAGTGTGTGTAGCGTGTACCACCTGTATACATACGATGCATAACTGCTCGATACACTCCAAACTATACAGTACTGGACATAATTAACACTCTAACATCTGCATGCCGACAATTCGAGCGGTAGTCAACAGTTCTAGTAAACAATTTCAACGGCCACGGTGAATTGATAGATTCTCACATTCTCTACGAACACCTCAAGCTCAAGTCTTGGCTGCGTGTCAGCACCAGCTATCTACAGCATCTCGCAGGCTACAGCTTCCATGCACATCCCGCAGGCAGCAAAGCCCTATCTACAGTTCCCCCTACGTGGTCCGTATAGGCCAACACCTCCGAACTTCCATGTAGCTTCGACCACCCTTATGTCTGGGCATGCAGCCCCACTGCACCTCCTCGTCCGCCGAGAGGTGGCCCCGACATAAATTACCGGGGTTGTAAAGGAAGAGGAGGAGGAAAAGGAATTCGACCCTCCAACCAGTGATCACTGGCAACCAGAATTACCAAACCAAACCAGTCCAACCCCCAACTCCCAAGTCTTCCAACCCCATCTCGCATGCAGCCAAGACTGCCTCGTCCACGATAGTCTGACTAGCGCACCCAGCCCAACCCCAGTCAGGCAAGACTCGCGCACAGAACGCACCAAATCAATCGACTAACTGACAAATACGCGACCGTACGAGAGAAAAAAGACGGGGGAAGGAACACTTCGCGAGTCGTAACGGAGTTCTAGGGGGCTAGTTCGCTCCACAATTTCCCCGACCAAGGCCCATCGGACCATCGGTAGCAAGGGTTCCCCACACACGCACGGGATCATCGCGCTTTACTTGCCTGCTCACATTACCTGGGGGGCCTGGGGGACTTGCGCTGGGGGTAGAGAGAAGGTCGGCTCGGCTGTTTAGCGGGCGTTCGGTTTTCTGGTTTGGGGGAGTGCAATCTCGTTGATGGCGCTCGTTAGTTGGCTGGGGAGAGGTGTGCGAGTTGTCGAGACTCGAGCCCTGTGCGCAGGATCGGTACTGCGTCTTTAAAGGGTCTCGTGTGTCTTGTCCACTCCGGTCAAATTGTTTTGGTGAGCAGGAAAAATTACCCATTGGCATGTTCCTGACTCTTGATGGTGACGCGATCATTCATGGGTCGCTGGCGCAGACAATTGCAAAGGAGAAGACTGGAGTAGCTGTGAGAGGTAATTACCTCGTGGAAAAGTTTTAATCGCCTACCAGATACACAACAATTGACTGTAGTTAGTTACTACAGATAGTACTACTCGGGCGATAACTAGCATCCTTCCGAACGTTGTACGACTCAAAAGCACAAGTGTATGCGTCGACCACGGGACGTGCAGGGAATCTGCATCTCCATGATTGAATTCGTGGGTTAGACGGTTTAGAAGACAATTGGAGGTTACACAAATCGCTCAAAAGACGCGCGATAGTACAGTAGCAGCGATTAATCGCTCAACGGACAACATGCATAGATATTATTACGAACCAGCTCGCTTCCATCCCCGACATCATCAGCAGCATACATGTCCGAAGCCATACTGAAAGATAACTTAACTGATGTACCAACACGTAATCATGGACACAAGAGAAGGATCAATTGCAATTTCCACTTCCAACTTTCATACTTCCATTCTTCCATAACCTTTCCATCCCGTCCAGAAGTATGGTCCGTCCAGAACTCAGATATCCACAGTAATCCCAGAAGATCCGTCACACAAATCAACTTTCAGCAAAACAAGCAGAAGAGCGATTAACAAAACCACCTAAGCATCAATCATCGCCTGATCGCCACGGTCCAGAACTCTCCCGCGTTAATTCATCTTCGATCGACTCCACCAGATCCAAAATATCTCGCACGATGCTACTACAGACGTACGTACTACTGTTCTGTTACTACTACTCCTGTACCACTTCCTTCATCTTTTTCACCAGCCGATCAAAAACGGAGCACACGGCAGAAGCCGTAAATGACCTCATGCGCCCCACAAATATTAGCCCAAAATCTTGTTTCCGACGCGGCCGAGCAGCGCTAGAAGATTCGAACGCCGTTTCACGATGCTCTGGCTAGGCCGACACGGGCTGGGGGGTGGGCGAGAACGGGATCGTTGGAGATTAACATTGTTTCCCGTGTACTCCGTAGAGTATGGTGGATTCTTAGAATTACACTTAGCCAAGTTAACAGACGAGCTCGCTGCACGCTGTGGGCTTTTACAGACGCTGTGGTGGAGTAAATAGCGGGATGTGCGACGGGCGTGGCTCAGGGCCGGGCGCTACTTGAAACAAGAACAGCACTAAATCATGTCAATGTGCGTGAGATTGAGGGAGGCTATATTCGTCTCTTCGATAATATGATGCGTATGGCTGGGTAATTTACCTCGTATACATCTAGGATTAGAGCTAATCATGTAAAATATCATAGTTAAACTCGATGCTAAAGTAGACAATGGAGACATATGGATGAGATCAATCAACGAAGCTCGCTAACTTGCCCCTCCCACCCTTTCCATCTACCACTCATAGGCATCTGCGCGAGACAGTGTTGCTTTCAACGCAGCGCTAACTACTTAGCCAAAAGTGTATGGGCGCGATGACCCGACGGACATGCCATTCGGATCTGGTGTGTCTACAGGTGCCGCTGGGGGATCTGCATTACCACGACCCTGGTTCTGCACTTGCCTAGCATTCCGTCATTGTGCCCATTTTTCAGATCCTGGGATTGCGTGCACTCAATCGGGATGGGGTGCTGCATTGCTTTGTTTGGCCTGTTACGCTGACAGGGATCTTTCTGTTTAGTCTTCGTTATTGTACAGGGGTGCGCAAGCTGTTGGGCATTCCAGACGCAGCTACATACATACAACACAGGGATGTCCATGTATTCATTCCGCCTGGCGATGCAATAATCCATAGCAATACAAGACTCTTGTCAACCCGAAACATGCAACAAGCCCAGCACGTTTATCAATCGGGCGCCAAGCAGTCCAGAATACACCCATTTACACCAGCGCCATCTTCAAGTCTGGACCACACCATCCTAGCCCTACTGTTGGAAGTTGTGGCCATTAGAGGCGTGATGTCGTCAGCGGGGCCCGATCTACGATTCACACAGTCTACTCTATTCCAAAATTGACCACTGTACACACTACTATATCCCCATACGGTTGATCTTGTCTTGTCTCAATAGATATTCTTGCAAGTACAACCTCGTTGTACAGATAGTAAAGACCTTGAGGATCAACGTATAGTCATTATCATCTAGCATGCCCCTGTATACATGACACTGCCAATTCATACTGCAGCTTTACTTCTTAGTCCAGACGCTTGCATCATATACGTCCATCAACTCGGTATACTCAGGACCAGCTGCAGCCCAGCCTTTAATTCCGCCTTCCAGAATCAAGCTCTGCATAGTCGTGTCTTGTTCTTGGGCCAAGTAGTCTGCAAACCAACTCGCCGTACGAGGGCCGCGTCCGTTGCATGAGCCTACCCGGCGATAAGTATGGACTGGATTATCAATCAAAACATAAGATCCTGAACTTACCACAGTACCAGATAACATGCTTCACGCCACTACTGGATAGAAGCGCATACACTGCCGGTAACGTCGGATACAGACTGTGTGCTGGCAAATTGATTGAACCACGGATGGTACCACCCTATCCGATCATGTTAGTCTCAATTTGGCAAGTTTCACCCTTCCAACTCCAAGATCGTCCACTAGGTCAGGTCAACGTAAGGAGATACACTTTGCATACCTCGAAATCAGTGCGCCGCACGTCAACAAGCACAAAGTCCTTTCCGGCCTTCTTCCCGTCCCGGAACCACTCCAGCAATTCATGGCGAGGTAACGAAGCTACAACGGACTTTGGATTTGGGTACGCTGCGTGCCAAGGGACCTCTTTGGGAGTGTTTTCTGCCATTTTCGGATTTTAAGAAGGCAATTTGCCAAAGCAAGCGTTGTGAAAGGTCAGAGATACTGTTTATTATTGTCTCTCTGGCTTAATTTCCAGGGTCACTCTGAGAGGTGCTCGTATCGCAGGCAGGCAGTTTAGCCTGCGCATTCTGCGAATGTGATTGGCTTGATTGGAAGCACTAGCGCAACAGTTGGTCACATGGACGATATTAGTGTCATCTCCACGCGATTTGATTGGTTGATTATTTGGGTGTCCATGGAAGGTTTGTTCTTAGGAACATCCTTTTCCGTTCTTTCGAATGGCAGGAGGGATCGACTGCGGGGTGAGCGATCAGTTGTGCTTTTGCTTTGGTATTCAAGGTTTGGGTAAACACTCGCGTGTTCATAGAGGTCTCTAGTCGATAAAGTGCTGGAGGTTATTGGATGATACCATAAATCAGAACTATAACGAGTCTGACAGCCAAGAATAAAATGGCTAATACGTGTGTAGCTGACCAATGGGGGAAATCTTGCAAGTTTGTATCTACCTATGCACATATTGGAGATTGCATGCTCGGAATGACCCCGGTTGTAAATACGATGTTCAAAGTGCTCTCTACTTGAAAAGGAAGGTCCAGGACTAGACTCGCTTGCAAAGAAAAAGCAACGAAGGATTCCTCATAGACGGAAACTAAATGCGGATAGTGATGCAATGGGCCATATGATCGATCACTCTGGTATCTCCTACGTACTCCAAAGCTCCCTTTGCCGATTAGCCATGAACAAGGTTTGACTGAAAAGTGCGGCATCAGGATAGAGACTGATCTTGATCAGTACAGAGAATCAACGAAAGAGAGTTTGTCAGCATTTGAAAAATGACGTGTAGGACTCATAACCCATCTCATGATACTTACTCAGCCTCTCTCGATAGATGAAGTTCGAGGCCTCGCCCACGTAAGCCACATCTGTCTCTTCAAAGTCAATACCGCCAACATCTAGCAACCATATGATCACCAAAGGATAATTCTCTTGTAGAACCAAGGCTCGGTCTCGGATATAAGCAGAAGCTACTCAGCCAGTGCCTGTCAAACCCACGCGCGGCCATCGGATCCGGAGATCCGGCCGAAGGGTATACGGCTTTTTAGTTTGTGGCGTACTGGCTGTGCTTGGCTGAATGCACAATGCGGGGTCTGGATCTGTATAGTTAGGTACCTTCTCCTTCTAGATGACTAAATCATAGATCAGCATCAGGCGGGATGAAGCCCGTCGGAAGAGACTGAGTTTACCGTCGGGTATTTCGACTGTATTCATGCAGACTTAGAAGGCATTGTAATGGAGATCATAGGATTGATTAACTCGCTTAGGTTATTCCAATAAAATGGCTGTTATTTGTATATCGTCACGCCATTGTGGCGTGGCGTCCAGCGTAGGTGCCAGCTAACTCAAGTTGAGTCTGTGCAGGTCTACAAGAGAACTCCATATTATAGAAGACTCGTCAGACTATAACCACAATGAGCTTTAGCCTTAGTGGTGGTATCTTGAGTTGAAAACCAGAGATTCATTCTTCTCAGGCATACGCGTCTCTTCTACAACATATCGAAGCTTGTAGATTGACACAAATATCAGTCACATTTCTGTCATTTCTTCATAGGCAAAGGTGGTCTCAATGGTATTCCGAATGGTTTCTAAACCATATCAGATGGACTGTTCACGTTCAATAAATGGTTATCATCGGTTTTGGTCCGGCAATAGATTTGGCACACATTATCATATCATTTTCCAGCCGCCATCAGAATCGATAATCTCCTGTCTTGGTAATTGATCCGAGAAACAACACGCTCATCAACAATCAACAAGCAAAACATTCCCCTCCCTACGCAGGTAAAACCACTTGCTTTAGTTTCAACAAATGACCTTCTAGTACTTGTTCAATCTATAGATATGCCTCAAAACACCCCCCCTCGGGATTACTTCGGGTGATATCATCCCACACTTCCCGCGCTTGCATTAGGTTGAAACTCATCTCGGGATATCAAATTTGACTATACCCCGCTCGCACCTCCATCCTACTCACAGTCTCACACTGAAGTCTCCCAGTGGACTCCTCTGCAGACTAGTTCAACCTGTAAGTTATGATGATCATATCCGGTGACCCTCTACTGCTGCAATTCCTGTCAAGGGCTATTCTCTAAATGGACATCATATGATTTTTTGCCCGTCGGGACTTGTCCTATTGAGCTTGGCGAATGCACTAGTCTTTCTGCAGCTTATGCCGAGAGGCAAGCCCCTAACAATGCCTAAGGCTGCTATGATTAGAGAGAGACCGTGTAATTAAATCATAGTTTTATCACTACTGGGATTTACTAAGAACCTAATCTAGACTAGAAGTACAAGGTTTCTACAGAAGCGTTGACATATTCAAGCGTAAAAAAAGGCGAACAAGCCCGTGAAGCTAGGATGATACCTTTTTTACTAGTCCAGTTCTACTCCTAAGGTACTCCCAATAGTTCTACATTGCTGCATTCATGACCACCTTTTCAGTCCAACCCAAGCCAAACACAATCAATCAATCAATCAACACTCTATTAACCTGTTGCAACCTAACTAGTGGCGTAATGGCTATGCACACGGTTATGAAACCAAACAAGAGAATGCCCCATCCTTCCAAGCAAAGTACAAAAACAAAACACCATCTAGCCAAGTCCATCAAAAATCCACATATACAAGCCAAGCCTACGCCCTACGCAGAAACATACACAAACACCCCTCGCCCCTCCTCACAACACAGCCACTCCACTCCGGCAATTATCCACCAGCCCACACCCACCACACCATGCACACAACGCAAAACGGAAAAGTCTCTGCCTAGCCACGCCTCACGGTACACCTCATCATCCCCGATCCCTGGAGAAATGCAGTAGCCTCACAGCCCTGTTCTCACCCCCAGCAACGCCAAGAGTACAGTAGTACCCAATTGCGGGGATCGAGGGCTGTGAGTGGTCTACAAGGGAAGGAACCCTGTCAGTGCCATGCAGCGCTGCCTCGGGAGAACTTGGCGAGTAGATAGAGCCGAGACCCGAGGTGCAGAAGAGGTTTGGGGGAGACCGAAATAAGTGGGAGTTGGATTGTTACTTAGTTGGTGTGAGGAGGGGAGGGTATGCGTGTATTGCCAGGTTGTGGTGATATCAACCAATGGATTCATGGATGATCTCAAGGATACTTGTATACATGTTATTTTATTCCAGGTGCTACTGCATACTAAATTCAATTTACCTTTTACCTCTGCAATACAATACCATCCTAAATTGACTAGAAGAATCATGAAATCAAGAGGCAAGCCAGTGAGCGTGTCTATCTGGATATTGACGGGCGGGTGGCGTGTTTTAGCTCTATATCTGCTCAAATGATGTGGTGTGGTGTGATGAATTGAACGAGATCATTGGTAGACATGTCTTACATGGTTGATTCAGTGTTTATCCCAGATTTGGCAAGGTACTGCAGAGTAATGTTGATCTGTGATGCTGTTGCTGTGTGATGACGGAGGATGTTGCCACCCCCTTATACCTGGACGGGAAGTGCATGTCATATTCTCAAACGAGAGTTAATAAGTATATACTGAAAATGAGTAGAATGAGTATGAATGAGATCATTGTATGACTTTGAGGTGTTGTGTGATTCGAATGATGGGAGAGGGAATGGGAAGAAGTGGCAGGTAGCTGTTTCGTCTCGAAGAAGGGGAACGAGAAATTGTCGTGTTATGCCTACACCAATGTTCGCGAGGATAAAACAATTTGTCCGATTGATACTATACCTAGGCGTGAGATTGAATGAGAAATGGCGATAGCATGACGACCACAACAAGTCTATTGCTTGCACTATCTTGAACCTGGGGACTGCGACATCTATAATCCAGACAGGAAGGAACTCCGGCGAGTGATCTCTATTTTTTCTATATCCTACTGAGTAGCTGCCGTTTAAAACCACAAAAACCCTAAATAAGCAAACTCCCTTCCGATTCGAACCCCCGACTTCTCCTTCCCATACAAACCCTCCACGATGGACAATCTCCATCCTACGATGCCTGCCGAATAGCCTCATTTTCACATCCAATAAACGTAACCCGTATATCGCCCCCAACAACCTTTGAAGAGCCTCCAAAATAGACTTCAATGGACTCTCCTAAGTCTCTAGTTTATATTGATATAGGAAATGTATCTTAAAAGGAACAAAAAGTTAGGGGTAGCTCTACCTCAAGCCAGCAAAAAAGAAATGTCCCCACTCCACTGTCCAGGATAGTCCACACAAGCTTCATCCTGATTCCCTTTCAGCCAATTACCATTTATAACAGTAATCTCAGTACCCTTAGGGCCATCAAGACCGCTAGACTACCGGCGAGGACGGTTACCGATTTGAGTTGGAAGACAATAATAACCTATCCTTTTTACCAAATTTGGCCTCTTATTACTATACGAAGAACGCTGTCAGATCAAGCCGCAAATGTATTAGCTGTTAAACACAGCGAACCAAGTATATACCGCTACACCACACATGTAAAGACCACAGAGCCGAACATGACAAAGGAAGCAGATGGAACGAAAGAGGAAAGACAAAAAGGGAAAACCAATGCTATCTTATGCCAAGAAGAATAGGTACCAGTAAACACAAAGAACTCGCTTCTGAAACGGAGCAAGAGCAGAACAACAGGAAACGATTATAGACAGCCAATAGATTCGACAAGGGGATGAACAACAAACAAGATACTCAGGACAAGACGATGAACAGAGGAAGGGATCCAAGGGCCAGCGGAATATATGCAACAATGCGGTCCCTACCAGAGAGAGCGGGATGAATCGCATGGCCGGTGCAGTTGATCAAAAATGCATTGAATCCCGGGCAGATGAAGATGGTGGCGTATGGAGAGATCATCATGAGAAACTGCCCACCCAGCACGAGGAAAACCCGAACAGAAGCAAAGAGCCAAGACATTAAAGTCCCATCAAGGAAATGAGATGGGGAAAACAAACAGACAGCGGGTGCTCATGAATAATGGCGAGTTCTCAAGTCCTGGATGAATGGCCTGTCGTTCTTCAAAAGAGTGCCATCCGTTGTATTTCCAGCCT